TACAAGCCCACGACAGCAGACTCGTGCTTGGCAAACAAGATGGTGGTGCCGCACTCGGCGCTCCTGTCTACGAACAGGGCCAGTTGACGAGCCGCCTCGGCCACATGAGCAGACTGCGGAGCAGCGCCGGACGCCTTGCTAAGCGTCACCGGGCCAACTTGGGGAATGAAGGCTGTCTTGACCGCCTTGGCGCCGCAGCTTTCAGCGACAACGAGGTTGGGTTGGCTTTGCTGCTGAGGCACATCGGGGGAGGCGGCAGCCTCATACGTCTGGCCTGGGCTGGCCACGCAGGCGCGGATGGTGAGGATGGTGTTTGGATCGGCGACAGAGTTTTGGATATTAAAACCAAAGAGGACAGTCTGATCACAGCTCTCGAGATTGCGGAGATGGTGGATGTTGGTCCAGTTGGCCGGACTGGGACCGGCATCAGCACACAGACTGGGACAGTCGTCCGCATACTGGCCATTGTAGCTGTCTGTGACGGCTGAGACGAGGCCCAGCAGAGAGCCAAGGAGGACAAAAGAGAGCCTCATCCTGTTCTCGGAGCCAGTGCTGGCAAGGAATGAGGGAACATGTGAAGAAGAAATACTTGGAGGGATTGGTGGTCCATATAATGTACCATGTTGCTGGAGTCCTGACCCATTCTCTTTCGGGTTATCATCATAAGCTGACAGTCTCCTTTGTGTCCACTCCCCCTTGATAGATGCATGAGCTCAAGTCTGGGTTGTCCGGCGATTGCAAATCCTCGCGAATGCAAGGAAACCTTAGCGACCCTTTTTTTTTTTCCCCTTTTTGCCTCGGTTTCCCCAGACTATCCAGACTATCCAGACTATCCAGACTATCCGGGACTTTTGGCCCCCCAAATATATTATACAACTATATCAGGGGGCCAGTGTTGGCAAGAGCCAAGAGATCCCTCCATGTAACCCTTTGGCTGCTTATGTTGGTAAGCAACGGACTACCGATCATCTCCGAGACACAGCTCGAAAATTGCATCTCGGGTAATTTCTGTATCATGTCTTTACTTGCCGTGATTAATTCAGTTTTTTTTTGTTTTTTTATTCAATTTGCTTTTGGGGAGAAAAGGGGGATGGATCATGTTACCATGCTTGATTGTCGCTGCTGACTCGATTCCTTGTACCGAATAAGCATCGTGAAAAAACGTCGTCTCTATTACTGATGATATATCTTACTCTTTGTGATTTTCTTTTCTGATGTAGTCATTTCCTCACACTTCCCCCTCTCTTGAATCCCCATCTTGCTTGCTACAATGGGCTCCGCGCTCAATTCCCCCATCTACATAGACTATGGTGAATTCTTCATGAATAGCAGCAACATCCTTGCTGTCCCCTATGGAGATGTCACCGCTGCCTTCAAGGCGCCCGTCGCCGTCCATTCCACAGCCATAGATGGCTTCGACTGGACGCAGCCGTACCCGGGCTCCCACAGAGACGGCCACACGGCATACCTCGAGGTCGCCCAGGAAATGCCCTTGTCTGCGTCTATCGTGCAAAATGCAACCACTGTCCTGTCGTCCTTGACGTTTGGTATTCCCGACAGCATGAGCTCTGGCGGCCAACCAGTAGCTATGGACCCTTCGTGGTACATCTGTCGCCACGTCTTCATCTCCACCAAACCGGAGGCGAAGCAGGCCGTCGACGGTGGCAGCAGCAAGTGCGATTTCCTCTCCCAGGCATGCCAGGCAGATCTCAAGACCAGCTTGACTCAGGACTGGGGGAAAGCCGCCGACGGCACCATGTGTGCGGCGCTTGGTTTTGACCCCATACCAGCGAGCTGTCAGGGCTCGTTTGGCTTCGCCCGCCAGGACGTCATGGCTTTTGACGCCGCCTTCCTCGCAGATCCCGCCCTGGGCCCGGTGCAGACGAGCAAAGAGCAGCAACAGTACAGCTGGCGCATCGGCACCGGATACCACGACCCGGGCGATGCTCGTGCCTACGCCATGGCCGCCAACCGGACGTATCTCGTCGCTACTGTCTGGGGCTACAGCCAGAGTGCAAAGTCCAGTCAAGTCCCCGGGGTATCGTTTGCTTGTCTCTCGTCTGGCGCCAGCTACGTCCCGCCCCCTCCGGGCCCTCCATCGTCTACCGTCGCCTTTGGGGATGACTTCTCCAGCGGGTCCATGGCCCAGTGGAAGACTTACGATGGTTCGTTTGACGCATCCTCGGGTGCCTTGGTGGGAAGCCAATCCTCCGGTGGCAAGGCTCTTGTGAACACCAACTTTGGAGACTTCCTCTACGAGGCCGATGTCACGCTGCCATCGACCTCTGGCAACGCGGGCCTTGTCTTCCGCGCATCCAATCCGAGCATTGGCGCAGATGCCTACAACGGCTACTACGCGGGTATCTCTACCTCGGGTGTTTTCCTCGGCCGGGCGAGCAATAGCTGGACGCAGCTCGGTAGTTCGTCTGCCGACCTGGCAGCCAACAAGGTCCACCACGTCAAAGTGCAGGCCGTGAATAAGGCGCTCGACATTTTTGTCGATGACATGAGCAAGGCCAAGGTCAGTGTCACGGATGGCACGTGTTCCAGCGGCATGAACGGCGTGCGCGTCTACGACACGGTCGCCGCCTTTGACAACATTCGCATCACGCCGCTGGCGTTCAGCGATGACTTCTCGAGCGGCACCATGGGCAAGTGGACAACGATCGACGGCAATTACCAAGTCTCGTCCAATGCCGCCGTGCTGTCTGCCTCGCCCGGCGCCAGGGCCCTGGCCACCGCCGTCACCTTCAACGACTTGATCTACGAGGCCGACGTCTCCATCGACTCCACTGCCAATGGCAACGGCGGCCTCATCTTCCGCGTCTCCAACGCCAAGGCCGGCGGCCCGGATGACTACAATGGGTACTATGCTGGTATCGGCAACGGATACGTTGTGTTCGGCTTCGCGGACTACGGTTGGAATGAGCTCAAGAACGTTCAGGCTGCAGATATCAAGCCGGGACAGAAGCATCACTTGATGATTCGGACGAGTGGAGATTCCATTTCTGTCTACGTGAATGACTTGAATACGCCCAGGATGGTGGTCACGAATGGAAAATATAGTGCTGGGTTGAGTGGCCTGAGGGCTTACATGACGACCCTGTCTGTGAGCAATGTGCGGATTTACACGGCTTAGTTAGAGTATTTATGTTTGTATTTTCATGGTATTTTCAACTGAAATTTTATGATACGTGAGGTTTCATACTCTTCGGCTTTGCCAACCTTTCAGTTACACGGAATACCATAGTAGCATCGCTGGACCTATGCTATACTACGCTAGAGTATCTCCCTTCTCCATTTCACCAGATTAGGAAACAGACCCAATATATCACAGTCCCGCGTTCAGCGTAACAACTAGTATATCGAAATTGACCCGTTTATGAGAGGAACTAGGAATGTAACCCACCCCTACGACTAAGAAGACTAGTGCTTAGTAGAGAGATATCGGTTAGAAACAGAACTGAGAGGCATATATCTAGTATATACACGGGTAAATAGGGGCTACAGAGCTAATATCTTATGTAGTAGCCGAGGTATCGAGATAAGCCACTAGGTACTATATCCTTGCTACAATTCACATTGTTCGAGCCGCTACACAGCCGCAGCCCCCACGCCTGTGTTAGATGCAGGAGGGTCCACTGGTTGTGTTCGGAAATTGCAAAACCACCCGCTGGGCGCCTTGTTTTGACTACGTGAGTCTCGAAGTCTTGGCCCATGGATCCTTGCTCACAGTAGATAGATCTTGGCGTCAGCAGGAAAGTAGAGTGAAGCCTTTGTTTTCCCCCCTGCCGGCGCATGACCTAGTAAATTGCTTGCAGTTGCAGCACTTATCATCGAAGGGTCTTGTCTTGGTCGGCCACCCTTACTCACTGGGCGGTCTTCTTTCTTGAGCCTTCTTGCAAATTGCCTTTTCTCAGGTAAAAATCAAATCATGCTGCCGCTTCTGTTCATAGCAGTCTTCCTCGCCGCCGGCGTCACGGCCAACCAAGTCGCCGGCAAATTCCAAGCCCTCTTCTTCTACCAGCTCTACAGGCTCGAAGTCGACGCCCATGGCCTCGCCAACTCGCGCATGGCACCCGGCTGCGCCAAGGCCGGCGTCGTCTGCAGCATGGAGGAATTCATGAAGGAAGTCTGCAAGGTCAAGATCGAACCGGAGCGCGACGCCAGCGGCAATATCATCAGGCCGCCCAAGGGCCAAAAACCGAACCTCGTCAATGTGCCCGATTTGAGCAGGGTCGACTGGGCGCGCGTCGGCGAGGGAGCGGACCTCGACGTCTTCAGCACCGAGTTTGACAGGTCAGGCTTCAAGGGCGACTTTGTCAATAAGAAGATCTTCAAGGGCTGGGATGATACGGGGGACACTTTTGCAAACGTCATGAGCGAGGCGGAGGATATTGGTGTGAAGGCCATTGCCAAGCTCAACGCTGACGGCAGGCAGCCGGCCGATGACCGGGTCAACAAGATGATCACTGCGCTGAAGACGCACGGCGATGCTCGGCGCTACGATCAGGCGCTGAAGATCACCAAGGCGTTTGAAGAGGAAATGACGAGGAAAGGGTTCACCGTCGCGTACACTGATCCCATAGAGAGGCCGCCAGTGCCGGGGTACCGGAAGATTGACGCGGACCGGACCGTCAGCGATAACCAGGGCAATGCGGGTTTTAACGACAAGGTGGAGAAGAGGGTGAGGGAATATGTCTCCAAGTACAATAGCGCGGGATCATCGAAGAGCCATGTTGAGTCTATTACGAAGACGGAGCGGGTGCATAAGCATCTTGCCGAAGCGTGTAAAGCATGACCATCTTGCTGCGAAGGGTGGTGGACTGTTGGTTATATAGCTATCAGTATACACTATTTAATAAGTCCCAAAGTTCTTTGGAAGTCGTTCTTTGATGTAACACTCATTCGTACAATATCGCACCATGATCCGCGGCCGCAGCTTGGGGGCGCTCTGCCTCGCTTGCTTGACCCATGGATGCTCCTCATCGGGCATATACTCAGACATCCTGAGGAACTCTTGCTCCGAGAGGTAAGGGACCCACGCGGAGCCCGGGTCCGTCCCAAGGATGTCGACGTTGTCCATTCGTGCTCGCTGCCACATGTACGCGAAGAGGATCCATTCCGCTTCTCTTTTCCATGCTTCCACGGCCGTCTGGAATCGAGAACTGGTAAATGCTTCGAAGAGCGCCTGCACGGCCGGTTCCTTTTCCGATGCGTGTTCCCTGAATAACGCTTGGAATTCCCTCAACCGAGCCTCGTCGCCCACATCCACCATCTGAACAGGGGCATCGCCCAACAACCCGAATAGGCCAGACCTCAGAGCCGCTTCCCTGGGGATATGCAGAGAAACCGCCGCCATGGCGATGTCTAGCCTGCTTTGACTTTCTGCGCAATATGCAATGTCGGCCACGTCTTTATTTCTTCCGTGGTGATAGAGAAGCCACGGGCTGTTGGACTCATCCGCGTCATCCGCGTCATCTGCGTCATCCGCGCCGCCATCCAACAGCGCCTTCAAGCTAAACGGGTGAATGATCTCCGCCACGACAGACGGCTGCATCCCCAGGTCCTCCGCCCGCCACAGGAACATGGCGAGTGGACTCGAAGGGTCGTCAGCGTTTCCCCAGACATTGTAGCGCAGTCGCGTCCAGTTGAGATGCAGCACATCCCGACGCGGCTGCACCCAGATCGACTCCAGGCTCGTCGTCTCTTGCAGGTCCAGCCAGCGTCCCTCTTCTAGCGTCACTTGCCGCGACTCGCTGTTGACGAATGCGATGGCCGGCAGCTGAGCGTTTTGGTGCGTTATGCGGTCGGCCCAGCAGGCTTGACGCGATTCGTTGCCGTCGAGAAGGAAGTCGGGGGTGTCTTCTTCGGCTATACGATGCGGTAGGCAGTGCGTCCAGATGAGACGGCGTAGTTCTAGAGGCAGCTGCGAAAAGTAGTGGAATGAGTCGTTGTTCATCTTTACGCTGTAGCGGTATCAAGAAGTAGATAGAAGACAAAGGTGGGCAGGCATGCGATGTAGATATGGTGGCCCTTGGCCCTAATGGTCGGGCGGCGGGCCGATCCTAGCCCGACCACCCACCGAGAATGGTTTTCTGCCCTTGGTGACAGAAATCATGTATTAATACTCGACTAGAGGTTACAATAAGGGCGGTGTTTACAAGACGGCGTATCGGGAGACCATACCCGAAAGAGCAAAACTAACCACAAGAGGGAATTCACAGGTCCTCGCTTTACAATAGCTATATACTCCGTACATTCGAGGTTTCGCTTAACATCAAAAAAGGCTATTGACGTCCGGAGAGGTGCGAAGGCAACATTTAATTCCACTCCCTCATAGCTTCATTTTGGTAGGTAGTCAACTATTTCGCGTAGCACTGTGCACTAATATACTAGGTACTGTCTGCATTGAATAACCCAGCAACGGATCCGAAATAAGTTTACAACGCATATTGGCCCATGATATGTTCTAGGAGTAGTACTTGGCATTTTAACAATTTCAACGACTCTGTCAAACACGCAAGAGGAGGAGCAATTAACCAAGCTCTTTGACAAAGAAAAACGTACTACTTAAAGCCCTATACGACAATTCAGTCCTTCTGTTTCCGGTCTGCCACAATGTATGGAGCAATGCTGGCCAGTTTCTCGCAGGTTTCGGTCAGTTCTCGCGCAGACGATGACTGTGCAATGACGCCCGCTCCAGCCTGAACCCATGACTTTTCCTCGTCCTGGAAAACGGTTCGAAGGACAAGCGCGGCATCCCACGTTTCCCGATCCTCGATCAGTAAGACTGCGCCAGAATAAAGCTCCCGGGGCTGTTTCTCAAGACGCTCAATCCCTTCTAGTGCCGCTTGCTTTGGGATTCCAGTAGCAGTAATCGAAGGGAACAGGATGTTGAATGCATCCAATGCATCCTTATCGGGCGATAGAGTACCCGACACGCTCGAGCCCAAGTGTTGCACGCTTCCGCGGGGCCGTACAGACATCAGGTCCTCCACAACAACCGTGCCTGGAGAGCACATTTTATCCAATTCGCTGGTTGCTTCTTTCACCGATAACACGTGTTCGGCAATTTCCTTCGGGTCGCTAATTAATGCCTCCTTGAGTTCTCTGGATTTCTCTTCCGCCCCATGGTGCGCCCGAGTCCCAGCGAGCGGCTCCGTCGTTAATTTGCCACTTCGCAAGGACATCACAAGCTCCGGGCTGAAGCCGGTAGCTTGGCTGCTAGCATGACGCAGACAGAATGAACGCGCGGGGTTGTTATAACGTCGTCCGCATAGCAGGGTTGCAGGTAGGTCCACTCTCGTTGGAAGAGCTGCGTTGCGGGAAGGAATGATTTTCGCGTACTTCCCTGCTCTTATATCTGCCAACGCGGCCTCGACTTGCTCCACGTATTCAGCGGTCCTGGTGTTGGTGTCGATGGCATGACCCGGTGATGGGTCAATGCAAGTGACATCGTTGACCATCACGCAGAGTTCCTTCGTCTCTCGGTCATCGACTCCAGTCAGCGTGACTTTATCTGGATAAAAGACAATCTCAGTACGAGGGACCATAAGACTCAGCATTGGCCATTTCCCTGCAGTGAAGGTGATCCCCCGCAGAAGTAAGGCATAGCTAAATCCGACGTAACCATAGATTCTGGTTCCGCAGTCCTCATTTGCCGAGATGTATTCTCGCACAACATCGGTAACACGACCATCGAGGGATCGCACTTCATCCTTTCCGTTGGTAGACAAAGTAGCTCTCCGCCCTTCGGGGTCGATTGTCACTGACGAGCGATTTCCGATACCCAAATACCAAACTCCAGCACGCTCATATGCGTAGTAGTCAACGCATTTCAGCTTTGACAGGACAGTTGCGACCCTTTGTAGGGCGTCTTGGGGAGCGGGCCGCAAAGTAATCGAGGTCGAAAGAACCGTCATCTTCCAAAGAAGGGGGGAATACAGGCGGAAGGTATAGATTATCAGATACTGTTAGAAAATTCCCCGGAGAGATATCGATGGCGAGAGAAGGAAGGGATTATATAGAACTCCAGGAGCTTCCTAATAGGAAAGCTCTCTCTGACCTTTTTTTCAGGATAAGTCTTAAAGTACTTCTTAGACTATTTCCTAATAGGGAAGTCCTATCTGACCTGACACCGTATACCCTGCAGACTTTAGATTTGGATAACAATCAGAAATGACGTAAATAACGACACAGGCGACAACGTAAGCTATAGAATTAAATAGAATAGAATGTGAGGAAGCGCAAATGATAGAAATCATAGATAATACTCCGCACGCAATAGAAATTAATCCGAGGCTAACTTCCCTACTCTCCGTTGATGCCCCTTCGTAATCTTTTCGTCTATTCTGCCAATCCTTAAACAGGTATGATGCAACATTGGTGGAAAATCGGCTTGTCTTATACAGTATTTCCGTACAGCCAATCAATGCACTGCTCTCATCCTCAGACCATCGATGATATGAGAGATTGGTGACGCAGCTAGGATGCCCATCTTTTAACTCTAAGTTAACTATAGACGTTCTAACCTGGGTATATCTAAGCATTATCATATTAGGAAACCAGACTTGATCCCTGCATAAGACTCGATGTCGGCAACTAGATTAGGTATCTATTATTGCGTATACTACATCTTTGTATAGTAATTTTTAGTGAAACGTGCTAAATAGTATGAACATTAAACTTGTATATATGACGATATTCTTTTACCGGATTCTTCTTAATGCATTCAGGCTGAAGCTGATCCCAAAGTTGACAGACATTGTTAGCGAATGCTATCTGTTATATTTCATAGTCATACGTATTAAATATATGGCTAAAGTTTATGGTACTAGAACGCCTGATTGTGTTGACAGCGCAGCGGCTATGTCTACTTTAAACCGTGCAGACGCAAGGTATAAGTAACATACGGATGCGCAGAACTTAATATATCTTCAGTATCAGCATCTTCTGTACGGAGTTCTGCCAATTATTATCTAGCCCTCAGGTGTTGCCACTTAGGAGGCCCAACAATTATTCACATACAACATGACTGAAACCGACAACTACCCATTGGGTCGCAACATATTCCACTCAGTCCGGTCAGTTCAGGCTCTTGATCTCAAGTGAAGAAAGCCTAGCTCTGTGGAAACCAGGAGGCTGATCTGAAATAGTTTGGACGCCCAGCATTTACTCTGGAGGCTTCACACAGGCTACCTACTCCACCCTCGTGTTCCTGTCAGGGATAACATGAAGATCGCAGAGCTTGGAACCGGAACAGGGTATGTATTTATAGATCTTGGGGATACTCGCTCCTAACAGAATATAGAGTCTGGCTCTTGGAGGCAGAAAAACACCTCCCCCCGACAACTCAGCTGCATGGATTCGACATCTCTGATGAGCAATTTCCTCAGAAAGAGCAGTGCCCGCCTAACGTTAGATTCGATATAATGGATTCCTTTGTCGATCCACCGGCCTCTCGTATTGGTCAGTATGATGTGGTTCATCTTCGCATGTGGGCGAGCAACTTCCGAGACAAGGATCTGGCCCCCATCCTACGCCATATAATGGAGCTATTAAGTAAGTTGCGTCTCATCTGGCTTTTCCTTGGCACATTCTAATGTTCCACATTTCCAGAGCCCGGTGGGTTTGTCCAGTGGGAAGAGGCAGACTTAACCCATCAGGTGGTGGTGGGCGGAAAAGCCAAACAATTCGAGGCGGGCGTGAACAAACTGTTCAATCGGGTTGGGCTTGATTACAGGTAGGTTTCTAGGATTCACTGCTGTCTGAAGATTAACGGTCGAATTTACAATATCAAGCTGGGTGCAAAGTCTTCCCCACCGAGTGAAGCAGGCAGGCTTCCTTCTCATCGAGTTCGAAAGACAGCAGTTCGCGAACAACACGAAGGACTTATGCACCAATACATATCTTCTGGCACTCCAAGAGATCCTCCAGGGGATCCGGCAATCTTCTTCGGAGGAGGAAGGGCCGACAATTATGGAGCTTGAATCTGCTCTTCATCATCTATGCTCTGCGGAAAGAAAGGAAATAGTCTACAACTGGTCTCCTACTACGCTCTTGGGTCAAAAACCATCCGAAGATTATGGTTTCCGTGTCTGAATAGCCTGCAATTTCACTCTGACATCTCCAACGCTAGGGGTCTAGAAAGCGAGACGTTGAAGGGGTAGGGCTGCCTTTTTTTTTTTTTTCTCCATTGATTATGTTCCAGTCATGATGTTATATCGAAGTGGATGCCAAGCAGTTCAACTATCGGAAATGAAAATGATCAAGGCTAAATTCAAGGTCAGAAGGAACAGTTGCACCTCATAGCGTAAAGAAAACGTTTCGACTGGTTCTTAACGCCCGATCCCAGCCAAGAACAGTTCGGATGCCCGTGGACTCCTGAGAACCTCACTACTTACCTAAGGTACTGCGGTTCTAGGCTGTTAGACTAAATACCCAGTTTAAATCACAAAATACTAGATTACCAGCTAAAGGTCTAGTGGAGCGTAGCTACGCGGTAGCGTAGAGCCTACCGATAGGTATAGAGTGCGTCTGATGTACTTCTATTCATTACGCAAAAAGTAGCGAGAGGTGGCCACTCGAACGGAAAAGTACAGAGCCGTATCGAGAATCTATCTATGTATATACCTTATATATGCGCCTCACCGTAATAGAAAATGAAAGATCCTCTCAATCACTTGCTTTTGTCGAAGTAGTCTCCACACATATATCGCCCCCACAGACCCAAGAGCGATCCTCCAAGCCACGAAGATGTAAATGGCCGTGCGTAGCTTGGCATAATATCCTCGCAGCATGATTCCCACAGCATACCGAGTGCCTTCAGGACTCTTGTCCGACGGTCCATAGTATCGACCGACCCCAAGTCCACCAATGCCTACTTCATTGCAGTCATCCTTGATCCCTGTCGTCTCCGTCACAGGAAGTGCAGCAGTCTGGCCATCAACAGCGGTATTGCTCGGCCGGGCCCCAGACTTCACTTGAAGCTTATTGCGCTGTCGTAAGCGGTGGGTGAGAAGGTTCACAATAAGTCGTAGGTCAGGCGTCGTAAACGTAGGATACTTCCACAACTCCACTGCATTATGCGGCGGGAGCATATCGAGGAAGTCGGCAAGGATACCGAGGGTCAGTCCCCAGAGAAGTAGCGGCCGGTTGCGATTGTTCGAGTCGGCTTGATTGCTCAAACACCATGCTTTCCATCGGGCGAATAGTGAAGGGGCAGGCGCATTCTCTGGAATCAGTCCCGGGGTCGAGTTGCTTTGCAAGCTTTCCGTTGGCGCCAGTTCGATGGCTGAAAACTGCATAAAGCCCATGACAGAACGGAGAGCCAAGCGGACGATAAAACCACCCATATTGCGAAATCGCTGAGACATGTCGACATATTCTACCGTGCGCATTGACGGCGAGAGGAGGGCGCGGAGGGGCACCCAATGCGTGGAAGCCACCTCTGTCGGTTGTAGCTTAAGTGTTGGGGATTCACTGCGAACAGATAGGAAGAGAAAAGGGCACAGGACCATTAAACTTATGGGTCGAGAGGTCAGCGAAATAGACGTCACGAATAGAACGGAAAACCTACGGAATGGACCCCCAGCTTGTTGTGACCACTCGCTCTGGCAAATTTCCCACATATAGATAGTCTTCCGTTGTCAGGTCCAAGCCTACCTCCTCTGAAGTCTCTCGAATCGCAGCCGCCCGGTCGTCTGCATCCTCCGGGTCTCGTTTGCCTCCAGGCAGAGCGACATGGCCTGTCCAGCGATCTCCCACCCGTGAAGCACGTTTGATGAACAGGACTTCGGGATCTCCATGCTCTACCCACGGCTGGGAGAAGAATGAATTCAATCGTTCCTCGGTTGTAGTGTCATCCGGTAAGCTGGAGAGAGCGTGGTCGGAATCTGGCCAATGACCGAATGTCGGTCGAACGCGAAGCACGAGGGCGACGGAGGCACGTTTGCGACAATTGGGGGGATTGGGTACATGAGGATAAGGGTGTTTGAGGAGGTCAAGCAACACGCTATGGAGAGAGCTTGGTAGTGAGGCCGGGTCGTGCTTGGAAGATGACATGGTCACGAGAGCTGAAAATGTCAAGGGTTTGGTTTTCCGGATTGAGGAGTAAGGTGGGTATATCACGTGAGAAGAGAATATACAAGCGACATATAATCTAAAGGATACCCAATAAAATCTCAATATATAGAATCCGGACAGGGACAGAAGAAAGAGCTGTAGAACCAATACAGAAGAGCCGAGGCCGCGGATGAAATGACGCCGCCAGCATTCCGTCCGGGGTAATGTGTTACATAAGCATTCGCCACTGTACGCCCCGCGGAGAGTCTCCGATTGGCGGATAAGGCTACGGAGCTCGGTTACCGGATTGGGACGACAGACGCGCACGTGCAGTGGCTGCGATCTGCCAGTGATGGATGAAGCTGTTAGTCTCGTAGCTATCTACACTAGCTTCATCGCCACTCTCTGTCTTCATCCCCGCCGTTATTCTTAGTGGGACCCTGTGGAAGAGCAGACTTTTTCTCTCTCTCTTTCTCTTTCCCTCTCTTCCTCTCCTTCCGACTTCTCGAGTTCTCGTCTTCATCCGGTGGCACATGTTCAATTGGTCGACTGTCGCCGACACCAATCCTGCAACCTCCCTTCCACCCACCTCCAACTCAGGCTCGATTCGCCGATAATCGACCATGCGGTTCGGACGGACGTTGAAACACTCCATCTATCCTCCCTGGCGAGGGAAGTACATCGATTATCACAAGCTCAAAGTTCTCCTGAGGGAAGATGATGTCACCGGAGACGGCAGTGACTCGGAGAGCTCGCAGTGGACGGAGCAGGACGAGGAAGCCTTCGTTCAGGAATTGATCAACGTTCAGCTGGATAAGGTCAATGCATTTCAGGTAGAGATGTCCCAACAGCTCAGAGAACGCACATCGGCTTGCGAAACAAAACTGCGCCCGCTTGCTCCCAATGTGGACCAAGAGAACCCCGTTACCGATGAACAAGAGCGGAGAAGAATTGCCTCCAACGTCCTCCACGAGCTTGACAGCATCACAAAAGAAGTTAGTGAGCTGGAAAAATATAGTCGCATCAATTTCACTGGGTTTTTGAAAGCGGCGAAGAAACACGATCGCAAACGCGGGGCTCGGTACCGGGTGAAACCTCTGCTCCAAGTCCGCTTGTCTCAATTACCGTTCAACACTGAGGATTACTCGCCCCTCGTCCGCCGACTCTCCGTGCTATACTCTTTTGTTCGTGAGACCTTGAGTCAGGGTGTAGTTGAGCCCAAGGACCCGGAGGCTCCTCGCTTCGGACACGATTCCTACTCCTCATTCAAATTCTGGATTCATGCCGATAACCTTTTGGAGGTCAAGACCTATATCCTTCGACGACTGCCTGTGTTAATCTACAACCCGGGTTCGTCGAAGAACCCCACGACCCTTCCTGACGACCCCGCCATTACATCCTTGTACTTTGACAACCCCCAATTCGATCTCTATAACCAGAAAGTCGCCCGGTCGCCCGAGGCCGGTTCCTTAAGGCTGCGGTGGACGGGTAACTTACAGGACAAGCCGCCAATTTTCTTGGAGAAGAAGATTGTCACCGATGACGACCGCAGCAGAGAAGTGAGGGTTCAGCTGAAACAGAAGCATGTGAAAGAGTTCCTGGAGGGCGAGTACCGACTTGACAAGCAGGTGCATCGGATGGAGGATATGGGTAATGGCGAAGTGGAACAAGCGGAGACGCTGAAGAGAGATGTTGAGGAACTCCAGTCCTTCATCAAGGAGAACAACCTCCAGCCTATGCTTCGCGCCAATTACACTCGCACCGCGTTTCAGATTCCTGGAGATGACCGGATCCGTATCTCCCTCGACACGAACCTGGCCTTGATCAGGGAAGACTGCCTGGACTATGAGCGGCCCTGCCGTGACCCGAACGAGTGGCATCGGCTCGATATCGATGATGTCGGCATGGGATATCCGTTCAATCCAATCAGAACAGGCGAAATCGTCCGCTTCCCATATGGTCTACTGGAGATCAAGCTGAGAGGGGAGACAGCGCACAAGGCGGAGTGGGTGAACGACCTGATGGTCTCCCACCTGGTCAAGGAGGCACCTCGCTTTTCCAAGTTTGTACATGGCATTGCCCAGCTGTTCGAAGACCACGTCAACAGCTTCCCCTTTTGGCTGGGTGAAATGGAAAACGATATCCGACGAGATCCTGAAACGGCCTTCCATGAAGAACAAGAGCGATTGGCGAAGCGCGCGGAGGATGACATCGCAGTAGGAAGCTTCCTGGGAACAAGATCGAGCCCCACGGTCAAACCTCTCGTCGGGTCCCCTGTAGCGCGCTACACGGATGTCGAGTCCCCCGTGCGACAGCGACAGCCCTCATACACAGTCACGTCGACGGCTGCGCGTCCCATCCCTGGTCGCGAGCCTTCCGTGGAGGCCGAGCTGCCAGCTGAACCGCCCGTCCCTATGTCCCGACTCGCGACCTTGTTCCCCTCGTTCCTGACATCTCGCTCTGACCGCAACCGGAAGGTGTTGGCTCCCTTGCCCCCTGGTGTGAAAGAGCCTGGCTTTTGGATCAAGGATTCGGGGCCGATCCGCGTGGAAAGCAAGGTGTGGCTTGCCAACCAACGAACGTTTATCAAATGGTTGCATATCAGCATTCTGCTTTCCTCTCTTTCCTTGGGATTGTATAACGCCGCGGGGAAGCACAACGACATTGCTCGAGCTCTTTCTATTGTCTATACGTTTTTCGCCATATTCTCGGCGGTGTGGGGATGGTATATGTACGAGAAGCGGTCTCGACTCATCAGACAGCGTAGCGGACGAGACTTGGACAACACGTTCGGACCGATTGTTGTGTGCATCGGATTGGCAGTTGCTCTGGTATTGAACTTTGCCTTCAAGGTACGTTGATTGGATTGATGCATCACAGAGGGTTACTAACTCTATGGCATAGTACAACTCTACGCTTGAAAAGCTTCGTGGGCAGAACCCTCTGTCCTCATCTGCATGGAACACCTCTGGGGTTGATGAGGCTAGTGTGCTCGTCAACCAGGGTGGCCAGACATTGTAAATGATGTATATGCTCTATTCCGGTACTATATTTATTCCATGATAGCTTTAACAGCGAGTATGTAGAGGGGAATCGATGTCAATTATGAGTGCTGCTCAGGAACAGCAAGAAAACTTGCCTCTCTTAGAATGTCTAGCCGGTCAATACAGGTAACTGGGTGATTTCATCTTATCGGTGCCTTGGTTAGGTCGGTTGTATAGGTACCTTGCGCATTTTTATCGTTCAAACATCTACCCGGTCACTTTTCTTTCTTCTTTCGGCCATTGCCGCTCTAAGAGGGTGAGCTGGGCGAGTCAGTTACGTCGCGAATCGTTTACTTAAGCATGGTAGTTTTCAGTCTTTCCGTTGGTTAGCTGTGTTTCCTGCGCGGTTCCCTTACTTTAATTGTTGGGAAGAAATGCGATAGCCACCTAAATTACTCTACACACCGCGTCCAGCCGTGATCATAAGCTACAAAAGAATGCGCTTCCAGGGGACCTTCAGCGGAGGTTGGTCTAAAAATTGTTTATTTTCAGGGTGATATACTTCTGTCCAAAGTTGATGGCGGGCAATTTGTGGAATTAGTCTTGTACGTGCTGTCCTGCCTACCTTCTGGTGCTCTATGCAGAAAAGCCGTTGTGGTATCTAGATAAATATTTTATTGATTCACTGTTCTACATGGACTAGCAAGCACTATACTTTCCTCATCAAATACACATATCGCTTCGTGATTGTTCATATTTCGTTTGGATATTTGCTAACCACCTTTGCAACAGGTAGCCTCACCAGGCCAGCTTAGCACAAATCACAACCATACTAGCCATGCACCTCCTCTTCTTTCCAACTCTGCTCCGTGCAAAGAGCCAATTAGGCACAGACACGTCATGCAGCAAAAGCTTCCTGCCGCCAGACATGGGCGCTCAGCTGACGCGCCGGGGCATTATCAGTGAGACTATATACCCACCAAACCCCACGTTCTCGAGTCAGCAAGAGTTTGTCCGCAAGTCCAACTGAAATATGTCTGGGGCGGTGGACTCACCTGTTGTGCAGGCCGAAGTCATCACTTTGCTGAGAGAGATCAAGGAGTTACTCCAAAACAGAAATGATCGCATAGAAGAACTCCTGAACTCGGCGACCCAGAGCCACAGTGCCGAGCCAGCAGAGAGCGTGCAGACAGAACCTCCGCCAGAGTCTACAGAATTCAGAGTCAGAGTAGCCAGTGACAGTGCAGCCGAACCCGAGGAGTTACATTTGGAACAACCTTCGCGACGTGATGGAATGGACAGGATTAGGAATTATCAGTCGTTCCTTGAGAATCCGTGGTTTCGTTACATCCGTCTTACTTCACCCAGTTGGATCACTTTAGAACCAAGGCAACCTAGTTTCATCGCTGGATCAAATTGGAGTTACTGTAAGTAGTGCTACCGAAGATAACCCGTGAGCTTTGCTGATAGCGAGAGGTTAGGGAGAGCTATTGGACAGCGTTTAGAGGGTTCTAGTCTACATGATCCACCAGTGGGGTGGCTTTCTTGGGGAAGAGGTCGTCCAAACTATATGCCAGAATGGGAGATGATTCAGGTGGATGGTGAATGGTACCATATAGGTGGAGCGAGTCTAGGTGCCGACATTGAATTCTCACCGGATGAAGAATTTAAAAGCGAAACACGATTAGTACCTTACTCCTTGGCGCCGTCGCTGCTATCAAGACCCACTGGGGGCAACTCTTCTCCTTCACCATCCGGATTGATACATTACCGTGAGCTCTTTCGAAAATGCCTCGGCAACCTCTATTCCGTGCCCCCTGATTATAGGATTTGCTTCGCCTTCGAGAAAGATGTGTTACATGCAGCTGTGCGGGATGGGCTTCCTCTCAATGACGCCTTGAACAAGCTTCGTCGGATTTGGGAGATGTTGTATGAGTGTGGTGGGAGTTTTGAAATCACGGACGTTGACGATTTTAGACAGATGACCTGGTATGGCTGGAAAGATATCGATGAGAACAGTCTCCAGGAAGAAGAAGGCGATCCGCGAACACTTGCCGGACCGGCTCTTTCAGCGGAGGAATTCAAAGTCAGCATTCTACCTGTTCGATGTGAGTTGAACAAGCGAGCAGGGGCGCCTGCCGTAGTTCGGCGCGTGGGTGCTACTCACTGGTACCGCATCATCAGTTTCCGAGGCCTTGCAGCCATCTTAAAGTCGAAGGCTGTGAAGAGTGACATCGACATAGATCAATTCTGTAACCTTGTCTTCCGGGAAGTTGACGATCCCTGTACTGACCCATGGTTTCGCTCTGTCCCCATCCAACGCCTCAAGGACCTTTTGGATGTCCATGTCCGTTGTAAGGGTCGTAGCGAGGACGATAACCCGTTCGAAGGAAATTGGGCTCCGTTTCATATCACGTGGTTCAAGATCAGCCCAAATGGGCAACAGCCTTTGTACGGCAATTGGAAGTCTGGCGCACTATATGGTACTACCAAGCGATCTGGAGCTGCATGTTACTTGCAAGAGATGGCGTTCACCATGAGCATTTTTCGGTCCCGACTAGGAGACTGGCGCGTCTCCTACATGGATGAGCCACCAGTGAGAGGCGCTGCGAATGATTCGCCAGATCCGGGTCTCTGGTACTGGTCTATCGTTCATTTAGCCCCTGCACATTTCTACCCGTTGCACCAGGAAAACGCCTGGCCAGAATTCTGCTATGACGGCCATACGATACCGGTAGCTCTTATTATACAGGCTCTTCGTGAGGCCGCCGACTCATGGGAGCAGATTGCCAATCACCTCGGCTCCCTCATAGACAACCAGGGCGCCATCTTCGATCCTCACGAACACGACCGTCTTTTATTTGATGACAATACATTCTCGCGCTCGCGTCTTTACTTCTGGGCCATTGACTGTCTGGGGATATTTATTCCTAGCATTTCGGCAACAATGCGAGAGTGGCGGAATTTTTGGGAGGCTCGCAAACACCTTTTCAACGCCAGTGAAAACGTCATCAAGGAGGTTCGCCGACGAACAGAATATGGGGAGCCGCCCTGGGCTTACGAAGGGTACAATTTGGCAAACCTACTACCAGATGTGGAGGCGCAAATCGCCCGCTTAGAGGGTATCAAAGCTCGTCTCGAAGATATGCGCGCCCAAATCGATACACTGAGAAATGGTGTAAGTACTCATGTGCTGCCTACCCTACCACAACGCGCGTTAACATGATGATTGCAGCTCTTCAATGCGAGTGCTGTCATCGAATCAAGAGCTGCTACTGAGCTGGGTGAAAATGTCAAGCTCCTGACATACATCAGTATTGTATACCTGCCACTCAGCTTCTGTGCTGCGCTCTGGGCCATAGACTACAGCTACCACCCTGTAGTGTTTACAGTCGTTACTCTCCTGCTCGCAACCACGACTTACTTGGTTGTTATGAACCTGAACAACCTCGCTCGACTTAGTAAGGAAGTTTATCAAAGGTTCCGCCGTGGTATCATAACGTCAATGCTAAATGACGATCAATGGGCTCCCACAGGTGAAGCCTTCAGTCAATTTCAACCAGAGCGCGTGAATATGACTCCCTCGGAGTGGAATATCCTCTTCTTTCTGGTATTGCGATTGTGGAAACAGCTTACAGGTTTTCGCTTCCTTTTACGAAAGAAAGCAAAGTCGGCCGATGTGTGATCCTCAGCTAATGCATAGTCTATTCAAGTAAAAGGAACTTATAGAACTTACAGAACTTGCATAGTTTGTAGTGATAAGCATATCTTTGAGAAGCCATGCACTGTATAGCATACAGCTCTACTGATTCTGTCAACCCATACCGTCCGCGGTGATCCGCATAAAGTCCCTATAAGCCGCTGGGGATTAGCAATATCTCGACACCACATCACTACCAGTCATTTCAGCCAGCTGTTGCTTCTCTCATCTGTTTAGAAATGTCCAACTCATCACGTATATTTCCCGAAACATTACTCGGCACTCTCTGGCCTGGCTTTGGGTTTTTCTCTAGGTTTATTTCATTCTAGCTTCATATTGACTTATCGCTATATCCATTCTACATCTTCTCAATCACCATATTCTGAGTGTTTTGTCACATTTGTGCTTCTAAAATTGCTTAATGAGCTTCATCAATTGCTCCTGCATTATGCTGCATCGGTGGAGATCATGTTCCAGGATAGAGTCTATGGCCAGACCATGCGATGGATATCCACTCACTGTGAACTGAGCCAAACAAGGCGCTCAATGGCTGGGACGAAAGCGAGCTACATCACACCATGGCTCTGGAAAGATGAGGATGAGCAAGAAGAAGAGGAGGAGGTGGTGGTGGTGGTGGGGGAGGAGTATCGTTTGGTAGAAGAGAACCAACTGGGAGAGAGAGAGACTTTTCAGTCATTCTGGCAGTAATTTCGATATTTGACCAAGAGAAAGATAACCTGCTACACCCCGAAGAAGGGTGGGCTTTATCTCTTTCGATACAAGAGGCCGCTCTTTGGCCTCTGTCGCCAAGCAACTTCGAAAGGAGATAGCCTTTGGTTCGCGCATATGGAGAATATAATGCTTTATACCGGCCCATGGAATCAGCAGCTACTGAGAGAACTTATGGACGAGATCCAAGAAGAGTCTCATCGTCAAGAGAGCAACTACATTACCATATATCGCGGTATGAAAGAGAAATTATACGAATGGGTGCCCATCGCACGCAACCTTTGCCGGTCAATATCTACCGTGGTATGTGATCATGAGCAGAGGAGCACTTTTCTGACGGATATTAAAGACTTTCTTCAGCCTGCGACTCGCCTGTGGTATCGGAAGCGCAACATCCCTTACCGACTTGGATACCTCTTTCACGCCCCTCCCGGGACGGGCAAGTCAAGTTTGTGTTTCGCCACCGCCAGTCTTCTCAGCCTAGATGTCTACCGAACCCCATGCAGACCAAAGAAAGAAAGAAAGCGGGGACATGACCTGTCAATGGATGAGGATAAGCCTGATACGAAGCAAGGGTCGATCACACTCTCTTCTCTTCTCAACGAGCTCGATGGTGTGGGCGCCAAGGAGGGGCGGATTCTCATCATGACCACCAACTATAGGGACAGACTTGATAGTGCTTTACTTCGCCAAGGCTCAGTATATATTCTTATATACATAAACCGACTTCGGTACGGAATCGCCTTCGGCCACCATACTTCCTGCGACCCATGCACATGTCAGAAAAGGCAGTTCATATAAGATACGTAGTGTCTAGCTAGTGCCATCGGGCCGCTTGATCCTCGGTAATCTAGACCATCATCGAATAGTATTGACGACATCGCTTCTGTGTAACGTGTCGATATTTGCGGCTAGCCGCCAGCACTATGAGTATATACGAAGCCTCTCGGCCCTCTCCGTAGAACCGAAGCTCAGGAGTAGCGCGTTATTTATTACACGTTCTTAAGAAAACTTTAATATAATAATAGATAGCCTTTAACATACCTGATTGGTCTACGTAATCTCCTATTTTAACAGTTAAATTGCATCTCTATTGCTGGGGATTGCTTGCTATAGCCTATCTTATTCTTATGTATTCCACTTTATCTAGTCCCTGAACTTGAATCAATTATATAAAGGACGGTTATGTGACAGCGTATTGGGTACGCCAATCCGGAAACGGCAAAACTAATCAGATGTAGTAAATCACAGCTCCCAATATTACAAAATAAAAAGAATGTAACCGTCTCTAAGAAGCAGACCCACGCCGCCTTCGGGGCGATTAACAGTTAACTACAATATAGTAACTAGTTCGTTCACCAAAACAGGGATGACATCAGCGGATGATCTAATCACGGCGGAATTTCCGCAAAAGAACAACAAACCATCTGGAATCTCTTCACGTCTCAACGCACCCAAGTCAGGACTTGATCCGTTCTTTCTTTCTTCTAATTCATTCTTTGCTGTACCCATTCTCTTGTGATTTGTTTTCGGGTTCTACTCCAATATGGCGCTCCCCGCAGACCAGCGGAAGAAGATTCTTAAGGTCTTGATGATATCCTTACTTTTGGATCTGGTATGATCTTCTTCCAACTCTCTTCACCAACGCTAAGCTGACTCTTTAGATATCTTTTACATTCATTCTACCTCTCTTCCCCTCCCTACTCGCTTTCTACCGCAACCAAGATCCCTCGCCGTCTTCACTCCTGAACCGAGTGTTCCACTACCTCAATGCCTACAAGAACTCCTTCGCCAAGCCGATTGATTCACGATATGATATTGTCTTACTCGGAGGAGCCCTGGGTTCCCTCTTTTCCTTGCTCCAAGCCCTTGCAGCACCGATAATTGGCCGTCTGTCCGACAAACATGGCCGCCGGCGAGCTCTTCTCTGCTCCATGTTGGGCAACACTGTCAGCGTCGCCCTCTGGGTCGCTGCCACGGACTTCCGCACGTTCCTAGCCAGCCGGGTTGTTGGTGGTCTGAGTGAAGGCAATGTCCAGTTGGCCAACGCCATCGCCACCGACATCAGCGATCCCAGCCAACGCGGCTCGACAATGGCCCTGGTCGGTGCCTGCTTCAGTATTGCGTTCACCTTTGGACCTGCCCTCGGCGCTGCACTCTCGAACATCACCATTGTCGCCGCAAACCCCTTCGCTACCTCCGCCGGAGTCTCCCTTCTTCTGATTGTCCTTGAGACCTTGTATCTCTACGCGTATCTCCCGGAAACCCATCCTCGCCTCACCAAGCTTAGCCATGCCTCTGCCTCCAACAAGTCCGACACATCCGCAACGAAAGAGAGGCAGTCCACCCCACGCAAACATACCAACAACCCCGCTATCCTCAACATCGTTCACTTCCTCTTCCTCCTTCCATTTTCCGGAATGGAGTTCTCCCTGCCCTTCCTCACCGCCACGTTCTACGCGGGAAGCACCGCGAGCCCCTCGGCCTTGAACGGCCGCCTCCTCTCCATGATGGGTCTGATTGCGTCCCTCCTGCAGGGAACCGTAGTCCGCCGTCTGCCGCCACTCGTTACTGTCCGCGCTGGTGTCGTCGCCTGCGCTATCTCCTTTTTCATGCTTTCTCGCGTCTCCTCCCTAGCTGGCTTGTACGGTGCCGGCGCCCTGCTAGCTGTCACCAGCGCCACTGTCGTCACTGGTTTGAACAGTCTAGGTAGCCTCGAGGCGCAGGAAGGCGAGCGCGGCGCTGTACTCGGCCGTCTTCGGAGCTGGGGACAGGTCGGCCGTGCGGCGGGCCCGGTGCTCTTCTGCTCGCTGTTTTGGTGGGTTGGTCGCGAGATCGCATATACGACGGGCGGATTTGCCATGTTGACCGTGGCTGTGCTGGTCTTTACCACTCTGAAGTCTCCGTCTACTGAGGCTACTTCGAAACAGAAGGCTTGATCTATCGGTGACCGGAAGTCACGATATGTCTGGTGTTGTAAACATTGGATCTGTAAAATATGCTATCTGCTGCTGGTCGGCGACATGTCTCCATAGGAATATATTGTAAAATGAATCGTCCCTTTGAACAGAACTTCTGTAAGGAGCTCATAATGTTTGGTCTAGTAGGGGCTGTTTTGATTGGCCCAGTGTCCATGAAGATCACATGATGTGATGATATAAGCATCTAACGGCGATGTGTTTGCTGGAGCTGATATCGAAGCATGCTCTATACCAAGACTGTCGTCAGACTATCCATGCTGTGCTGAATGACCTCGTGTCTCATAATGCTATCCGCGTTGTGAGCTTAACATATACTTCATCACCGAAAGGTTGTACGTGTATCTACCACCAGGAGCAATGGGTGAATACGAAATCACCAAAGATGTTCTGATACAGACCGCGCGAAATAACCTCACAGCACTGGGGTGGACAGCATTGTGTGCAGCTGCACTCATCTGTATTATTACGCGCGTCATCACCGGTCTACAAAGTCGAACAGATGGTAGCTCCAAAACCTCAGACGTCCGGCCCGTAAGGACTGTGGCCTACTGGATCCCTTGGCTGGGACATGGGATTTCTTTTGTCTGGGATCATATATCACTGATTGAAAAGGCCCGGTAAGTGTTTTCGCAACTTATATTGCATTGCTCTAACCCATCGCAGAGATTCTTTGAAAGAGCCAGCCTTGGGCATTTACATGGGCGGCACGAAGCATAATGTCGTCGTATCTCCCTCTCTGGTCAAGGCCGTGATGCTATCGCCGAGCACGTCTTCTGTCGCCTGGATCAACTATGCGTTGAAGACTGTCGGCGGAGACCGCGGTCCGATCCGCAACTTCAACGCAGCTGACCACCATGTCTTTCACCATGATCTCCCCAATCTCTTCATGAGGGAGCCTTTCATCACCGAGGCCTCTACGAAGCTTGTCGAGCTACTTAAGCGGGAAATCGCCAATTTTGTGACCTTCTCCTGGAGCCCGGTGGACCAGGCCCCGTGGGAGCGCTCCAGCGACGCGGTTCTGACAGATCGCAGCGACAAGCCTGTCTGCGAGGCCGATTTCTTTGCGCTGATCAGAGGCTTCGTCGGCCATATCACGACTACGACCTTGATGGGCAGGGCCATCCTGGAGGCTTTCCCCCGTCTGTTGGATGATGTATGGGAGCTTGACAACCACTTTCCGCTCATGGCTATGGGCCTGCCGCGCTGGCTCCCCTTCTCGGGGCTGCCGGCGGCATACGCAGCGCGGGATAGAATCCTCGAGGTCCTCGCAGCGTACCAGAAAGCATTCCTCGACATGGAAAACGGCATCGACGGTGACGTCAAACTCCGCGACCTGGACGACGCGTCGGAGCCGGTCAAGCAGCGCATCCGCATGTCCAAGAACATGGGATTATCTCCGCACGACAGCGCTCCGGGACACCTGTTGTTACTCTGTGCCATGAACGGGGACTCGCCCAACGTCGCGTTCTGGCATCTCCTCCGCCTCTACACCAACCCCGCGCTCCTGGACGATATCCGGCAGGAAATCGCCCCGTACGTCAAGGCATGGCGACCCTCGCGCGAGGAAACCGGGTTCCCCATCCCCGAGGCGCCCAAGGTCTCGATGGATTTCGAGGCCATGCTCAAAAACTGCCATCTGCTCAAGGCTAGCTTCTACGAGACCATGCGTATGGACTCGGCGGGCCTGTCTTTCCGCGAACTCACGTCCGACTTGACGATCACCGAGTCCAAGGACGATGCTGCAGTGGCGGGCGTGGAGGAGCCCCGGTCGTTCCGCGTGAACAAGGGAGAAAGCATTGCCGTCCCGCACGGCGTCCTCCATAACGATCCGCGGTACTTTTCCAACCCCGGTCAGTTCGATCCTCTCCGGTTCCTGGTGACGGATCCGGAGACGGGCGCGAAGCGGGCGGAGCTTCATACGATTGATCCGTTTGGCGAGGGTGCGTCTGGATGCAAAGGGCGGGTGTTGGCTGAGAGGGAGATTCTTGCATTTGTCGCTGCGATTATCTCCATGTGGAACATCGAGCCTGCCGATGGCAAGGAGTTCAAGCTGCCAAAACACCAGCCTTCTCGCGGTGCATACTTGCCGAAGAATGATATCAGGGTGCGGTTGTCGATGCGTGTTTGACGGAGGATAGTGTGGCATGTCTAATTTCATTTTGTATATTATCGTACTGGAATCACCTACTCAGAACGACCCTAACTGAGACATTATAGCTGGTTGGAAGAACAAGGCCAATGTCAATTAGTGCCCTCCATTCCGTACAGACCCATTTCGAACCTATGTAGATCACTCCCCTGGTACACATCTTATATACATGGCATCGTCAAAAGAATAGATCCTACTCCGCAACAAGAAAATCAAAATCAGCGCCAACATGCGCCTGATTCACAGACCGCTCATACAACCCCCGGTACCCGCGTCTGGCCCGCCTCTCCTGCACAACGCCCTCCTCCGCAAACGCCCGTTTCCTCGCCTCAACCCGCGCCTTCAGCTCCTCCTCCGAGATCTCCAGCTGGAGCCGCCTCCTCTCAACATCACAAGTAATCACATCACCCGTCCGCACAACCCCAAACGGCGACTCGGGCAGCCCGGACTCAGGCGAGATATGCAGCACAATCGTGCCCCCCGCCGTCCCCGACATGCGCCCATCCGACAACCGCAGCATATCCGTCACGCCGGCGGCGCCCAGCCGGCGCGGGATCGGGATCATTCCGGCCTCGGGCATGCCCGGGTTCCCGACGGGGCCGATACCCTTCAGGACTAGAACGGAATCGCGGGTCACGGGTAGCGCGGGGTCGTCGATGCGCGCGGCGAGGTCGGCGGTGTTGTCGAAGACGACGGCGGGCCCGGAGTGGGACAGCAGACGGCGGTCTTTGGACGCGGAGGCTTTCATGACGGCGCCGTGGGGCGCGATGTTGCCGTAGAGCACGACGAGCGAGGCGGACGGGTACAGCGGGTCGGAGAGCGGGCGGATGATTGTCGTGGACAGGGGGAAGGGCCGGAAGGGCGCGCTGTCGAGGACGGCGCCGAGGGTGTGGCCTGTGATGGTCGTGGCGGAGAGGTGGAGCAGCGGGCGCAGGGTGTGCAGGAGCGCGAGCATGCCGCCGGCGTTGTGGAAGTCGGTCATGTAGTTGTCGCCGCTGGGTTTGAGGTCGATCAGGAGCGGGGTTTTCTGGCCGATTTCTTCGATTGTTTGTAGCGTGATTGTGCCTTTGATGGTGGGGTGGCGGTTGGCGATGGCGAGGAGATGCACGACGGCGTTGGTGGACCCGCCGATGGCCTGGAGGACTGTGATGGCGTTGAGGAAGGATTCCCTCGAGAGGATGGTCTGCGGGGTCCGTTTGGACAGGGCTGCTGCTACCGCGAGGCCGCCGGTCTCCTCTGCGATGCGGATCCTGGCGGACGATACTGCTGGCGCGGACGCTCCGCGCAGGGGCATCATGCCCAGCGCTGCGGTTAGACAGGCCATGGTGCTGGCCGTGCCCATGACGCCGCAGGTGCCGATCTAGACAGCGTCAGTGAGGGCGCGAGAAGGGGAAGGGGACAGGCGGGGGCACCGTCGGGGCCAGTTCCTCGTTGATGGCAGCAATCTCCTCGATGTCGAGGTCTCCAGCGCGGTATGCGGCCCAGTTGTTGCGACAGTCGGTGCACGCGCCGATGCGCTGGCCGCGGTTGCTGCCCGGCATCATGGGCCCGGTGATCAACGGCAACACGGGCTTGTTGGCGGAGATGCCGCCCATCAGCTGCGCGGGGATGGTCTTATCACAGCCTGGGTTTGTCAGGTCTTTGATTCTTGTAGGTAGGTAAGTAGGTGTATGGATGGGTACCTCCGATCATGATACATGCATCAAGCGGCTGCGCGCGAATCATCTCCTCCGTGTCCATGCTCATCAGATTACGCAGGAACATGCTGGTCGGGTGGGAGAAGGACTCGTGCACGCTGATGGTGGGAAACTCGATTGCGAGACCCCCATTGAGCTGGACGCCGCGCTTGGCGGCTTCGATGAGCTGAGGCACGTTCCCATGGCACGGGTTGAACCCGGAGTAGGTGTTGATGATGCCAATGATGGGACGGGAGAGAGCGTCTTCCGAGTACCCCAGCGCCTTGATAAAGACCTTTCGCAGGAACAGAGAGAAGTGAGCGTCACCATAAGACGTTAGGCCTTGTCGAAGACCGGTGTCTGTTGGTATGGGGGCGGAGAGGTCGTAGTCTCTCTTGGACGGGTCCAATTCCCGGGCCATCTTGCGGTGGTATGGGTCTTGAAGACCAAGAATGCTGTCAATGGCTTATATACTGCCTGCCTTCATGAGGGGTCGTCGAACATCGGATAATTATCCGGCTATCCATATGGCGATTATGGATGATGCTCTTCGTATTCAATGAATGCCTAGGTAGATCCTGCTTGCGCCTACCTGAACGCTACAGGCCCAAGTATTTAGAAAGCTCTAAAAAGCCTTTTGATTAGCTATGTTGCTCGCCTGCTTACAAACCCCAGCAATATTTTGGCCCGATCTTCCTGCTAAGGGTCCAGGAGCTGGAGGCTACCACTTGGTAGATACTGTCAACCCACATCTACAGCCATATATTACACCTTAAATACCGCTAAGTGGGTTGCCCATTTTTGGTAGTGTATGGTCATTTTGGTTGACAGATACATAAGAATCATGAGTCCACAGCAAGATCTTGCTGACCAGCGGCCAGTCCTTGTAATCTTGTTGGTCGAATTTCCCACGCCCGGGTCTTTTCATTGGTCTGCGTCCGGGTTCTCCTTCATTCCAAGTAGGGCATTCGTGCTCCTTGCCCTCGATGAACTGTTCGAGGCGTTTGGCGCAGATCTCTCGGGGAGCACGAAATCATTAAACCAACCTCCCGCTCCGGCGACGGTCATGCTCGCGCGCACAGCAACATATGGTAAGCTCAGGGTGTCGACGAACATTTCAACGAGCCACAGGACAAAGGGTCAGCGGGCAAACACAATAAACCGCCGCGGCTGCTGGGGATCGAATGCCCCCTCATCACGGAACAGTTTCGCGAAATATCGCAATTTGGGGAATCTATGGCGAGGTAATGGGGGTTATCGCTTCCATAGCAGACATCGCGGAACGGTGAGCCCATTCGATTGGAAATGGTTCGTGAACTCGGCGAGGAAGGATAATAGGAGTAGGGCATAAGTTGACTCCCCGCCAATAAGCATCCCAACGGCTTCGCCATCTCCGTTGAGCCACCAGGACCCTGGATCACACATTTCCCTTGACTTGTCCCAGCTTGGTAGCGAGTTCTTGTGTCCTCTGACTCTTAACAAGAAGCGGAGCAGGAATATTGGGAGGCAGAGACCGAGAAAGTTCGCTTGAAAGCTGGGTTTCAATCGTTTCGATATCGATCAATGCCGCTTGCGGTGTACTATATTTCGATTTGATAGTTAGCGATTCAGAATCATGAGAAGGCCCAATGACTTTGGCACCCAGCTTACCGCAGTCCCCTTGCTCATTCAAGCCTCGACGAGCAACATGATGGCATGTAATCCCAACTACATGGAAGCACATGATTGTTGTACATCAAATGCCCCGGATAGTCGAGATGGATGGGAGCTGTTGGTTCGTGCGCATTGATATTTTCTTCTCAAGGCAACGAAGCCGATAGTAACAGCGAAGATAAGGCGACCTAATTCTCTATCGTATAATGGGGGCGAATATTTTTTTCATCCCTGGGCAGCGATCAAACTGATTCCCCTTAAGTATTGCTCGTCTGGTTCGGCTCTATCAATATTTTCTTCTTGACAGAGCCAGCCGACGCGGCTTCCCATCGGCACGCGATCGATCTACTCTGGTATCTTCAGGCCGCGCACCTTGAGCTTCACGATACGGCGCGCAGGCTCTGTGAGGCTCGCGGGCCGGCTGTCCGATCGATTTCGCCCGGGGGGCAACTGATCAGGAGGAGGTGGCTTCGATTAGGGCTCTGCATGCTGGGGAGTCGTCGCTGCCTGCGGTTTTCGCCCAGGGGCGACATGTCGGTCTTCAACGCAGATGGGGAATTCGGCGGCGCTTCCAGAAACACCGTGCGAGAGCATACCTTATGAAGATTCAGGCCCAGTGCGCCACAGCTGAAAACACCTGGACGGTGGAATCGGCACTCGTGAAAGCCTGGACTGCGGCATTGCGCTGTTCGCTGATCATACTGGCCCGCATGGCGACCAACCGCAGACTCAATGCATCCGCAAACATTTCCACTATCACAAGACAAACGGCCACCGGGCCAACATGAAGAATCGCGTCTATGAAGCGTTTTGGCCGGAGCCTTTGCACGTCGACATGATCAATAGTTGGAAAGAGACTATCGGTGGCATTAACCCTACCGCGGGTCTGGCGGTTGATATCAGGACATCTTTCAAATACGTCCAGAACCGGATTTTTTGTTAGGCTCCTTCTCGATTGCCCAGACAGGAAGGATAGATATGGGCAACTTCGAGGGGTTCACCCGCCTTGGTGAGGATTCATCAGGTTGGTGTCACGTTCCAAAACCTAGGAGCTAGTTAGTAATGCTTAGGATGAGAGGTTAGAGCTCTAGTAGACTTACAATCTAGGGGGCTGTCTTCGCTGATATTTCTTAGCCTTGGGCCTCATCGTCTGCCCCTGCATTAAATGTTAACTGATATGGTCAACTACCAGGGATTTAATACGATAAACTTACAGTTTCTCGCAACAGACACAGCGATAATCTGGCGGGGTGGCGGACGCCCTTTGGACGGAATCGGGCTTCGGCGTACCGGCGTGAAGGCGCACGACACCTGTCTTTGGGCGCGGCTTGGCGGCCTTATTTCGATGGGTTTTCGCCTGGCGGCCACTCAATGACGGCGTCGGCCTCCGACCCCTGGGACGCATCCACAGTTTGAATCCGGGGGCGGGGCCCAGGCTGAGGGAACCTTTGGTCCGCCGTGAGTGCAGACCGGCCGGACGTCTGTATGTTCACCACCGTGGCGCCTCCTGGTGGCTTTGGGCCTCCTCGCTTGGGCTTCAGCCCCGCCACGGTGATGATGCGGAGGAAGGCCTCCCGATGGAACGCCCGGCTTTCGGCCGTGTGCGTCAGCTCGATGGTGGTGACCGCCAGCGGTGGGATTTCTTTGCCAATATGCACCCACACCTGGGCTCGGTATGGAGGCATACTTAAAATGCTCCTGATACCTCTGCCCAGGAGCTGCTTGGCCAGGCAGATCTCGAGTTCAGCTTCTTGCTGGTGGAATAGCGATCCCGAGGGATCCTTCCGCGTATCCCCCTGGACATGGCCCTCTAGCCGGCCCCGCAGAGTGTCGACAGTATCCACGCCGGGCCACTTAAGGCCCACATCAACTGTCGTTTTCGATCGCCCGTAGAAGGTAATCAAGGTCAGTGCATTTCCGAACCGCCGCACAATCTCCTTCGCCCATGTGATCAGGACCCCCGAGGGGCAGACCACCAAGGTGAGTTTCCAGATATGGCCTACGGAGGCAGATGGAGGAAGTGGGAGAGCCCCCGCAGAGTGCATGTCTTATCCGCCAGTCGGACTCTCAGCGGATTTGCGGTGATATTCAGGTCTCCGCTTGGTTGATTCCGGAAGGTATCAACCTTGCCCTCGTAGTAGGCCACCGAGGTCGGCTCATACAGGTCCTTATAGGACCGGTAAGAGATGTTGAGAAGGGTTTGATAATACCCTTTCTCAATCAGACGCTCGAACGCCGATTTGGACCAGGCTGCTTCCCCGGCTGGTGTAAAAACAGGGGGTGACAACTGCTTGTGGTCACCCACTAGAAGGACACGGACATCTTCCCTCAGCTGTCCAAGACCATGGAAGAGATCTGGGTCACGGAAAAAGCTCGCTTCGTTAAATATGACGAATTGCGGGTTGAAATTGCGCCGCAGTATCTCCTTCACATTGAAGGGCAAGGTGACGACGACTTGGACATCTGCCATGACGCGATCGATCAGCTCGCGCCGCTGTTTATTGTAAAGACGGAGCTGATCTTTGTTCATGTCCAACCGTCCGGAATCCTTGATCTTTTGGATTCCTTTAAGGAATTGCCCGTATTGACTTGGGTTTTGGTTGATGAGAGCGACAACCTTGTCAATGTCGTCATGAAATCCATGGACATCGGCGAAAAGTCGAGCTTCCGTATCCGCTCTGCGGGTTGATGTATGAGCAGGGGCATGAAGATCAGCTCATGGTCATTTCGGGCACGCCAGCCCAACGGTACATGGCAGTGGGGAGATGCGTAGCTTCACGGCTCTTTGGCGCTGCGCATGTGGGAGTGATTCACTCCATCCGGGTTCAACGGCGATGTCAAGGCGGTGGGATCGAAAAGGGAAACCCGAACTTTCTTGCCGCTTCCTTGAAACTGCATCTTGCCACGGAGTCATGGACACAGGTGCATCTGACGGCGTACTGTGAAAGTGTTTCCTGTCCATCCTGTGCAGTCGTTAGCGTGCAGTTCGTCAAAAGCTGGGTCGATCAAACGCCGATCCAGCACTTCAACGCAGCAGGGCAAGTCAGAAGCTTACGCAGGTGTAGGATGTTGAGACTTTGACCGCTACGCTAGAAGACCAACTCCTTTCTAGGTACAGCAGTCTAACAGAGCATGTATACGGTGGCCTCTCTCACTCGTCCAGCAGGCATAGCGCAGTGGGCTGTCAGCCACAGTGTGACGAGGATCTAGCCATCCAACAAGTGATAACGAGCGTAGTAGCTAGCAGCTGTTAGTTTAAGACTCCTCATCAAGAAAAGAAACAGTGTACCTGCTATAAGAGTTTGTTGTATTGCCAGGTATGCGTCACCCAGCCTTTGTCGACGGTGGACATGGGTCCTTTGCATTCTGAACCTGCTGACTTCGATAAGTCGTTGAGGTGTGTAGTGCAGGAGATGAAGTTTGGAGATGAAGTCTGGGGTCCAGTCAGTAGCTTTATACCTTGGATTGCCCGATCAAGTGAAAGGCTGAAGAAAAGGTGCTAGTTAATCCAGGAATCGTATTAACCGGTCGTTCATCGTCTACCATTCTCTAGTCGTCTGTCCAGTCACTAAGACCCTCAGTGATGATGCATTCCTTGCATAGAGATGGGTTTGATTGTACCGCATAGTCAATATAGAACATTCAATGTACAGCTCCAATCACTCAGTTTTCGCTCAGAACCTTCTGCAGCACTGCACTCTCGCTCTCATACTGACGGATTTTGTTCTGTGACTTGTATACCTTATCCAACAGCCACTGAATGCGCCACCGCAGCTCATACGGTTGCTTGGGCAGGCCGCCCAGCAGACGCAGCTCCTCCTCATGTTTTCCAATGCTCTTGTTTTCTTTGGCAATCAGCTGAGACAAGATCTCCAGGTCCAAACGACTGCTGAGCGTCTTGTTCTCTGTCAGGCGTTTGAATACCGTGCGGTAGACCGGTTTCCCGGGCTTGACAGCCTCAGGGCATCCGTTGGTGGAGACGATGGAAATCAGTTCGGCTTGTTCCAGTGCGCGGAGGGTGGCCTCGCCATTCTCCTTGAACAGATCCGAGAGAAGGACCTGGTTGTAAGGTATCGAGCCGTGCTTTGCCTTTGCCAGGGTCTTGATCAGATGCCAGGCTTGTTCGTGCGTCCATGCAGTAGATGAAGCGCCTCCGTCGAGGATGAACATTTTCAGGATTTCCGATGCGGACTGCTCGATTATCCGGTTTACCGCCGCTGAAATTCATTAGTATTTGCTTTTAACGATGCTTCTTCAACATCACTCACCTTCTGGTGTTTCGCCAGCTTCGATACGATGGGCCATGAATTCAAGATCAGTCACACGACCGCCGAGAATCTCGATACAACTGTCCAGACCAGCCAGATCTCCTCTCTTTTCCGCCTGTTGATCTTCACCCTTCGACTCGCCAGCGAGATGGCTGAGGACAAACCGTCGAGCCACATCCAAGGAACAGTCGCCCAGAGAGATTGTCCGGAAGACCGCGTTGGGCAAGGCTTTGCTGAGCGGTTTGGCGAAAGAAACATCGGTCGTCAGGAAAATCACATGAGCGATATTTCCGGTCGTCAGACCCGCTGCCCACTCGGTGATCTTCTCGTAAACCACATTATCCTCGGACGCATTGTGCAGGAAGTTGTCGATGATGACCACCGGTCGTTGCTCGGGGTGGGCCTCCAGATACTCCTCGTCAGTCAAACTCGCATCTTTATCACTCTTCCTCCGGTTCTCCAACGTGATCTGCTTCAGAGCCGTCGCGGTGTTCTGCCAGATATTGCTCAGCTGCGCATCCAGCGTCTCCGAGAACCCAGCCTTGGTGCCAATCATGCCCTGTGCGGCCAGATCGACGAAACTGCTGATGCTGTTCATCCACGAAAATACCGGACGATAGCCGACCTGACTGGCGGCGCGGGCGATCTTGGCCGTATCGCCCCGCGCATCCTGGATCTGCTTGCAGTCGATGACGACCTTGTATTTGTACGGCGCGAGCGCCTGATTCATCACGAGCTCTCGCTTCCCCGAGCCACGAGGACCCTGAATAACAATAAATGTCTCCGCATTCTCTGTCAGCCACGACTGCAACTGGGAGATATCACCCTGACGATCCTCCCAGATGGCCGTCAGTCCGCGCGGGTCCGGAGCGCGGTGCCCAAACCCGATGATGTTCGCCTTGTCGAACTGTCTCCGGATCCACTTCAGCGCCGTGTTCTCCTCCGCCTGGAGGGTGGCCTTGATCTTGAGCTTGATGAAGAAGGTGCGGATGGGATCGAAGACCGTGACCGTGATGGCGGCGATGAGCGCCGCAATGGCGGGGATCACAATCCGCGGATGGTTCAAGATCCAGTCCTTGATCATCGAGAGCTTGATCTTTCGCTCATACTTGATCTTCACCCGGGTGCCAAACTTGCCGCCGCCCTGGCTCTCCGAGCACGTGAACCCGTGCATGCAGTTCTTCGCCATGACGGCATACCGCGGGCGCGTGAACTCCACAAAGGCATAGTGCGGGCTGACCTTGGAGTCGGCTGGTTGTTTTTCAATATCTCGGAGCTTGCCATAGCTGCGGAATAGGGAGTACAGCGTCTCGGTCGTTAGAATGTCCGCCGCGCCATCCGCGGAGGCCGGATGGAACTCCACCTTCAGTCGTTGGCTTGGGATGCGATACAAGTCTTCGATCCAGGGCCTTCCCAGGACGCGAGCGACGGAAACCTCCTGAAACGGGTTGAACCACGGCCGAATGGGATGCGCCGCCAGATTCTCGCGTATGGCGGCTTCCACGTCGGAGTCGGAGACCCCGGTCTGGCGGGCGTATCGGACAAAGGCACCGCCTTCGCGGAAACGGGGGACGACTTCCTGTATTTTTAGATCAAGGGCTTTTGGGAAGATGCGGTTGATGATCCGCAGAGGGTCGGAGGCGGCGAGATGCGGCCGGTCGATGCGCTTGAGCGCTTCTTCGTAGGACCGATTACCTTGTAGGGGGCCTTGCAGGATCCACTGCAGTTTAGATGGAAAGATGTCTGGCACGTTAGATGCGCATAATGGATGGTCCTGGTGTGCGTATACTCACTATTGACGAAAAGGAGTCCCTCGTCATGGCGCAATTCGATATGACCGGTCTCCAGACAGGAAGCATGTGATGCGGTGGTGAGTTGGGCTCTGTGGATTCGGGTCGTAGAGACTGCACGTAGGGCCGTCCAGCGGCCTGGAATCGCTGCCGGAAACAGCGCTCGCCGGATCATGTTTAGGACATGGTGTGATGGAAGTTGTAGAGGATGTTGTGAGAAAGTGACTTATGGAATGCGGAGGTAATGACGTAGCTGAGTGTACCGCTGTGACGGATTAATGACAGCATACCATAACGTGGTGTATAGAATACTGTAATGGTCTGTATGCGGGAAATTTACACCTCCGCCCGTTTTGTCCGTCGCATCTCAACTTCATCTTCAACTTCATCCATAAGGTCCATCCTCCATTTATTCCCCGCAGACATCACCATGGGCTGGTGGTCGCGCTCCTCAGCAACGGGCGACGCCCCCGCGCAACCCTCACAACCCACGCAACAACCCCCAACGCCCTCCCCAGATCCCACACCCCAACCTCCGCGGACGCTATCCCGCGAAGAACAAGCAGACCTCGAATTCAAACAGCTTCTCGCCAGTCTCGAAGGCGACATCAACCGCGGCAATCCATCCACATCCAAAACTACCCCTCCCACCGATTCTTCCACACCGCAATCCCAATCCCAGTCCCAATCCGCACCGCAACCACACTCCATCGCCCCCGACTCCCTCTACCCGGACACCATGTCCTGCCGCTCGGCGTTCGACTACGCCTTCTTCTGCCAGTCGTTCGGCGGGCAGTTCGTGAACGTGTACCGGTACGGCGAGCTGCGGTCGTGCAGCGAGCACTGGGACAATTTCTGGCTGTGCATGAAGACGCGCACGTGGTCGGAGGAATCGAAGAAGAAGGCGATCCGTGACCACAACCGCAAGAAGGCGATCAAGTACAAGACCGGGCCGAGTAGTGAGGATGTGTGGGACTTGCGCATGCAGCCGGTGCAGAATGCATTCCAGGGGGATTTTGCTGCGCTCGAGAGGGAGATGCAGGAGGAGGAGGCTAGGGGTGTATGATAGGGGTTGTTGGGGTAGATACCATGTACTATATTTTAGACTAACGAATCTTTCAGAGCTTTTCTTTGTGGCCGGGTATGTATAATGCAGAGCTAAGCGTGGATCGTCTGATCTAGACCGCAGAGACATGTCCACCTTGGTCAAGTTCTCAATGTCCATTGTCCCGATATAAAGGAACTCTCCTTCGCATCTATATAGACAAAAGGATAACTCTCTCTATCCCGGAACTTCCCTCTCTTTATCTCGACAATGCCCTTTGTCCAGGACCTCCAGCAAGACTGCACAGCATATAAAAGCAGCCAGAATGCACTCACAGCGATCTATATTCTACATTCACCCGGAGTCCTTTCCTCTACAACAAATCTACCTTACAAACCTACAAACAGCACACAGGTACCTATCTATACACACTCAATAAGACCATAATGAACTGCCTCTCCACTCTCCTCTTCTACATCTTCCCCCGTCAATCCCCTCCTACCACCCATCCATACAAACCCTTTCCCGAAGACAATTCACCCGAAAAAGCCGACCCCCCAATCGCCCTCCTCTCCCTGCCTCATCCCCGTCCCAAAAAGCACAAACGCGTGCACTTCGGCCCCACGGCAGACATCCCGCCCCGCCGCCTCTCCTCCTCGTCGACTTCCTCCCTCGACACCAACGACACCAACATCATCCTCCCGCACCGCCGCAACATCCGCCGGCGCTCCATTATGAAGCCGCCCACGGCCCTGGACCAGGAGATGGTGTTCCGGAATACGTGTCGGATGGTGGCGGTTGCGGAGCAGCGGCTGGAGATGAGCTACCACCACATAATGCGCGGCGGCGGGGATCTCGAAGCTGTGCTTGTGGAGGAGGAGTGTATGCTCTTTGATGATGCAAGGGGATCGGCGGCGTTACAGGGCGCTATGCCGCGAGTGCAGACGTTACGGCGGGTAGGTGGACAGCGGCGGAGGTTGAGGAAGAAGTGGGTTCATCGGAAGATGTGATTGTTTTTTGGTAGAGGTTTGCTGCTGCATGGGAGAGAGATGTCATATACCTACGGAGTACGCTATGAAAGGCAAATACTGCAAGTCTAACGGATGAATTGGAATATGTACACGCAATGGCAAACGCTCCGACACCGTGCATCAGAAACATCGCTGGAACAATAAAATCACCAAAAAGACAGGCTGCAGATCGACATCGACAGGAAAAACAATAGCGGAAAAGATAACACCCCCCACAAATTTTGGTCGACCATAATCGTGATAGATACAATCACTCCTTAGCCCCGATCCAACCAACTTTTGTATTCATCAACGTAAGAACTCATGCCGTCGTAAGACACCGCTGGAGCCAGTCCAGCTTAGGCAGAGACGGTCTGCGCAGTCTGCGGCACCGCATCAATAGCTGGCCGCCGCACAATACCACCGGTCACCGGCAGCCCAGAGCTGGTACCCATCAAGAACGAGTCGACTTCGCGCGCACATTGACGACCCTCGTTGATACCCCACACGATCAGCGACTGGCCGCGGCGGCAGTCACCGGCCGCAAACACGCCCGGAACGTTGGACGAGTAGTGGCCCGGGGGCGTCTTGACGTTCTTGCGGGCATCCCGCTCAATTTCCTCGCCCAGAAGGCGGTCCTCCGGGCCAAGGAAGCCCATGGACAGGAGAACCAGGTCGGCCGGGAAGAACTGCTCGCTACCCTCAACGGTCTTCATGTCCCAGCCGCCCGAAGCGCTCTTGGTCCACTCAACCCGAACAGTGTTGATGCCCTTCACGCGGCCATTGCCGTCGTCGACAAACTCCTTAGACATAACACAGTACTCGCGAGGATCCCTGCCCATGTGCGTCTTGACCTCAGAGTGACCGTAGTCGACACGGTAGATACGGGGCCACTGCGGCCACGGGTTGTCACGAGCACGCTCTGGGGGGAGGCTGAGGCAGAAGCTCGAAGTTGACCACAGACTTAGCTCCATGACGCACAGAGGTACCAATGCAGTCGTTACCGGTGTCACCACCACCAATAACCACCACATGCTTGTCCTTGGCCGAGATGTAGGCGTTGTCCGCAAGTTCCGAGTCCAGCAGGGACTTGGTGTTGCGATGCAAGAACTCCATGGCGAAATGCACTCCCTCAAGCTCACGGCCAGGCACCTTGAGGTCACGGGCCACAGTAGCACCAGTAGCAATGATGACAGCGTCGTTGGATTGGCGCAGAGATTGCAGCGAGACCTCACTGTCAGGTCCAACGGCGGTGTTGGTGACGAACTTGATGCCTTCCGCAGCCATCAAGTCCACACGGCGCTGCACCACCTTCTTGTCGAGCTTCATGTTGGGAATACCATACATGAGTAGACCACCAATACGATCAGCACGCTCGTAAACGGTGACAGAGTGACCGGCGCGGTTGAGCTGGTCAGCCGCAGCAAGACCCGCGGGGCCGGATCCGATGATAGCAACGGTCTTGCCTGTGCGAGTCTGGGGCGGGCGAGGAACCATCCAGCCCATTTCGAAACCACGGTCGATGATGGCACACTCGATAGACTTGATACCCACAGGGTCTTCGTTGATACCAAGGACGCAGGCACCTTCGCAAGGAGCGGGGCAGACACGACCAGTGAACTCGGGGAAGTTGTTGGTCATGAGCAGACGGTTGAGGGCATCCTGCCATTGATTTTGGAATACCAATTCGTTCCATTTAGGGATGATGTTGGAGATCGGGCATCCAGTGTCCGACTGGCAGAAAGGCACACCGCAGTCCATGCAACGAGCCGACTGGTACTTCAGCTCGTCTTCCGTGAGACGGCTGTTCAGCTCGGCCCAGTCGCGGGTACGGGTGGCAGGGTTGCGGTACTTCTCACTGCGGCGGCTGTACTTCATGAAACCTCTGGTCTTGTCGAGGATCAGGGCAGAGCGCTTCTTCTCCGTCTTGGAGTCGCTGATGCTGTCCTCGATATCCAGCATCTCGGCCTTCTTATCACCATCGGCCTTGGGCTTCTCAGCCTTGGCCGGAGTGCTGGGGAGCTGAGGGAGAGAGAACTCGGCCTTCTTGGCAGCCTCGGCCTTGCGAGCGTCCTCCTCCAGGATGCGCTTGTAGTCGGTAGGCAGAACCTTGACGAAGTGGGGAAGGGCGCGAGTGAAGTCAAGGAGGATACGCGCAGCCAGCTCCGATCCGGTGTAGTGGTGGTGGTCCTCAATCAGACCGCGGACGAAAGCAATCTCAGCGGGATCCTCAAGTCCACTAACTTCCACCATCTCCATGTTGACCTTGGAGTGGAAGTCTTGGTTCATATCCAGGATGTAGGCGATACCACCAGACATACCGGCAGCAAAGTTACGGCCAGTGGAGCCGAGAACCAGGACACGACCGCCAGTCATGTACTCACAACCATGGTCACCAACACCTTCCACCACGGCCGTGGCACCAGAGTTACGGACAGCGAAACGCTCAGCAGCCACACCGCGGAAGTAACAAGTACCACGAGTAGCACCGTAAAGACAGGTGTTACCGACGATGACGTTCTCTTCAGCCTTGAAAGCAGCGCCACGAGGGGGATAGACGATGAGACGACCTCCAGACAGACCCTTACCGACATAGTCATTGGCGTCACCTTCCAGCTCCAGGGTGATACCAGGGGCCAGATAAGCACCGAAGGACTGACCGGCGGATCCCTTAATGTTGGCGTGGATGGTGTCCTGAGGCAGGCCTTCGCCACCATAGCGACGGCTGACCTGGTAAGACAGAGTAGCACCCAGGCCACGGTCGGTGTTTACGATGTCACACTCGATTCTGCAGGGAAGACCCTTCTCCAAAGCAAGCTCAGATTCAGCAATGAGCTTGTTGTCAAGACGAGTGTGGAGACGGTGGTCCTGTTTGCGGACATTGTAGGTGGCCACACCCGGGCGAAGAGAGTGAGCCGGGGTGAGAATAAGAGAGAGGTCAATCTTCTCCTGCTTAGGGGTGCGGGCGTCGTCCCGGACCTTGAGAAGCTCGGCACGACCAACCATCTCGTTGATGGTGCGGATACCCAGCTTGGCCATGATAGCACGCAGCTCATTGGCGACATAGTAGAAGAAGTTGATGACGTGCTCGGGGGTACCCTGGAACTTCTTGCGGAGTTCAGGGTCCTGAGTGGCAATACCGACAGGGCAAGTGTTGAGATGGCATTTCCTATGTCTCGTTAGTGATATGTTTTCGTCAATTTCAAAGATCAAACATACCGCATCATAATACATCCCATAGCAATCAAAGGCGTAGTAGCGAAGCCAAACTCTTCAGCACCAAGCAGACAAGCAACAGCAATATCGCGGCCAGTACGAATCTGACCATCCGTCTGCACAATGACACGGCCACGGAGGTCGTTGAGGACAAGGGTCTGATGGGTTTCCGCAAGACCCAACTCCCAGGGAAGACCAGCGTACTTGATACCAGTCCAACGTGAAGCACCGGTACCACCATCGTGACCCGAGATCAGGATGTGGTCAGCCTTGGCCTTGGCGACACCAGAGGCGACAATACCCACGCCGACCTCCGACACGAGCTTGACGGAGACGCGGGCACGGGGGTTGGAGCACTTGAGATCGTAAATGAGCTGCTTCAGATCTTCGATGGAGTAGATGTCGTGGTGAGGAGGGGGAGAGATCAGACCGACACCGGGGGTCGAGTAACGGGTATGGGCAATAGGGCCGACGACCTTGTGACCCGGCAGCTCACCACCCTCACCAGGCTTCGCACCCTGAGCCATCTTGATCTGCAGCTCATCGGCATCAGCCAGGTAGTGCGAGGTCACACCGAAACGGCCAGACGCGATCTGCTTGATGGCGGAGCGCATAGTGTCTCCGTTCTCCATGCGCTTGCTCCGCTCGGGATCCTCACCACCTTCGCCGGTGTTGGACTTACCACCCAGACGGTTCATGGCGATGGCTAGGGTGGAGTGAGATTCCATAGAGATGGATCCGTAGGACATGGCACCGGTGACGAAACGGCGCACGATCTCGGTCCAGGGCTCAACCTGGTCGATAGGAATGGGGGTGCGCTGCTCAAAGTCAAAGTCGAGCATACCACGGAGGGTGCAGTTCTTGATCTGCTCATGCTCGGCCTTGGCGTAAGCCTCGTAGGACTTGTCGTTCTTTGTGCGCACGGCATCCTGTATGTTGGCAATGCTGACCGGGTCGTTGACGTGAGCCTCGCCTCCGTCACGCCAGTGGTATTCGCCAGACTCGGGGAGACCGGGAATGTCAACGATACCACGAGAGGGGTATCCGCGTTCGTGGAAGGCGAAGGCATCCTGCGCGATCAGCTCGAAGGTCAGACCGCGGATACGGCTGGCCGTTCCGGCAAAGCACCGGTCGATGACAGCATCGTCGATACCAAGGGCCTCGAAGATCTGGGCACCCTTGTAGGACTGCAGCGTCGAGATACCCATCTTACTCATGACCTTGAGAATACCACCGTCGCACGAGGCCTTGTAGTTCTCAATGACCTTCTCGTCGGGGAGCTGCTTCCGAATCAGCTTCTCCCGGTTCATCTTGAGGATGCACTCCATCGCGAGGTAGGGGTTGATAGCATCAGCACCATAACCAACCAGCACACACATATGGTGAACCTCACGAGCCTCAGCGGTCTCCACCACCAGGGCAGCGAGGGATCGCCACTTGTTGCGAACCAGATGGTGGTGAACCAGACCAGTGGCCAGCAGGGACGACACAGGGACGCGGTCAGCCGAGGTGGCACGGTCAGAAAGGACGATCACCTTGTCGCCATCTTGGATTGCCTCCGTGGTGGCATCGCAGATGGCATCGAGGGCCTCCAGATAGCCTGGGATACCCTTCTGCTTCTCAAAGGTAATGTCAATCGTCTTGACGGTCCAATCCTTGTGCACCTTGTTGACATTCTTCAGGGCATTGAACTCCGGAATGCTCAGGATGGGAGAGGGCAGAAGCAAACGGTGGCACTGGGAGGGCTCCATCTCCAGAAGGTTACCCTGAGGGCCAACATAGCACTCCAGGGACATGACCACGGCCTCACGAATGGGGTCAATCGGAGGGTTCGTGACCTGGGCAAACAGCTGGCGGAAATATTCGTAGAGGAGACGAGGTTGCTCGGCAATACACGCCAGAGGGGCATCGTTACCCATCGATCCGAGGGCTTCCTTGGAATCGGCGGCCATGGGACCGAGAAGCAGACTGACTTGTTCGAAAGAGTATCCGAAAGCCTTCAGGCGGGGGTCATTCTGGACAGTGGTCTCATCGAGCGCGTAGCTGAGGTCCACGTTCTCTTCCAAGAGCTTCTTATTGATGGCGGGAAGCTTCAGCAGCTCCTTCTCCAACCAACCCGCAAAGTCCTGGCGGTGGGCCACGGTCTGCTTCAGCTCCGTATCATCAATGATGCGCCCGGCCACAGTGTCGACCAGGAGCATCTTTCCGGGCTGGAGACGACCCTTCTGGATCACCCGCTCGGGGTCAATGGTCACCGCACCGACTTCGGACGCGCAAATGATGCGGTCGTCGTCGGTCACGTAGAAACGGCAGGGACGCAGACCGTTTCGGTCGAGGTTCGCACCGCAGTAGCGTCCGTCGGAGAAGGTGAAGAGGGCGGGACCATCCCACGGCTCCATCTGGCAAGCAGCCCACTCGTAAAAAGCGGCCTTGGCCGGGTCCATAGCCGGGTTATCCTGCCAGGCTTCGGGGATCATCAGCATGACGGCCTCGGGCAGCGAAAGGACTCCGTTGATCATCAGGAGTTCCAGGACGTTATCGAACGCTGCGGAGTCGGACCCGCCGTCCTCGACGATGGGGTACAGCGAGTCCAGCTCATCCCCGAAGATTTCCGACTTGAGCACACCTTCGCGGGCGCGCATCCAGTTCTTGTTTCCGCGCAGGGTGTTAATTTCACCGTTGTGAGCAGCCCACCGCAGCGGCTGAGCACGGTCCCAAGAGGGAAAGGTGTTGGTAGAGAAACGCGAGTGAACCAGAGCAAAGTGACCCTCGTAGTCCACATTCACCAAGTCGTGGTAGTACTCGTAGACCTGGACGGGGGCCAATTGACCCTTGTAGACAATGTTGCGGTTGCTCAGAGAGCACAGGTAGAACCAGTTGGCGAGACCGATGACATGGGTGGCCCGCTTGCGGAGAACATACAGCTGACGCTCGAACGTCCGCTCATCGAATTGCTCAGGGTCAGTGATTTCGGGCTTGTTCCCCTCGCCGTACGCCGACTTGAGGACGACGAACGGTTGCATGATGATGGGTTCCCGCGAGAGGGCGGCGGGACCGAGGATGGTCGAGTCGCGAGGGACCTCACGCCAACCCAGGACGCGCAGGCCGAGGGAGGTGGCGATCTCCTCGAACGTAGCGGTGGATTCCTTGAGCGACTCCTGGTCGGGCTTGAAGAACAAGTTTCCGACGGCATACTGACCCAAGGGCGGGAGGTCGACGCCGACTTCGCGAGCAAAGTTCTTGATGAAGAACTTGTGAGGGATGGAGGTCATGACACCGGCACCATCACCGTCTCGCGCGTCGGAGCCGACGGCACCACGATGGGTCATGTTGCAGAGCAGATTGCGAGCATCGGAGACGATCTTGTGGCTGGGCTTGCCCTTGATATGACTGAGCGAGAGTTAGTTGGCTTCAATCGCGAAAGGACAAGCGGAACGTACGCAGCAAAGCCTACACCACAGGCATCCTTTTCATATTCAGGGTCGTAGAGACCCTGCCGCTCGGGCAGGGTGTTGGCCCAGCCATAGCCCTGCTTGGGCTGGTACTCCGAATACTCGTTCGGTTTCTGCTCTTCCACTATAGATTGGCCATAGATTTCCTCCAAGTTCAGACCCATTCTTCCGCCACGGACGGACAGAGAACGGATAGGAAGATTTGGGGGGTGAGGCGGAGGGGTTTGTAGGGAGGATGAGGATCGCCGCGGAGAGCTTCGGGGCGGGGCGGTGATTCGCTAGGGAGAGAGGAGTATGCAGAGACAATCCGGGTCAACAACGCGGGTAAGGAGAGATGGAGAGAGATGACCCAGCGTGTGTCTCGAGAAGATGGAAGTGGGAGAGAGGAAGAGAAGAGAAGAAGAAGAAGAGGGAGGGGAGAAAAAAAAAGTTGGAGGGGGGAGGAAGAAGGAGGGGGAAATAGTAGCAGAAAAGGGTAGTAGGTAGAGCGGGACGACGGGAGGCAGAGGTCCGGGGCAATTCATTCACTTTCCACTCGCCAGCTCCGATGTACGGTAATGGTGATACACTAGGCTAAAAGAAAATCATCCAGTGCTGGGTAAGTGCTAGGTAAGCATGCTGGAGGAATAAATCGAGGGAGGACCAGATGGATTGTGGGGATCGACGAAACGGGACTACGGTCGTGGCAAATTATTGCATTGCTTGGGAGCGCCTTATGCGAAGGGGATAAATTATATTACCGAGGATTGAGGATTCTCGCGGATTTTCGCCTACATTAGGGGCCTACCTACTGAAGGCAGTGACTGAGGGAGCCTGCGGTTCCGTTTTGGGCAGCCAGAGAGCGTTTTCGGGATCCGTGGTTGAGTGGAATGGACTGCTCAGGGAACACGACACATTAAGGTGGTCTTTCTCCGTAGGAGGTAAGAATACGAAAGGACTTTCATTTCTATAAAATCGTAGAATGCAGAATAACTACTAGGTGGTCCTAGGTATTTAGGTATTATTGCTCCCCAGGAGAGAATTGAGAGACGGCCTCCCGGAGAGGAGAGAATCATCACGACGAGGACGAACAAGGTAAGCAGATAAGCCGGGAGTGGGCCAATGAGGAGGCAGGTTTTACAAGAAGATTAGCTTTCCACTACGTCAAGATCCAACCCGGTGGGGCTGGCTTAATTCTTTTTTTAAAAAAGAAATAACGGTATTTTGGTAATTTCCCGTTCTCGTTGCTCCACTCTAGTAGTCTGCCAGGTGCGAACTGTCGGTCTCTGTCGTTAGACTAGACACTAACAAGTAGTAATCGGCTGGATTCGCTTGGTCGGAGGTTGTCCCCAGGGACCACTCGTTGCCACTGATTTTCTCGATCACAAGGAAATCACCGCCGAATTGTTTTTACTCCGTCCATCTTCCACTAGTCCCTACGGAGTACATGCAGACCTCGGATAATAATCCTGGAGTGAAAAGAATATCACCTCCGTATGGAGTACTACCTACGTATAATTCTGTAGGTATAGCCTACCTAGGTAGTCTTACATTGTATTCTTCCTACAGAAACATCATCAAAAGTACCGATTTAGTCCCAACTGCCTGGGAGTGGGGCAGTGCAAGGATGCAGTGCTTATCCCCGACTCGGCTCCAACCAGGTGGTCGCCCGATGCTGAAGGCGCATACTCTCTCCACGCACGACCCAACTCGAAGTGGCCTCTGACCTGGAGGGTGAAAGGAAACTCACAACACGACCGCAGAATCGACTCTCCTCGATGGTCTTGGCAGGGACTGCGATGTGACTTGAATCAGTAAGGAGGACGGTCCGCCAAGGTTGATCCATACGTTCTCGCATTTCCTGCACTATCTACATACGGAGTATGTGCAGGAATTCGTCCTTACCGAGGACCCTCTGGCTGCCCACTCTCCAATTCACCCCCGAGATCGCTCTTCAGACAGGAATATACTCCGTCCTGGGTAGACGCTAGTGTGCACCCCGGCTGCACGCGAAGACGGTAGGCCACGCCACTCGATGCAGCAGCCAGTCAAGTGCGGATGGAAGGATGATGGATGTACAAGAGGTCACACTGGAACGAGCCTAACTGCATACCCCACGCTGTACGCTGTCGGACGATCACTAGTAGGGCACGTAGTTATTTATTTACGGTCGGGTGTCTTTAAGGCACTGTATGGGCCGTACCACAGACACAGATGGCTGTAATATTGGCATGCTCGGCTGGGTAAATTACTGGCACGGAGCAAACCACCCTCGTCCTCCATCCTCCATCGTCCGACTGTCCGCCCAGAAGCAGACAGCCAACCAGTTCCGACCTCCTTCCGACAACGGCCAAGTCTGCCGCGTCTCCCCCTGTCTTCCTCCCCTCCATCGTATTTCTTCCCTCCAGTCAATTGCTGACCCCTCCCCGGAGGACACGTTTCGTCCCCGATTTCGGGGCGGCCGAGCCGCATGAGTTTTGTCGGCTCATTTTTTGAGGTCATCTATCTCCGGGAGTACGGAGTACGTTTCCTTGTCCTTTTGTTCTTTTGCCCTTATATTATTATCATTATAGATCCATCTACCTAGTACCTATACATGTAAATATATCTGGATATCCCCATACTCCAGACTACTCCGCTCTATCCATATCATATGTACTCCGTACTCCATACCCATACCTTAGGTAGATACTCCGTAGTATCCTCATGGGCGGGCATCCACCCCCCGACCAATTAACCGTCTTGGCCCACGGACGGACCGGTGGTTCGCCGGAATCCAACATCCCGACCCTCTCCACCGATAAGAGCTTAATCGCATTAAGTGATGATAATAGGAATACATAAACCATTTGATTTCCAATCGCCCGCTCTCTATCGCTCTATCCTGTGTCGTCCCATACCTACTATGGAGTATACCAATTTACCAATTTCCGAGTAATCGGGATTGATTACTTTTTATTTTCTTCTTATTCTTTATGCAATTTTATTACAATCATTCCGTTCCTCCTAACATGGAGTCCCCCCGCCAAAGGACGAACTTACTACCCACGGAGTAAGTAGATCTACGGAGTAGATAGACTCGCAAACAACCTCCCTCTCGGCCGATGCATCTCCGAAGGATGCCCTCTTCCACCACGGATCGACGACAATAAAATAAATTACAGCCGACAAGTGAGTCACCGCTCCCGCCAGAACGTACGTCGTACGAGATCCTCCTCCCTGCAGCGATCCCGATGGCGGATGCAGCGTCACATGATCGAGCGGAGATGCCAACCCCGTCCGCGTCCGGATTCTCCCGATCCTCCTGTCCGCTTTGGGTTCACCGGACCATCCGCGGGCGCCTGCACCTCCTCGGGAACTCCCGGGATCTTTTCATCGTATTGACGATGGCTGTTGGAGAGGTTGGAGTCGCGCTGTCTTCCTTGTCGGCGAGGAGATCAGCTGGAGAGGGTCTGGCCGTCTGTGCCAATCACCAAGGATGATTTGTCTGTCGCCAGATCAGCTGTTTTGCTGGGATGGAGTGGGCTGGCGTCTACGTTGTTGACGTACGCTCTGGGTGGTTAGCTTACGGAGTACTTGGGCGGTATTCTGCACCTTGTCCAGTTGCCTAGGTAAGTGCCTGAACTGGCAGCATATTTATGCTGCCCAGTGGTAGACTGTTCCACAGACGTAGTCGACTGATCACTTGTATACTCAAGAGCATATCGGGTAAGTTAGAAGAATACCAGATATCTAGAATATAGATTCAAAAGAATATACTGAAGCAATTCAATCCCATCAAAATTTCCTTTAGACATTTCCATAGCATTGTACGCACAATGCTAAGTACTCTGTAGTAGAATGTTCTCCGCGTTCCGCGGAGCTTCCCAAACAGGAAACCAAGCTCACCTCAATGTTTTTCTCCGCCCTTCACCTCACAGCCCAACAGCAACCGACACACTCCAAAACTACCATACTCAACCTCTCGATTCCCTTTTAATTCCCCTCTACGCCACCTCATATATACAACCCCCGCGCACCCAGCAACCACCCCACAACAACAACAAACACCTCGAGTCCATGGACCACGCACCCCAGTAACAACTTCGCCCCAACCCCAACAATGCTCTCCCTCCCACTCATAACCCCCCGCGACGTACGTCCCCTCCCCTCCCCGTCCAACCCAACCCAACTAACCCACCCCCAGTCTCACGAGCTCTGGTTCGGCTCCTCCCACCCCTACCGCACCGCACAACAACCACCCGACACGCCCACCGCGACCTCACACCGCCGCTCCCACCAGCACAGCAACCATGCACGCCCCTCCCCAGCCGCAAGCAGCCTCTCCGCGCTTCTGCTCGAAGAGCGCGCCCTGCGCGTGCGCAAAACCAACATCGCCACGTTCGGCTACTCGTGGATCCGCCCCGCGGGCTGCGCAAAGACCATGCTCGGGATGAAGGAGGAAGAGGCCGAGCGGGCAGAGGCGATGGCCGCCGCCGCCGCGGAGGAGGCAGCTGCTGCGGCGGCCGCGGCGGCCGGCGGCGACACGGCGCTGGACGGGTTGGAGGAGACGGGGATGGAGCGCGATCTTGATGATGAGATTCCCGATGCGGACGCCGAGGGGCTGGTGGAGGAGGGCGAGGAGGGGCTCGAGGAGAGCGGCGAGGTCGATGAGGAGGGGTACATGGAGCGGGATTTGGACGAGGACATTCCCGAGGCGTTTCCGGATGAGTATGATGAGGAGGGTGAGGGGGAAGAAGAAGGGTTTGATGACCAGCGCGATCTGGATGACGATATTCCCAGCGCGGATGGCGGGTATGATGTCGACGACGAGGAGGATGACACCGGCATGGAGCGCGATCTGGACGACGACATCCCCGAGGCGGCGGAGGACCGCTCTGAGCAGGAGGACGAGTGGCAGCATACCGATACGGATGTGGAGTTTGACGACGAAGACGACGAGGTCAGTTTCTCGCGCGATGCCTTTGCGCAGAGCCTGCGCGCCAGCACCGCCAGCAGTCGCGGCTTGCCGCCGCCGCCGTCGATTCGTCGCGAGCGAGAGACCGAGGCGCAGCGGCGATTTCTTCAGCGCTGGAGCGGTGGCGGCGATGCGTTCGACTCGAGCAGCATGCTGGTTGATGAGGACGATCTGCGTGCGTCGATGACGAGCCAGGGCAGTCGACGGAGTGTGTTTGGGCGGTTTGCGCGTCGACGGACGGGGGGTCCAAGGGATAGCTTTGGCTAGGCTTCTGTCTTGCTGTTTTGTGCTGGGTTATGACTTGCATGTATTACTACAGATGGTGGCGTTGGTGTGGATTTGGGAGCATGGGTAAGGCGTATTATGTATAGTATTAGTTGCAGGTCGAGGTTATTAGACAGACAAGTGTATGCATATGCATCGTCATTCTATCTAATCAGCATTATTATATACAGTACATTGTACAGTCGCCCACGACAAGATGAAGTAACGAGGCATCCGAACGCGAGTAAAGCCTCGCACACGAACCCCAAATCCAACGCCAAACACCCGTCAACATGCCAGCGCATCTTCAATATCAATCTTATGCCACGCGAAGCTAGCTCACCCAAACATAAAAGAACAGCATAAACACCGCCGCAAAGAAAAGCAACCAAACCCGCCAGCCGACGCCTGTCCGCTCCGCCATCCGCAGCATGCGGTTCATATTCCCCCGTATCCGCATCCGCGTATTATCAAACGTATCATTCAGGTCGTGGATGTGCGACGTATCGCGGATTTCCTCGCCGATCGCAAGGGTAATCTGTCCGTCGCGTCAGCCTACCCCAAACAAAAGCCCAGAAACGACAGCTGCAGCACAGCCAAGCACAATGCGGACAACTCACATCCTTCAGCATCTTCACCTTGGCCGTGATCCCCTCCACCTCGGCGTCATTCTGCGACTCGAGATGCGAAAGCACCGCGTCCGAGTAGTGGCCCCTATCATCCACCCACTTGTTAGCCATTGCAACCATCAGATTCCGTAGGGAGAAGGCAGGGGGCGTACTTTGCATTCGGCGTCGCAGCCCGATACCCGCCTCCGGGCGTCGACGACCCCCCGCTCATGTATCCATCGCCTGGATACGCGCCGTAGCTGTAGCCGGGCCCGGGGCCGGGGCCGCGACCGGGGGATTTGCTGGCGGGGCGCGAGTCGCCGCCGTAGGAGTCGAAAAGGGAGGAGGAGGCGCGGGGATCGCGCTGGTGCAGGGTGGACCGGGGGAAGCTGGGCTGTTAGATGTTGCTTGGATGGGGGGGTGGATGATGTGCGTACCGTGAGGCCATCCGGTCGGAACTGATTTAGAAGGATGGAAGAAGAAGAAGGTGCAGGTGTTGGTAGTATTAGTTGAGACGCATTGCGAGCGTAGGATCGGATTGATCTGAGTGAGTATTTGCGGTGTTGGGTGAGGTGAGGTTGTGCCGGCTGCGGAATCCCCAGACAAATGAAATGCGCCGGTGGTTGAGCGACACGGTGGCGGGTGCTCACGTGAATCCTACCTAGGCGCTTATTATGGATGGTTTGGGGTTTGAGAGTGATATTTAAATCGGATATTGGTGGGATTGGAAGAATTAGATTTACGTTTTGTTTGTAGTAGATTTGGGTGATCTGTTCTTGGTTGCGGTGCTGGAATATATCTTGAGCTCCTGGGGCCCAGTACTCGGACAGTATACCCCTTGTATGGCTTTATATAACGCTCAATATATGAACCCCAGTTCTTCCAATTGATAGACTTGTCTTGTTCTGCAGTAGGATAGCTTTTTAGATCTTCATGCCGCTGCACTCTACGACAGCATCACCAGATACAACATACAACATACAGCATACAACAACAAATCTACAGACACCGATGCCACAAGGTCAGGTACCGTAGTAACCAGTCCAGTCATAATGTATTCATAATACCGCAGAACGGCCGATCAAAGAAAACAAACCCATCCCTGCGCCAGTCTCTTCCCAATCGCGCATCCGTCCCAATGGCCCGCCTGCCCGCCTGTATAATCATAAACCATATCGACTTTTATACCGCGCTTAGTCGCGCATGTTATCATCATCGTCGTTGGGCTGGAACTCCTCGTCGTCATCTTCATCGTCGTCGTCGCCCTGGATCTTCTCGGCAGCCTCCTGGAAGTCGATGGTCTTGCCGCGAGTGCGTCGGCCGCCGGAGATGATGTTGTCGGCGGAGATGGGCTCGAGGTTGTCGCCGCCGTCCTCGTCGTCGTCTGTTGTTGTTAGGTTGGAGTTATGGATTGTTTAGGAGCAGAGCATACCCTCGGCCATCTGGAATCGTACGTTAGCTATGGAGTCATTGGGGAGGGACAGTCGGGGGTTATGTTTATGTATTTACCTCTTCATTCTCACTCTCTTCGCTCTCCTCGTCTTCATCCATGCTCATCTCGAGCGAGGGATCCTCGGTGGCCTTGCCCTTGCCCTTGTCGAAGGCGGCGGCGTCGGGGGCGTTGGCGGCGGCATCAGAGCCGAGAGTCGCGCGGTTGTTGTCGCCCATTGTGGATGAGGAGGGTAGGAAGTGGGGGTAGAGTAGATTAGTAGGAAAGAGGGAAGTAAGATGTAGATGCGAAAGGTAAATGCGAGATCTGGGGAAGGATTTAAGCAATACGGAGGAGGTGAGCTGCTTCACGAGCACCAAACTCGTCGCAAGGGATGATTGGCGGAGCAGGGGCTGCTCCCGTGACTGTCTGAGCCCTGCATCATAACAAACATGCCACTGCTTTGGTTAGTTTCTATTCTATATTGTTTATTTGAGATGGTTCCTGTACGGAGTATAATGCTACTCGATTGACAAGATTAGCCTTGATATATTTACACAGACGGACTGGTGGTGGGAAGAGTGCCTGGCGCATTGAGCTGTTTGCCCAGGTGGGAATGGCGGTAGGGCTCACTGCAGACTCGTGGTTGGTTCCTATAGCGACGGATAGATTAAGTACATACTGAGTAGGGTCTATGGAGTGCATGAGAACGATCTGGATGCTATTCCATCATTATTAAGGAATATTAGGCGGTATTATTCTCCAATGATCCTGACAATAACGACTGATATTATTCCCGAAGTCTGGCCACCATGACGACTTCATCCACTCAGGACCGATGATGTAGTTGATTCCTGCATGACTCTGATCCGACCAGGCCACTGGGTACACCCATGGAACCCTAGGGAATCACCGTCATGATGAAAGCGAAGAGTCTAGCATTCCCTGCCAATAGTGACCTGTCTGTAGAAGATACTACCTTGCCTACTATCCACCTTAATGCAAGTAATAGGGCACAAATCAGGCCAAATCAAGCAAAGAAAGAAGAAGAATAGTAAGAAAATAGATGAAAGAAATTCTCTATTACGTCATCGCCTCCCCCGCCGAATCTGCCAGACCCCACGACGAACAACATGATGAGCGCCCATCAGGCCATTGTACAGCATATCCAACAGAGTCAAGCGAGCAGAGCCCTCCAGAACAGGAGCGAACCCCCGTGAAGGCGATTGAACGCACCAGACCACCCCCGAACACGCACGAAACACCCACCAGACCCTCCGGAAGGCGATCGAAGCGGATGGACGGGGATGGAAGCTGAGGGCTGCTAGAAGCTTCGCTGGAGCACCACCTCACCGCCCCCCACTATATCAATCCAAGCTCTCGCTTCCCCTCTCTCCTTCCTTCCCACGAAAATTTTTCCCACATCAATTCACTCTACTCTTCTACTCTTCTCATCATCTCTGCTAGCTTTATCTTCCTTCCTCTCCGCTAGACAGACCTACCTCTTTCCTGTACTATATCCTTTCATCCTCCTACATCCTCCTACTCTATACCCCTCCCGTTACGAATTCTCTTCTTTCCTCCTTAACGATCTTTCACAATGGCTCCCGCTGTCGGTATTGATTTGGGTACTACCTACTCCTGTGTCGGTATCTTCCGTGATGACCGCATTGAAATCATCGCCAACGACCAGGGTAACCGCACCACTCCCTCCTTCGTGGCCTTCACCGACACCGAGCGTCTCATCGGTGATGCCGCCAAGAACCAGGTCGCCATGAACCCTCACAACACTGTCTTCGACGCCAAGCGTCTGATCGGTCGTCGTTTTGATGATGCCGAGGTGCAGGCTGATATGAAGCACTGGCCCTTCAAGGTCGAGAAGGACTCGGCCGGCAAGCCCGTCATCAAGGTGGAGTTCAAGGGTGAGGAGAAGACCTTCACTCCCGAGGAGATCTCCTCCATGGTCCTTACCAAGATGCGTGAGACCGCCGAGTCTTACCTCGGTGGCACCGTCAACAACGCTGTCATCACTGTCCCCGCCTACTTCAACGACTCCCAGCGTCAGGCTACCAAGGATGCCGGTCTCATCGCCGGTCTGAACGTCCTCCGTATCATCAACGAGCCTACTGCCGCCGCTATTGCCTACGGTCTCGACAAGAAGGGCGAGGGCGAGCGCAACGTCCTCATCTTCGATCTGGGTGGTGGTACCTTCGATGTCTCCCTCCTGACCATTGAGGAGGGTATCTTCGAGGTCAAGGCCACTGCTGGTGACACCCACCTGGGTGGTGAGGACTTTGACAACCGCCTCGTCAACCACTTCGTCAACGAGTTCAAGCGCAAGCACAAGAAGGACCTGACCACCAACGCTCGTGCTCTCCGTCGTCTCCGCACCGCTTGCGAGCGTGCCAAGCGCACCCTCTCTTCCGCTGCCCAGACCTCCATTGAGATCGACTCTCTCTTCGAGGGTATCGACTTCTACACCTCCATCACCCGTGCCCGTTTCGAGGAACTCTGCCAGGACCTCTTCCGTGGCACCATGGAGCCCGTTGAGCGTGTCCTCCGCGACGCCAAGATCGACAAGTCCTCCGTCCACGAGATCGTCCTGGTCGGTGGTTCCACTCGTATCCCCAAGATCCAGCGTCTCGTCTCCGACTTCTTCAACAAGGACCCCAACAAGTCCATCAACCCCGATGAGGCCGTCGCCTACGGTGCTGCCGTCCAGGCCGCCATTCTCTCCGGTGACACTTCCTCCAAGTCCACCAACGAGATCCTGCTGCTCGACGTTGCCCCTCTGTCCCTGGGTATCGAGACCGCTGGTGGTGTCATGACCGCCCTCATCAAGCGCAACACCACCATCCCCACCAAGAAGTCCGAGACCTTCTCCACCTACTCCGACAACCAGCCCGGTGTGCTGATCCAGGTGTACGAGGGTGAGCGTGCCCGCACCAAGGACAACAACCTGCTCGGCAAGTTCGAGCTCACTGGCATTCCCCCGGCGCCCCGTGGTGTGCCTCAGATCGAGGTCACCTTCGATGTTGATGCCAACGGTATCATGAACGTCTCCGCTGTCGAGAAGGGCACCGGTAAGACCAACAAGATCACCATCACCAACGACAAGGGCCGTCTCTCCAAGGAGGAGATCGAGCGCATGCTTGCCGAGGCCGAGAAGTTCAAGGCCGAGGATGAGGCCGAGGCTGCTCGTATCCAGGCCAAGAACGGTCTGGAGTCCTACGCCTACTCCCTCAAGAACACCATCAACGAGGGCAAGCTCACCATCAGCGACGATGACAAGAGCAAGGTCACCTCCAAGGTCGACGAGGTCATCAGCTGGCTCGACAACAACCAGACCGCCACCAAGGAGGAGTACGAGTCTCAGCAGAAGGAGCTTGAGGGGTATGTTCTTCCTCATTCTTAACCCGTCTTACCCTTCTTGAATACGACGCTAACTTTGACTACAGTGTTGCCAACCCCATCATCTCCGCCGCCTACGGCGCTGCTGGCGGTGCTCCCGGTGGTGCCGCCCCCGGTGGCTCCACCCGCACCGCTGACGAGGTCGAGGAGCGCCCCGAGGAGCTTGACTAAATGTCTTGAGTCCACCTTGTTCCTTTCTTTCTTCCGGCACCTTATGTGGTTCGCGTCGGCGACTAGCACTAATGGGTTTCGTTCTTCTTGTGTTCTGTTTTAATTTCATGTTTTTTAACGAAATGATGGGATCCTTTTCTTTGTTCATGGCTGCATAGATTCGAGATTTCGATGCATGATGATCTGCAACGCAGAGTTTGGGAGGGAAAAGTTCCTCACAATTCAATTTCTACTTAATTCGTTCTGTTTGTAAACACCGTAGTCTTTTGAAATGCTCATAAAGTGTCCTTGTAATTCAACTCCATACTCCATAGAATACACTGCACCATCCATCCTTATCTGGGGATGAAGTAGAGGTTATAATCCTGCAAAGTCCCCCGCCCACCACCGTTGCAACCGCCGCCCCCCAACCTGCACAATCTCGCCCATCCCAATCTCAGCGCTTCTCTCGGGAAATTTCTCGCGCTGCTCGCGACGGATCCGGAGGAAGGCGGCCGATAGCCCGATCGAGACCGCGAAGAGGGGGTCGCCGAGTCTGCAACAGTTAGTTCGGTCCTGGGGGTGGAGTTGGTGGGTGTAGATGGAGGGGCTGGATGGGTTGGACGAGAGGACGTACTTGGATATAAGGTACACGGCCATATCTGAGACTGCGAGGGTTGTTAACAGGGTGAGGAGAGACTGGTGGAGGAGTTGAATGAGAGCTTGGAGGTGTCGGGGTTGGACTGGTGATGTGTCACGTGATATAGAATTACTCAAGGTATTTGGGTGGGAGTTGAGTCTACATCGAAGGAAGAGTCTGTAGCGCAGTAGGTGTCATGATGCTGCCATGTATTCAATTGTACAATATTATTACATTTACAACGTTAACTTTTGAACGTAGATGGCTACACCCATTGTCTCGGGTGCCGCAGCACATCCATCAGTTCCCGCTCGGGCTTCTTCTCGTCGCCCAGCTCTTCCTCCTCGGCGGACGCTTCCGTCCGGGTACCCGACACGGGGTCCATGTAGGCCCAGCTAGCGGTGCGCGGCAGACTCATGAGGATACTCTCGACGCGGGCGTTCGGGGTGCGCAGACCGAAGCTAGTGCCGCGGTCGTAGACGAGGTTAAACTCGACGTAGCGGCCGCGGCGCAGCTGCTGCCACTCCTTCTGGGCGGGGGTGAAGGGCATGTCCTTGCGGCGCTCGATGATGGGCACGTAGGAGGGGAGGAAGGAGGCGAGGCCGTCGGAGACAAACGAAAAGAGGGTCTCTTGGGGGTTCTGCGAGGAGGTGGCGGAGGACTCGAGGAAGGAGGCGTCGAGGTCGTCGAAGAAGATGCCGCCGACGCCGCGGGCCTCGCGGCGGTGGGGCAGGTAGAAGTACTTGTCGCACCAGGCCTTGAACTTGGGGTAGTAGGTGGCGTCGTGGCGGTCGCAGGCGTCCTTGATGGTCTGGTGGAAGTGCTTGACGTCCTCGGGGAAGAGGTAGCAGGGGGTCAGGTCGGTGCCGCCGCCGAACCACCAGTTCTTGTCGCCGTGGATGGGGTCCTTGGGGTCGGAGGTCTCGAAGTAGCGGTAGTTGAGGTGGACGGTGGGGGCCATGGGGTTGTGCGGGTGCAGGACGAGGGAGAGGCCGGCGGCGAAGAAGCTGAGCGAGTCGACGTCGGCGCCAACGAAGGACTTGTGGTCAGCGCGCATCTTCTCGATCGCGGGGCGCGGCAGCTCGCCGTAGACGATGGAGACGTTGACGCCGGCCTTTTCGAAGACGTTGCCGTCCTGGAGCACGCACGAGATGCCGCCGCCGCCGTTGGGCCGCGTCCATGTGTCTGTCTGGAACTGCTTGCCGTCGATCCGGCTCAGCTCCTCCACGATCTTCTGCTGGTGGTCCTTGATCAGCTTCTCCATGCGGAGGCGCATCGGCGACGTCTCGCTGATGGTCGCCTGCTGCTTCAGCGTTTCATCGAGCTCCACGATCGACGGGGAGTCGAGTTCCGTTACTTCCTCGGTCATCTGTGCGGGCTTGTTTAGAATGTTGTTGGTATGGGAGAAGCTGGTCGCGTTACCATGGAGTAGATCAGGGCGCTGATGAATGGGATGCCAATTGCGAGCCGCAGGTAGGGTCGCCAGACGGTGAAGGGCTTGGGTTCAGGGGAGGCTTTCTCCGAGGCGAATCTGCGCAGCGGTGGTTGAATATGGCGCGGGGTGCGACACGTCCGTGAGAATTGGCCGAGGGACCTCCGAAGAGGCATCGTGGGCCGGGCGAACGCCATGGTTATAAAGAATTGGTGGGCTGATCAGTACACGATCAGACGGTGGGAGTTTCCGGCGTCGCTTGAGCGGAGACAGTCAGTACTCCGGCGGTAAGAAAGAAATTGAACTGGTGGGTGTCGTGGAGGCAAATCGTATGGGGCCACCCGCGGTGTCAGGACATCCGGATGAAGATAAATCGATATGGTCGATGCCTCGGACGGTTCGGTTTGCGCTGTTTGCTCGTGCTGATGTAAGCAGCACTGGATCCGGAGTTTGCTTGGTTTGCAAGTGCATTCACTGCCTACTTCACACCAGACTCATACTTACTCTGTACATCTCGACAGACGGACTGAATCATATTATCTACAATGAGTCAGAAGAGTCTGGCTTATTTGGTCTGAAAACCACCGCAAACTAGGCCTATCAAACCCGTTAGTAGATAGATCATAGACTAGGTGCGGATCCAAGTGGAGGCGAGGCTATCGTGCTTTGGATCTACAGACCAGGCAGAACGGCAGCGCATCAGCCGATATGTCCACTCCGTCATAAGAATCCAGTGACTAAGTCGAAGATAGCAAGAATGTCTTCAAGTGACTGACTACATACTGCTTATACAAGTGAACAAAGGCCACCTGATTGATGACTCACGTGCAAGCGCTCTCACCGCCTCCGTCCCCGTGATCCGCCCCGGTGGTGCCTTATCATGACGCGGGGCCCTTTTGTCATCATCATCTCTCCTCCTCTCCTCTCCTCTCCACCCCATCATCTCTCCTCAACAAACTACCCAGGTACTTATCCCTTTCATCCTTCAGTTCTTCTTGTATGAACTATCAGTCACTGATCACTCAACTCTGTATCTAATAGCTTATCACCGCCTACTTATTCATCCCTATCAGCCAGTCCACACCGCCCGAACCCCATCACCATGCGATCCAAGTTCAAGGACGAGCACCCCTTCGAGAAGCGCAAGGCTGAGGCCGAGCGGATCCGTCAGAAATACGCCGACCGCATCCCGGTACGTCTGAATAAATCTGAATGACCTTCTCTACGAGACGCTGGCCATATCGATAGAGCCCGAACGGCTCACCGCTTGTTCACCCCGCTAACCTTCTGTCTTCCATAGGTCATCTGCGAAAAGGTCGAAAAGTCAGATATTGCGACTATCGACAAGAAGAAATATCTCGTCCCTGCGGATCTCACAGTCGGCCAGTTCGTCTATGTCATCCGCAAGCGTATTAAGCTGTCTCCCGAGAAGGCGATCTTCATCTTCGTCGACGAAGTGCTACCGCCCACCGCTGCTCTGATGAGCAGCATCTACGAGGAGCACAAGGATGAAGATGGTTTCCTATACATTACGTATGTCTCTTCTATTATTTATCAGTGGATAAGAATCACTACTAACGACCCCAGGTACTCTGGCGAGAATACGTTCGGTGATTGTTAAGCCCTGGTCGGCCGTTCCTTCAGATTAATGTAACCGCCCTCGCCGTCAAGATGTCGTTTCTTTTGGATTCCGGTTGCGCATGGACCAGTCTCGATCGGTCCTGCGGAGGCAAAGGACGGGCTAGACCTTGCGGTGGAGGCACTCATGTGTGTAGGCGTTCATTCGGGTGTTTCAACTTTGCTTTTGACTGTAGTTTGAATGAATGGAACCAGTGATTTCCAGACTATCATTCGTTACCATACAGTAGTAGGTACCTGGGTACCTTAACCTACCCCAACCTATCGCTATCGTAGGGACGCTTATCGATGGAGCGCTTATGTCAGCTCGGCCTCCGATGTAGGGCCCCAATCGGGATTAGTGAACCCGGACTTTTGTCGTTGCCTTTTCGATCCTCCCATCCATCTCCTTTCCTTTTCGCTTCTCTTCTCGCCCGGTGTTTGTTCGTCTTGATCTTCTCGGTCCCTTGGGTTTGTCGGCGTGCGTCTTCTTGTCGGTGTATTCCCCGTCTCTCTCCAGTGACGATTGTTCCTTTCCGATTCCCGCTTGTCGGAGTCTCGTGAGAAAAAAATCTCCCGCAGAACCGTCCGTTGTGCGCAAACAGCAAACTACAAAAAACCACAATGTCTCCCGCTCTTGCTCCGGCCGGCGCTGGTGCCGCCTCGAAGGATGTGAAGAAGGAATCCGCCACTGCCCGTCTTTTGGGTTCTGGTATGTCTCAGGCCTCGGTTTCAGGGTCTCGCATCCGCTAAGATAAACTTCAGGTACCGCTGGAATTGCGGAGTTGATGGTCTTCCATCCTGTATGATCCCTCATCCTCGACTGACCCATCTTCGACCCTCGCTGACTCTATTTCAAGGTTGATACCACCGCGAAGCGACTGATGAGCAACCAATCTCGCGTATGACACACTGGTCCCATCCCATGCTTCTCACCGACTCACACTCAATTGCAGATCACCTCTGCCGAAGTCTTCAACCAGGTCGTCTTCAAGGAGTACGCCACTGCTTCCGTTGGCCGCAAGTTCACCTCGCTCTTCCCTGGTCTCGGATATGCCGCTGGTTACAAGGTGCGTGAAATGGATTCCTGGGGACTTGCGCGCGGGTGACTCACAATCCCTCTCCGTTAGGTCCTCCAACGTATCTACAAGTACGGTGGCCAGCCTTTTGTCCGTGATTACCTGGCTAAGCACCACGGTGCCGACTTTGACAATGCCTTCGGCAAGGGAACCGGCAAGGCCATCATGCACGCCACTGCTGGAAGGTTCGTCCACTGCCTCGGCTCCTCAGTCACCATCAGATTGGCTGACATTGAACAGTTTGATCGGTATTGGTGAAATCGTTCTCCTCCCCCTGGATGTCCTGAAGATCAAGCGTCAGACGAACCCCGAGGCTTTCCGTGGCCGTGGCCTCTTCAAGATTATTTCCGATGAGGGTATGGGACTTTACCGCGGCGCTGGCTGGACTGCTGCCCGTAATGCCCCTGGATCTTTCGCTGTATGTATCCCCCCGATTCCGTTTCATTCTATATGATCTAACAAACATAGCTCTTTGGTGGTTCCGCTTTTGCCAAGGAGTACATCTATGGCCTGAAGGACTACAACAAGGCCAGCTGGGGCCAGAACTTCGTTGCCTCCATCTGCGGTGCCAGTGCTTCTCTGATTGTTTCGGCTCCCCTGGACGTGATCAAGACCCGTATCCAGAACCGCAACTTCGAGAACCCCGAGTCGGGCTTCCGCATCGTCGCCAACATGCTCAAGAACGAGGGCCCGACCAGCTTCTTCAAGGGTCTCACGCCCAAGCTACTGATGACCGGACCCAAGCTTGTTTTCAGCTTCTGGCTGGCTCAGACGTTGATTCCTGCGTTCGGCCAGGTCGTATAAAAGAATGGAAATTCAAACGGCAACAACCAAAAGACGTCATTTATAATAGCAAGCTTTGTTTGGGGTTGCGTTCTGTTATTATTTCTGTTGGATTCCGGTGCCATGATAGAAGTTTCTGCTGGGCTGGGCCATTGTATTATTCATAGACGAGACTTTACGGGTTAGGATTAGGAAAGAAATGACTCCTCTTAATAATGCTGGCAGCGGTCCATGGACTAGCATACCAGAGGTATATGGTGTGCATAGTCGAGTCTATCAAACTTACCTAGTCCGCACACCGTTGGGCCAGTGTGCCGTAAGACGAGCATTCCGCAGCTACCGATCCAGTAGATACATGGACACATGGATCTAACCTGATGGCAACGCCTCGGTCTTAGTTGACATGACTGCCGACTACCAGCCGAAACCGCCACATTGTCATGCAGAAACTCCTTTGCATCCTGACGAAGCCACTGCCTCTGACAACAGGTGGAATTGTCCATGCCAAGAATGAAGTTGATCCGGATGATTCTCAGTTGTGACATCTATGGACCGGCTAATATAAGGATGAGACATCTAACCAGGGTCCTTCAGCCAAAGCTCGTATCACGGTGGAAGTGGCATTGTTATTGGTCTCTGCGAGTTCCGTGTCGACACAGGAATGTGTGGCGATCAAGGAGGTAATACGAGACGTGAAGCTTATAAACTCGAACCCCTTCCGCTGTTCTCAGCATCGAGTGCCACTGTCTCTTGTTCTATCCCTAAGTTCTATACCTCAGGTATATATATTCTATACTCTTGGGCTACATCTAATGTCATGCTGACTATAATATTAGTCTTATATACCTCAAAATGAAGACCTATACTACCCTGATCATGGTCCTGGCCTGTCTGTCCGCGACTGCGCTGGGCCAGCTCCGCTGCAAGACGGAGGCCGATTGCCCGGATGATGCGCCGGTTGTGAGTATCCCTCGTGCTTCGGGCACTGGTGCTTTGGCTGATAGATGAACGACTAGTGCTGTGGAATCTCGCCCAGCTACAAGTACTGTCTGCCTGAGGGGACTGTTTGCTGAGCGGGCTTGCGATGCGAGTTGTTCTGGGTTGTCTCTGCAGGCGTAGGTAGTGGTTGATGTATCCCAGGTGAGATTAGGAAGGATATTCGGCTGAATGATTGCTAGCCTTGTTGTATGTTTCTTCAGACTTTGAGTCTCGTGCCTTGGTCCAACCTGTACTCTGCATGGATCCTTCATGGATCCCTGGGCAGCATAGGTACCTTCATGTCACCTTCCTAGGCAACTCTGAGCTCTCTATATGATTCCTAAGTAAGAAGATCATAGCAAATACGACCATAGGGTGTGGAGAACAGGGCTTCCCGTCCGCTCAGCTATATAAAACCAGATGAATAGAAACACTAATATATTTATCTAAATATTTTCTACTATTTAGAATTTTCGACGAGCTAAGTTTTCTATTACTCTAATTTATACCTGGAAAATAAGCATTATCTTATAGAGTGTACAGTAGACTCATTACGGGGTCACGGGTGACTTTTAGAGGCGAAGTACTCGAATCGATGGCTTCTGACCTTAAAGGATAACTCTCTAACATGGCAGGAGCGCACAGATTTTCAAACTTTCCCTGCAGGAGCTGCAGGAGCTTTATCTCGCGCGGACGCGAGAGTATTATCATTATAACAATAGTAAGTGCATTAATCGGCCACCCCAAGCAATCGACAGCCGATGAAAACCCCACGCTAGCCTCCGCATGGCGACATAGACGGATGCGGAGATGGTGGCATCCATGGCTGATTTTGCCGACGGCTGTCTGTCGCTGAGGAGCAGGACAGCGCATGTACTTAGGGAAAAGTACTTGATTTCTCCCTAGGCAGATTAGGGCTGTCTCAATTGAGAAGATTGCAGCATTCCAGCCATGATCTCATGTTGGATATGCGATGATTGATAACTAGTTATACGTGACTGCAACAATATTTTCTGGTGAGCTACTTACTCCTACGTCTTTTTTTGCCATTGCTTTTCGTTTCTTTTAAAGCATAGGCACTGTAGCTGATTCAGACGCTGTCGTAAAGGATACCTCTCCGCGCAATAAAAATCTATTTGTTGACCAGGAAGCTCTCCTAGGGAAACTAGGACGAAAAATACTGTTAATACATAGCGGTGAAAGGTACAAGTCAAACCACAGCATATCCAACTATCTCGTACATCTCCGGTGTCGTCGGGCGCAGTCCGCTTCGAGCCAACTAATCAATCTTCCAAGTTAAGCCAACTCAATAGTGCGGCAAAGGGATGTCACAATCCACTAGATAGTACGACAAAGGGTACTGTTCACTTCGGTCCACGCTTCACTGCCCACACAGTGAAGACACCAGAAAAGCCCAGCTGGATCATATTTCTGTTTGATCGCGTGAAGCCGTGGGTAATTCGGTCCCCAGAAAGACCATTGCCAGTCAGGTTCGTTCGCGTTTGCCTGTCGATGAAATTAGAATCCGAAACGAAGCTCGAAAAGCTAAAGGTTACGGAACGGGCTTACTTCATTGAAATAAGCACCTGTGTCGGGCGCCAGCTGCCGCAAAGCATATCCCCTCTTGTAAGTCATATCATAAACCGCCTTCGCTGCCAGATCATCAGGCAGAGTGTCGTCCCAGCTTTGACCTGTGATGACATGGACGATTGCCTCCCTCCAAGCTGGGTTCAAGCCATTGTCAACTGGCTTTTTGCTACCAGTCAAGGTACCAGAGATGGATGGATTAGTGACCCCCTTTGTCGGTCTGTTAGCCCACGTAGACATACGTGAATGGTATGAGACAAAAGAATACATACTGGTAAGTCTGAGCTTGGGGCTGCGATGGCCTCAAGTGCCCTCGCTAGCAACTCAGCATCGTGCACCGCTCGCTCTGGAATGAATCGGCTTGTCCTCGTGTCGTGCATTTTCCCCGTGCTTCCGAACAATGGCACGGTTTTTACGAAGTCATACCACGATGGCTTCCACATCCTGCTCATTTTGAATGTAGCGGTCGCGTTCGCAGTCTTGAGTATCTCCAGAAGAGGCTTTAGAATTGCTTCGGACGTAACGTTCGGGGTGTTGTACTCGAACAATGAAAGACTGAATGCCATCGGAGCACCGCCCATGGTATAATAGCCGTGCAGGCCTGCGTTTTGCAACCGGGGGAAATCACCATGCAGCCGTGCAAGTAGTCTGTACCAATCTTTGGAGGAAGTGCCGTTCTTGGCCAAGATGTCTAACCCGGTCATTGCAAACGAGGGCATCTTGTACGCATTGACAGTCAGACTGGTGATGACGCCGAAGGTGCCTCCGCCGCCACCACGAATAGCCCAGAAAATATCCTCATTCTGACAAGCATTGGCAGTCAGAATATCACCATTTGCCGTGACGATGACAGCTTCGATAACGTTATCGGCACCCATTCCGTACACACCGGTCGCTAGGCCGTGACCTCCACCAGTAGCCCAGCCGACGACTCCAACATCCTGCAAAGACTTAGCCTGACGCCGTCAGATCCGATACAAGACCACCACACATACATTGTTTTCCCCACCAACAGACATGGCGTCGTGCTCGGCCATTGCTGCGTACAATTCACCGTCTTGCACACCAGCCCCCAGCGTAGCTGCCATGTGCGTCATGTTGCTCGGACAAGACTGCGGCGTGAACGTTTCGTGGTACTGTATGTCCTTCATATGATGGGTCCAAATCCTGCGCATGTTAAAAATGCCTCTTCCAGTTGAAAGGTTGGTGGTACATACGAGAGGCTCCCGGCATTGAAACTAAACTCCGAATTGTTTAGTAAATCCCTATACTCCGATGAAAGGGGCTGGCATCAACATATACCTTCTTCTACCGTTGTGCCCGGTGTTCTTGATGTTCATTCGAAGATTCCACTTTTTGGCGAACCGTACCCCGGCCTGCACGTCTTCCGCACTGGTTGCATTGATGATGTATGGAGGGTAAGCCCCCAGACTGCAGCCTTGCTTTCCCGCATTCGAATTCCCCGAGACGCTGGTTCCATTGGCATAGATGGGGCTGCAGGAATTGTCCAAGGAGGGGTCGCCGACGCTGGCCGGATCCGCCGAATGGAAAGGCCAGGTAGTCCAGTTGGAGAGAACAGATTGGCAAGTTTCCGGGTTGTAAGCCGGTTCTGCGGGATAGCATACCGACGCCACGGGAACTGTCTTTATCAGACGACCCGAGACAGTCTTGTTGAGTGAAGCCCACGCAGAATCCGAAGGCCAGCATGGCATGTCAGGGGTCTGGACCTGTCAGACAAGTATGGAAAGCAAAGATGGAGGGTACGAACACATTTGCAGGCATTATTTGCACCAAGTCCGTTGCGGACTAGGAATGCTAGAGCTACACCAAGGACGAGTTTCATGGTGCAAGGACACGCTTGACGTTTATGTGCGTTACGTTTGAAGAGGTCGGCAGCTCATACCGCCTTTATATATGTTGGCGGAATCCGTCTGCCTGGAGGAGGGCTGGATATCACATATTGCGGACGCTCCTGAACACTCGGATAGTATGGGGAGTAATGGACAGTCGAGTCACTCAATTGGAGCCCGTACTTGTATATCAGACCCGCCTGTAGATCACTACTAGGTAAGTTTGAAGCTCCGCTAATGGACCCTTTGGAACGTGCGCCACTGAGCCTACATGCCATATTGTGTTACTGGTAGCTACGTTGTCGTATTCGTATAGCATGCTAGTATAGGTAGGGTATAGGTAGGTTCTCCACACTTCGGATGTATCCCGGGGCTCCACTGGGGGGCGTATGTTCATCCATGGTAGTGGATCGTTTGTCGCCGTACGTATTACCCAATTAAGCAACTCTGGCGTATTCGTGTACAGCATAAAGCCCTCCATACGCTTCACTCACACCTAAAGGACTATATCTAGGAGTAGTTGAGCGGGAACCGCCCACTCCATGTACATCATCCATGTTCTGGGGTGAAACTTCTACTATTCTGGCGTGTTGGTCTGCCGCGCCCGTCCATCTCGTTCGATATTCCTTTCTAGGTAGCTCCGGAGGTTGGATGCCCGGTCACCAGTATTGCCTCCTGCTCTTGTATAGTAGAAGCGCGCGAAACGGTCCTACGTTCTGCATCTATTCCCGCACTATTTGAGTCCTCGTCCGTCCGACGGTCCTATGAGTACTTACCATAGGCTAGGATGTGGACACAAGGAAGCATACACAGAGCTCGAAACGCAGATCAACAGCCTGCTGTTCACCAATGGTTTCTCCTTGACAATGCCATCTCATTCCCGAGTGAGCGACGGTAGATAGAATCCCTGCTAGAACAAACGGACCCAAATATATCCTTAAATAGTTTACTCAGGTCACTCACCCTTCACCCTCCGACATGCAGTGTCAGCTTAAGTCGCCTCCGCATTTTATTGGGACAACGCAAGCCGTCTGGCGATCATATTCTTCGTAGACTATTATTATCGCGCCTAGTATAATGCCGTATCAGTCTTATTACTTATAACATCTAATTTATATTTATCAATAGAGGTAAGCTACGTAGATACTGCTACTATGACTAGGTGTTCCACGCTAGTAGATCGATAACTTTATATTCAGGAGACCCTTCGGAGATATATATATAAGAGATATACGCCTAATATAAAAAGAAGAATAACTCCCGTATCTCGGGGCTTTTATATATGGCGGTAGGCGATAACTAAATATATTAGTATATCATGTCTGACTATCTAGATACATTAAGGAGGAGTCCTGTAGTAATAGAATATTAGATACGATACCTAGGTAACCTACGAGTACTACAGTATGGATAGACCTGGGGCTATTAGGCCATTTCCCATCCCGGAGGAACCATGTTCTGTCTCATCGATCACTGCCTAGTTACCTACCCTGCCACTACCTAAGTTGGGTAGGACCTAGTCCGTAATATTTCTACTTCCTTTAATAAGATTATGTTAGGAATCAAATAGTTACAGATAATTGGACGTTCCTAGTTCCATTTTAAGGAAATATTTAAAAGATAACTGATAGAAATCGATGATATTGGCGCTGAATGACGAAACTTTTAAGCTTAGAGAGAGAAAGGGAAAATAAAATAGGAGGTGTGGGCGATAGGGCTCTTATATCGTGAGCAGGTAAACAATCAACTCAGCTAAACTCGCCTAGCAGGACAGACATCGAGTAACAGATTCAGCATAAGTGGCCTCGTTTGCAGAGGCCAGAGGAAACGCCACAGCTGCCCGTGCCTCTGCCGACGCTTGAAGCGTATAATGTTACTAGAGAGGAGGCCCACTTCGTTGTCCCTTGACGAGATCAAACTGGCCAGCCATATGGAATATGTCTGGTGGAGCGATCTAAATGGGAATTAATAATAATATGAATAAAAAAGGTACACATAGAATGAGAACAACCATCCTATAACAATAGCAGCGTAGTCGGAGGCATAAAGATCCCTACCCAACGATCCCCTCCTTACTCCGCACACTGCCTGCATTCAGACTTATTGTCCAGTTCAATGATTTGGACTTGTGTGGTATGCGATAGGCCTATATTGCTTTTCGTCCTTTGGCGCATTGCCGCGGAGTCCGAACAACTTCGGCCCGTAAGTTGCCGCCATCGGTCATAATCAATTATAGGATTGGCGAGAAGGTGCATATGTGCACAGACGGCTGATTAGGTAGTTGTAGGGGTGCCCAATATCTGATCTTCTCCGTCGACTAACCGCATTCTGGAGTTCGTTCTATCGGAACCTATTAGATACGATCATCTCATCGTTCCAGGTCGAGTGGCTACTAGTCGAGGACTCTCTAACTCCATGAAAGCCACCGTGTCCCCCTCAAGCACGACCTCCTTGTAAATCTTGAACCTATTTCGCTGTAAAACCTTTACACTTCCTTTATTAGCCAGATTGACCATCGCAAACAATTTCTCCTCATGCCCCAGGCCATCGACTCGTGGCAGTTTCCACCATGCTTCGATCACGCCCCGTAAGGCTTCGCTGGCATATCCATTTCCCCAGTACGAGGGATGCATGGCATATCCCACCGAGGGAGCCGGCGATAGAGAGTTGACGCCAAGGGATCCAATGATACGATCAGGTTCGTCCTTCGGAATAATAGCAAAATAGAATAGCCGACCAACTTCACCGGATGCATCCGGCTCTTTGAACACCTTTGTCGCCATATAGTCTTTGGTTTCTTCGATTGTGGTATCCGCTACTCTGGGCCAACTGTGGGCAGGTCAGTTGCGAGGAAGTTAAAGCGGGATACAGGTCTTTTCACAGCCAGTCAGCAACATCTTGTCGACTTCGAATACTGAAAATTGCCGCGGCATCTTCGTCGTTGCCGATTCGCAATGGCCGTAGGAGGAGGCGTTCGGTAGATATTGGTGGTACGTCGTGGGGAATAATCACCGCAACGGCTTGCTCCGGATAACCCATCTAGAATGAACGGGTAGGTATTTTCATGAGGAATGGGTATATGCCCTTTAGTAGGTGGAGCTGGGTCTTTCATATATACATGGGTTGTTGGAAAGTGAGTCACCGAGCTTCTGACGTGAGAATATAGGCGACCTAGGCACGTGGCGGCGTCAGCCACATTCCCCACAAGTCAGTATCATGGAGACCAACATTCGCATCCATATCTTCGTATGGAGATGATGCCCATCGATAGACCCAGTCGAGATAGGTATCAGTCAACGTTGATAATCATCTCTTCGGTTGAAAAGGCCCCCTAACCTGTAATTACGTACTAGCCACGAAGATAAAGGGATCCTCCGGCTTCTGGATAAAACCCATCAAACCCATTGCATTGATAAGAAGTGCTATCAAATGCATAAGCACTGCCGTGCAACCAATGAATAACCGGAACATTATCCCCGGGACGGACAGCCTTGGGTACCCCATGCGGAACCGTTGAGTTCCGGGAAGGGAACCATGCTGAGCGCAGCATTTACACAGTCAATTGTAGATAGTCGGTCCCTGCCATCTTGGATACCTTCCAATTTGTATATCTTTTGTTAGTGAGGACAAAAACGTATTCCACTCTAGGAGAGTAGCCCATTTCACATTCATATCCAGAAATCTGGCCCAACTCCACTGCCACTCATCGCCAGAAGATGGGCACCCACTGGTCATAAGACTCTTCCTTTCCAAACTCTACCACCTGTGGGTCCCTCCTTAATAGATACAGGCCCGCTTCGTCCCGCAACGCCCTCGCCTGGTCGTCGTTATGATACGAATCATGTAGTAAGGCTTCCGACAGCTTGAAAAGGCCCCGCGCATGCTCGACAGGCATCATGTCGACATGGAACTTGGTAATCTCGAGAGATTCGCGCAGATGTTTACTGGAGTGTAGATGCATTAGAGCGGAGGAAGGAATCAAAGCAAGGGAGGTCCACATACACAGCTGCCCCCACTTTCCCCTGATCAAGACATACCACTCCCGTCTTGTATAAGCATCCGGCGTTGAACGGGTGTAACCTCGTCTGGTCCCCTTTCAGCCACAAATTCTGGGCCTCGATAAAACTTGCTTCTGCTGCTTCAAGCCTATTTCTTCGGCGCTCCAGCAGCCCCAAGGCGAAGTATGCGCTGTTCGACCGGGTCAGCAACAGGTCTTCCTTGTAACTAAACAACCTGGTGTAGGTAAGCGGAGACGTACTAAGCCAGCATTGCCCAATTAAGCGGCTTTTCCTGCTTGAACTCAGCGATTGCAATGTCGAGCAATTCTTGCGCCTTGTCGTATTGACCGAGATACACAAGACACCGGGCTGTATTCTTCTTTGTCACCGTTGGCCAAACAGCACCTCGCCCCTCCTTGACGTTCCAAGCAATCCATGTATCCCTCGACTTTTCAAACCAAGTCAATGCCATCTCATGATCATTGGCCGTGTTATAGTTGTAAGCCAAGTTTTGCTCAAATCCACCGAGAAGACCGCCTTTCAAGGGCTTTTCTTCTAGTCGCATTTGGTAACCCTTGGTATTGAGCTCAATGGCCTTTTGTACCTTTCCCGTGTTCTCGTACATACTTGCCTGAAGCGATAGCGTCCAAGCGGCGATATCAATGGCCTTTTCTTTATCCTCGAGTGCTTCCACAGCCAGCATATCCACCTCACACACATCCTCAAGATCCCTGAGTGCGTTGATCTCGTAGAGACATCTGTATCGGTCACGACCTTACTCTCAAATAAAAACAAAAAATCGGGTAGTCTTACCTCTGACAATCTTTCAGAAGCTCACAGAATAGCGACGGTGCCTTGAAATTCTTCGTGGCTTTCCGCTCTTCCTTGAATTTATCCACAGGACTGAGCACATGTTGAAGGCAGCTGTTGCACTGGGTCCATTCCTGATACAGCTGGTTCTGGTTAGTCCAATCGGACTGCTTGGGAAATGCGCGGTGGACCAGCGCAGTTGCGTTGGCGAAAGCCTGCTGTCTCTCGTCAAGAAAGAGGAAATATCGAAATTGAGTCTGCACCATCCGATGGCAAGAGAACACGCGAGCATCTTTGTCGCGTTTGATCAACGCAAGGGTCAGGAGGGGTTCTGTTGCCTCGGAGAAACTGCGCTTTAGTTAGACTAAGGTCCCTTTCAAGATAGGACCACCCATACCTGAACTCGTCGGTACAAAAGGCGAGATCTTCTGGAAGATCGCTGTCTCCTCCAACGTCAAAGAGAAGCTGTGGAATATTCTCAGATACTAAGAATGACGCAACTCCTAGGAACACCCGGCTATCCTGCCCCAGAGTGGCAAAGGAGAGATCCCACACAGCCTGTAGCTCAGATTGGTGAGCCCGTCTGGGATTCTTCGAATAGATCCGCATGAATTCAGCAATAGACCAAGATCGGCGATGGATCAGCCCGGCCATGTGCGAGAGAGCCAAGGCATGACCACCCAGTTTTCGAGAAAGTTCAATTGCAGAATCACCCTCCGCGTGGATATCACTGCCGATGTTGCCTTTCAACAGGAAGAGCAGAAACTCGGAGCCCGTCTGTGCGTCCCATGAGGTTATTTCCAAGCCGTATGTGGCGGGATCATATACTAATGAATGGTTGCGAGTGGTGATAATTGCCTTTCCATGACTCGCCTCCGGCCAATATGGCATCAATATATCGGCGGACTCGACATTGTCGTAGACCACCAGCCATCTGCAGACTTTTCATATAATCGGTAAGCACAGATAGATAATCCTCAGAGAGGGTCTCTAGAATTAACTTACCAGTCGACTGGAACCAGTTCTGGACAAGAATCAAGTTCTCGCTGTGCAAGTTGGGTTGCGCTCCCGGTAACTTCAGGCGCTCGGAAAGGCGTGTTTGATCCTATCCGTCCTAGGACCTGATCTATCTTCTCAAAAGTCTCAACTCTGTCGAGAAACCGGGGGGTCCTTTTAGATGGGAGTATCGTACAACGAAATTGCGGCGTAACTGTTGTCGCATCCAAAGAGCTGTGGTGATCTCCGCCCGAGGGACGTGTAGCAATCAGCTTTTCCACTCGCGCTACCGTTTCAGTGAGCTCCTGGTTCCTAGAAGTGAATCGACGCTGAAGTAGCAGCCATGGGTCCTCTTGACATTCATGATGATAGCGTTCGCCTCGCCTATCTACATTATCGACATCAGCTTAACTGGAAAATTGCACTTTCTCTTTTGCTACAACTCACCATAAGACGTCTCCTCCTCGCCACGCATGGACTTTACCGCGTTCGTGGTGAATTCGACCAGCTGAATCTGAATGTCGAAACAAGCTTCCTTTATTTGCTCCGGTTTGTTCCTGCACGCGGCATAGTAGCCCGCGAAAGCCTCCGCCTTATATCCAAGAGACTTCAGCATCCGTGGAATTCTGGAGAGCGCCTGCGGGTCTTGGGCAGTGAGCTATCGCATTGTCAGCGAAATTAGCGACGCCTGGAGAGTAAACTGACAGACAACCACATGCATACCTTCAGTAGGACGCCAGTGATGCCCCAGAAAAAATCCGCTTGGAGTCCTGGGGCCAGCTGGGTTTCGAAGATCCGTGTAAATTCATAGAGGTGATTGAGCGTTGGTTTGATTGAAGCAATCTCATATGGAATGCCCGCCGGTTCCAACGCATGTTCCTGCATTGAATTCCATGATGCCATCAACTGTACCTGTTCCAAGTATTCTGGTTGGAATGATTTCTCGCACTGCTCGACGGTTATTTTCCACTGGCGGCTGAAGAAGCGTTCTCTAAAGAGAAGTTGTAAGCTACTAAACTTGGGAAGTATCTTCGGCATGCGTTGTCAACCTACAAGCCGGAAGGGTCCATCGCGATATGGAGGAAACAGAAAGACGGTTGCGGGCACCCTGACTTACACAAAGAGGCACATCGCGGGGTGGGAATGACAGGTTTAAATACAACGCTCGTTGCTTGGAATGGGAGTGGGAGAATTGGTTCTGATTAATCTCCCTCATAAGTACCGTACTACCCTATTATGTAGCTAGCAGCATGACTCAATAATACTTTGAACGGTCTAAAATTAAAAGAAACAGGTGGTATACCTAGAACAGCCTCCGATAAGACCTGTCTTCGAGTGTACTACCTTATATCAAGAAGGACTTATTTGTGTAAAATATATTACCTTTTTCTTTGTCCTTCTTTTCTTTATTACGTTAGTATGAGTCTAAAGGAAACTAAAAATCCAATGTAGCTAGGTAGTTTTCTCTATAATAAAGAAGTGCTAAAGCTTCTAGGCATTGATAAAAACACCGAATATATATTCTTCAATCTCTTAATAGCTCATGCTGCCATCTTTTAAGCCCTGGACTGGTCAATTCAGCCTTATTTTCGAGACACTCTAATTATCTTCGTTTGCAACATTTCCGACACTAGTTCATTCCAACACCATGTCACCCCCAGAGAACCCCCATACTCCACCTCTCGGCGTTACAGTTCGTCAGCTTGTCATAAAGCCAATTTTTGGCGCCCTCGAGCCCCGCGAGAAGCTATACGCGCATTATCTGGCGCGGGCATGGAAGCAAGATTATCATGCGGCAAGTCTCCCCCGAAAGCCCGGACATCTTCGACTTCATCATGGACGTCTATCATAGTTGCGGTGGAAAATGGGACACCCTGGTATCGCAATGCGACATTACGTCCGATGAGCTCACACGTTTTCTGGAGTATGCTGCGTCGTTCCTCAGCAACCTGGGCAACTTCTATGTAAGTTCATCAAGTTGTGCCTAGTAACAAAAGCTCATTCTGAGTAGGGAGAAGGTGATCAGAAGTATGTCCCCGACTTGAGCGTTGAAGCTCTGCAAAAGATTGCAAATATATCTGCAAAGGCGAAGGTTGGTTTGGAGAAAGTTATCGGCCCAGTGTTCGCAGTCCCCCCATTCAACCTTGGATATCCCGACAAGAACGCGCAATCGAGCTATTACCCTGGCCCTGAACTTATTTCCAAAGAGGAGATCGCTAAAGTGTCGGAGGTCATGGAAAATCACTCGATTGGGGACCAGAGAATACTCGGATTCGGAAACTTGTGGAAGACGGAAAACCCACCTACCATCTGTTACAAGCTTCTGCAGAGACAGGTCTACACGAACTTGCAGATGGCATATTCCTCGCCAGAGGCGACCACTGCGAAGAATTGTCCAAGGTCTGCCTCGCTCTGGCCAAGGCAAAAGAGTATGCAGGTAACAGCAAACAAAGCCAATTCCTGGCACAATACATCGAATGCTTTCGCACTGGCAGCCTGGAAGCTTTCCAGGAGTCGCAGAAGGCATGGGTGACGGATGTGGCTGCAAGAGTTGAGAACTTGGTTGGGTTCATCGAGCCTTACCGTGATCCGGCTGGGATCAGATCGGAGTGGGAGGCCATGGTGGGAATCGCTGATCCGGATGAGACATCGAGGTTGAAGCGCTTCGTCGAAATGTCGACTGTGATCATTCGACAACTCCCATGGGCAGTTGAGGGCGTAAACGACGGGAAAGGACCATTCGAGAAGACTCCTTTTGAAGCTCCTGACTTCACTAGCGTCCACGGTTAGATACTCTGTTCCCACAGCGAGTATCAAGTGATGCTAATTCTCGTAGCGCTTGCCATATGCGGTAGCGTCGTCTTCGAAGCCGCAAATCTCCCCAACGTAAGTCCCGTGAGCGATGCTTTGATGGAACAAAGCTGATGAATAACTTAGTATGAATACATCCGAGAAACCTGCGGCTTCAAGAACATCGTCCTCGCGAACCGCCTCAGCGTCAACAATAACCCCAAGCTACCGTGCCACTGGGTCGATCCATCAGAGCTCAAACACTTCAAGAGCACGACGCACATTGTCAGATTTATCACCACGGCCATCCACGAGCTGATTGGCCATGGAACAGGCAAACTCCTCAGTGAAACCACACCGGGGGTCTACAACTTCGACAAGCAGAACCCGCCAATCAGTCCGTTAAGCGGGAAAGCAGTAACTTCCTACTACTTGCCCGGCCAGACTTGGACCAGCGTCTTTGGTAATTTGGCGGGAACGGTAGAGGAATGTCGTGCCATCCTGGTTTCAGAATATCTCATGGATAATAAGGAGTTGTTGAGTATTTTTGGGTATACTGATGACATTGAAATCACAGCTGAAGACCGTAAGTCTTTACCGCAACTGATGTTCAATAACTTACGCTCTTTTTAGTTCTTTACACCACCTACCTCAACATTGGCGTCGACGGTCTTCAAGCTCTTGAACATTACAGCGTTCAAAACAAGGCTTGGGGCCAGGTCCACCACCAGGTGTGTATACATAACTATCTTCCACTTCCCTATGTCGTCAACCTCAGGGGACCTAACTTGAACCTAGGCCCACTTCTCTATCCTCAAACACCTCCTGCAAGAAGGCGGCGGCGTCATCGGCATCTCCTCGGACCCCATCACCTCCACCCTCACCGTCCATGTTGACCGCACAAAGATTCTCTCGCACGGCAAACCCGCTCTGGGCCGCTATCTCTGCCGCCTACACATCTGGCGCTGCACCGCCGATATTTCCCACTGCAAGGAGTTCCATGAACCCATGTGTGCTGTTGATGGTGTGTACGAGCGGTGGCGTCAGATTGTGTGTTCGAAGCCAAAACCAAGATGGAAATTTGTACAACCAAATACTTTTGTCAATGGGGGAGATGTGGAATTGAAGGTTTATGAGGAGAGCAATGAAGGCATTATTCAGTCGTGGGCTGAGAGGGGGATTTGAGGGTCAGATGAACGTGATATCTTTTTGTCGATACGAAAGTCAGCGCTTGCATGTCAACCTCGTCCGGCTGTCCCAAAGGTGGGAGAATAAAAGTGGCCTTGCTTTTTTACCATTCCTAGGACTTTACGTTCTATATATTTCTTCTACAAAACTAAATGAGTACATACGACCACAGGGTGTGGAAAACAGGGCTTCCCGTCCGCTCAGCCGTACTTAAGCCACACGCCGGCCGGTTAGTAGTTGGGTGGGTGACCACCAGCGAATCCCGGCTGTTGTATGTTTTTTTTGTTCTACTTTTGGGCTTTTGTCTTCGGCATTCATGTTAACTAATATAAGTTGATACATTACGACTAACCCGCAGGCTGCACAAAGCTACATCAAACGTGAATACGTTGCGGGAGAACATCAGGCTACAAATATCGTCAATACGGCGTTTCCAAGAATACATCCAAGGAAAACGGTATCACTCTCTGTCGATGCTGCAAAAGTATCAGATCACATTTGAGTGAGAGGACTGGCGATTTACTGCAGGATCTTCTTCATCACTGAGAGACTTCCGGGGTCATACTACACTGACAAAATAGCTTTTTCTAATAAAGATTGTTAGGAGCGCGGGCCTTTCATAAGGCTAATACCGTGCAATTTACTATTGGTGTATAGCCCTTTAGATCCTAATAGATTATGAACGCGAGAAACGAAAAGCATTTAAAAATATTATCAAAAAGTTACCTAAAGAACTCTCCCTTACATTCTTCAACTCCTATCTAGCTTAAACAAGAAACTATCGGCATACTGTATATTCTGATCATTAGTAAACGCATAAGGGAAGCTACTATAAAAGCTCTAGTTTTCTACCCAGTCGTAGCCTCGTAGGACGCATTCAAACCTATTATCTCCTTAAGTATCTGCTCTTTCTCAGGAATATTGCCATTTTCTGTTACAAAACACCATGCAGATCCAGCTGCTTATTTCCGTTCTGGCTCTCTCTACCTCTGTGTTTGGGCTATGTGTAAAGGACCAAGCAGATTGTCCGGAAGGGGTTGGCTTTTATGAACCTGGAGTGGTAAATCATTGTTGCTATATTATCCTTATATCTAATGTAGTTAACAACCAGTCTAGTGTTATGGACAAGGTGTAAGTTGATTCTGCATTCAACAAACACGAAGGTCTAGTATCTGATGAAGATTGCGAACTTAGTATTATGTTGAGAAGTATTTGTGTTAGATGAGAGTATGTAAATGGGTCTTGGTACGGGTTTTTCCCCAAGAGGTTTCTCCGTCCTTTATGCAAACGCAAAGATACCATGCTCCCTGATATAATTTTTAAGAGCAGCCTTCGCTGCTTTATACAATAGTTGAATCTACCGTAGAGCTTTCGAGTAATGGACAAGAGGTTGATATCTGATTATGTCTTAGATGGAGTTGGATGATAATGGATGAGGTAAGGTTATTTTGGCTTAATAAACTTCATGCTACTAGATCTTAACTAGTACCTTTTGCTCTCTAGTGCCTATTCCCTACATATTCTGATATAAAGCAGACAAATAATATATAGAATACTAGTGTTAGCCCTATTGAGCTTCGGTTTATATATTCTTTATATAGGGCTTGAGACTCAAAATATCGTTATATCTGGGAAAGAGCCACTTCTAACTTAAAGGACATTAAGCGTTAAGCTTTCAAAAAGTTTATTAATGAACCTTCAGTCTAGCCCTATGGCGACATTATAATAGGCAAATAAAGTTGAACGACCAAAACACCCAGGCTTTAGGTAAAAATACTAGAACAAGTTTTAGCTCACTTAATGCACTGGGTACTTGTTAAAACAATGCAATGGTCGTATGCTTGACGTACTTCCCATTCTAGTAGTCGAACTACTACCCAGTCATGCGCCATACACGACGAAGTTGTAACAGATAGCCAGTATGCCAGAATACATCGTATACTAACGAACCAGCTACCGGTATACGAGCCTTAAATCGAAGGCAAATCAGGAATCCAGGATAATCCTAGCCTAATAGGATCTTGATATATGAATATTTAACAGTTAACAGTAAGATGTAAATAGTGCTAAAGGATGAATATAAACCTACAAGGGATACCCTCTAGAATAAATACAAATATACTACCAGTTTGTAGCACACTTAAGAATAGTAAGATAAATAATTGTATTGTAGGTAAAGCGGAGAGTGTCAGCACCCCTACCCTGCTGGGGGGTTAGTAGGCTACTGCAGCCGTGGAGTTTCCCACCACTTTCCATTACAACACTGCACCCTGGAACTGTACATAGTGAATCATTATTTCCTAATTGCCCACATCTGGCCATTGTTGTGATTACACACAGTGGCCGCATGCGGTGTCACCCATAATGTGTTACTATCTTTCTATGCTAGCAATCTCCGAGGCTTCTTCGATGCAACGTCAATGGGCCATTGTAGGTATCAACCACCTTAAAAAGGATGGCACGAGATCAGAATATGACGCAGCTTCCAATATGACACCATTTACGCTACGGTATACTTTGCCGATTGCTACAGTTACTTCATTTAGAGTTTTCATGATTTTAGCTTCAGGATGCATTAACCTACCTACGTAGCATTGGGTATTCTTTCGGGACAGCCATGTGAGAGGATTCTGGGCATGCTTTTGTTATCCACCATTTGTATATAGTGACGCATTAGACCTTTTCGTCCAAAGTAAATTGGGTCCGTACCCCTTTTACCCGCTATGGCTACATATATAAAGGTAAAAGGCTTCCGCCATGATACTTCGGGCAGACATTACCATCTCCAGAAATTCTGTCCAGAGGCATACGGATGACCCTTACGGGTTGCAGATACATACTAGTTCCTCAGGCAGCATCTCTCCTTACACACTACACTATCCTTCGCCATGGTCGACGCCGCATTCTACCAAAAGGACATTGGGGAAGCCTACTTCTTCTCAGTGGACCAGTATTGCCGTGTGAAGTGGGAGCCCTACACCTCAACCGAGAAACGTACCTGGGGCCCGGCCCTAATCAAGGACCACTGGAAATCGCTAGCACGGGCGGGGTTTGAGACAGTGGACGCGATAGTCCCAGTGCAAGGGTCAACGGATGAGCTGTATTTCTTCCGCGGCCTGGAGGTGGTGCAAATCAAGTTCACGCCTAAGGCTGGGGGCGACGTCATTGTTGACGGACCTATCAAGACTCTGGATAAGTGGAAGTCGCTGGCAGGGACAACGGTTGATCGGGTGGGCGCTGGCATAGTCGTGCCTGGCGTCCCGGGTCAGGCTTATCTCTTCAGCGGGAAGAACTACGTCAAGATTGACTTGGTCAAGGACAAGGTTGTGTACGGCCCCACGGAGATTGCCAAGGAATGGCCTGGTTTGATTAAGGCAGGCTTCGACTCGGTGGACGCCGCACTCCAGGTCCCCGAGGACAAGGCCAAGTATACGGGCGAGACGTACTTTTTTAGAAAGGACCAGTATGCTCGCGTGCAGGTGATCTCGTCAAAACTAGATGTCCTACAGTGGGGGTCCGTAAAATGGAAGGACCATTGGAAGAGCTTAGATTGGATTGCTAAGCAGCAGCCCCTGGCTTCTGCCTCGGGTCCCGGGTTGGAGTCTGGCTCTGGTGCTGGTTCTGGTACTGGTACTGGTACTGGTTCTGGTACTGGTACTGGTGCTGATGCTGGTGCTGGTGCTGGTACTGGTACTGGTACTGGTTCTGGTACTGGTACTGGTGCTGATGCTGGTGCTGGTGCTGGTACTGGTGCTGGTACTGGTGCTGGTACTGGTGCTGGTACTGGTGCTGGTACTGGTGCTGGTACTGGTGCTGGTACTGGTGCTGGTACTGGTGCTGGTACTGGTGCTGGTACTGGTGCTGGTACTGGTGCTGGTACTGGTGCTGGCTCTGGAGCTGGTTCCGGTGCTGGTTCTGCTGGTTCAGGACAAAGCTCAGGCTCCGGCGGACAGTCAGCTAAGCCTCAGCCCCTCTATAGTGGTGTACATTATAATACCCCCGTCGGCCGTATGGGCAAAAACCGGTACGCCGCTTACCTCGCGCCGCCCGTGATCGGGATCGAGGTTTGGGAGGGTTACTGGTATGCGATATAATTCTGGGGAATCCGCAAGGTCTAGATTATATGGGAAGGTGGCTACCGGCAGACTATAGGGACCGATAGCGGTGCCCAGCGATACAAGGCTATCTGGCTCAATCCTCGGGCCGGCGAACGCATTACTATATTCTACACGCAAATTGGTGAGATTTGGGACTATTTGAACATTGCGACGAACCAGAACAAATCTTTAGTTGCTGGTAACTCGGCTGGGGGCCATATTAAAACCTACTGGTATGTTGGAAATGGTGTCCTTCTAGGGCTCTATGGTTGTACTTGGCCCCCGGAAATCGTGCAGATGGGACCTGTCTTCGGAATTTAATTTAGGGAGGTAGGAGGTAGAATAAAGGACGTGTTGAGAAAAGGAAAGAGGAAAGATTAGAGGAAGGAGAGGAAATAATTTATGCTGTGCTTGTGGTTACGGTGTTGTAAGTAATTTAAGGTAGAGCTCTTGACCGTCACAAGAAAAATGGGAATGATTTCTATCCTATAGTATTACCGGTAGATAGAGCTTTATCTAGTAGTCTATACTCTATTACGTGTATCTAAGAGTGCCTAATTTTTATATATTACTATATTACTATACTGATTTATCTTTAGATATACATACACGCTATAAGTATGTAGAATTATATATGTAATTATCACCGATATTACAGGCAAGCGAAAAGCAGACCGGCCCGACTCCCTAGATTCCTGGGATCGTGGCCAGGTGTAGGAAATACCGCCTAGTTGAGTGCAGGGAGAATTGCTAGTGCGTCTACAGGAAGTGAGGATCAGCTACCTTGGATCAGTTCCGTTGGCCGCCGGGATTTTAATAGGACATAGCAAAAGACCCTCGTCTTTGAAAGAGCTGGTTCACCTCATCTTCTATGGCCGTGCTGATAGTTTCATATTGACAAGACAGTCTCAAGCTTCACATTATTAACGCCAAAAGAAACCATGTGGGAAGAGTTGGCAGCTACATATTTAACTGCGATAGACATGTGTTACCCAGTAACTATCTCCCACTTCGATATCATATCTCTAGTAAATCCCGCAGAGCGCGGAACTCCTGAACCTCCGTCTGTTCTATGAAGTCCGCTGGGGCGATTACAGAAACAATTTTACCACGGGAACCCACGACTTACAGTGGGTGAACTGGTCAAGCAGCGCGGACCCTTACCTTGCCTATGATTACATCCGCCTTAATACAACGCAGCACTGGCTGGTGACCTGGGATCTCCACTGGCAAAGCTGCGACAAGGAGGCGCTAGCTAATAACAAAGGAGGCGGGGTATTCGACCATCACTTTGCCGGGGCTCAGTATTTTACTACCGATGACTCGGCCATCAAAGACGTGGATCTCGTCGCGGCGACTGCCAACGCCACCTGCCCCAACAGTCTCAACGCGATTGCGATCAATGTGACCGACACAATCATGCATTCGCCCCCGGACGTCAATACCGCTGGCCGCGACACCTGCGTCGTCACTGTGAACTCAACCACTAGTGCCACGCGCACTACTCCCGACCCCTGTCGTGTCGCCATCGACAAGAAGGCCGCAGAGAGTATGGCTGCCGCTCATCGTCAAAAACTCTGCGATCCTCAGAAGACTCTGAACCGGCCCGATGATTGTCCCACTGAAGAGAATGGGGCTCAGAAATTGGCTCTTCTTGGTATATCTTGTTTCCTAGCTGCTTTCGGAGTGATTAGTTTTGTGCTCTTGTAGTCCAGCCTGCCTTAGTTCCATGTACTTGTTCTTATACTTTTGTACGTCTCTGAACACGCTTGTCTGGACTAGGTACAAGGGCATCCATTATTCACAGCATAGCAAGTGATCCCGGTGTAAGCTCTCCCAGACCATAATAGAAGAAATGTTGCATGTGTTACATGTGTGAGCTACCTACTCAAATCCCCGGTTTCCTCCCTGAGCCCCCGAGTCCACACTCTCGCACTCTCGTCCTCCCTATGTCCCGTCTACTAACCCAGCTCATCAATCGCAAGTAAGCGGTCGAACCAGAGTTGCTGCTTGCCAGTCATCCACGCGAGATGCAGCACATGCAAAATGCGACCCACCCTACTATGAAGCGTACATGACCTGACTCGCGTAAGGGGAAGGTGGCGGAGATGTTCCCATGCATGCAGGCCAAGCCCTGTACCTGGGGGTATATGTGCTTACTTACTGACAATATTGAGTACCTGCGTGATGCGCCCCTTGATGGAAACAGCAGCTCCGGGGAAGCCCCGAAATCTAGACTCACTCCCCACGGTACAATGCCGGACGTCCACATCCCAGAACTCCACGGGGACTCACCCACCCCGGTCTGATAACCCACACCCCGAACGAACCGGATGCGACGGACCTACAGTATTCATTAGTTACATATTGTACCAGGTAGTTGTAAGCAGACTCTTGGCGAATGATACCCTACACGGCCTCACGGCACGGAGGTGATAATTCGCCTCAGCCCCAAACAAAATGGGAGGCCGCTGCAGCCAAGACCCCCGCAAATTCCTCCGCTCCTTACTATGCCTAGAAGTTGTTGAGCTTGTTTAACAATTACCAACAAATGTCTCGGATGTTGTAACCTATCATGCCCTGTAGATTCTCCAGGTCCCTAATATAGACTTGACTATGGCATATTCTGGCCATTAAACACTGGACCGGATAGGTCGCCATGCAATCCTCAAAAAGGCACATCTGTTTGCTGCACTGCAACGTAACACAGGGGGTATCTGATGATTTGAGCGTTGGCAGGGATTATGGCATCCGGATAATATTTTGGTTCACCCAGGCGTTACGGTCTACATCCAGTTTACCCGCTTTCCAGGTTAGTTATCGACACTAAATGAAAACAGAACTTCTATGGTAACATTGAGTCTGACATACTACCAAAGTAGAGCGTCACCTACTGCAAAGCTAGTAGAAGAGTTAAATGAACCATATGGCGTGGTTGTGGAGAAGGCAGGCACGAGTCAGGCCAGCGGCCAGCGGACTTCTGGAGCCTTCGAGTGAACTATATAACCGAACTATAGTCCGGGAGGTTGTTGTCATTCCACATACATCACAAGGCCCTTCCACACTTCTCCAACAGTCTCAAATACCACATTCAGGAGGATGCAGCTCGCACACCTTGCCGCCGCCGGGCTCATCCCCGGCTTAGTCTTTGCCCTCTCCCGCCGCGGAGTGCTCCTTCACCACAACTGCTACCAAGTCTGATACCTGCGAGAGCTTTGCCAGCACTTGGGGACTGTCCGTCGCCGAGCTCCAGCAGCTGAATCCCGGTATCTCCTGCCCGAGTCTTGATACGAGCAAGTTATACTGCGTGATTGGCACGCTTACAGATAATGGCTCGAGCACCACGCTCACGACGACAACTTTCACTACCACCGAGGCCACGACAACCACCACCACCTCGTCCGCCCCAATCAACTCTCCTACCATGCCGGGCATAGCAGAAAACTGCGACGGGTTCTACAAGATCTCGTCCGGCGACCAGTGCGACACGATCGCCAAGGCGTATGGTGTCAGCACGGCTCAACTTTTGAGTTGGAACACTGAAATTGACGATAGTACGATTATATAGGCCTGGCCGTCTCCTTCTCATTAGTTCCTAGGAAACAGGATTTTAGTAACTGACTTGCAATCTCTGCATCTAGACTGCTCAAACCTCTGGCTGGGCTACCACATCTGCGTCCACGTCCCCGGCGCTACCACCACCGCCCCAGGAACCCCCGAGCCAACCGACGGCTCGGGCTCTGGTCCAGTCCTCCAACTGCCCGGCATCGTCGACAACTGCGACGAGTTCTACAAGGTCACGTCCGGCGACACATGCGATAGCATCACCAAAGCCTACGGTATCTCGACGGCACGGTTTAAGAGCCGGAATACGGGGGTCGATGATAGTACTTCTCCCTCTCCCTTCCCCCTCCACCTTCTTCACACCTTAATCTAACAACGCCTGCCTGGATAACAGGTTGCACAAACCTCTGGCTGGACTACTATGTCTGCGTTCACGTCCCCGGCGCAACGACCACGGCGCCGGGGGCAGCTGAGCCTACCACGGACCCCTCAGGCCCGACTCCCAAGTTGCCCGGGATAGTCGATAACTGCAAGTCCTTCTACCTCATAGAGAGTGGAGACAGCTGCTGGTCTATCTACACCGAGGCGGGGATTACGCTTGAGCAGCTGCGGGAGTGGAACACGCAGCTTCATGCCGCGTGTAGTAACTTGTGGCTGGGCTACTATGTCTGTATTGGTGTCTAGATTATATATCTGGCTGAGGTAACTAGAGTTCATGGAGTAGGGAGTATCTAGCTCTTGCTAGGTAGATTCAAGTTGATGAAGTTGTAGTTTCATATGCTTCTGCTTTAAGCTTGATAGCCTGCGTAATGTATGGAAGGGAGTACCACGGTACTATACATAGGCGTAGCAGGTAGACCTGAAAGAAGCTTTCGGATAATATTGAGCTACAGTTGGAAAGGCCGTTGTGCAATCAAGACCTGCGTAGTTGGTCTCGACCATATACTAGTATCGCCAGGCTAGGTACCCACGATTCATAAGCGCGAAAGTTGCCAATGTTGAGGCTCTCCCGTTACGGCCCGTCACGGCCCGTCCTGGTGGATCGGCTGCATACACATGAGACTGGCGAATTATGAGAAAATAGGTGGATTGGTTTTTCTCCACAAAAAGATGAGCGGGGCCCTTCCGCTTGCTTGTACCGCTACCCGCTTTGGGTGCGCCGCTAATTCCCGTTACTGGCGAGGCGCTTACTCGGCAGTTGCAAACAGATGTGGCGTAGTTCACTTTTGGATGTCATCGTGTCTTGCACAGGAGATTAGCGACTATTCGACGTGCGCTGAGTGCAGATGCAAGAGGGCAATTGTCTCACTCAAACCAACTCCATCACCTTTACAAAAGGCACGATACTGGAGTCAGCGGGTAGTAAGTGCCTGCGATTGGTTGCAGTCTGTCAACCGGGTTCACGATTGGCTATGATTTAGATTAAGGCACGGCTCGACGCGCCTACCCGCTGGGCAAAAGATATGGCTCTCTTGGGGGGAGACCAAATCACCTTGTTTCTATTGACATTCGCATCCAACATCATCTTCCCACACCAGAGCCCGATTGTTTTCAAAAGCATCTTTCTGTCACGCAACTGTAAACAGATGATGATTATATCTATGACAACAGGGCTGACTTGCTTTAGGTGCTAGTTCCGGAGACGTTTTGGTCGCCTGTCCCTTCTTCGAAGAGGAGTATCAGCAGCGTTCGAACCTGGATCAAAGTACCACTTAATTCACCCCTGATAATCAGGTCTCGCGATATTAAAAATGGAGCACGGAAAAGCTGGAGGTAAGCCAATCCTAACCAATTTCTCTACACCATGGCCTCGCTAGAACCCGATACACTAGTTACATCAGAAAACTACATCCGAGCTATTATCTCCCTGTCTAGGAGGCATTCAAACACTTCTTCCTTTCCCGGATGCAATTACGTTGATCTTGCAGAATGGCTGCTCCAAGACCGCCGACTTCTTAAGTCGAGAAAGACGGAGGAAGACTCTACTCTTTTCGCTTCCATGTCTGAACAGCCTCATGACCTAGTCGTGGTATATGACTGCGGAGAGAAGAAGTGGGACGTGCAACACTACTATCAAGAGCAACACGAAGCATTCTCTTCTTCAGTCTCTGTTCCTTTGCAGAGTCTGGGGCAAGTGGTCTTTGTCCAAGGCTTGTTATCACCATCTTGGGTTTCAGTTCTTGGGAGTAAATATAACATCGATCCAGAGTTCTTTAGGCGAAATATGGATTTCCTATCTACTAATAATGATAGGCACTCTTTCAGTCTCCCGTCGCTTGCCAATTCCTCAAACGATATCTTTCGTCTCTGTGTGAGCACTCTTCCTCACCGCGACAATTTTGGAGGACAGAACGTGCAGTCTCAGCGCTCGGAACAACTCGCCGAGCTTGGAAAATACAAGATCCACCATCTTGGGTCTAAAAATGTTTGCTGCGGAGACTCGTTGGTCCGCGAGTATACCACTGTGTGCGCGTCGTTTTCTGTGGTTGAACAGTTCATATCGATTTACATTGCGAAAACACCTAGCAGCTGGGCTAGTAAGACATGGAGATCCATTCTGCAATGATATTGTCCGCTGATGTTATAGTTATCGTCTGGATGGACCACGGAAGACCCTTAGAACAGTCTCCGCCGGGCCCATGGACGAGCCATATTGAAGCAAGAGCAACCCCGCTACCCGTCCTCCAACATCATCCTAAAATGGCGTTTAGAACGACCACCAATCGTCTGAATGCAGATGCAAATGCGACAGCAGAGTTTCAGCAAAGCACGGCTTTGCTTCCTCTGCAGTACGATTCTTTAATCGCACTGGTTGGTTTAGCCCATCGCGCGCCCCAAGATCCTCTAGCTGTATGCATCCCCTTGTTCGCACACGCGGCTTTCTCCGAAGTCCAATTCCTGAATCTTATGGAAACCAGAATCCAGAATCAGATAGACCTGATCGTTGCAGAGCACCCAGCGGAGGCATTGGAAACTCTTCAGTACTTCACCAACGTTCTCAACCGACATGCCCAGCAGCTTAAAGAGAGCGCTCGTGTTCTATGCAAACTAGTCGAACGGACTAGACAGGGATCAAATGGCGCTAAAGTTGAAAGCATGACGACAAAAGTTGCGCTGAATTCTGGTCACAGCATGTGGTTCCCTTTGGAAACGGACAGGGCCGCGAATTTTTCCTCGCCTAGATCTGACGGTACATTTACACCAGGAGGCATCATAGAAGACTACGACCAACTCTTTGTCCGTTGTATCGACTTGTCCAGGACGTGCACCCGGGGCATAAATCTAGCCATGAACAAAGCCACGATTGAAGAGTCCCGCAGAGCCATTGAGCAGTCCACCCGGGTCAAGAGATTGACCCTACTTGCTACACTCTTCATTCCGCTTAGCTTCAGCTCCAGCCTGCTAGGCATGAATATTGATCTGCTTGGGCAGAATTATGTGAAGTTTTGGTGGTCTTTTGTCTTGTGTGTTCCTATAACCTTGTGCGCCTCCATGGTCTATCTTTGGGACATCCAGTTTCTCAGGCGTGGCTGGGGGAGGTTCTGGAAAGGTTGCCGTTGCAGCAGGCGACATATGAAAGCTGAAAGGTACAACAAGGATCCCAACCGTATTATTTGATTCCACCCTATGCACTCTCAGCGTCTGTACCAATGCGAGAACAAGAACATGCCAAGTTATGCAAAGGACGCTAAGGCCATATGGGCTGTCAACACTGGATTGTTTCAGAATAAATTTCCCGCCGATTGAAGAAATATGCTGTCAGCTGAATCTATGATGGACTTCTGTAAGTATTTGCGCTTCTTGTGTGGTAGAAACCACGCCGCTGCGAGAGCGTACTCTGTATATATACAACGGGCATAATGTGGCCTCGCCTTAGGGGCCTCAAGGCACCAAGGCATTAATATATGCCTTAGGCATAAGTACTTGCTGACTTCGTCAACACCCCTAACTACTTGGAAGAGGGGTCGAGGGAAGGTAGACCACGTCGGCATCCACAGGCTGTTATCAAGTCCGTCCTCGTTCCTTATGTCGCTCCTGGTCACTTACTATAGTCATTATTGCTTCTCAATTACTCATGGCGGAAACAGAGTATGTTGTGGAGACAGTGTCTTGTCTAAGGAAAACCAAATCTAACAAACGCTCCCACCAGCTTCCCGGCAATTCGAGCCTGCATTTTTGATCTGGATGGGCTTCTCATCAACTCCGAAGATATGATCACGCTGGCCACGAACCAACTCCTCGAGCAATATGGAAGGCCCGCTTTAACTGCGTCCATTAGAGCCCAGCTTATGGGCGTCCCGGACTCGACCAATGGCGACGTATTCCACAACTGGGCGAAGGTGCCTATTCCCCGTGAACAGTTCGCCGGTGAATTGAAAGACCAAATGCGAAAGAACTTTCAGAACTGCACACCACTGCCAGGCGCGGAGAAACTTCTGTTGAACCTCAGTCGCGCACGGAATGCTGCTGGGGACAGGATTGAGTTGGCATTGGCATCTAGCACCAAAAGCCAAAGATTCGAATTGAAAATTTCCAGGCCGGAAACGAAACAGTTATTAGGCTTTTTCCCGCCCGAGAGACGTGTGCTTGGTGATGACTCGCGGGTACGCCGGGGTCGAGGAAAGCCGGCGCCTGACATATACTTGGGTTGCATTGCAATCGCTGAAGTCAGACACAAACACAAAGCCCATCCTGCCCAGCGAATGTTTGGTGTTCGAGGATAGTGTGCCTGGAGTAGAGGCTGGAAGACGGGCTGGGATGAGGGTCATCTGGGTACCACATCCAGACGTGGCGGCCGAATATCAGGAAAGCTCGGGGGCGATACATAGAGACAACTCGCATGTAGGAGAGGTTGACGACGGCTGGACTGAAATCATACCGAGTCTGGAGGAATTCAACTACGAGAAGTACGGGATTGACGTGCGGTTTTAAATGTCTCTATAGAACAGGTCCACTACTAGAGGTCTCGGAGACTTCGATACAATATACTAGAGGATCAGAAATGCATTACTATTATTGAATCACAATTGATGGCAACTTCCATAACCACCCAGGTGCCCCAGAAGATGATTGCCACTGCTAGCACAAAAATGAGAAAGATCTCATCAACGAGCCCAGAAAGCAACAATCTCATCAAAGTCTTCCATTGTCAGGCTATTCATGTCTCGATCATCCTTAGTAATCTCCTTCCTCAAGCGACAAGCGACTCTAAAAGCAATGGAAGCCTTTTGATTTTTTCCAGTGGCCTCAAATAATTTTCCTTTGAGGAAGGTAGTGCGGATAGAATATACTGTCCAGGTCTGGATCAGATCCTGATCGTGCGCCACTTAAAATCTCAAGAAGCTCATAGCCTAGCATCAAAATTGTCTCCCATGAAGGTTTTTTTCCCCTGAATGGCGAAGGATACTCGTAAGCAAGGACGCGTGCTCCAGCACCGAAGCCAGGCAGATTAGTGAGCCACTCCGGGTTAGCAAATGGTCAGGTCCCTGGCAAGGGAGTTCCAGTGCCTGGAATGAGAACTATGCTATGTTTAATAATAAGTGGAAGTCCCGGCTTTTCTTGGCGGTAGTCAATTCTTCCTCACGCCATCCTGAGAAGAATCGACTTGATCTCGCAGAACGTAGAGTCGGCCGGTGGTGGACACAGAGCCCCTGGATGTCGCCATAGCAATATCAGTCAAAGATATCTAGGCAAAGAGAAATGAGATCACCGGTTGGAGAGGAATGAGACGGTTGGGAAGGTCTTTGTCAATGTTGTTGTGTGTGCGGGGCTGCCTTCAGTTACGCCGGGGTGCATATCACATGAACTCCAAGCATATACCTAGTAGTAATCCTCCGGAAAAAAAAATGGTGTATTACTACGAAGCATATGATGCAAGTTGAGATTCTGGTGAACGACGGTCAAGAGGTCTGCGGTAACTATATTGACAACACCGGGACTATGGACATGAAGATCGCTCCGTTATTAGTCCTATGGGGATACTTAAAGAGAGCCCTCACTCATCTCTATGTGGAGAAACCACTCCACTTATTTTCTTTCTATTCTCTAGTCCTCATACGTATTGTATGCATACGGAGTAGTACTGTACATGAGACTGAAGGAATCAGTCTGACAGATGGTAATCCTTCTTATTTTAAGGCAGGGAAAACATGTTTTATTCCCAGTCTAGTGGACATACCGTCTTTCAGTATAGCTGTGGCTTGATATAGGAGATTGTTGAGCGGAGGTTATCACAGAAAAGGATCGAATGCCCGCCAGAAAACAAAAGACATCAGAGTAGCGCTTACAGGCCCTATCACGGGTCACAACACGCCATATTACAGCCACACGTTGGCCAATCAATCTGCATATCACCCATTTGATGCGTGATAGAGCTAGATAAACATGGCTTGCTTACTGTTCAGCGCTTATTGAAACGGTCTGTCACCAACAGCCTTTTCGCTTCGCATAATCAGCTCCCTACGAACTGCTCACTGTCTCCATGAGTCGCTGGCATCATCCCTCCTGCACCGCACCCGATATCTTCGTAGATGCCGGTACTCCACAGTGCAGGGCCTGTAGCAGGCGCTATTGCGGGGGGCAACTCGCATCCCAAGGCTCGATTACGCGCAACGCGCCTCCGCAGATTCCCGCCAACGAACCGGCGGGACAATTGAATCTGCGATGGCCTCCGGTCGTTCCATACAGGGGAAACCTTTGCTCTCCAGGTAATCCGACATCGTTGCCCGCAAGCCTCGCAAAAGCAAATGACTCGGTCATATTCTGTGAGACGCTGTCGTGCGAGGAGATCCGATTAGCACGACTAGAATCTTCCGGCGATGAGAACTCACCTGTCCATCTATCACTCGAGAAGCATATGTTGGCAAACACCCTGGAGTACGAAACAGTATCATACATGTGGGGAGGCGAGGACGGTGACTATACACCAAGCAGACCCGTGTTTGTCGGCTCTTATTGGGATGTTATTTTGCAAACTCCGAACTGCTGGGGCATGCTGAAGACGGTGCGCCCGCGACAGGGATCACGCCTTATCTGGGTCGATGCACTCTGTATTAATCAGCAGAACGACGTTGAGAGGGGCGAACAGGTCGCCAACATGAGGAGGATTTACGAGCAATGTATGCAGGTCATCGTATATCTCGGTCCAGACTTGGCTACGTCCAATGTTGCATCGCGATACCGCCTGCATGAGCTTGAAACACACTTCGGTTCTCTTGCTTTGACCCTTCCGATATCGTTGCATGATATTCTCAAGCGCAAATATTTCAGTCGGATATGGGTTATTCAGGAACTTGTTCTTTCCCAGCGCGCTCTTTTCCGTATCAAACATTACGAGTTCTGGGCCGACTCGCGCACCGCCCATTGCCTACCGCCATCGTGGAGCTGGGACTCGACTGAGGCAAGGTGGGTTCAATTCATGGCCACAAAGACACTCCCTGTCAAGAATATTCTGGAACTGTTACAACTTGCATCCCAATCGCACGCTTCAGATCCGCGGGATAAATTGTTTGGTCTGCTTGGCCTGTACCAAGGAGATGCCTCAGCGCAAGCCCTGCCACCGGACTACTCCTTGTCAGTACAGAATGTATTCCTCGGTTTCTTTGCATACTGCCTTGTTAATCTGAAACACGTGGATCTCCTTTATCGCGCTGCGGGACTGGGAGCACCCAAATCATCTCCTTCCTGGGTGCCTAACTGGGAGGCTGATTGGCCGCACATCTTCACCACACCCGCAGTTGATTCAGACGAGATGGCCGGTCGCATCACCCAGCATATTGGTTGTAGCAAACTCGGTATCCTTCAACCAGACTCCAAGGCGCCTCGCTGGGCCCGCTCTTTGATATTCCGAGACCAACCCCAGTCTCCTGAGTGGGCCGAAGCTCTCTTCCACCGACGGCCCTGGTTCCACGATGCCAGCATCCATGCCAATACAGGCGCCCTGAGGGTATACCTGACGCACTTCTGCGCTATATCCCGCCGGCCCAGTCTAGTGGATACAATTGGGTCCTCTTGTTTGTTCGAAGTTCTTGGAAACAGCTCTCGCCTGTTCCTTGCCTCAGAGACAAACCTGGAAAGCACGGTCGATCCCACAGACGACCACCTCTTCATCCTCAATACCGGGAACTCGAAGCTCATCTACCTCATCCTGCGCCCGTTAGCCTACCCGAGAACATATAAAATGATCGCCGCCTGCACCCACCTATTCATCCACTTCCATGGCGGTATCACACCATTCCGTTCGCTCTCCATCTCCAGCGTCGCCGTCGGCATCAGCGTGATCCGCTCCGGTCTTAACATTTCTATGGCCGACCTGACAGGCATGAACATGTACTTCCCCAGCGCAGAAACTGGCTGGGATACCCTCTCCGCGTACTGGGGCATGTACAGGCAGCAAGACCACACCTCGCCCGCATTCCAAGCCGCCTATCTATCCTGCATCGACCCGGTGTATTGCCCGCGAATAGTCAATGGCTTCATCGAGCTGACTATCAAGTCATACCCCAAGCACTGGCCTCATTTCGGGGACGGAATTCTCCCATCCATGGGGGATGTCGTCTCGATATGTGGGTTTCCAGGCATTCCAGGCATTACCATGTCTTTTCGGGGCACGTGGGAGAAACGCAGGTTAGGCTTATGGACTCAGGCATCTATGTTTTGCAATCATTGGACCGAGGCTACCAAGTGGCGGACTCCGCTATCGGTTGCCTGGAGTGCGATGCAGGTGTGGTTCAGATTGGTGATGATGGTGCATAGGATTCTAGGGTGTAGTTGCGAGGAGCTGGAAATGTTAATCCGGCGTGGAGTGCCCGATGATGACGACAGATGTCATCTGTTAGGATTGGTGCCGGGTGAGTTAGAGGACGACTTTGCGGCTGATGGACATACCTATCAGGTTGATATTTTGTAGGCATCTCTCTGTTCATAGTCATTATCCTATGTCCGAATACACGAGTATCTCTCTCGGGCTCGTGTGGGTAGCAGCTTTCCAAAGCATTCCTTCCTGACCCCGTCCAGGACCTCACCCCATACATCTGCCGAGTAAGCGCCTTGCCAGTGACGATAATTAGCAGCGCACTCAAAGCGGATAGTGGTACCAGCTAAGTAATGGGGCAAGTGCGGAAGGGCCGGGCCGGGTTGAATTATGGCCCGCCAATCTTGTTTCGGCAAATTGTCGTAAGGCGGATGACCATTTTGCTTGCTTCAAGTGGCTTCATCGCTTCGAGAAACTATTTCAGAAAGCATCCTTGCTCTTAGTCATGTTGGGGGTGGGTGTTGGTTGTTGGGCCAGCGGAGAGGTTAGAGGGGAGGCTGAATGGTGGGAGACCGCTGCTGGACACTCCCAGCGTGTACTTAGTTAATCCATCTAGTTAATTGCTGCTGTCTATGCCGGCCGCTCGCGAAATCTTTGCCTGTGGCATAATGTGCAAATGTACCAGCGTGCCCTGACCCTGGGTGGTCTTCGGGTGATGAACTGCCGCCTGAAGCCGCCTGAAGGTCGCCTAGAAAACTAAAGCGCCAGCACCGAACGATAGGCGCTAAATGAGGTCGGCCATACTTTGGCTGCTGTATGTTTTTCTTTCTTTCTTATTTTCCCATCATCTTCTTGGAAGATTTCTTCCTTTCCTATTACCTATGAGGGGTCTCCAATAGATCGCCTTTTTGTAACAGGGCGGGGCACACAGGAAGTATAACGTCTCGCTCGCAACATGATATATTCTACTATAACCTGCACTATAAAGTGACTAGAATTCGCGTGACTCCTCGGGCTGACAGCTAGGCTCGTGTCTTAGCTATTTTGCTATCCAGCATCATGGCCGTAACTTTTGATGGACTTGCTCGGGATAATGCAAGCCAACAGGCCCATGGAATACAGCCTTCGATACATATGAGGTAGGTAGTGTCACAACAACAGCGTAACAGAAGGGTATATATTTGTCTTCCCGCACGAAATGAGCACATACGACCATAGGGTGTGGAGAACAGGGCTTCCCGTCCGCTCAGCCGTACTTAAGCCACACGCCGGCCGGTTAGTAGTTGGGTGGGTGACCACCAGCGAATCCCGGCTGTTGTATGTTTTTTGCCTTTTGTTGGATGGTGGTAAGGGGTGGCTATGCCCAAGCCATAGAAACTTTATGGGCGTTCTTTGAAGAGCAAATCAGGGAACGATTTAACAGTGGTCACTACGTTGAGGATGCCACGACCTTATCGAGCTAGTCACTCTGTGTGGTCTCAGCGATTAGCTGTTTTCCAAAGACTCGGTCTCTCATTAAAGGGTTGTGCCACCTATTCGACAGTAAGAAGTTATGGGTACTTCAAATATTATCAGACAGTACATATGCAGTATCCTAACATATGAGGAAAGATCATGGTACAAGTAGAAGTAGTTCCCCCTATCTCCGACCAGGAAGAAGGGATAGATCACTCCACGTTTTCTTGAAGCGAGAGTGCTGCAGTGGAGTGCGCCCTGAATATTGGCATGACCGCTAGATAGCCTCTGCCATGCTGATGCATAGTTTAACCGTTGATGATTGTTGAAGGGAATGAAGGTTGCATAAAAGCTGAGGCCAGTGATCCTACCAGGCTAAGGCCATTTTATGACGATTCCAGCATGATAGATGCTTCTTTTGATGCAGCGCATACGGTCAAATGACTCTTCATATGTTTTCAGGGCCTCGCGGGGGTCTTCCGGTCCAAAATTGGATGTCTCCCAACCACACAAGCTGATATCATGTGGCAATAGGACGTGTTCGCGTGCTCCTCTCGTGTCCACTGGCACCGAGGTGATTTGTGGAGAAGGTAAGGGGGAAGTTGTATGAGAAAGATCAGCTCTGCTTTCGTGACTCGACATGGTGAAAAACGACAGCTCTGGCAGAATGGAGCAAACTCCGGGGTAAATGAAGGAGATATAGTCTTCTAGATCACGTTACGTTGCATACATCAAAGGAAAGAGAAGGTCAGGTGGTACGATTGTCTCTTACTTTCATTGGAGTATAGTCGAATTAAGGAACCTTCTAGTTCCATTTTGATTGGATGGAAGCCTCCCCGTTAACGTCTGGGTTTATCATTGGTGGAAAGAGGGTTTTCTCACATCCGCGGAGACGTGACACGGCCGGAAGGCGACAGCTGGAGCTGGCCAGAATCCTGGACTCATGGGACAGTAGTGTAGAAGCTGGCACTGGTAGGCTAACCACCAGGGAACCATTTCGAACGCCATGGATACATTATAGAAAATGTCGATAACATCTATCGTCAAGAGATTTGCTAAGTGGCTTGCCAATATTTCACCCTACCATGCAACCACCGCGGCTCTAGACTCCGTCTCCGGGAGTAGGTAATGACATCATTTGTCCAACAATAACCCACTCTCTCACGTCAACTCGAAACCAATGTTGCTATCCACTTCATACAGCCTTCCACTCCGGTCTATTAGACAAGATCTAGACGGATGATGTAGCAGCAAGCTTGCCTAGCGCTCTAAATCATCTTCACAGAGCAGATAAAGTTTTCTATCTCAAGCTGATTGGTCTGACAATGTCTGTATGGACAGAGCGACTCCAGGCCACCTGTATTCACCGCTATGTTGGCTGTCGGCTGAGTTGTATCGAAGGGGTTGCCATACGCGAGCGAAACCGGACATATATCTGCATAGACGATGCTTCAGTTTATATCCTAATCAAAAGCTGCTGCTCTATAGATAAGATTATCAGAGATAGTTATAGGTATGATCGAGCTGGCCTTCATCGTCTTCCTCTAGGAATAATACCATGATCTGGATCAGATTCCATCTCCTTGACATTTAATTACTCTTCATATCTATCTAAGGCTCAGGACCTAATGCTGACAGTCAAATCAGTGAATAACTCAAACTTCACCACGCAAACGTTTCTCACGCATTCATATGGGCATATTACTTAGGTGTGACTGGATCTTTTGATTTTCAGGTATAAATAAGGGTCTGCAAACCTCACATATCTCATCTACTACCATTACTACTACGCATGCCTCCTCCTGCTGCGCTTTCGCACCAAATGCACGTCGTGCCACATATCTCTTTATTTTTAAACCCGAAGACCTGTTCATCAACATGACTGCAATCGAATACTAATAAATAAATATCTATTATTTTACGCTATAAAATATAGATAAATGGCTACCAGACAACATTCGCCACCGGCTTCTTGGAGACGATAATTCTCTGGGTTACAACCTTGGACTGGCGATGTATCACTTGTCCGGTGCATCTAGCCTTGGACTACAGCAACGGAAAGCTCATGCGTCTTCGCGTTAGAGCCAGCTTAGAAGCGCATTTTTTGCGAGACGATGTGGACCCTAAGATCAGAACGTGGATTCCCTTCAGGAAACAGGAAGCATCGTCTGGTAAGTGGTCCTATTGATTGTGTGTTTCGATATGGATTCTCCTTGATGAAAACGGAACTAAAGTTCGAAATAAGAACTATCTGTTCTAACATAGGCGTTCCGTCCACCGACATTATGATGGGAGGAGCTACAGCCCACAAGATGCCGGGTGGACAACGTGCGAAGTAGCCCGATTAATACCTGTGGCTGCTAGCCGCCAGCCCCTAGCAGGTAACCCCCATGGCTAGCCAACCCTTGTTATCGAAACTGGGGTGTCGGAGCCTCTATCACGCCCCAGGAAGATGATCGCTGGTGGTTTGAGAACTCCTTGGGAGAAGACCGCCTTGTCCTTAACATGGCTACCACTATCATTATCCATAAATGGCAGCTTGCTCCGCCAGAACTGCTTCTTCCGCACTTTCATCGGGCAATAGCCAATAGCCCGAATCGCGCTCCAGGAGATTTCAAACCGTCCTAGAAATGGACTACTGCGCTTGCTGAGGACGATAATCCCAGTTACCGCATCAAGGACAAGCAAGTACTCACCGAGGTCAATTGCTACATGAAGCAGCAGCAGACCGGGTATGGGTTCATTCTTTGCGAACAAATATGCAATAACAGAGGTCAAGTAGTCAACTCTCCTCTGACCAGGCTGAGAAACAATCAAATCCGTTCCCAGTCCCCGAATAGGATTCAACGGGCAGTCAGTAACTAGCAGCCCTATTCAGGCCAGGAAGTTGAGATCAGCCCTGCAAGTATCTCAGGCGCATCACTTGTCTTGAACTTCCATGCGGTGTTCGACCGCTAGGCCACCAAAAGCGTGAACACACTAAGGAGCCCTTCGTTCTGAGATCAAGTTCAAGTTGAGCTCGTGTTCGGGTTTAGCATCATCTTGGCGTGGCTAACGTGCTCGACTTCTTCTCCATGGACGTCTTCGGGGTCATCTATTCGTGGTCTGCGTGCGGATCTGCATTGCGGCTACAAAAATGTGCACGAGAAAACAATGTAGACGGGATGCAGCTGATTCAAGAGCTCGAACAGCTACATGATCCTCCCTGAGCAGAAGCCTGGGCAACTTCGCGACCCCGGAGAGGGAGGCCGAGCAGTCCACACCCACGCAGAGGGTCGACCCCGACCAAGAGCAAGAAGGGCGGAAATTTCGTCTGCACAGGCTGCTCCACAACCCGCTCCGGACCCCGCGATGACGCTCAGGCCCCTTTAATGCTAGGGCCTGTAAGGATCAACTAACGATATAGTTCTTCCAAAGCTCCCTACAGTAATGTATCTTGTCAAAAGTAGTAATTATGGAATTCTTCCCAGGGTATTATCTTGATTATGTAGTTAGGACAACGTAACTAACGTGATTTGCATTGTAGAAAACCTCGGGTCACTCAAGGGCTATCAGGTAGTAGGTTATGAGCAGGTAATAGTTGAATATCCTGACCCACTGACTTCAGTTGGCGGCGAGAGATTTAATTGGACCTCTGACCCTGCAGAACAATAAATATCTCAATACTGACTTGGTGATTGAGAATCAAGATATGAAGCGCCCATAGCAAGGACTGTGTCCCATACCTCGCACGATAGAAAACATGCCATTCCCTTTGCCTTACGTACTTATTTCCCCATTTCAAGCTAAATTCATGTTGAACTGGCTCACTTTGACCGAGCCCCCAAGTGAGGTAGTTGCATAATTGAAGATTGCATACCGATAACCCATGAAGAACTGCCACGCGTTGTTGAGCACTAGAGCATTTCCCAAGGACTTAAAGGTCGATCCGTCTGTGCTGTATGAAAACGTGCCCTGCTTGCCGCTTCCTGGATGAATATCTGCTGTCGCACGAAGCCAAATCTTACCCCCCGTCACTGTCAGCCCGGCCACTTCATACCCTGTATTTGCCGTGGTCCAGTCGGAATTCATCGTCAGACCGGTAATCATACACACGCGGAACGTCCCTCCGTCATTCTTGATGCCGATCCATGCGGACTGGTCGCGGAGAAGCGCAAGACCCGCCCTGTCTCCAGGCTTCATTTGGGAGTAATCCATCACGATAGTTGCAGTGGATTTAGGGCCGAGGATGCGATGGGTGAGCGTGTTGCGAGCCGAGTACAAATCCCACGTTTGCGTAGCCGTCTGGAGCTGCAGTCCGTTGTTGACGGTGAATTTGGATTTGTCGGGGTTATGATTCCACTCCCACTGCGGGCCCAAAGAGGTTCCGCTGAAGTTGTCCTGGACGCTCGCCGGTTCCAAGACCCGCTTTGGTAGGGGATAATCGTAGCTGGAGCCCCAGCCGCCGTTCACGGTGGTGATCACTGGGAATCCGTCCGATCCCCAAGTAATAGGGGCAAGGACCGGCACCCGGCCTCCAGGGTAGGCGTCGACAAACGCCATATAGTACCATGCGCCGTTCTGGGTTTGGACCATACCTCCTTGGTGTGGCACACCGCCACCGCTGATGGGAGTGGGCATGTTTAGCAGCAGTTGTTTCGCCGTGTACGGACCCCACGGGCTGCTGGCCTGCAGCACATACTGGCCGTTGGCAGGGTGCGTGACAAAGATATAATACTTGCCGTTGATCTTGTAGAAGCGAGACCCCTCGATAGTCCCGATGGACGATGGGGAGGTGAACACGACCTGGGACCTCACCTCGCTCAGCCCGTCGGCCGAGAGCTGGGCGACGCTGATCTCGGTGTTTCCGTATGCAACGTACATGGTGTCCGTGTCCGGGTCAACGAGAAGGCCTGCGTCGTAGTAGCATTTCGGAATGGACGATCGCTTAGTCCACGGCCCGGCGGCAGCGGGCGCCGTGTAGATGTAGGTGGTGCCGAACTCGATGCAACCACCCCAGTAGAAGGTTTTGGTGCTCGGGCGATAATTCAAAAATGACGCCCAAATGCCCTTGACATACGCCCGCTGGCCGTTCGTCAGGTCATATTTGGACGACCAGTCAAGGACGGGGACGGAATGTCCGATGAACTGCCAGTTCACCAGATCATACGACTGGAGCACCGGTGCCCCGGGCGAATAGTGCATCGTCGACGCGGAGAGATAGAAGACATTGTCGACTCGGAAGATGTCCACGTCCGCCAGGTCTTCCCAGATCACAGGGTTGGTGAACTGCTCGGCCGCAACCATGAGGGCAAAGGCCAGAGACAGGAGTCTTGCAAAACACTTCATTGCAGAGTGTGAGAACCAGACTATATATTAATGTGGGCAATGTTGACGTCTGTTTCACTGATTACTTTATTGCAAGGCGCCTTATATAGTCCTTTCTGGACGGACCGTGGGCACCGCATTGAATCTGGGGTGAACATGCGCTCCTTGCCCACTCGTTCATGGTAAATTCCGGCGGGGTATAATATCAGGAATTCCTGGGGAAGGGTCCTCGAAGGGTCCTCGGTGTGTCCAAAAATGGAAGGCAAATAGCCTGAAGGCTCGTATTTCTACTCCAGATTGATGGAAAATCTAACTTAAAAAGAGGTAACATCGAACCTGCATGGGTGTCTCCAGAAAGAAGCCAAACTTGCCGATGCTTTGAATGCAGCAGACTACCCTAGCAGACGGCTGAATCCCCATTTAGCATAGCCAAAAAGTAGTTACCCCGGTTAATTTAGCAGTGCGGGGGTGGGCTCGCAAGCGTATAATACTACCGGCAGTTGCACCAGACATGATAGCCGGTATTTGGCAGGTCAGGACAAGGATTTATGCATCTCTGAGACAGCTGTGTGCGCCGGGTGGGGAACGAGGTTGAGATAGATTGGGCGTAGGCCAGGAATCGTGGTTTCGTACGCTTATGATCCAGCATCTTGCAGGCATCAGGGCGCGCGAATAAACCTCCGTGATATACATCTCGGGTCCAAGATTAGCGTATACCATCCCAAGCAGCTGGAGCTGGGCTAAGCTAGCGTAGTAGCTCTGTAGATAGCGTGACTGTTCCAATCTCATCGATGTAAGCCCCGTGCCATGCCTGAACAGCGCAGGAGATCTTGTTGGTCACAGTGTTTATCTGGGACCCAGGCATGGCGGTCCGGTGATCACTGTAGAAGTGTTCGGTGCCCGTCCCAATATACCGGACCGTCTCACGCATATCTGAATACCAATGGAACATGGTCCTCACACAATACATCATACCAGGGGAAATAAATGACTTGTCTTTCATTCATCCCACACGGAAGATTTCCGGACTCTGGCGGTTGTACTTCTTCAAGAGCAATGAACCCCCCTGACTCAAGGTGGCAGTATCGGCCGAGTGTCCGCTGCATTCCAACAGGTGCTCACTGACTCGTATAAACTTTGCTTAAACACGTCAGGAGGAATTGACAGGCTCCCACTTCATCAAAGCCAGGCGGCTAAGGAGAGGAGAGAGACACCTTGTATAATTCTTTCCATAGGCAGGCCGGCGATAACGACGATTCCGCCCGAGTGGCATTTCCGGGATACCCAAAAGTGAATAACCATTCTGGTAGAGGCTACTCCGTGAATCCTGCGACAGAAAAATCCTCCAGACTCCGGAGCTTGGCGGGTGGGATGAGACGCGGTCAATTCCCGAGGACTGAAAGGACTCCGTAGTGGGCCCTTTTTGTAGTCGGTATATTGGACTCCAGACTTGGCGTTCATGCTTGTGGTCTCCGCGCCCCATTTCCGGCGTTTAGTGCAGTTTGATATCGGCGCCCTGACTCATGATGAAACATCTAGGGCTTAGCTTTATCAGGTAGCTGGTCTGGGCTCTGGATGAGCTGTGTAGCTGATAGTCCCCAGAACCACCCTTGCTGATATGGAGAAAATCGATGCAGAGGTCTCTTCGCTTTTTCGGCTAGAGATCCTATGTAACTACTGCATGTAACTACTGCCTGAGAGCGTCTCCAGCAGCCATCACGAAGCCCTGGGCATGGATGATACGATAAAGAGAAGCTCGATACCGCCGTTTGGATCTGTCCCGATTCAGGGTCTTGAAACAGCGGTCTGAGACAACCCGGACGTGCGCTAGGTTAGAAGTATAAGGCTCAGTGGGACCACCAACTACCCGACAAACAAGGCTTTGATAGCTCAGGAAGATAAGCATCCTTCGCACAGGTATAAATATCCCATCATCCTGTGGTCTACAGTTGGTTTCTGGACAACACATCGCTCTTTATTATCTTCGTTATTTAGCTGGTCTAGAACATCTTTCTTTCTCTTTCGTCGTCACTCTTTATATCACGATGAAGTACCTTCCCACTCTTTTCGCGGCTACAGCGGCGCTGGCCCCCTCTGCATCTGCGCACTACATCTTCAGCAAGCTCGTTCTGAATGGTGAAGTCTCCGAGGACTGGCAGTACATTCGCGAGACTACCCGCAGCGAATGCTACATGCCCACCAAGTTCACCAACACCTTTGACAACCTGACCCCCAACGACAGCGACTTCCGCTGCAACCTGGGCTCTTTCAGCAACGCCGCCAAAACCGAGGTTGCGGAAGTCGCTGCCGGTGATACCATTGGCATGAAACTTTTCTACGATACCTCCATTGCGCACCCTGGTCCTGGCCAAGTTTGTATGGGCACCCGTTCGCCTTTTTCGCGTCCCATCTGCTAACGAAGTTTTGCCCAGTCATGTCCAAGGCGCCGTCCGGCAACGTCCAGGAGTACGAGGGCGATGGCGAATGGTTCAAGATCTGGGAGAAGACCCTCTGCAACGAGAACGGCGACCTCACCAAGGATGCCTGGTGCACTTACGGCATGTCGCAGTTCGAGTTCCAGATCCCCGAGAACACCCCCGCGGGCGAGTACCTTGTTCGTGCTGAGCACGTTGGCCTCCATGGCGCGCAGGCCAACGAAGCCGAGTTCTTCTACAGGTGAGCTGAATAGCTGAATCAATCCTTTGTGCCGGGGAGAAGGAAAGCTGACTGAGTTGTACTGTACAGCTGCGCTCAAATCAAGGTCACCGGCAGCGGCAACGGTTCTCCCAGCCAGACATACAAAATCCCCGGTCTCTACAACGACAACATGAAGCTCTTCAACGGTCTCAACCTCTGGGTCGACTCTGCGGATGCTATCGAGACTGATATCCTGGACACGCCTGTCGGAGATGACGTTTGGAACGGTAGCGGTAGCAGCAGCAGCAGCAGCTCGTCCGGCTCTGCGAGCTCCGCCGCCGCCGCCGCTTCCAGCACTCCCAGCTATTCCGGCTATTCCAGCTACGGCCAGCAGTACTCCCAGCAGTACTCCCAATGCGGTGCCAACTAGACACGGTCCACTGCGTCTGCGTTAGGTAGCCCTGTACTGCCAACGTTGGGTTTTCTGGAGTTGGTAATGTGTGGGCTGGTACTCCAGAATATCGGTTTTGCGATAAAACGTGTACTTGGGGTTGTTAGGTTTGGTGCTGGTTCCTCGCTTCTACTGTGTGTTCAAGTCAAGATTTGAGTACTCCCAAAACACACATGAAGAATGAAGGAGCATTGTATAATTGTTCGTGTGATCTACTGATATACACGCCTGTCTTTGTCAATAATAGTTCTGCATATTTGATTGTCTGCTTAGTGCTCCTACAGGCACTGTGCAAGATCTAGTTTATTAAATTCACAACTTACTTGTTGGGAAATGTGCCTGGCAGTTAAACCATTGGGCCCAATGAGATTTAGGCTTACGTCTGATGAGCCCGTCTTCTTAGTGGCATCAACACAAGACCTACAGCTCACTATGTTGCAGTCGTCTCTCTTATCGAGTCACTCTTACGCTGTCTCTGACAACCATTTAGATGGTAGTAATTAGTAAAGCATTAGAATACAACACGCAGAAAATTTTGTATATATAAAACGGATTGCTAAACATAGATATAAAAGAGAAAGGAATAGGAATCACTCAGGAGATTCCTCACACTTGTATATAACGCAGGGGCAGTGACTGTCTCAGAGCTTTCCGCTAATAGGGGACCGTGACGATGAACTAGCCTTGACTGCTAATTTATGGTATCTTCATCCATATCCGGTGAAGCCAACCATTTAAGATCCTCCAGGATCTTCGGCTGCTGTTTGCTCTGCGGCCCACGCTTTTCCAAAGCCAGTCTCTCAGCTTTTGGCAACCTCTTCACGTTTGTTTCTTCAGCCATCTTGATGATCATGTCGATACGATCCTGGCGACGTTTGTGCCAGAGTCGTAGAGCTTCGTTCGCATTTGCTTTGCCCGATAACGACTTCAATAAACCAGCAAGTGTGGAGGCGTCCTCCAATGCTTGGTTGACCCCTTGGCCTGACGAAGGAGGCAGTGCGTGAGCAGCGTCCCCGATGATGATAACTCGGCCGGCGGAGGAAGCCCAGCTGGACAACTTTGGCATGCGATGGAAAGGCCAGAGCAGAAGCCCCTCTTTTCTCGTTGACAACAAGTCCATGATAGATCTCCCGGCGGGGCCCCATTGTTCGTAGTCTTTACAAAACATATTGTAAAGTTTGTCCGGCTCATGCGCCAACGCTTCCCAACCAGCACGGTCAAGAGCTGGGAATGGAAACTGCCGGCCAACCATTAAATCAGAGCCATCATGATCCTCAGGAATCATGAACAGAGCTCCAGGTTCATCTTGGATCGTGCATGCTTTATCGGCTTCTTTGGCTAGCCAAGAGACCTCATCCGTAGGCAAATGGCCATAGATGCAGACGAGGCCCACGTATTCGGGTAGAGCTGGAGTAAGATATTTGCGCACCGTGGAGTGGATGCCATCGGCTCCTACTAAGACGGAGGCGTGCTCGACTCGGCCACTGATGAGAAACGCTATGCCATCCGCCGATTCATCAACGACCTTTTCGAATTTCGCGCCATATTCGACAGGAATTTTCAATTCCTTCAGAACTGCTGCGAATTCTTGTTTCAGGATCTGGCGGTAAATTCGATGGCCCTTGTACTCAGAAATTTCTTTTGTGGCGATATTGATGCGGTTCAGAGTGTTGCCGTCTGGATCCTTGAATGTATGAGTTTCCGTTTGGTAACTCAGAGGTGCAATGCGTTGCAAGACGCCGAGAGAATCAAGCACACGGCTCCCATTGGGTCCCAAAGTCACCCCGCTGTTGAACGTTTCTGAATTTTCACTCCTCCTCTCGTAGATCCGACACGGGATGGATCTTTGACTGAGGGCGATAGCTAAAGCCATCCCCTGCTGCTCGTCAGACTCTCGACATAGTAAGGGGAAGCAAAAAGATAAAGACTTACACCAAGGCCCGCGCCAATGATAGCAACATCCTCGATCACGTTTGCCATCTTGATATCTCAATGCTGCTTCTGTTGTGTTCTGAGCTGCACCAAGGTCCAAGGCCGGGGGCATTTATGTATTTCATCCACAGGCCTTTGGATGGCTGTATGCCGTATATCGGGCTCGGGCTCGGCACTTGAAGAAGCTGAGATACCAAAAAAGGCCGTTAACATGTTAACACGCTGATTCTCGCAGCATCGCCGGGGGATGCGGGCGAAAGAAGTGCCGTGTGTGCCCATGATCGTCGGCGTAGAGGTACTACGGACACATTTAGCAGCGCCTTCTGCGGTTCGGAGAATGCTGTACTTCTCCAGAAGGAGCCCTGTTTTGCCAAAAGTAGCAATCCTTACGGCCGTAAGGACTCCAGTCATTCTCCATCGCTCTCGCCTCTCTTTTTGCCGACATGCAGATCCTCCCAAGACAGGACAACTAAAAACTGCCCACTCTTCTAAGCGGAGTTCGACTACCGTACGTTTCGAAGTTCACTAGCTATGCATGACAGACACCACAGTTCTGTGAGCTACTGCTGGCTCACCTAAGTCCAGGTTGCAACGATCAGCGAAACGCCGATGGTCCTAGCATTCTAACACACGCAGTGTATACGAATGGGAAGCGAAACGGACTTTGAGGTGAGTAATATTTGAACTAAGTGTGCCACATGTGCAACTATTGTCCTACGTACAGGTATACTCCGGAAGTGGTGCCGAAAGGAAGTACCTGTACATAGGGCTTAATCTAGTCTCATATAGTGGGTACCTACGGCCGAGAAACCTTCCGTTCCAAGTAAAGATGCGCGAGTGACCATGGATCTAAACAAGGGCTTGCAGCTCGGCGGGACCCAAATGGCAGATACTCCCTTTCCAGATATAATACTAGAAAGAAAAATAAATACTAAAAAATTGCTAAAAATCATAATTTTAGGTAGAGGAATATTTAGATAGTAAATAACCCTCTATTTTTCAAGGGAATAATTACAAAATTTCTTTTTAATTTTTTGAAAGGTATGATTTGGCGATCGGGACCTAAATAATTAAAGAAGTCTAACGCGATGGCAGAATGGGTCCCGCCAAGCTGCAAGCCGATCTAAACAAAAGGGCCTATGGAGTACAGCGAGGATGCTTCCTATCCCAGTCCTGCTCCAAGAGATCTTTAAAACGGCTGGGCGCCCCTTTGTTTGGTAACTCCTGAGCTCTCCCGTAGTCGAAAGGATAGCATCTGCCCTTCGATCTCTCAAAATCAATTTACACCCTCAATTTTAGCCCCATGGCTTCGGATATAGATACAGACTATCTCATAGTTGGCGCAGGACCAGCTGGGTTGTCGTTGGGTTGCTTTCTCGGTCAAAATGGTGAGTGAGTGAGGCTGGGTTAGGCTGCAATTTCGCAGCGTGATGTACCTATGATCAATCCAACAGGGAAGTCTGATTAGGACATCTCCAGGCCTGAAAGGACTCATCATTGCAAAAGCTCCTGCCACAGCAAATACTCCCCGAGCTCACGGATTCAACCCGTTTGCGTTTGGTAAGCTCACCAATCTATTTGAACCTCTCGCAGCGAAGCTCTAGCTAACATAGGAACGCAGAATGTCTTCGTGATATCGGCCTTGGGGATGCGGCACTTGACCGGGCGACACGCGGCCCGGCGTACCAATCTATGCGTTGGTGCCGCAGTATGGGGGGTCAGGAATATGCGAGGCTGCTGGGATTTGGCGATAATCCCGCGAGTATGGTATGATTATCCACGTGGACACATCTGCTATCGTCGAGAGTTCTATACTGACTGATTTCATGTATAGGCCGCCACCGCAACCATCTCTCCATGCGAGTATGTTGACCTGCCACAATCGCACCTTGAACCAATCCTGCTTCAGCACGCATCGCAACACAACTTCCCAGTGCGTTTCTCATCGGAGTTGGTCAACATCGAACGCTGCGCGGGTGGCACTGTCAACGATCCGTCAACCATCATCTGCACTATTCTCGATCACATAAGCCAAAAGACTTACACTATTCGCACTCGATACTTGTTTGGTGCAGATGGAGCCCGCAGCCATGTCGTCCGTGCGCTCGACTTTAAGTTCATCCACAAGCCTAGCTGGGGAAATGCATGTAATGTCTTCTTCCGCGCAGACCTCGGACATTTTTTACACGAGGGACGCCTTGCAGCACTTCATTGGATCATACAACCCGAACGTACCATATTCCCAGGCGTTGTCGCTCATTTTCGCGCAGTCCGGCCTTCAAAGGAATGGGTCATGGTTTGCTTTGGGCCCGACGGAAAGAATCCCCTCGAAGGATTGACAACCGAAAGCTCAGAGATTACTGAGCTCGTGCGTGCACTTATCGGCGATGACACTGTGAAGATCGATATCCTGGCCGTGGATCCTTGGGCCGTACGTGAAAGCGTTGCCGAGGAATACCGCCACAGTGGAAGTAATGTCTTTCTTTTGGGAGATGCCGCACACCGACATCCGCCTTCCTTTGGTCTGGGGCTAAACACGGCCATCCAGGATTCGTATAACCTAGCCTGGAAAGTTGCATATGTCTCCAGACGGTTAGCTGGTCCTAGCCTACTAGGTACATACAGCGAGGAGCGTCAACCCGTTGGTGCTACCCTTGTCCGTGAGGCAAACATTGGCATACGGGCACAGGCAAAGATGTGGGAGGCTCTCGGCATGTATGAACCCAGTCGTGAAGAACGCCTCAACCAGCTTGCTCGGCTGACCGAGGCGACGGTCGAAGGAACCGCTTGTCGGGCTAAAATCCGCGATGCGCTGGATGAAATCGAGCTGGAATTGCTGAGATTGGGTGTCGCCTACAATCAATGGTACACATCAAAGGCCATCGAGCTCACGGACGAGCCTGGAAAGAGACCACCCTTGGAGGGGAACCCCATCACCACGCCCCAAATCAGCACGTTTCCAGGTACTCGACTGCCCCACGCGCGACTGGATCTCTCGACACGGCGGAAAGTCATCTCAACGCATGATCTGGCAGGGAAGGCTGCGTTCTGTCTTTTTATTGGCATTGGTGGTGAAGCATGGAGGGGAGCGGCTAGAACAATTTCAGAGTCTACGGGAATCCCCATCAACGTGTATGGGATCGGCTATGGCCTTGACTATGCTGACATCTATGGCGAGTGGTATAGGAAGCGTGGCGTTGAGGAGACGGGCTGTGTGCTGGTACGGCCTGACCGGTTTGTAGCATGGAGATCGCAAACGATGGTGTCAGACTGCCACGCTCAGCTTATGAAGGTTCTTGAGCGGGTTTTGTTCCGATATGAGCTGTGAATGAGCCGTGGACGCGGATATGTCGCTTGGTATGAAGTATGCAAATATGTTCGTCATTCAGCATTAAGCCCGCTGTGTCTTCCAACTGTTTCGACGTTCGGGAAGACTGGTGGTGGTTTGAGGTGAAGATGTGAGAGGAGTCGACCGCCAGGCGAGACACGCAAGAGGTACCCGAGCGGGATGTATCTAAAGAACTCTTTTGATAGCATAGCAAGATAGAATCACGTAGACTTTGCATGAGTCCACACAAGGTCAAGCACTACACTCACAAGAGGATTATAAAATGACTGTTTGAAGTCTGGGCCCCTGGTTGGTGGAGAGTGATATGATTGGCTCAATTATCTAGATGCATCTGATGGCCCTGACTTACAAGCCGCAGTCGTGCAGAACTCACTTTATGACAGAAGCAAGTCATCCCAAATGAATGATGCGAAAAGAGGATCCCAATCGGAGAGGCTCTCATCCCCCTCCAGGGCATTCGAATCCTGGCTGGAGGACCATCTGTTTGAGTCCCAGGCCTTTGAGCGAAGCGCATCCAGCCTTGGCCAATCTGGAGCGTCGGCCGAGAAAGTCGAGAAACATGATTCTGCCAGACCACGAAGCCCTTCAGACTCGGACGTATTGGGGTACTGTATAAGATCTTGAAGCACAATAGCACAGGCATGACGGACATTGAAGTGATCGAGAACCCATCGGTAGGGTTTAAAATCCGGGTCCGTGATGCCACTTAAAAACAGCTTGATATATTCCCGGCATGCGTGTAACGTCTTTTCTCTGGATGTTTGTGGCCATTGTAGACAGCGTAGATAAGGCTGATGAAGGATGTATATCACTTTCCAACAGCACATTCTTTGGCACGCGGAAATGAATCTTTCGAGTGCCGTAGTCTGGAGTTGATGTGAAGCGGCCATCTCGTCAGCGCATATGCTGCGAGCTTCCTCATCTAAAAGTTGAATCTTCTGACGCGTTGGCTGGTTAATGCCATATATATCATGTAAGACCTTTGAGAGAACAAGGTTTACCCGGTTTCTTGTGATCAGCAACTTGCACTCGAGCTGGCCTCTATCCACAAGCATCGCGACATCATAGCTTGCCGGATGAACCAAAGGCGGAACTGCGTGAGCCGTTGAGTAAGACGTATCTAACCCATAGACTGACCACCAAAGAAGACGTCTTATTTCGCTTTCGGGAGAGCTTAAGTGAAAGGAACATGGATCCCGATGCAGGCCAAGGGACTGAGCCGCACGTAGGAGGATGCAGACTGGACCTGGATCAGGTGCAAGTTTATGCTCGGTGATGCTAGGAGCAGCAAGAAGAAAGGCCGCACGGATAGTGTTTAAGTTGGGGCGCCGAGGATAGTCCGAGGAATGCAGCAATTGATCGGCTAGCTTACCCCATGAAGGAGAAGATATAAGGCTCTGTGGCTTTACAGTTCCCAAGGCCGCCGCAGAACGACTTGCTGCGTAGCAAATTGCCATGATTAAGGCTAAAGAGCCTGGGGGCGCAGCACCATGCACTCGTAAATTTTGAAGAGAGGTTGTCACCTCCGCAATATCGACGACAGGGTACCAAAAGTGGCAGTACTGTGAATACCACGAGATAAGCTGATCGACCTCTGCTTGCTGCAAGAAGCCGTTGATCTTCTCGGTGGCAATATCTGATGGCTGCTGCAATTGACCCAGAAAGCTTTGCTGCCAGGACTGTGCGTCGTCCTCAACTGCCGCTACCCAGGATGCGCTGGAGTAATAACGCGTTTGAGCACTGTCAGTCTTTGCTAGGTGGCCTTGTTGTTGAATTGGCACGGCTTCACTGAGATTTTCGCCCGATTCGAGCTCCGTCGTAGGGGTAGGTCTTCCTGGCGAGTCACAGGCTTTCGCCTTCTCAGCTTCGGATCCAGATATATAGAGGCAATGACGATGATGCGCTGCGCATTTTCGGCACTGTGGCTTTGACCGATCGCACCTGATCTTCCTGGAACGGCATTGTTGACATGACTGCACACCGCGGGCTCTTGAAAGCCTTGGGCGATCTAGATTGAGGCGAAGAACTCGTCCTGCATCTGAATCTTGGGGACTTGGAAAGACCATGGCTAAATATGAACGAAAAGCGTTAATGAGCAGAGAATACTTTTTTAATATGATGGAAGAGGGATGGTATCGCGATATAAACGAGAAGCCAGCTCTGGAGGTCAATTTTCCTATCGTCAGTCCAGGTTGGTGATGAGCACCTCGGACCACCGGCGCTGATGTTCCCTTGATCACATGACTCACAGACCATCAATACAATATCTGACAGGTTCTGCAGGAGTCCAAGGATGATTTAGGTTCTTCCCGTCGTGGCATAAGCAACAAAAGACTCACTAGCGCCTGGTTGTATCTTGGATCCGGGCCATCCGGCCCGTCGACGTCTGGTATAAGTGTTACATTTGACACAGGTATGGCATAATCTGCCTACTGTGCTAGCACTGAATAGCCTGATATGTAAATCTTCACTCAAATATAACCCATCCCTGACTAGATGTAACGGAGATTGTATCATAGTGTGAGGCTATCTATATCGTGGCAGTAAAAACAAACGGGAAGGAAAAGCACAAAGGTCAGCGGACCTTCAAGGACAAGTAGTGCATTGGGCTATGAAAACCAGTTCGAATCCCCCCATCAGTTCGTTAAGCAGATGACCGGAACGGGACGGGCGACCCCGGCGCCAGGGACCTTTCGTATGGTTTGGTAGCATATGCGTCTGGCGCGTGAGTCAATTCATAATCAGACGGACGGCTTAGAAGTCGCCCGATCTCCTGTGGATGCACAATATTAAAGACGACCATCGTGATAAACATTAGTAGAGCATCGAAAACGTATAAAAAGACCTCGTGGTGCAAGAGGTATCCGTTGTTTCCTTGAAGGTATTCAGCCAGTCGGAAAATGGAGCGAACCAGGATCAAGAAGCTCGCCAGATAAAGAACATGCAGATGTTTGGTCCAAGGGATGTCCGGAGTACAGGAGCGTGGGATTGGGTACTTCTTAATCTTCCAGTAGAAGTGGCTTGCTGTGACGATGAAGAACCCGAAGAAGAAGATTTGAACAAAGAGGCCGATGACAATGATATGCTCGCCGGTCTTCATGCTATCTAGATTCCCACTGCTCTGGATGCCACCACCTAGATTAGATTAGCTTGCTGTCCCATGCCCCGAATGGATATGAGATTCTTACCAGCTCCTTGCAGTAAGAATGAGAGCACATCGCCCGTTACAAAAATCTTCGTCAACCATTTCTTTCTCAATAAGGCATGTGATTCCGCTTGTAACATCAGGATAATGCGACCAAGGAGCATGTATACCGAGGCCGCTAAGAGGGCTGGAGCCAGCAAAAGAAAAAGTGTCTGCACGAGATATGGTCCAAGAGTCCAATTAGGGCTTTGTTGGCTGGACATGGCTCGTCCGATATATCCGATAATTTCAACTAAGCAGATTAGCATTGTTTCCGGCCCAAGGACCTAGGAGGTGCACCAACATATGCCGCCAATGACAAAAGGAACAAAAAACCACGTCCGGGACTTGAACATTTGAAAAATATGATACCCAGTTGTGCCGATGAAAAGGAGAGTGAAGACCGCGGCGGCACCCATGCTGGGATCATAGCGATAGAAGGCAAAACCGGCCCCATCAGATCCACTCGAATCCGACATTTTCGTATGAGGGGAATGAACGTCACTAATAGCGAATTCTTGAAAACCACAATAGCGAGAGACAAGAAAAAGGTCACTTCGAAGAAAAAGGAGCGGAAGGTTTCTGGAAGGACTAATAGAGAAAGATGCTTGCCACTGTACTGGAAATATTGGACCCTCCTTTGGCTATTTATATGGCAGCAAAGCTTCTAATGATGAACTAGGATGGAGATCGGTGGAGTCCACACATGTAGAGCATAGAGGCTACCGAGAAACTGGGACTTTTATGGATAGTGGTTTCAGGCTAGCTATACGAGATTGATACTAAGATCCATCTTCAGCGTATTGCACCAGGAACGCTCATAGCACATTGGACTATGCTCATCTGTACTTGTCTGCTCTATCACTCAGAGGATCCAAGTATAGACTTAAAGGCACTAGCTATGGCCACAATCTAGTAGCCCGAGGAGAAGATTACAAGATGAAATTGAATAGACTACCACTGGGCCGGACAAGGTCTAGGTAGTCTAGCTGAGGGTATATTGTATATTCTGTCTATTGGAAGCCGGAAGTGGAACTTTTAATTCCGTCTGGCATTGCCCCGGGACAGCCGCAGTAACAGCTCTTTACATGGAGTCCATCCCATTAGACTTCTATCAAGGCATGGTGGAAGGCAGGATGTTGACGGCGATAGGAAGCCTTTTCGCTCCATAAAATTGACTTACATAGGTACCACCGCATTACTGTCTCCCGGTTAGCGTCGTACAGGATGTCCAGGATTGGCTGTCGCATGGGCGCCATAGAGAGAACTATCTTAAAAAGTCCGACCTCAAATCGATAGGCAAGTTCGTTTTCGTATAAACGCCCCATGCCTCCGGCCGTATTCGTATAGCCGCGACTGACCCACTTGACCATAAAGAGTTGCTCTATACGTATACGAGTGGGCCCAGAAGGGGAGAAAACGATGGGAGTATAGGTTTGGGGCTTTTATAGTATGTGTTGGAGCAGGAGAAGGGATTGATAAATTTTCACCCTGGTTTAATAATAGTACAAATAGATTTGGATGAGATCCTGGTCCAAATCTGCGCGCGCTTCAGTCGAGGAATTCTTTCCCATAATATCAGAGTGCAACGACCCGGAACGTTACGGAAAGTAATGCATCTTCCAATGCAATATCAGACTCATGCAGAGGAAATTCTGACCGTCTAACGTGATAAACAGCGGTTACATGCCCTGAAAAAAAGGTCTAAGTATCAGCTTCCTCTCACCAAACCTCTCAAGGAAGTCTTCACCTTTCGACTACACCCTCTATTATACGATATAATTAAGTGTTCCATCACACAAACAGATCACTTCAATCATGTCTTGCATAGTAAGAGCATCCCCACAGCTTGCATTTGTATGACACTAACGCCATAAAAGAAAGACGAAGAGGCATCGCAGAGCTGGCGATCCCTTGAACACTCACCATCGCTTAAAGACATCTCCCATCTTGCTTCCAATGGAGAGTACCGCAGTTTTAGCTCAAGTGGTGAGGTAGTAGATTATAAGCAACTGAGCCCGGAGGAAATTACAAGTATGCTGGAATTCTTCGGAAAATATATTGACTCGGAGTCTTTCGAAGGAGAAATTCCATGGTGTGGATGGCAGAAACGTGACTGATTTGGAGCAACTGCTCCATCCAGGACCAGGACTGCGTCCTGTGAGATTCAATAAGTAAAGATCACGCAGTGTTTGTTGCTTCTATCTGTCTGTCTCGCCGTTGTTTCTATGCCCATTTACCTGCAGTAGCAGTAGTAGTTTTGGCTGAAGACGAACCTCTCTGCTAGTACATGATTTACAAGCAATAAAGGTTGTGTTGCTAATCTGATCCTTCGCTGCAATGTAGTAGAAACTTGGGGCTAAACCAATTATGTGCTGCTATATGCCGGACCACAGTCAATCCTGCCGAAGACAGGGATCCCAAGGCACTCTTTAGTTTTCTTTCATCCCTTGGTGGGCCCGCGGGTAATTCCCAGCCCAGCCTTTAATAATTCTGGCCTAACATATATAAGTTTCATTGTCCCCCGATTAGATTCTATTATCATAAGGCACTCTCTTACCGCTACTTACAGACCTGCGCAGCCGGGATGCGTGACGACTCATCAGAGGAAAAAGAACATTTCGCTGGGTACCGATGGTTCTACTTCTCTTCTCTAAGCGATGGGCCTCTGAAATCACGAGCCCAAAGATTTCTGGAATCAATTAACTGGACTTCACTTATTCAGTGTGCCTCTGCGAAGAGGAATGGGCTGGACTGCCAAGTACTACCCGATGTTGGTCTGGGATACAATCATTTAGTTCGAGTTATCGAATTTGCGGACGACACGCGATGGGTAGCAAGACTCAGGATGCCACCTCTGACAAGGAATGATGACGAAGCAGCAGACGCATGGAAAATAATGGAGAGCGAATACAACACGATCAACCTGATCCAGAAAGAGAGCAAAATTCCTGTTCCACATGTCCGCCTATTTGAGGCCAACCCAAGCTCCAGCGTTGGGGCACAGTTTATGCTCATGGACTGCCTCAAAGGAAATGTTGGCATGGACTTGAGAATGAAGATTCCCACTGAACACAAATTGGACGTCTACGCCAATATGGCTGAAATTCAGGTACGTAACTACTGCCACACATAGACACTCTGTTCTAATCTTTCTTCGTCTAGGTTGATCTGTTGAACATCCGGTTGCCGAAAATCGGGAAAGTCGTCGGGGTAAACAAGGATGGGACATACCGACAAGGACCGCTACCAACCCTTGGTGGTCCGTTCGACACTGCGGCGGACTATTTCAGAGCCTGGGCTGCTAAAGTGGAATTTGGTCTCTCGAAAAGTCGACTTCGAGACGCCGCCGGCCAAGACACCGACGAAGTATCACGTTCTCTGTCTGCTTTTAGAGAATGGGTAAACGATAACGCGGAGTGCCTGTCAGTCAATAATACAGGACCGTTTCCACTGTGTCATGGTGATTTTGGTCATAACAATATCGTATTTGATGATGGATACCGCTTGCTTGGTGTCATCGATTGGGAAACAGCATTTACGGCGCCATACGAGATATTCTGTGAATTCCCCTTGTCTATCTCGGTGATCCCACCTGCCATGGATGTTCCATGGAAATATGACGAGGCGGGTTGTCCAACAGACCCAGAGGATAGGCAAAGATTTGCCGACAGGGCAAGTTACATCGCTATTGTACGTCAAAAGGAACAGGAACGTGGATTAACTGAGGGATATACGCTGTCAGCCGCCCTTGAGGATGCTCAACGGCAGTATCTGGCTTCCGCGATGAGATTGTATGAAGATAAAATACCGGGGTGGTATTCTAAGGTGGCGGAAGAGTTCACCAAAGGTGGGTAAGGTAGCTCAAGGCATCGTTCAAGTGACGTTTCTCCTCTCTCCCCTTTCTTCTGGTTCAAGAGGTCCAGGCGGATGGATGCCGAGGTGTCCGAATAAGCTTAAAATTCAGACAAATTCATGTAAATATAAAAACAAGGGTCGTAAAATGACGCAAGAATGATGTTGATTCTCTTATCTCTGGTTCATCGCGGAGTGCCAGCAGAACGGCCGTATATTACCATCCGATGATGCCTGTCTTTTCGATATTTCTGTTGCTCTCAACATCATCGTCTTCTGGAGTTCATCACACACAACATGCAAACTTCCAGTTCTATCCCCGACGAATAATTGAAGGACGACTGGGAAGACACTTATATTTCTCCCAGGCCCACGTGTGACGGCCGTTGTTGCTGCTGTATATGCGGCTACCAGTTTTGTCACGATGTTTCTGTGGCGGACTACCGGCCCATACCTTATGAAGATCCTGATTTTCTGCGTCATAGCAATAGGGCAAAGGTCTCCCGTGACAAAGGAATTGAGATATCACAAGTGCTCCACTGTGTGTTCAAGGACTGGTGGTTAAGGCAGCGCATGAGTAAGCCGCATCTTGCGCTAATATTAACTATGGATCTTTTAGGCTGATATAAATATGTTCAGTTCTTTACCACCTTAAAACCACGACATACCGGATATCCTGCTCTTTTAGTAGAGAAGGCTACCAGGCCTCAATTGATCGGACTCCCTTACAGAAGGGGAAGAAGAGGACTCACATTTATGCCACAATTCTTAAGCCTTCAGACAATCAACAAGATGATATATGTAAGTGGGTCGGGTATGCTGTTCACGATCGTTGTTGGGAGCTACTCTTGCACCATGAGTTGGGCACCCTCGTGGAGAGAGACCTATCTACCATTGTAGAAGCCCTTCGACGAAGGCACCTGAGGATTGGTAGCCAGTGCAAGGCCTGGAGGCCAGAAATGGACAGAGAAGGTAAGATGCTTTCCCAAGCCAGTAATCTTCTTACATCTCTTTTTGTGTACCTACTTAGCTTCATGTGGAGAGAGTAGTGATCACATGCACGATAGTGACTAGGCCAGTTATTTTGGTTCTATGATCATTACTGTTTACTGCCTGCAACGAATTATTGTTTATTTTCTATTTTTTTTGTATATTTTAGCATGCTACTGACAACGGATACCTTGAAACTAGATCCTACTCGCACCAAGTGTGTCTCGGATGCAGTGTCTCTCGCACTGGAGCGAGGAAAAGGGAGAACCCCAAAGGACGAACCGATGCAGACAAACTGCAAGCTCCCGATGGAGTTACTTTACATGATATTCGATTTACTTCCTTCTCAGACTGTAGCTAATGCTGAGGAGGCATTGGGGGTTCATTCCTCTAATCACTTCTGGTCCTCTAGGATCCCTCCTGACATTTTCTTCGAGGTACAAGACATTACAGAGAAGCAGGTTGATTGGAAGACGCTGTGCCTAAGGTTAGAGCAATGTCTTGAAAGCTCAGAGGCATTGCGTGTGCGGCGGTATCTATTAAATTGCTTTGATAGGATACTGACTGTTGCGAAGACAATTAAGGAGGACTGCTGATCAACCGAGTGATGTGTATGAAGAGAATTTTATTGAAGTAAACAGTGCGCTTCGAAGGCCACCTGCAGAGAACAACTGGCGTCTTGTCCATCACAGGCAGGCAGCACACGCTTGTCCTAGATGTGCAACGTTTTGATAGGAGGGCGAAGCGACGCAGTATCGGAACGAAGTATCGTCTTATTACACAATTCGCAGCTCAGAGCGCCTCGAAAGAACCAGGGCCGATACCTCCAGGGTGTCGTCCATCTCTCGCGCAAGGCATGTCATCTGTAAAATCACCGGTAAGGCGATGAATCCCTCTCGGGCGGTCATGTTCCCGCGTCGCGCGAGCACGGCCAGGCGCTGGGGGGCACGACGCCGCCCATTCCCATGACTACAGCAGCAGCATGGTAGCCAAACGCAACAGTACGCGTGATCGGCTCGTCAAACGTATCGCACTCCCAGAAGTGGGAGAAAGTGACGGAAGGTAGCGACGTAAGGAGGAGTGAAGGTGAGGTTTAGAAGTGGCATAACCGTGAGTTTGGAAGTGAAATCAGAAGTCGAAAGTGAGGCCAGAAGTAGCCACCGCTACACTGGGTTCATTCTTCCAATCCTGATCAACGTATTCTGAATCACCCGAGCATTCTCGTCAACATGAAGAGGCCATCCCCTGTTATCACAGTCTTTTCTCCAGTGGTCCTGTCGTATCAATATATTTTCAACGTTTCGCCGATACCAATGATACCCCGAATATAATGACATCTCCCGATGTTTCTTGCCGCTGCAGTTGTGAGGTACCCCTGGAGTTGGTTTTCCGCGCCTGTCCACCCCGATGGCCAGGTCTCGTACCTGGGACTCTTGGTTTGTGTTACGAGAAACGGACGCTGTCTGTAGACATTGGCGTTGTCTCTCCTCCATTTGATACTGATTATGTCGGACCTGCCGTATCCTCGGCCGGAGGATACGGCAGACTCCGAGGCATGAGAGACAGTTCGAACGGGGAAGCAGTGTTGCAGGATTGTCATCCTGTCAGCCAAAATGACCATAACACTACCGAAAAGTGCTTCAGCAACTAGTGGTATGTAAGGTAATCGTTGTTGGCATTTTCACAAACTCCGCGATCCCGAGGTCTGTAATTCCTCGCTTGCGCTTAAAGAATGTCACAGCCGCCGACGGCTACGTCGTTCATTGCGTCTTTGACACATCCACATTCCCGAAACGTTGCTGGCACTTCTATCTTGATTCATGTTCTGTAATTACCCGCGAAAGGCGGGAAGCTTGCTGTACTGTTGAACGAAGAAACATTAGCAATTCTGACCCAGATATTTGTGATACTAATGAGCTTACAGGTTGAGCGGGCATGGTCCAATGGCGTCATTTACTGGGCCAGCCAGGCGAGAGAGGAGACGAGGCAGCTTCGAATATCAGAGAGAGGAGAAGCGGAGAGGAAGATTGGAAGAGAGTGAGGGAGGAGAGGAAGAGAGAAGGATAAATAGAAGGCCTATTTACTAGAAAAAGAAGGAAGGACCTGTAGTGAAGGCCTACGCATGAGTGAATAAAAGCAGGAACAGACGACAACGGCCCTATCTCTTTCTCTCTCCTGCCTGCACCTGAATTAGGCGCCGCCATGGCCTAAAGTGGTGGCAATATCGTGTGTTAGGGTGAGTCGTGAGGTGATCAAGCTCCGGCCCATATGCTCCACAAGGCCTCCCACCAGCTGATCCCACTTGAATTGGATGTCTCTGTACATGTTCTGCCGCTTCACCGGCTAGATAGCTGACGTCACCCTTCATCCTTAGCTGCATGTCTATACAAGTACATTGAAAGTATTCGGCATAGTGAATTACGGATCTTTGAGCCGGTGTCCCGATCCGGCTAGTGCTGGCTACCGGATAAGAAACAGTCTACTAGGTACACAGTCATCTTACAGGTCAACATCTACTGTAGCTATCTACGGAGTACAGCGGCAACGTATCCCTGGAAGTATCCTTGTAAGCTCTGAGGCAATAATAGTCTGACGGTGGTATGATCTGAGGCCGCGACCGAACTGCTAGGAAGGGTTTAAATAGTGCTCTCGCTACATAGTCTTCCCGTGTTGCTTACAGCCTCATCATTCTTTATCAATTCAACCAGGACCAAGGCTACGCACACATATTACAGTTCAAGATAAATAGAGCAAATGCCCGCTAAAGTTGGTATTAACGGCTTTGGCCGTATCGGTCGGATCGTGTTCCGCAACTCCTTCTCTCATGCAGACACTGAAGTGGTCGCGGTGAACGACCCGTTCATCGAGGTCCACTATGCGGTACGTTCCTTAAATTGTCTTATCTCCAGGCACAGGACGACTGACATGAGTCGGGTGCCTAGGCATACATGCTCAAGTATGATTCTACCCACGGCCGCTTCGCCCATGACGTCCAGGTCGACGGTGGCTCCCTTGTTGTCGACGGCAAGAAGGTCAAGTTCTACGCGGAGAAGGACCCGTCCAATATCCCTTGGAAGGACGCTGGCGCAGAGTACATTGTCGAGTCAACGGGCGTGTTCACCACAGTGGAAAAGGCCAGTGCTCATCTGAAAGGCGGCGCGAAGAAGGTCATCATCTCTGCCCCTTCGGCCGACGCACCCATGTACGTCATGGGAGTGAACGAAAAGACCTACGCCGGTGCCGATGTGGTGTCGAACGCCTCCTGCACCACCAACTGCATGGCGCCTCTGACCAAGGTCCTGCATGAGAAGTTTGGCATCGTCGAAGGCCTGATGACCGCGGTCCATGCGTATACGGCTACGCAGAAGCTGGTTGATGCCCCCTCCAAGAAGGACTGGCGCGGCGGCCGGGCTGCGGCGGAGAACCTCATCCCGAGCAGCACCGGCGCGGCCAAGGCCGTGGGAAAGGTGATCCCGGAGCTCCAGGGAAAGGTGACCGGGATGTCGGTCCGGGTGCCCACTTCCAATGTGTCCATGATCGACTTGACCTGTCGTCTGGAGAAAGGAGCGTCGTATCAGGAGATCATCGCTGCGGTCAAGGAGGCTGCACAGGGACCGCTGAAGGGTAAGCCGGTGGGATTGTTGCCTATGAGCACAACTAACTATAAATAGGTATTCTCGATTACACCGAGGACGATATTGTCTCGAGTGACATGAAAGGGAACCCCGCTTCATCGATTGTCGACATCAAAGCCGGTATCTCTCTGAACCCGAACTTCGTTAAGCTCGTGAGCTGGTACGACAACGAATGGGGATACAGCCGTCGGGTGCTAGACCTTATTGCCTACATTGCCGGTGTTGGGAAGTAGAGTAAGGATAAGTAGAGAGACGGGAGTTAATTTAAACATACTTTTCTGTCAAAAAGGCTGCCGACCCACGTGGCACGCTACCAATCTCCATTGGCCTCTTCGAAGTATGCAGTATACCTACCTATTTATCTACCGAGACACGAGGCGGCGTCCCAACATTCCATTAGCCGTACGAGATAACTAAAAAAGGGGAAAGATGCACAAGCGCAAGATAAGCTTCTGTCATCTCCAGCCCGCAGTCTTATACATATAAATCCTGACTGGCGGCCAAGAAATTGAAGATGCATCATGCAGTAGTCCAGCCTTCCCGTTACCAACATGCCGGACGTGATGCTTGTTAGCCTAGCTCTGAGCTTGGCCTGGGGTGCATCGGCAGCCCAGAACTCCATCGCTGCCCCAACCGGTGCCGACACCCTCACTGTCGCCCTCCTTGGTGGTAGGTACCTTGCCACGACCATCACCCATCGCGGTAAGCTCTAACACAATTATTATTGAAGACTATGGCTGGACCGGTTGGCAGCCCCTACCCTTGGACTTCTGTAACAACGCCCTGCCGAACCTGGTCGCCGCCGGCGTGGACATCTCCCGTGAAATCCAGAACGACTGCGACCCCGGCGACCGTCAGGCCATCTCCAATGCAACGATTGAAGAGGGTAAGCCACAGCCACGGGCCTGACCCCAACTTCGTGCGCTGACCCTCCTACCCCAGGCCACACCGCCGGGTATATCGAGAAAGTCTGCCTCGAGAAGAACTGCTCTGCCTTCATATCCGTCGGCGACAACTTCTACGACAGCGGCGTCGACTTCACCTCGGAAGGCATTCGGCGGTTCTACCAAGGCTGGGCGCAGATGTACGTCGGCGCCGCCTTCGACGGCAAGCCGTGGTACCAGGCGCTCGGCAACCACGACGTCGTGACCGGCCACGCCGGCGTCGACTTCGAGACGCGCATTGCGCCCCTCCTCGACGACCGCTGGTACTTTGGCCACGACCACCAGCCCTACTATACCTACGACCTGACCGGCTCGAACTGGACCGCGACCTTTGTCGTGGTCGACTCCGACTGCTTCGTCAACAAGTACCAGGACCCCTCCTCCGTCTACAACACCGCCTACGTGATCGCCTGCCACAAGGATACCCAGACCCAGGTCGACTTCCTGCGCCGGTCCTTCGCCCACTCCACCGCCACCTGGAAGATCCTCCAGATCCACCACGGCTACGTCTCCTCGTCGACCAACTACACCGAGCTCGCGCCGCTGATCGATATCGCGCGCGCGCACAATGCCGTCGTCGTCAACGGCCATGATCACTGCATGGCCCACTACCACTACCAAGGCATGGATTTTGTGCTTACCGGCGCCGCCGGCTACGCCGAGCCCGGCGACTGCAACTATGGCGTGCCCTTGGGGCCCTATGCCAAGTGGCTCGGCGCCGATGCTGATCAAGCGGCTAACGGGTTCGTCACGCTTGATATCAGCTACAACTCGCTGGGTTTTGAGTACTACGCTCGGGATATGTATATGAAAGGGGCGGACTACTACCCTGTCAGCAATGACACGCGGCCCTCGTACAGTTTCTCTGTGACCAAGCACGCAGTCTAGGATTGTACAGATGGTAGAGGCCTTTTCGTGTGCACTTAGTCGACGTAGCCCTATTCGTTCTATATCATTCTTTTGTCAAATACTTTGCACCTCGTCTTGCGGCATTCTCATTTGTAGATCTGCACATATTTTTATTGAATCCCTAACGAGTAGTTGTATACGGTAATTGCTGATTACGTTGATGAAAATAGACAGACTTTGCATGATAGGTCAGGTTGCATTCAAGGACTTGAACAGGAATAGACGACACATGCACCAACGACACTCTAGGGTCAGATAGGGTCCGCATCTGCCATGCTACCATCATCATCCTCATCGCCGAATTCTTCGCCAGGCTACCCAAGACACCCTGAACTCTCCGTCGGATTTCTCGAGCCTAAACTCCACCCTCCTCGAAAAGCTCACCGACACATTCCACGAGATCCCAAAGAGACACCCCGAGCTCATCGCAGTCCTGCTCACCGGAACGGGTGCCAAATCCTTCATCGGAGGCGCAGACGTCGGGGAGACGGGCAGTTTGGAGTCTCCCGCCGCCGTGCGTCAGTTCATCACCCGCGTCCACCACGCATGCAAAAACAGACTGATCTCGGTTCCCAGCCCATGAAGATGCTCTATCACATACACAGCTCCACTCAGCTTAAGGCATGTTTCCTTCGGCTGCAGAGACGGCGCTAGAAGTCGCGAGAGCAAGGCCATCCATTCTTCATCTGTCGCCTCTTCAAAGCGAGGAATGGTAAAGTCTTCCCAGTCATCCACTTCAAAGTCATCGAGCAGATCGGAAGAACTTCTGGCACCCCAGTCGCATCAACAAGAGCCCCGTATCTCTCTGCCACCTTGATCCTAAGTCAAATTCGGGGATGAAGCCGTCCATATCGACATCTTCCAAACCCGCGCCTCTTTCCTGATCTTGAGAATCAATTTTCGAGAAGCAAGGATTTTAGCAGCCTCTTTGCTCATCCCACTCAGCTTCCTCGATTTAACGGTCTCCATGTAAGCTTGAAGCTGGTCGAGAAGCCTGAGGCGCTTCCCAGAGCACGGTCGACAGCCGTGGCATCCATCATGCGTGTATCGAATGTGAGGGTTACCGCTAATGACACGGCTTGCATTCCTCAGCATGCTAAAAGCATAGCACACCGGGGCGGAATGAACAGTCCATCGGGCTGTTTGCCAATTCTGGTCTCCCGAAGTTGCTCAGCTCCAATTTGCGCAGCCTGGAACCGCAATGGACTTGATTCAGCGGAGCAGGCGTCGGTAGACCAGGAGTGGAGACTTGGTTTCGGTGCAGTTAACTCTGCTGCCTCGCAGTCATGCTTGCAGAGCAGGTATAGCTGTATTTGATGCAGCGATCACAGTTTTGGCGCGGCCATACCCGGCCAAGTGGCAAGCACTTCCCACACGATTTGTAGTATGTGTTTCACAGACAACACTAAGGATGTAAGGTGATGTCGGGATACCTTCTTCTTGTCGTTGCGGCATCGGATGCATTTCAGGTCATGCAAGCGCTGGGGCACGATGGTCTGCTCGTTGTCCGTGAAGGAGACTGAGATGTGGAAATAAAGCTCTGGGCAAGATCTGTGTTGAAGCTCCGACCTCCAAGTCATGAGAGGGACTTTTGGTTGAAGAAGCGAGATGCTGAGATGAAGAGCGAGAATAGGAGGCTTGTCGCCCTTGAATATGCGAGAATCTGGTCAGCGAGGCCTTGTCATTTCCCTGGCCGCACTGCAGACCGTTTCCTGACCTTCATTTTTGTGTGCGAACGCAGTCGCACTCCCAGTTCCAGTCAGTTCATTTTACTCAATAGGCTTGACTAGAAACTTGACGTTCGCGTTTAGCTTGGAAAATAGGGGCTGCGCTTGCCCTTTGGTTCCCGAAGGTCCCGACATTTTGGTTTGTAAAGCCACACGAGGACCAACATCTTGTTGGATCCTCTAGGCAGAAAGACGAAAGATTGTAGAGCCACACGAGGACCAGCAACTTGCTGGATCCCCTAGGCTGGAAGGAGAAGGAGGGAGAGACAAGGAAGTTAATGCCACACGAAGACCAACATCTTGCTGGATTCTCTAGGCAGAGGGCGAAAGGAGGGGAGGATGAAGGGACGGACGCCACACGAGGACCAGCAACTTACTGGATCCTCTAGGCAGGAGGACGAGAGAATAGAGGAACGAGAAAATCGGAGCCCTGAGAAGATCCAGCAACTGCTAGATCTTCTCAGGCAAAAGTAGAGGAGCCAGGGGACGACACAATAAGCAGGTGATGATGATGATGGTGGTGGTGGAGGTGGTGGAGGAGATGGTGAGAGAAGGATGAAGGAGGTGGGGGAGTGAAAATCTCAGATCAAAAAAAGTGTGCGAAGGGTGGTCAGTAAAAACAAGGAAAGCAAAGTTATGACGACAGTCTTTGAAAAGATAAAACGGTCAACAACAAAAAGAGGTCGAGTCACCTTATGATTTACCCCCGTTCTTTTGCTCTGATAGTAATATTTGACTACAGAGTTTCTACCTCCTCAATAGTTAGAGCCTACCTACATGAGAAGAAGAGACTTTGCATTTATTTGGTGAGCTGTTAGCCATGTTTATCTGGTCAGGCCTTTGGCCCTGGACCAGATGGGTTTTGTCGCGAGATTTTGATATACAGTAGATGTCCGTTCCGATTAGGACTAGCGTCATTACACACAACCAGGGAAGTGATGCCTGAGGAACCAACGCTATGACGCGCGGAGTTTTCCAATTCTCTGTCGAATTCTTGGGCCAAAAAGGACATGACTGTACTGCCCTTTCATTCTACATGCGATAGACTAGAGGCCTCTTAGGTTGAAATATCAGAAGTCGTATGGGAATACGTCCTATTGATTTGCAGGCAGCAGTGAATTTGCCTTGAAAAGAGACAAAAGGCATAGACTCTAATTGTAGTCCTCCCATCGCCTGCACCAGAGGGACTGATACCCCATGATATCACGGTCTATCGGGGGATAACCTCACAAATGAAACTGCAATGCATATAGTGCAACAATGACAACAGTCTAGCAATGCACACATGTACAGGGAATAATGAACAAGAATCAGATAAGATAGGACAGACACGATAGAAGACACAGTCCGCATATGCTCTACCGACCAGCGACCACGGTTCTCTGTCTGGCCAGCCAGCCCTTCTGGGCATCGGCCAGGCTGGATCCGTGGCGGTATCTTGAAATGGTGACATTGTTGTTCTGCAGTCGACTCTGCAACTCGTACCACGAGGAGCTCATCAAGGCGAGTTCTCGTGTCTGGGCGTCGATGATTTTCTGGAGCTCCATCTTCGGCTTGTTAGTACGCAAAGTTTTTAAGACAAAGAGTGGCAGGATTACCTCGCGCTCCTTGCTGATGACCTCGTTGTCGTCCTCGAAACGCTTGAGTCGTTCCTGGAGGAATTTGATGTGCTCGTTCTGGTTGTGTATATACTGGATGGGATTAGTTGGTCAACATAGTGACAGGGTGACATGACAACTAACCTCTGCACGCTTCGCCAGTCGTTCTAGGTTCTTCTCAATCAGCTCCATGACCTGCTTCGTGAGTTCGACGCCAGACTTCTGGGACGCTTCCGAAGCATCGCCGCTGTCTTGCGCGGCAATCTCGGCCAACAGCCTCTTCATTTCTTCCATCGTCTCCTGGTCCTCCACGCGGCTCTCGGCGATCGTATCCTGTCGGTTGTCGAGCATTCCACGCAGCTCGTCTCGCTCCGCGCAGGTTTCCCGGACCAAGGCCAAGCTGGAATCGATTTCGGCTTGGAGATTGTAGATCTTCTGTTGCGACTCATCCCACTCCTCGCGCATCTTGGTCAACTCCGCAGAGTCTTTCTCCTTGATTTCGTTGATCATGTCCACTTTCTCCTTGCCGGCCAGGTCGACTGCATGAACGTAAGAGAGTATTCACCAGTATTCAAATGGATAGGAGTACTCACCAGCTGCTTGCGCATCGGCCAGGGCTCTCCTGGACCCGTCCAAAGAATCTTGTATTTCAGCCAGCTTCTTGAGCACAGAGGTGTACTGCTCGTATAGTTTCCAATATTCCTCTCTGCAGCTCGGTTAGCTTTGAAAGTGCATGGGTCCGGTAGTCATACCCCTGGGTGGAATTCTCCCGTGCGCGCTGCAACGTTTCGACAAACACATCGGAAAAGGTCTCCAGCTGGGAGCCAGCCTATGTGGTGTTAGCATATTCTTAGTGCGCAAAGTACACAAACAGTCGTACCGTAGTCGACGGCCCCTTGACGGACTCCACCTCCTTCTTTAGTTCCTCATTCTCAGCTTTTCTGTGAGGATGCGTTAGTTTCAGCCCATACTCTGCAACAAGGACACTCACAATTGAGACTCCTTCACACCAATAGCCTCAAAGTCCTTCTGCAACGTTCCCTGCAGTTTGGGAGTTTCGCTGCCCGGCGTCAGAGACGGGCTTCCAGGCGATCCTTCCAGCTCCCGGATACGTTCGCGCAGCTCGCTGATCAACGCGTCGTCTCTCTCGCGCTGTTCTTCAGCACTGCTCAGCCGCTCCGTCAGGGCGTGGTTGTTGAACTCCAGCTGCTTCTTAATGCTCTGCATTTCGCTACATTCCTGTTCGATACGCGGCAGCACGCGGCGATATTCTTCCAGTTCCACGTCGCGCTCAGACGTCCACCGCTGGTGTGCGTCGGCGTCCTTCAACTGCTGCTGAAGGTCCTTGATCTGGTTGCGGAGCGCCTGGTTCTCCTTCTCGAAGTCCTGACTCGCCTGCAACTTCGAGCGGTATTTCTCTGCAGCGTTCGCCTTGCGAGCGAGCTGGTCCCGCTCAGTCTTAAGCACGTCGTAGTCATCCTGCAGTCGCTGGAACCGCTCGTTCTTGACGCGCAACGACTCGACAGTCATACGGAGGCTGTCATTCTCGTCTTGCACGGCAGCCAGCCGCACTTCCTGCGAAGCGATGATGTCCTCCTGCTGCCGGGACTTGGACTCCAGCGCCTTGGTGTTGAAGCTGAGATCGCCCTTGCCCGACTTCAGGTTCCCCAGACGATCCTCGGTGGACGCGAGGCGGCTCTGCAGCGTGTCGTTGTTCTCCTGGAGACGCGCGAGGCGGTTGTGCAGATCCTCCAAGGCCTTCTCGAGCTCCTTCTTCTCGTGGGTCAGACGGTCATTCTCCGCGAGCACCTTGCCCACGCGCTCTTCAAACTGCAGCTCGAGGTCGACGGGGTGGTCCCGTTTGGCGGGGTCGTCGCGGGCGTCATCGTCGTCGTCGATGGGCTCGTGCTGGCCGTTCTCGGCCTCTTCGAAAATGTTCTTCAGGGTCTCCTGGGTCGGCGTGCTCAGTGTCTGGAGGGTCTCGACGTAGGAGGGCGCGTTGGGCGACCGGATGGCGGCGATCAGGAGGAGTTTCAGGAGCTTGTTGGTTTCCTTGACCGAGTTCTTTTCCGCGACGACCTCGAGGTTCGGCGACGGATCGAGGCCGGCGGGAAAGCCGTCCGGTTGCTGGCGGATGTAGCTGCCGAGCAGTTTGTGGATGTGTTTGAGATTCTGTAGCTTGGACAGCCAGTGGTCGGGCGTGTTGCGGTCCGGCAGCTCGTCGAGGAAGTACTGCGGGTCAATGTCCTGGAGGATCTCCCAGATGATGATGCCATCGGTGAGCTCGTCAGTAGTGCGAATCGTCTTTCCGAGAGCGAAGCTGTTGATCCATTCCAGGAGGGCCTGGGTCACAGTAAGTTCGGAGGCCATGGTGGGCGCGGCGGCTTCACCCGCGGAATGTTCAGGGGGAAAAGCCGGGGAGGGCGAGGGCGGCGGCTCGGATCGAGGGAAGGATTAGGTTTGTTGGCATGTAGAATCGCATCCCTCGGGCTAAGTTGGAGAGGAATGGAGAGGGAGGTTGGGAAGAAAGAGCAGCGCGGTGGTGAGAGCGTGGAGAAGATGGACTGTCGCGCGGCGGCGTCGGGGGTTTCAAGCGGATCCACGTTATCCACGCGGAAGGAAGAATAATCCACACGAGAGATCGCCATGGCCAGGGACTAAGGATAGTTTAGGCCAGGTTAGGGTATGGCTAGAAATGGGGGTGAATTTTGTTAATGGTGTTTCGACAGTTGTATAACCTGTGGTTCTGGCAACACTGTTCCTGGTATTATCTCCCATAGTGATATAGGGATGACCTGTTACATATAGACTACGTATAACCTTTTGATTAAAAACCAATTAACCACTTCATGCATAGCGACACGTGAAACATAATCATAATACAGCTCTTTCTCATTGCAGGCAGTCGGAAGGAAAGAAACTCGTCATTATCCAGCAACACAGGCATTCGTCTCGTCCAGCGATGTAAGCGTCGAGTCCAGCACGAAAAGCTCAAATGACCAAACGGTATGGAGGCATGCCGTTCGTCAGAGCAACGCTTTGATCCTTCATTGCGTGGTGTATTCCTGATCTTTCTCGATCGTCGGTCGATATTCGGCTGTTTCGACAGAGATCCGGTTAATCATCGCTTCAGTTGCACCCTGGGCTGAGAATCCCCTGCAAGAGGTTAGATCGAATGATGATGGTGGACTTGACAGAGGGTATTTACTTCAGGAGCGCTGTGGAGAATAGAGGTTAGCCTCGTCACCTAGTAGTCTATGGTGTATGGTGGATAGGAGATACTCACTGAAGGTATGAGTAATGCAGCCACCCTAGATGATATATATCATTAGTCTTATACTCTGTAGCGTCTACAGTAATCTAGATCAAGGACTCACCGCATCGGTGATGGCTTTCTTTGCCTCTTCCACAACGCCATCGGGAGTCCCTTTCGGGTAGGTGACCACGATGGACTCGGCGAGGATGGCGGGGAGGACGCCCAGCAGGAGCGCAGCGGACACCTTCATTTCAAAGTGAGGTTTGAATACTCGTAGGACTGGGATAGATCTGGATTGTGTAAACTTCTGATGGAAGAGAAAGAGAAGTTAAGTGTACCTGGAGACTTCCAGTGTTAAACTGCCCTTCGGGATTCCGACAATGCAACGTCATGGGCGGCTGAGTCAGCGGGTCACGCTTCCTCCTCCGACATCTCCGTCTCGTAACAAGCTTGACTCTTCTCCTCTCCGACTTCACCTCTGCACCATATCAACACCACCTCCCTCTCCTCTACATACCTCCCTCCCTCGCTCCCTTTCCTTTGTATCTTCTTGCATTATACCCTCTCTTTCTTTAGTTTCTTCCAATCCTTTCTCCCGTCCCCTTTCTCACCTCGGAACTTTCCCCTGTTCTCCTCGCTTCGACCTTCCCTCTCGTACCTTAGAACCTTGCTAGTCGGTGTCTCCAGGAAGCGTCAGTTGCCGTGGGCTATCGTATTGAGGTAGATTGCGTGCACTTTGGAACAGGGCAGGAAGATCTCGGATTCGGCTGTGTGGTTGTGGCGGGCGTCGTCCTCTTCTTGTTGTCTCCAACCTGACAAGATAGCTAGCAAGCATTTACAAGTTCCGACCTTTCTTTCCAGCTCGTGCTCTTTCAGGAGACCATTCTTGTTGGACCCAGGGACAGGAGAATAAGATTCATTTGATAATTGCAAGACGGGGTGAAAAGATTGACCAGGGAGAAAAAACACAAAGAGAGGAAGAAAAAGGACCCCCAAAGAAAAGAAGAACACAAGAGACAAAAGAGAAGAACAAGAGAAAAAAAACACATCCCTCTGCCACGTCCCTGTCCTCGACGTTAATTCCTGTATACCGGCATCATGTCGTCCGGACTCGCCTCGGATGAAGTGGCCGAGGATTACAAGAACTCCTTGGAGGATCTAACGACCAACGACAGGTTCCAGATCAGCAATTTGACCGTCATCGCCAAAGAGAACACCGAACATGCCATGGCAATCTGTCGCGTGTTGGAGAATCATATCCGAACAGTAGGTGGCCATCTTGCTTGCATCCAGACATCCATCGTTGGATGGACTCCCTCGCTGTAGACTCTTGTGGGAACGCCTTCTAATCTGTGTGTGTAGACTCCGCCGCCGCAGAAGCTGCCTGCTCTGTATGTAGTCGACTCCATTATCAAGAACGTAGGAACCCCCTACACTCGGTTCCTGGGTCAGAACATGTACCAGACCTTTATGAATGCATACACGCTGGTCGATTCGCAGACACGCCGCAAACTCGACGAAATGCTGAAGACCTGGAAGGAGCCGGTGCCGGGGTCTCTGGATACACGGCCGGTGTTCTCCCCCGAGATTACTCGCAGCATCGAGAGTGCGTTGATCAAGGCGAGGACCGCCGCCCTCCAACAGCAGCAGGCCAGGAGCCAACATGACATCCTCGGACGAGGGCGAATTGGGACTCCTCCAGGCTGGTCCAACACCCCGACACCGCCCCAGACCACGGCGCGCCATCCACGGGCCACTCCAACGCCGCCTCTGCCATATCAAAGACCCGGACCCAGCATGGGAGCCCAATCGGTAAGCTCCCAAGACGCATCGCTATCGAGCAAGACAGCTGACAGACACAGTCTGATCCCCGAGCCACTCCCACCCCCCAGCTCCCGCAGTCGCAGGAGGTGGACCTGTCGGCTCTGAACCGAGACCTCGACGCGCTCATCGCGAACGCACGCAGCGAGTTCGCAAACAACCCCCTCGATCCGACCATGCAGCAGCGCCTCAAGGCCCTCCTCGACCTCCAGGGCATCTTGCAGCGCCAGGAGCTGACCCAGGACCAACTACGCCTGGTCCGCGAGCAAGTGTCAGCCCTGGCCCCTAAGACGGCCATCCCCCCGCCGCAGGCTGTGCCTGCCCCCCTCCCAACCATATCGACCCCGTCCATGACAACATCCGCACCACAGGCGATTTCCCAGCCGCTCCAGCAGCTCCTCAACCCGGGAACGCTAGCGGAACTCATCAAAAACACCGCAGCCCGCCAGCAGCCGACCCCTCCGCCCCAAGCCGCCAACCTCATCTCCCAACTACCCGTGACCAGCGTCACTCCCCAGCCCGCCGCCCCCTTCGCACCGGATAACCCTCTCATCGCGGCGCTGCGAGCCCGCGGCCTCCTCCCTCCGGCCTCAGCGCCTCCCGTCCCCACCGCGGCCGCCGCCCCACCGCCAAATCTCGCCTCCGTCTTCCCACTGCTCGTCCCAGGCGGCATGCAGTACACGCCGCCGGTGTCGGCTCCGACGTTACGCACAGACGGGCAGGTAGCCGTCCAAATGAGCACCGCCTCGATGAAGATGTAAGCCTCCTCCCTCTTTCCCTCTTCAACTCCACAGCTAACCGGACAGCCCGCGCCACGCCCTCATCGCCAGCCTCTACGACGCGCGCTCCAACCGCTGCGGAACATGCGGCCGCCGATTCTTCGCCACAGAGGAAGGCAAAGAACAGAAAGCGCGCCATCTGGACTGGCACTTCCGCACCAACCAGCGCATGGCCGACGCCGCAAAACGCGCCCAAAACCGCAGCTGGTACGTCGACGAACGGGTACGTATCTCCCTCCTCCCATCCATCCAAACCAAATAGCGGTAGCAGAACCTAACAAGCCCAGGACTGGATCAAATCCCGCGAAGCAGTCGACGAGCAGGGCCTGGCGGACACAGACGCAGCGGGCGAGAGCGCCGCGCTCGCCGACGGCGGCGCCACGAAGAAGGGCCTGCCGAAGGAGTGGATCCACGCGCCCAACGACGCCACGCTGCGCAACACGCCGTGCCCGATCTGCCAGGAGAAGTTCGAGTCGACGTGGTCCGAGGAAGTGCAGGACTGGATCTGGCAGGACGCCGTCAAGGTCGGCAACCGCGTGTACCACGCCAGCTGCTATGCGGAGGTCACCAAGGACGGACCGGCGGCGGGAGCCCAGCGCGGCACGCCGGCGGGGCGGACGGGGACGCCGGATTCTGTCTTGGGGAAACGCAAGGCGGAGGGGACGGATTCTCCAGGGCAGCATGTGCGGGTCAAGATGGAGCCGATGTAGATGGGGTGTTTTGTTTAGCGGGTGCATGCATTTAGCTGGCGGCTGGTTTGTTGGCCGACTTACGGCGTTTGTTGATAGCTGGCATGGTGGTATAGGAGTATTGTATATAGGGTGAGATTATGTTAGTATTTGTTTGAAGCCTTGAAATGTGGCAGTAAATGAAATAATTTCCGTCATATCAATGCGACACCAGCTATATCCATTAACTATTCACTTAGTCATGGGTGTTATCTTCAGGAGAGCAGCGACGAGATTGAAAGGATTCGATATCTATTCCAGCAGTAGAAAGAGCATGGTTATAAGATAGATGAGATCAGTCATATCTATACAGTAAAAGGCTTAGGGACAAGATGATACCGTAAAAGAATGTTCTTATCAAAATATATTCGGGAAGAATGTCTTGACAATATCCTATGGCTGTAAGCACATAGCCAAGGCCACCGGTCATACGCCACAGTCAATATACGGAAAGTGCAGTTCGTCTACCGATTGTATTTTAGATCAGATTACCTACTATACATAACGCCACCGCCGGAAAGGGAGCCCAAAAGACCAATCGAATCTCACTGTCCCATCCGCCTCCGGCGATAGAAGCTATCATGAAACATCAGATCATTTAGCTCAGTTGGCCTCCTGCCCAGTCCAGTCCACTCTAGTTCTTCTGGAACACGCCGAGCAGGCTCTTCCACACCTGGCCAGGCTCCTGGCTGGCGTCAATGCCCCGCCAGATACCGGTCTTCTTGTAGTAGTCGCACACGGGGGCGGTCTGGGCGTGGTAGGTGCCGAGACGCTTCTTGAGGGTCTCTGCGTTGTCGTCGGAGCGCTGGATGAGCGGCTCGCCGGTGATGTCGTCCTTCATCTCCTGCTTGGGGGGGTTGAAGATCTTGTGGTAGGAACGGCCGGAGGCGGGGTGGACCAGACGGCCGGTGATACGGGCCACGAGCAGGGCGTCGTCGATCTGCAGCTCAATGGCGTGCTGGAGCTTCTGCTGGCGCGCGGCCAGCATGTCATCGAGACGCTCGGCCTGGGCCACGGTACGGGGGAAGCCATCCAGGATGAAACTATACATTCACGTCAGTATGCGACCAAGCACCTCCCATGGCAGAGGCAGACGCACCCGTTCTTGCACTCGGCGTTGTTCTCCAGCTCGCTCTTGATCATGTTGACCATGATCTCGTCGCTGACCAGACCACCCTGGTCCATGATCTTCTTGGCCTCCTTTCCGAGCTCCGTCTTCTTGGCGACCTGGGACCGCAGCATGTCACCGGTGGCCTACACAGATAGTTGATTAGCTAGTGCATTAAGGGTAATCATTGAATGGGTCGGACCTACCAAGTGGCAGACGCAGTACTTCTCCTTGATCCGGGGAGCCTGGGTACCCTTGCCTAAGATCGGTCAGTCTCCGACGCGACAGTATAGAATTCCGGGGTTGAGGAAACCGGCCGGAAAATAAAGCCGGAAAAAGAAAAAGACACAGTATCACATACCAGCACCGGGAGGTCCCATCAGGATGATGCGCATTTGCTCGGCAACCGACTTGGGCTTGGACTGACCGAGACGGCCCTCCAAGTCCTCAATGCGAGCCTCGAGCTTTCCGATGGTGTCCTTCAGACCGGCGACGGTCTCTTCCGTGATGGGAGCCATTGTGATGGAGAGAAGGGAGAGGAGAGAAGTAAGGGAAGGGAAGGGGAAGAGATAAGGAAGTCCCGGCTTGACGGAGAAGAGGAGGAGAGGAAGAGAGGAGAGAGAGAGAGATGCGACGGGGAAATGGAAGGGACGGAAACTGCCCTGTTCGGGGGAGGAAAAGATCGGACCCGCGACTCCGAGGTTGTCGGGGCCAATCAAAGGGTCTCCTGGTACGGGGTTGTGCCAACTGGAGAATCAAGAGTAGTGGATAGTAAATAGTAGGAATAGAAGTTAGGAGACAGGTCACTAGATAGTACGGAGTATATGACATATAATATGATATTATAGACCTCATCCAGCTCCCTTCTATCCCGTCTACCTTACCACAGAAGCCGATACCGGTCGGACACGTGTTCTCGCTGCCTCAGGCACTATGTCAGCCGCTGTGGCGGTGCTTGTGGCTCAAGGCGGTCAGCACTGTGGCTCAAGCACCGAGCTCCAACCCGGCCGGACTGCAGCTTCACCATCGTCATCCTCATCCTCATCTTCCCATCTCATCGTCTCATTGTCTCTCCCATCTCGGTGGGGATCATCTTCTCTCCTTCTTCCACGCCTTATACCCTCCCTACCTTCTATCTCCATCTTTGTTCTCTCATTCCTCCCCCAAACTCATCCGTCATGCCTGCTACCACCGCGGACACTCTGTCCCTGGTGCAACGAACCGTCACAGTTGCTCCGCTAGTCCTCCTCTCGGTCGCAGATCATTATGGCCGCTCGGCCAAGGGCACCCGGAAGCGTGTGGTTGGAGTCCTACTGGGCGAAAATTCGGGGAACACCGTCCGGGTATCAAACAGCTTTGCGGGTCCGTCTTCCCTCCGTCTGCTCCCCATGGCTACTGACTGAACGATTGCAGTCCCGTTTGAGGAAGATGAGAAAGACCCGTCCGTCTGGTTCCTAGACCACAACTTCGTCGAGTCGATGAGAGACATGTTCAAGAAGATCAACGCGCGCGAGAAGCTCATCGGCTGGTACCACTCGGGGCCCAAGCTGCGGGCGTCCGATCTGGAGATCAACGAGCTTTTCAAGCGATACACACCGAACCCGCTGCTGGTCATTGTCGACGTGCAACCCAAAGAAGTCGGCGTGCCTACGGATGCATACTTTGCCGTCGACGAGATCAAAGACGTGAGTGCTCAAGCAGTCACAACTCGATCCACAACTCACTGACCAATACAGGACGGCACCACCACCTCCAAGACCTTCGTCCACACGCCATCCATCATCGAAGCCGAGGAAGCCGAAGAAATCGGCGTCGAGCACCTCCTCCGAGACATCAGGGACGTGGCCGTAGGAACCCTGTCGACGCGCATCACATCCCAGCTGCAGTCGCTGCAGGGCCTGCATCTGCGCCTCCGCGACATCGGCCAGTACCTCCAGAAAGTCCTCGACCACGAGCTCCCCGTCAACCACGCCATCCTGGGCAACCTCCAGGACGTCTTCAACCTCCTCCCCAACCTGTCCACGCCGCCCGTCACGCCGCGCCTCAGCGGCACCGAGCAGCCGTCCGATAACAGCGAGCTCGCGCGTGCCATGAGCATAAAGACCAACGACCAGTTAATGGCCATCTACATCAGCAGCCTGATCCGCGCCATCACCGCGTTCCACGACCTGATCGAGAACAAGATCCAGAACCGACAGCAGCAGGAGGAGAACGAGCTGAAACGGGAGCAGGAGGCGAATGCCATCAAGGCCGAGAAGGAGGGCAAGAAGGAGGGAGTTAATGGGGAGCAGAAGGAGGATAAGGAAAAGTCTAAGAAGGGGCAATAGGGATAAGTTAGATGGGCAATGATACATTATGCAAATATGCAGTTCTACAGTCATGAAGATGAGCTATGACCTGTGGTCGACGCAGCACACCAATGCCATTAGAGTAAGCAGCGCCAGGCCGTTCATAAACATCCGACAGAACCAGCCTGCCAGTCCATCCTAATCCATGAATAGCTACATAATCTACCCCCCAAACCCAGCACAAACCCCCGCCAACACCTCCCTACTAACCCGCACACAAACCGCATCATCCCCCTCCACAAGCCCAGGACACCGCACCGCCAACAAACACGCCAGCAGATGCTTGCACACAGGCGGCGCCCGCCTCGTCGTGCCGTGCGTCAACGACCCCCCAAACACATACACACCATTCCCCTCTCCCCCCTGCTGTTCCTCTTCCTCGTCGTCAGAGCCCGCCGGCGCGCGAAACGCCGCCATCGCAAAACTCGGACAGCTGCAGTTCCATGCGCGCAGACGCACCTCGTAGCCCTTTTGCGAGAGGGACAGCGACAGCGGATCAGACTCTGCAGAGCGGAGCGGTGGTGCGGACGCGGAGATGACGTAGAAGAGGTCTTCGGCCTGGCTTGCGCGGTGGTTGGTGGGGGCGTTGTCGTCGCGGATGAGGCGACGTACGAGGCGTCTGTCGAGGATGTCGAGGGCGAGGAGGAGTTCGTTGGGGAAGATGCAGTGCAGGGTTAGCAGGAGGGGTTTGAGTGTGGGGTGGGATGCGGCGAGAGTCGAGAGGCGCGGGCCTTGGTCTTGGATGGGTGTTGGTGGTGGTTTTGTGTGGGTTGATAGTTGGGAGAGGAGGGTTTCGATGAATTGGGTGGAGGAGGGGAGGGTCATGGTGTGATTGTGCAGGAGTGAGTAGGTAGATAGGTAGTAGGTATACTCGTTGTCTGGGAGGTGATTACGCGAAAGAGTTTAGCGTTTGTTCGGGTTTAGCACCGAGGTATCTCCGGATGTATACAGAATATGCAGATGATCAGTGAGGTCTCATGTTCTTATTAGATGCTACGTACCCATCATATACTACCACTCACAACCAGTTAACTCAAATAGTGATATATGGCGACGAGCAACCCTAGGTCAACCCACTGAGATCCACTGCTATCTGCGTCGCTAACGCGTACGGTCGATCGAAGCAAGCATCCCAACGCGTCTCACCTGAAGCCCAGAATTTCTCCAGGACGTCCTTTGCTGTCAGTGGGACATATGAGCCAATGTGCCGACTCATCTCGGGAAGCTGCTCTCGAACGAACGCGCGCATTCCTGCGCCACCGTTCACAGATTGCACCCCGAGCACGACCAGCGGCCAAAAGATGAATCGTTTGATCCGCGGGGATGGCAGTGCCTCATTGAGCAGCGCCTGCAGATGCTGGCCATGAGAGGTGCGCCTCGCTCTCAGGAGAAGTGTCCGAGGCAGAACTGACAGGCTTTGCAGCGACAGGATGCAATACAGTGCCACCGCGGCCTGATACACGTTCCCAACAAGTATCCAGTCCTCTTTTGATGATGGCTTGGACATAGTCCATTGTTCTGACGAGAAAGCATCGATTCGATTGAGTATGTTGGAGGCCTCGTGGGTGAGGCCGTTCAGCTCTGCAGGGTCGTGTTTTGAAGCTCGCGCACGCAGATGGTTGATCTTGATAATCTCGGCGAACAGGGGCGTGGGACACATCTGAAAAGCAAAGAGTCTCCTGCCAAACTGCTCCAGTATGAAGTCCGTTTCGAGCTGCAGGGTGGTCATTGCCACGTCTGATGCAGGGGACGAAGTGTCCCCGATAACTGCAAGGCTATGCGAATCAGCTTCATACTCTAGACTGACATTCTTGTACAACAACATACAACACAAAGCAATGAAGAAGCGGCGCGAGGCTAGGTGACCCGGCCAGTGACCGGATGCCCCCGCGCAGCGTGATGAGTCTCTGGAGTCCCTCTAGATGGCATTTCCAGTGGGGAGAGGCATCCTGCTGGGCCTTGTGCGCACATGTTCAGTATGCGGATGATTCCATACGGGGGCTACTCACATCAACGAGGAGCAGCGTGATGATCCCCGCCAGAACGACATCGCCCGTCCGCTTATGTCCTCGGTCAATATCGCTCCTGAGCGAGCGAATGACAAGGCCCCGGTAGCGGAAGAAGGTCACCGCCAGAGGATTCGAGCAAGGGTCATCTCTCGTTCGGTTCATACGATGGCTGAGTGTCATACAGACCATCCCGAGTTGTATATACTCGGGATGCGCGGCGCCTCGCTGAAGAAGCGTAGACGAGATCCTGTAAATGCCCTGGTTCGGCCCAAGGTCATTAACGGGGAGTAAGTCTGGGTATATACAGGCGTTGTCTGTCAAGTTAGTTTCGTTCTTTATGAGATCATGTTCCTTTACTTGCAGTATTCGGCCGCCTGGGCCAGCACGGGGACATCAGTAATGGTCTCGAAACGGGGAATCACAGCGACATCCCGAGTTTCCGTCTGGTTTCTTTTCTTATTACTGACGGGTTTCCGATTGCGAGATTTGACTCTCCCAGGGGCAAGCCACTTAAGTCTGAACGGTTCTGGATCGTCATATCCGGGACAGACCATCCCAGAGGTTGAACACCGCTTACACCCGGGACGGGTGAAGTCGCAGACGAGACAACGTCGGCGACATTCCCAGCAGTGGCGCTTTCGATTGTCCATGCGTCCCAGCAGTTGATGGTAGGAAGAAGAGAATTCACATGGTAAGCAGTAAGCATAGGATGAAAGATAGACTGTCTCAAACAGGCAACCGTCATAGTATGGCTAGCGTCTTGGCGACTGTATTTTCCTAATCCAGTAAAGCGTCTATCCTGTTCTATATCCATCGAAGTATACACATGAGAGCTATATAAGCAGCATGTCTGTCCGCTGCCTTCACCTTCAAGTCTCCCTCATATTTACATCAGATCCATATACAATGGCCGGACAAATCAGTAGGCAGTCTATACTCTTTCTCTACACCTATATGCCTAATAGTGATACTAACAACCTCCCCAAACCAGTCCCAGGAAACCTCTACATCTACATCCCCAACAAAGGCGCCCCCATCTTCTTCACCATCGCCTTTGCCATCTCAGCAGCTGGTCACATCTGGCAATGCTTGTAAGTGCGCCGGTCTAATACCATACCACCAGCCCCGTCTAATCCACTCCACTCCCATAGCCGCTACAAAAGCTTCAGAATGAACGGACTACATCCACTCTGCGGAGTCCTCCTTACAGCCGGCTACGCTATGCGCGCCTACAACGCACACGGACACTACATGTACAACACCCCGAACCTCCTCGTCTACATCCTCAGCCAAGTCTTCATCTACATCTGCCCGTAAGTCATACCTTGCCCCCCTCCCCTTTACTTATCAAAACCCATTGTCTGACTGACTGACTGACTGCGATAGCCCCCTCCTCGAACTGGCAAACTACCACATCCTCGCCCGCATCCTCCACTACATCCCGCATCTCGCCCCTCTCCGCGCCAGCAGCATCCTCCCCCTCTTCGGCGGCCTAATGGCCCTCGTCGAGGCGCTCAACGCCCTCGGCGTCTCCTTCGCCGCTAACCCAACCGGCGCCCGGCAGGACCTGGGCAGAGCGCTGGTCCTGGCCGCGCTCGCGCTGCAGCTGTGCGTGGTCGTCGTGTTTGTGTCGGTAGCGGGTGTTTTCCACTGGCGGTGCGCGGATGCCGCGATCTCCCGGCGGTCCGTCCCGACGCTTCTTGCGACGTTGTATATAAGCATGGCGCTGATTTTGGTGCGCTGTGTGTATCGGCTTGTGGAACATGTGGGTGGCACAGCGGTGGATATTGATGACCCCGAGAGTTTGAGGGGGCTGAGTCCGCTGTTGACGGAGGAGTGGTTCTTTTATGTTTTTGAGGGCGGCATCATGCTGTGCAATTCTGGGCTGTGGAATGTGGTGAATCCGGGGCGGTTGCTGCCGAGACAGAGGGGCCTGAGGTTGGATGTGGATGGGGTTACTGAGATTGAGGACGAAGATATTGGAAGTGATACGCCGATGGTGGTTCGGGGGGTGTATGCGGTCGTGGATGTTCTGAGCTTTGGGTTGTTTCGGTTTGTTCGTCGGGGAAAGAGATGATAGTATCACGCTCTTGGTTTATACTTCGTGTTTGGATATTTACAGATAGAAGCTGGTTCGTCAAAATATATTCCGTATCAAACACCATGTCTATCTATTCTATTCTCTCTAATACTTGATATGCACCGTATGCACCATATCCACCACCGATGCAATATACATATTATACAGTCAACCTGACGCCCGCGCCAGAACTCAGCTACTCGTGCTCTCCGCATAAGTCGGATGATTCTTATGCCACCGCTTCGACCGCCGCACCCAACCATCCGGATCTGAGCATTGACACGGCGTCGAGCTGGTCGGCGTGGGCTCCTTACGTCCCTTCGCTTTAGCACTGGCCTTAGCGCCAGCCTTAGCACCAGCCTTGCTTTTTGCAACGCCCCGCGGCTTAGCCGGCGCCTGCGCGCCAGGCGACTCAGCCTTGGTCTTCTTAGACTTACCCTTGGTATTCATAGTCTTCGCCGGCTTTGCCTGGGGCTTACCGCGCGGCCGCAGCCGCTTGATCAGCGGCGTGCGTTCGGTGGTAACCACAACAGATGCGTCCGGCACATCCTGGCGCTGCGGACGGAGCGAGATGGTGGCCTCGCCCTCGAGGATGTCGCCGTTCTCCCTCGAGGTCATTACAAACCTCACCTTTGCGCGCTGGACTTTCGCCCGCGGCGGCAGGTTGATGAGCGGGCCGGCTTCCGGGGGGAGCAGCAACTGCTGGGAGACGATCCAATCGACGTCGCGGCCGTCGAAGGCGATGGTCTCGAGCAGGTGCACGCCGCCGGCGACGGGGAGGGCGTCGCGGTCGATGCTCGTGGAGGAGCGCGAGTCGTCGGACGGCTCGTCGATGAGGGTGGTGTCGCCGTCGGAGTCTGTTGGGGCCGGCAGGTTAGCGATAGACTTGGTCGCGTAGGGGCGGTGGGACGGTGCGGGCTCGGCGGACAGCGGCAGGCGGCGGTAGGCGAGGATGTAGGCCTGGCGCTCGAAGGTGCGCTTGTAGGCCTTGAGGTCGTCGAGGGAGTCGCGGTAGACGACGTCGCTGTCGTCGTCGAGCAGCGCCCAGCGGCCGTCTGGGTTCTTGACGGCGGCCGTGTAGTGGCCCTTGTAGATGCTGACGCCGCGGTGGAAGACGACGGCGTACAGCTCGTAGGCGGTGGGGTCGTGGTCCGGCGCGTCGGCGTCGCGGATGGCGTCGGACACGGCGAGGTGCTCGTCGATCTGCAAGCTCTTCTGCACCTTGGTCTGGTCATCTTGCTGCATGGTGAACCGGTTCACCTGCACCAGCAGCACCTCGGGCAGCTGCACGATCTTGTCCACCATGGTGTGCTCGGTGTCGGCGTTGCAGCGGGGGCAGCGGTGCACGAGCGCGTTGTGCATGCCGGGGAGGATGGCGTCGTCGATGGTGCAGCGGCGGCCGTCGGTGGGGAAGTCGGCGATGAGGAAGTACTGCTGGTCCAGGCTGTCGGCTCTGCGGGTGGCGTTGCAGGTGCGGCACTGGAAGTGTTTGTTGGTGACGATCTGGAACGAGGCGCTGACGTCGACGTACATAGACTCAAAGTGAAACTGCGCGAGGGTACGCTCTAGAAACTCACGCGCGTCCTGCTGCTCGTTGAGGTCCTCGACCGCACTCACCCAGAAGCTGACCAGCAGCTTCTCCCAGAGGGTGTCTAGGGCGCGGGTGAAGGCCTCGTCATTGCGGGATCTGGTCCAGTAGGCGTCGATAAAGGCCTTGAGCACGCAGAAGGTGCAGAACGTGGCCGGCTCGACGCACGTATGGCCTGGCACGCAGTTCAGCTCGACAAAGTTCAGCAGAAGGGGGGTGTGCAGGAGTAGCTGGAGGATCACATTGCGGTAGCACAGGTTCAGCGGGTTGAAGATGCTGACGGGGTCGAAGGCTTGGTAGTAGTTGCGCCAGCCGGTGTAGAAGGGGAGGGTCTGCGGTGTTAGTGATGGTTGCGTATGGGTGATGGGTTCATGGGTACTTACTGGTCTTCCCAGGTTCTGGGTAGGAGTGTCATTCTCATCCGCCATTTTGCAGATGTCTGAGGTGTTAGTCTTCAGTGATATTCACTTGATGATGTTCTTCTGCTCAAGGAGCATCACGGCTTTTATGTCTCTTCACTGGCATACTGATGTAGACGGAACCAGCCATTGGTTCTTTGTAGGGTCTGTCTGCATTGTTGGATATCGTCCATTGTCTGAAGCTGTCTTCTGATCAAAGCGTGGACAAGGAGGTTGTCGTCTGAAATGGAGTGGCCATTGTTCGGCATGTTCTTTGTAGTGAGGTGCATCATTGTCGACCTGCGGGTGTTAAGATACAAAGCGGTAGATAAAGAGCATTCTGGGAGTGTCTTTGACGATTGTTGTGTTTGTGCAGGTAGACGGGGCTGACCGTATACATGCTTTGTTATCAAAATAGCACCTACATAACTTAGATAATACTATCTAATCTACAACAGTGAATACAGTACCCATCTGAAGTAGGTATCTAGTAGTCTACTAGAGCTATGCAATGCATATACAACTTAGTCATACGCCTCTATACAGTCACTGTATACAGTGTATAATGTCAGTGCCAGCCACGTCACGAGCTCCATCGACTCCATCAACTCATCAACTCATCAACTCGTCAACCAATTCCCTCAGCAATTTCCCTGTTTTAATGCAAGCCTCTGACGACAGCGCAAAGAACGGACAAATGGACGGTCTAGCCAGCAGCCGCGGAACGGGAGGATTCCAGACCATCACGGACAGACCCATGGGCGGCGGGCAAGAGGACGGTCCAACGCGGGACGTTTCACGCAAATTACAGCGGGGGTGGCCATGTCCGAGGCCACGGGCGATGGGTACCAAACTCGCAGCTCTGCTTGCTTGGTTGCTTGGTTGCTTGGGCTTGGGCATCCGCCACATCTGCAACGGGCGACTCAATCTGGTGTTTGCGTGTTGCTCGTGCTGGTCACAGCCACATCCACATCCCGAAGTGACAAGTGACAGCGACAGTGACAGGTGACAGTTGTCGGCCCAGCATATCCTGAAACAAGGCATGGGCCTCATCTAGGGATAGATTAATGAGCCGTCATTAAGACGTGCAACACGTCGCTGGACAGTCTAGACCGCATTCAGGCTGGTTCTCGCATTGATCGCATAATCTCTGGTTCTGAGGCGTGGTGGTGAGAATCGCAATCAGGATGATGCTAAATAAATCAGGGTAATTTCTGGGGCTCCACCGCTCGGGCTGGTTTCGGGTTTCAAGCGGGTGGAGCGAGCTTGCGATGAGAATGTACGGAGCATCTGAGCATAGAGGAATGTGCTTGTCTAGGACAAGAATGCCTTATAAGGGTGTTTTCTGTGTAAGCTCGTCTAGGATCTCCATCGCGAGTCGGTACATGACAGCTGCGAAGGAATGAATGGAGCTAGCTACCTAGCTACCTCCTGTCCAGGCGGGATCTATATCGTGGAATGCTGGAATGCGGTATATTAAGCCGAGACCAGTTCTTCAGGGTGCTCGATCGATCCACCAGGCCCTACGCGTCTGTCTCAGCCCTGCCGAGGAAGAACCAGAGGAGACCTGGATGGAACCATGGGTCGAGGGAAGGGATCGCTTGACAGCTGTGGTTGTCGGAGTATTATTGTAGGATGAAAAGGAACGAAATTAATTACTGTGTGATTTCGGTGTGATCGATCAAATTAAACATCCTTAATTACCTGCTCAACGATGGGCTCCACAGCCGTTGGTCGGTTCTTTCAGCTGGCCACGCATCCATCTGCCCTCCTCCTACAGCGTTTCAGCCGTTCGTTTCGGCCACTGATTAAAGCGGAAGGACACCCGCGTCTTGCCGCTTTGGGGCTGGTGGCCTCCACCGACGGTTTGTGCAGATGCTCGAGTATGGCATGATATAAAGTAGAGAGATTATAGTGCAGCGTAGGAGTAGAGATCTGTCGATTCGGATAATACTCATGATCAGACAGTTTGATTAAGTACTGTTCGCTGTTTGAGCCTAAGGAAATAAAATTAAAAAAGAGAAAAAGTACCTACGGAGTACTCCGTACTGTAGACACCTAAATACCTAGAACGGAAAATAATCTCCAATCAAACCAGTGGAGACTGGTCGGCGCCGATCGTGGCGTCGAGATCCCGCCCAACGGGGCTAGACACTCGCAAGCACCTGTCCGTTTGAAACTCCGCTGCCTTTCGGAGTACCTAGGGTATGAATCCCGTCGCCTCCTAACGATTCCATATGTATGTAGTCTCTTTCGAAGATGAAGGATTACACCGGATAAGATGAGTTCGATATTCTGCAACCTGCAGCCCGACACTGCGTACAGCTTCCCACTAGAACACGAGGGGAGTTCTCCCTCAGTACGCAGTACTCCGTAGACAGAGCATGTGACAACTCACGGTTCATTCTGCACATCGCCTACATGCTGCACCGTGTTGCGGGTGGACTAACTGCTCCGTACCAGGTGCGAAGAACGATCGGGTCCGAATCACAATAATAATGGCATTGTTGCAAACTGGCCTCGTTTCGTAGAGCTACCTAGTAGTACCCAGTACTTATGGTCTAGACTCACCCACCGCCATTTTCCCAGCTACTACCGAACCAGTATGGGGTCTTACTATACTATAGTAGCCAGGAGGAAGGTATCATACTGAACACAGATGATCTATCGTGACAGTACAACGGCGACTCCGACCACCCTCGATCATTATTGTTGATCCATCTAGGGAGTAGAAAAAGGACGAACCCTCATAGAGTACTCCGTACCCATACCTATACGAGTCCCAGGTGCCCTCGGAAAATAACCAAGACGCCGCTCCACTTGGGCTGTCAGCGCCAGGGCAGCAGCCGCCGTGATTGGGCCGAGACCCCCCTGGACAGCCACCGTTGGGCCCCACCGGGTCCCTGGGTAATCTTGCAGGCGCGCGCAGTTGGCGGGAAACCCCTGTTCGCCCCGTCGTTCTTGGGCTTGCCAGACGGAGTAACCTGATGGTTGAAGTGCGTCTGCAGTGAGTACATAGTTACAGAGTACTACAGAGTATACCTAAGTGATGGCTCAACACTCGTATAAATGGACCATACAGTCCAAATCCTGTCTATGTACCGAAGGGGTAAGAAAAGGACTAAGCGCAGGACGCGTTTGGGCGGCAATAGGCGGCCCCTGAGTGTATTGTACGGAGTCTGAGTCTGAAGTGAGTCGGTTGAGTCTGGATCGAGGACCTCCTACTGTTTATGGTCCAGGCCGATAGATCAACGGCCGCCAATTTTACTCCTGTCGAGACCGAAGATCGTGTCGTGGGCCGCCGGCACTCGGTGCCTATCAGCGTCTTCATAATAACCCCGTAATATTTATAGCATCGCTAGAGCCTGTCTCCGCTCGCCGTCGGGCCCGAACCAGTCCAACCGAAATGATCAGGCTCGCCCAGGGAAGATCAACGGATCCCTGAGTCGAGTTCGTCGAGTCGGACCGGTCTGGGTGCGACTGGTGGTGATTCATGACGAACCTGTGGTGGTGGTGGCAAGATCGAGAGATATTTGATACTCTTAGCGACCGGGAACAAAACCAGATCACACATCAACAATAAACACACTAAACATAAATACAGAAGCATCTTCATCTTCATCTCATCTCATCTCGTTCGAACTACTTATTCAATTACCCAGGAGGACCAGTTCCCTGCGTCAGTTGAACTCCATCATGTACATCTGTCCTCCGTACTTTGTAATGAAGGAGCAGAACACGAAGCTTCATCAAAGCCAGAGCCACCCACCACTCAGCAGGATTCGGGAACCCGGAAGTTGATCCACCGTTTCGACCACGGCAAAACGCGGTTGAGGGTCTGTGGATGCATCACAGACCACCAGGTAACTCACTAGGGAAGTAACTATTGCAGTTGGCTCCGTAGTTCCGCTGGTCTTGCGTGGATTACCTCTGGAGTAGGAAAGAATAGAAACAACGACGTCAGTAGGAAAAGAGTAGGAAAAGACCAGGATATTAGCTAGGATACTAGGACTACATCCCGATAACATGCGATGCAGCACGAAGCGAACGGTTGCTGGCAAGACCCCGGATCCCTGCTAGGGCGCAGCAGGCGACATTAGCCCGTGCCGATCCCTGCCTGGTCGGGCCTGGCGCGGGTTCGCCGTTGACAGATCCATCGCTCGCCGGGACTAATTGGACGGACCACCACGGCCGTTGGACTCGACGGAGTACCCATGCCATATGGAGGATCCGTACGGTAGAGTCAGGATGCTGACTATCTAGATACATTAAGGAGGAGTCCTGTAGTAATAGAACATTAGATACGATACCTAGGTAGATACGTACTAGGTATCTATCTACTGTACCTAGGTAACCTACGAGTACTACAGTATGGATAGACCTGGGGCTATTAGGCCATTTCCCATCCCGGTTCAGGATGCTGTCCCCACAGGGAGGAACCATGTTCTGTCTCATCGATCACTACCTAGTTACCTACCCTACCACTACCTAAGTTGGGTAGGACCTAGTCTCGTCGTCGGACGTACGTAGACTTCCTATTCATGACCGGGGTTCCCGGTATCAGAAACTCTGATCCGATCATGAATCTTGATCTGTATCGTCCTCTGCAGAGAAACGTTACGCGCATACCTACCGACTAGGTACCTACCCTACCTAAGGTAGGTACTACTTGTAAGTACATACCGTACACTCTCCTACCTCCTACGCACCGTCCCGCTCGTCGACAGCCAATCGACTCGTCCTCGACACCGACCCGGGGCTCGACCGTTCGGGGCGGGTTGACCGCCATAAAGGCTTCTGCTGGAGGATAGTCCCCGCGGTTCCACTGAGGAGGTGGACCTAGTATGTATAGTATGTACCTTACGTTGTTTCCAGTATGAAGAGACAGACACACATCCGAGACGAGTAATCACCGAAGAGAAGACAGATGAGACGAACTTGAATCTTCAGACCAAACAGGCTAACGGGGTTAGGCATGACCCTCATCAAACGGACCAAACCAGACCAGACCAAACAATAAGATTAAATTTCCGATGAAATGACGGTTGAACCCACCGGAACCACTCACTAGTTAGTTAGGCCAACGGTCCAACATTACTGTATAATAATATAATAATAATTATTATGGTCGTGATTATTATTTTATTTATTATATTACGGTATTCGATCAGGCCCTAGATCAGCTGTCACTGCCGATGATCTCTGTTTATGCATCTCAAGCTGTTTCATCTCTCTGGCCAGTCCTCCTTTTCCCTCGCCCGCTTTCTCTCTTCTCTCTTTCTTTTTCTTCTCGTCCTCCTCCCACCCCAGCACGCCCTGTCCTGCTGATTAGCTCGAGGGTTGTTTTATTCTCCGATCGCTTTTCTAGACCTTCCCATCCCTGCTCGGGACCCATCAAACCTTCTCTACCATTCCTACATCTCAGAACCGTTCTTCTGTTCCTCTTTTCTCCTTCTGGCAATACCTTCACACTTGCTCCATTAGGCTCTGATCTTGTCGCAACGCTCACCACTCGGTTGGGTTCCCTATATATATACCTAACCTGACACCTGCATACAGCCACCGCTCAACTCACAATCGGCGAGCTGTCCAATCCACAAGAAAAAATCCTTCGTCATCACCCTCATCGCTCACACTCCGACTCGCCACCACGGCCTTCCCTCTCCTACACCTCTCTTCTTATCCCCAGCCACCACCCGGCGAATCGCGCATATGATTGCGTTACAAAACCAGGCTCTCCTACCTCCCGCCAAAGTGGATATCTCACTGCTGCTGAAGCCCCAAGATGAGGAGGCCGCCCCGGTGACCACCACGTCTGCCTATCCACCCAGTCTCGCACCTCATGGCCCTCCTCTGCCGCCCGCCATGCCGCTGCCCACCCCCGCGACCATGCCTCCCGCCCCGCCTCCGGTCTCCGTGCCCGCAAAGCGTCTGCAGCCCGCCCACACCGCCGAGTCGCCGGCTAAGAAACAGTCCAAGTGGTCGCCCGAGGAGGACGCCCTGATCATCGAGCTGCGCGGCAGCGGCATGAAGTGGGAGGACATCAGCAAGCGGCTCCCCGGCCGAAGCGCCATCAGCTGTCGCCTCCACTATCAGAACTATCTGGAGCGCCGGAGTGAGTGGGACGAGGACAAGAAGAACAAGCTGGCCCGGTTATACGAGAGGTAGGTCACGGCTCATGAAGCCATACGGCATGGTCGAATGCTAACAGCACCAGATTCAAGGCAGAAATGTGGTCCAAGGTGGCGGAAGAAATGGCTATCCCGTGGCGCGCCGCAGAGGCGATGCATTGGCAGCTAGGAGAGCAGGAAATGGCCCGTCGAGCCGGCGTCGTGCCCTTCTCGCTCTCCAGTACCGCCATCGACCCCCCCGCCACCCGCGCTCGACGGGCCAGCACCTCACTCTCGCGGCCACGGAAAGGCTCGACCTCCCGCGTGATCCCTCCGCCGCCGCAACTCCCCTCCGTCGAGGAACTCACGGCCGGCGTCCCCGCATACGCCCCGCCGCCGCCGTTCCCTCCGCCACGAGATCCGTATCGAATGGGCCGGCCGCTGGACCTGCCCCCCCACGGCGCCCCGACGCACATGCCGCCGAGTCTCGGCATGCCCCCGCGCACGCTGCCTTAGGATCCGAAAACGATGTCCACGCTCCTGTTTTGCGTTGTTACGATTTGCATAGCGCTGGTTGGCGGTACCTTCGTTCGGGAGGAATTCTCATAGATGTTTGTTTGAACGCATGCCTTTGGGCTTTCTCGAGAAGCAAGACTTCGCCTTGCAGGTGGTCTGCTTCTCTGAAATACGCAATATTGGAAAAACGGCTCCGAGGCTGGATCTCGAGTACGTGCACGATTTGTTATGGTGATTTGGTCTCATCGGGTCGCGATCGCCCACCAATTGTCCTTGTCATATCCCGATTCGAGGACCCGGCCGCCCGCCGCGTTGATATCCCGCTCCAACTCGGAGGCCTCGAAGAGATGGTAGTACCGATGGAAGACCTTCGGTTCGGTGCCGTCGTTGTCTTTGGACGCGCCGCTCTTCAGCACCCACGGCACCATGATGTCTTTCTGGTCGCCCTTGTCCCAGCCGCGGCGGCTGTTCTTCTGCTCGAGCGCCCAGACGTACAGGAGTGCTTTTCCGCCGGGGCCTTCATCAGTGGACGGCTTCAGGGTGCGCAGGATCTCGCGGATGGCCTGCACCCGTCTGTCCGGGGTGGACAGATGGTGGATGACGGCGATCGAGATGGCAAAGTCAAAAAATGAGTCGGGATGTGGCAGGTGGAGAATGTCTGCCAGAATGGTCGAATGGGGGTGATGTTTTGCCGCGATACGGGCAAGATTTTCGGATCTGTGCAGTCGTTAACACCATGGATATAAGATATGAACATTTCTTTGAGTTATGACATGGAGCGGCCATGCCGATGTAAATACAGATAAATCAATGACAGATATGAATGATGCAGTGTGAGCAAGTAGTGAAAACGTACCGATCTGAAGCAACGATAAAGACGTTCTGGTTTACAGTCAAGTACTTGCCGTTTCCACAGCCCACGTCCAAGCCGACGGCGCCTGGGGGCAGGTTTAGAAGGAATCGTTCCACGACGGGCCACGGCTAGTGGTGTCAGCGAAGTACAAAGATGCAGCAAACAGTAGATCGGTACCTTGTATCGAGTGGAAGAGAAGTGGGTTGCAATCTGTTGATATACTTCGTGCACGTTCTTCTCTTCGTAGGCGTCTTCTTGGGCCGGGGTGGAAAGATCGGATGATGCCATTTTGCCGTTGCTTGTCCCGCAGTGCAGATGCAGGTCAATGAATGCAGAAGAGTACTGGGTAGGCTGCTGGCTGGAGTATGTGGAATATGTAGAAGGTGAGGTATGTAAGGTACTCTGGTGTTGAGTGATGTCAAACTTTCTGGCCGAAGCGAGCTCTTCTGGGACTAGTCTGTTCTCGGCCAGCAATTTCACGGTTGGCGTCAAGGTTCTGACTAATCCCACGTGCATTCATTCAGTATCAAACAACTTTAGCTTCACCTTTCCATCGTATGTCCGTCGCAGATCTGTGTGCATCTGGATCAGTTTGTTTTTTCTGTAAGTGATTTGTTCTACTCTGTATATTGTTCATCACCGCACCGGAGATGGCGACATTGTACATTGTGTGCCTAAGTCCCGGGGTCGGGTTTGAATACCATCGTGACTGAACCTGAGAACTATGGAAGTTACGCGCTGTTCTTGATGTTGCTGCTCTTATGTAATTGCGACAAACTACTTGCTTTGTCGCTTATGATCTCCCGATCCTACAGCATGCATACGTTGATTCCAAAGAGGCCATTCTAACCCCCCACAGGAACAATACCCAACCCATCTCACTACTCCCAAAACACACCACCCATCAAGATGTCCTTCCAACCAACCCCAACAGACATCTCCGTGATAATCACCACCCCCGCCACCAGCACAAAAGAACCACACTTCGTAACCGAGCGCCGCATCACCCCAACATGGACCGTCCAGCAAGTCAAATCCAAACTGGAGACCATGACCGGCGTCCCGCCCAGCAGCCAGCGTCTGCGCCTCAAGTCCCCCGGCCGCCCCGACCAATGGGTCGACGGCGACGACAGCCTCATCGGCGACTGGGGGCTAATGAAGGGCTGCGAGATCGAGGTGCACGACTCCCGCCCGCAAGCCGCGCGCCCCAACTTCACTGATCTCTCCGCGGTCGAGAAGTACGTCCTGCCGGAGTCGGCGTACGAGGCTCTGCCCAATTCGGTGCTCGCGTGGAAGAAGAACCAGAAGCTCGGGCGGTTTGATCCGAATGCACTGGCGCCGGAGGAGGCGATGCGGCTGCAGGCGCGGAAGGATGCGGACGAGGTTAAAGGTAGAGGTAAGCACCGCCCCTCTTCCCCTCCAACAGCCCTGGTAGTTTGGAGTGGGCGTTGGTTAATGCGTTGCAGACATCGCCGTCGATAAACGCGCCATCGTCTTGCCCTCGTCGCCGCCGCATATTCGCCGCGGGACGATCCGGTACGTTGGCCCGGTGCCGACTATTCCGTTCCCTGGTGTGGAGATAGCTGCGGATGAGAGTTCTGGCGAGCTGCCGCTGTGGGTGGGAATTGAACTGGACGAGCCGACTGGGAAGAACGATGGCAGCGTCGGTGGGAAGCGCTATTTTACGTGCCCTAACAAGACCGGTGTGTTTGTGAAGCCGGAAAAGGTGGAGGTTGGGGACTTTCCGCCGTTGGGCTTAGATGATCTCGATGATGATATGGAGGAGATATGATGTGATCCAGACGGATTGTCATAAGCGTTGATTAACATGGTATACTACACCTAAACTATACCGTCCAAACCAGTCAGGCTCATCCTTGACACTTGGCAGGAAAGGAACACGAGAAGAAAGAGCATCGACCAAAACCGTGACTGCATCGCTAAACTAAGTATTCAATAATCCCGGAGAGGAAAAAAAATAGGTATCAAGAAGAGCAGACATCGTTCCGTTCACATCACGTCGACAGGTCCATATCACAACACTAGCAACCTGAGAGCGACATCATTAGGATTTGGATCCACCGGCCTTTTGTTTGCCCTTGGGTCGGCCTTTGGCGCCCGTGCGAGCGGCCTTGGTGGGTTCAACAGTGGTCTCTCCTTCTCCCTCCATCATGTCCGGCTTGCTGGCCGACTCAGGAACTGAGTCGTCATTCTCTGTAGGGACACAGCCTTGCGTGAAGAACAGACGCGCGTCTTTGCTAAAGTTGTTGGCAAAACTGTAGTAGTTGCCTGGTTGATGTCAGTCATTGTCTCACCCTAGGAGATATGGTGGGAACGTACCTCTTGGGACTTGGAACACACAGCCTTTGCCAGCGCTGAATTGAACTCCGGAGATGTCGACTTGCACCCGGCCCTGGCACACATAGAATACCATATGCATTCGTTTGGAGTTCTTGGGTTTCTTCACCCCGCTGGGCGGTAGTTCTACAATCCCAGATCCCAGGAAGGGAGAACTGAGAAGTTTGGCAAATCGGAAACTCGACCCTTTCACGGCCCTTGTTTCGATCCCCGAAGGCGCATATGCAATATCTGTCATCGAGTCAGCACCTCAACCTCAAACATCGCCGTCGAAACATAGACATACCAAGGACTTCTTCCTCATCGGTCCCGGTCTGGTTCTCCGAATCCCATTTCCTGATATAACCATGCAGGACTCCACCCTCTTTCTCCCAAGGGTCAACATACTCCTCGTCGCTGTCTGAGTCTTCATCTTTCTTCGACTTCGACTTCTTAGCAGGTCGGCGTTTGTTGCCTTTGCGTTGTTCTGTCGGTAGCTCTTCGGTGCGGATGATCTCCTTGATCGTCGACAGTGGATAACGCTGTCCCTCGGCGGCCTCGCCGTCACCGTAGACGCACCGTTCGTTCCTCCAGTACGCAAGAGGCCTTACTGACACACGACCGGACCGGGTGTGAGTGGTACTGCTGTCTGTCGGTGTCTCCCGCTTGAGAATGTACAGACTTCGTCCTTTCAGCGGTCCCGTGCGATTGACGTAGTTCTCCACGACCTTGTCCAGTTCGGGATGTTCGGGGACATCTGAATCCTGCGGTTGTTTGTTGGTCTTGGCTTTCTTCGCTGGTCGTGATTCGGTTTCTTCGCCAGCGTTTGGCTTAGTCTGTGATTTGGGAGCTCTTCCGCCGCGTTTTCGCTTTGTAGGCTGTTCTTGGTTATCATTCTCGATTGTCTGTGCGATAGTCTTGCCGCGTGTCCCAGCTGCGTCCTTTTTGCTTTTGGCCGCAGGTTTCCGCTGCTCCGTTTCCCGCGACTCAGGAAGCAAAACTGAAGAGTCACCAACGTTCTCCTGGTCCACGCCCTGGTCCCCTAGAGTAGTCTCGTCGCCGGCTGCAAAGCTGTCCATATAGTCGTCCTGGAAAGCATTGCCATTCTCATCGCCGTTCACGTCGCTGTCCGAAAAGGAGGTCGCCGGGACCGGCTCAGCCGTTTTGCTCGCTTTGGCGCGTGACTGATTCAAGGTTGGTGCATTGATGGAGCGGTTCGTAAGGGGCGAAACGTCATGTCGCGAATCTCCCTTGACACTTCCCAGACCCTTGCCATCTGATGGGCTGGACGAGGGAATGTCGCGCTGCGGACTTTGCGAAGAGCGTAGGCCCGGAGTCCGCCGTGGCGACCCAGTCAGCCCGGTCTTCATCGGCGACCGAGCAACAGGAGGAGGAAAAAACGAGCTTCGTCTGCCATTCACGCTGTTGAGGAAATCGGTGGGACCGGGGCCACTGCCTGTTGAGGGAATTGTCATTAAGCACCCTGTCGGATATTTTGAAAGATCGCACCATACCTTCATCCATGGACATACCATCTGAGCCAGTCGAATCGTCATTGTAATCGTGGAACCCATTTTCCTTCGCCGGAGACTTCTCTGGGGATGACCACAACTCCTCAATATCTTCCATTCCATGTTCGTCGCGCTTTGCTTCCTTCAACGTGAGTCCAGTGCGCCTGTCCCAGTCATCTTCATCAGTCGTGTCAACGGACGCATCTGACCCAGGTCACTCACCGTCCAGATTTACCGACATTGGAGTAATCGTAGTCGCGGGCTTTCGCGGGCCCCCGAGGAGCCATTGTTGCGGAGGTTCGTGGAATATGCTGGGAATCAGCCGAGAGGGGGGAGCGTATCGTCTTGGCTTAGTCTAACTCATACACCGAGCAGCAAATAATACAAGAATGAGACGAGGCCACGGCGAAATGTATGGAGCCGCGAGCTTGGTGAACGCAGCTGCGGAGGGGAGAATTATTGGAATTCATGACGGGCGGCGAACAACACGCGCGGAAGCGCCGCTAGTCCCGAACGGTGTGGGACGCGTCCACCCGCTTTGCTGCGCATAACTTGCAGCAATCAACCTGCCTCCTCGACTCTGGCATTTGATCCGCTCTTTTCCTTCGCGTTTTCTACATATCTTCCATTCGTGTCATACATTCGATCAGAAAAGAAAGCAACCCAATACACAATGGCCGAGTCAACGCGCGATTCACCTCCGGAAGCCTCAATTCCCACCAACTTCATCCCGCCCAGCATTGATCTCTCGCAATTATTCACTGGACAATCGCACGCCTACTACTCCGCCTGTCCTCCCCTTCCTACAGATGTCTCCGCGTCGGAAGCAGACTCGCAGAATTACTTCGTCCTGGGCGTCGACGAAGCCGGCCGCGGCCCCGTTCTAGGCCCTATGGTCTACAGCGCGTTCTACCTCCCCCACGACCTCCACCATTCCCTCCTCGCTCAGAAATACAGCTTCGACGACAGCAAGGTGCTCACGCCGGCGGTTCGCCTCAACCTCATGCGCACACTTTGCACGCCGGGAACGCCCCTGTTCGAGTCGTGCGGATGGGCCACCAAGCTTCTCACCGCGCAGGACATTTCCTCGGGCATGATGCGTCCTGCGGCCGCGGCCTACAACCTGAACGCGCAGGCGATGGACGCGACGATAGAAATTATCCGTGGGATTGTCGAAGAGCGCAAGGTCAACGTGAGGGAAGTGTATATCGACACGATCGGAAACCCGGCGTCGTACCAACAGAAACTGGAGAGGATCTTCCCGACTCTGAAGATTACGGTGGCCAAGAAGGCTGACTCGTTATACCCGTGCGTCAGTGCTGCCAGTGTTGCGGCCAAGGTGACGCGAGATATCGCGCTTGAGCTCTGCTATGAGGAAATCATGAAAGCCAAGTCGCTCGATCAGTCGCAGACGACAACCGACACCTGGGGTAGTGGCTATCCTTCAGACTCCAAATGTGTTGGATGGCTTCGAAGGAACATGGATCCTGTCTTCGGTTGGGGTAATGAATGCCGATTTAGCTGGGGTACTGCTAAAGAAATGCTGGAGTTGAAAGGCGGCGCCAGAGTCGATTGGCCGGAAGAGGAGAATGAACAGATTAGAGACTTTCTCCTGATGTCTACAGGGGGCGCCAAGAATAGAGATCATGAGCTATGTGAATGGTTCGGTCATAGAACGACAGAAATTCTGTGACAGAAGAAAGTTTCCTGTGGACGGATTTATATACATTCAACGACTCGTGATACCCAATGTCAGCAACATTATAAAGAAGAAATAATACAAGTGCTAATAGTAAAACCATGAAGCATTAAGTTTAGATCAACCGGGTATCTATAAAAAGCACGGACCACCGATCTAAGCACGTCAAGCAATGCCTATTTCGTGAAGGCCAAGAGAAGCGAAGTCCTCGGAGGATAACAAAAGAAACGTTTTACAAAGTCGCGGTCGGGAAGTAGAAGTTGTCCCAGAGGTATTCGTAGTCCTCGATGACGCTGCCAACCAAGTCAAGGAGGGGCTTGCCCTTCATCTTGCCAGTCAATCCCTTCAACCAAGGTCTGTTTCCGTTAGCTTCAAAATCTTCCCTAGAACATGTGGAGGGAATAACATACTGAGTGATGTTCTCGTAGAATGCACCCCGCATAAACCACCAACCCATCGCCCAGCCTCTCTTTCGTAACTCCTCGCGCTCGAGGCCAGTAAGTCCCCGGAGACCGCCGGCGACTCTCTCGCGGAAGTCCGCCTTTGCCAGTTGCCGACAACCGTATTCCATTCCAAAACCAATAAGCCAGGGTCTCCAGCTGCGCTTATCCCCACTCCATCTTTGCAGTGCCAATGCGTAGACCACTGGTCGAAGAATGTAGAGCACTTCGGCGAGTTGCCCTTGGCCGGTGACTCGATGAAGGAGAGCTTTGGGGGGTTTGATATCATCCGCCGTAAGCACCTTCGAGATGAGGTAATTCGACACGTCGTTCACGTCAGGAAGAGTGGGGAGGGAAAGTCCCGTGCGAGGCATGGTCCAACTCAGGTCAGACGAACCCTCGCTGACAGGAGTTTGCATGCCATTCCAATCACTTTCCTCTTCTTCCGTAGTCCTGGGGTCCACCTCACGTTCGGGTAGAGGAGGGCTGACTAGGGGCCGGGAGTTCGTGAGGCGTAATAGAAAGAGACGGCAGATCGCTTTGACGACTTCGATAAGGACGACAATCCGCCAGCGGACTTTCTCGCCCCGTCGCCGCGCGATCATTTCCCAGAGGAGTTCTGTATATTGAACCATTTGGAGTGTGAGGGCGACCCGATGGTACAGGGAGGATTTGGATGACCAGTACTTGGTATACCGAGAGTGCGGTGTTGGGGTTGGTCGCGGAACGGTCGGGGGTAGTCTGGATATTACTTTGGAGACAAGGCTGTCATGGTATAGAGAGAGAAGCTGCACACCCGAATGTACTGTATAGGTATTAGAGAGGGGATACAGAAACACAACCGCTACTTGAACATACCGCATTCTGATGATATCTCGGAATCCCGGTATCGTCCTGGACAGCATAACATCAGCCAACCGCTCGCGTCAACAAAAAGATCCGTCTCACCTACCTGGAATGATATAAGTCAGTGACCGCAGAGCTGACTCTACCTGTCCCACGGTGCTAGCGTTTTTCGTCACAAAGTCCTCGTACATGGGCAGCCATTTGGATGGCTGCCAAAGGGCAGGAGGCACCCGATTCTTGGTGTTCCATGCAGACTCCATCTCAAACAAGGCGTGTCTGCATGCAACTATTCAACCAAACAAATCCTAAAAATCTCTGGAGTGAGATAGATGCAGAATAGGTCGCACAAGAGCAGCCAGCAGATGGAGAGGTAAGGTGAAAGGGATGTGACGTCCGGATAAGTGAGGGAGCCCCAGAGCACGTGTTTCCCCGTCTGCCAAGCCATCAATGCCGAGGTCCCTCTGGGGCTCCAGAAATCCCGACGTCCTTTTACAGTACGTTCGGCATCTATCTAGATTGCTGATACCTACCTAAGCTAAGGGATCTATGTGACTAGATATTCTCAAAAGCAGTCTCTATTACACAAATGATAAATTATCTAGCATGTATCTGACATGCCATCCAGTCTATCTACATGCTCACTCATCTGCAAATTTCCACATACCACCTGGGCGCATCGCCTCTCGATATCGCTCCTTGATCTTCTCTCGTTCGAGCTTTTTCGCTTCCTGTCGGTCTTGCTCCAACTCCTGAGTGTCAGGCATGTCGGTTCGCCAGAATCCCGGTGGTGTGCTTGATCGCTGATGATTGTGTCTATGTTTTCCGAAAGAATTGGCCAGGCGTCTTGCTTTCGCATCTTCCAGGTACATCTTCCGCTCTTCTTCAGTCAATCCGTCGAGTAAATGCTTGTCGTCGCCCAGGTATTCCTCTAGAATCTTCCGATCTTCCGCGGGAGAAGTCTTGTAGTTTAATCGGGCCATGGTTCGGAATTTGTCCCCGCAGCAGCCCGGACGCATGCAACCTGATAAACATTTGCGCTCATCCTTTTTGCGGACAACCTCATCAAACGCATAGTCCAACCCCTGGTTATAATCGGGATTGATCTTGAAATGGTCTAATTCAAGCCGGTGCAACGGTCGACATCTATATGGTTCTTCTTCCGGAAGCACTGGCGAAGGCTCGGTGTCTTCGTAAAGCGGATAAGTGACCTTCGATGTTTGGTCCTCTGGGTTGGGGCTTCTGTGCACGGGTCGTGCTGCAGGAACAATATTTCGAGCCTCCGGGCCACGCAATGCTGCGGCAGGTACCGCCGCCCTGTCGTGTTTCGTCTTCGTCTTTCCTTTAGATAATAAAGGCTGTCTTGGAGGTAACGGTTGCTCTAGGAGATCGTCTAACCGCCGCGTTGTCGAAACATTGTCTGTTTTGGGTGTTGTCGACTGTAGTTTGTATGCAGATACAGGATTTGTGGGTCGTTTCCTTCCACGGAAATCAATGTTGTTCTCATCGCCATCTTCTGCGAGCGCAGATATAGCATACTTCTTCGGCTTCTCGGAGCTTTTCCCAACAGACCTGTCCGAGACGCGACTATGGACTGGTCGGTTAGTGTCCAGAGGCTGAAGAATGCTGGATCTCTTTGAAGGTGTCTTGAAGTTGCTAGAGTGCCAGTCATTCCGAGACCTCGTGGGAGACTGCGCACCGTCTTGGAATTGAACCGTGCCGCGGGCCTTCTTTCTTGTCGGGGTTTCCACGGTGTCGCCAACCTCATCCAAATCTTGCGTCCCAATAGGCACTGAAAATGCCCGAGGTGGACTAGAGGAGAGGCTTTCACTTTTGATAAGGATGGGTTCGATAACTTTTTGCATCACACCACAATCACGGGTTCCAGAAACGCCCTGACGAAAAGCTCGCTTTCGCTTCAATGTCCCCGCTGCGTGTGTATCGTCGGCGGCAGGAGTGTCTCTCTCGATAGCCTCCCGTTCTCCACCAGGCGAAGAGCCAGACTGGGTCGATGCTAACTCGGATAGATCAGTTTGTGCAGGCTGCAATGGCGCATGGCCTGTTTGGAAAGTTTCGGTTCTCTCATCGCCAGCTGATCTAGTCTTTGGGCTGGGTAGTCTTGGAGTCAAAGCTCTGTCCGTGACTTCATGGTCAAGCGTGTGTCTGGTAGGACGTTGGCCTCCGGCAGAACATTGGACGCGTTTAAATCTGACTATCGTCCCATTATTTGCTGTAATAGTAAACTGGTCATTGAGGAGGCGTTCATTCCAGTCGCACAACTTCTGCTTGTGCTGTTTGATTCTCTGCCTTAGCGCTCCCGAGCTCGTTGCCAGTGTTTGGGCGTCATCATATAGCTCGACATATTTGCCACCCAAGACCGCACGCTCCTTTTCATCGAGTTTCCGGCTGCTTGGATCTTCAATGTCAGGGAGAGCTAGAAGATGCTGCGGAGAATATCTCTCTTTCAATCGCTGGCACGTCTTGATCGACTCTAAATCGGTGTCTTTTTGGTTCAGCTCTTCGCGCAAATTTTCGATCTCTCTCTTCAGTGCTTCAATCTCTGCTGATGCAACATCTCGTGCTTCTTCCGCCAATTGAGCGCGCTCCTCGGCTTTGCGGGCGCGTTCTTCATGGTGCAAAAGCTCAGCTTCCAGCTGTTCGCACGCGGTCTCGAAGGCATTCTCAATAGTCTGAGTCACGGAAGCATGAAGGCGACTGAGGGTATCCATGGATGGTGTTGCGCGTCCATATGGAACGAACTAATTGTACAATGTAGAATAGAGACTCTTATCACTGCCTTGGTACCTAGGTACTTGGGCGCGAACGCGATGAGACGCGACAGGAGAATCTTACGTCATACGGAAGCACCTTTTTTTTTTACACGTACTGTAATTCTCGTATTCGCGTAACCGCCACGATTGGGATCTTATCGATTGCTCCAGACCTCAGATAAGCCTCATTCCCAGACTACTGTCGCAAACCTCCTGGGACGGCTTCCCACGCATGTTCATCTTCGCTTCATCGGCAGCATGTCTAAAAGGCCAAATGAGGGCACGCTGTCAGCTCCTCCTCCATCAAAACGCTCGCGCGTGACCCGAGCTGGCAACAGAACGGCCGATCGTCTCTCCTCCTTGAGTGACGAAATCCTCCTCCACATACTCTCCTATCTGCCAATACCTTCGCTACTGATCTGCCAAAGGTATGGTTACTGTGGCACGCTATACAACAAGTTGGGATGAATACTAACAGACGTTCAGTGTCTCACGTCGCTTCCACATCCTTGCAGGAGACTCCGAGCTCTGGAAAAGGAAATACTATAGCCGATGGGTACGACCTCGCGCTCGTCGACTGGCGAACGGCAAACGTGCCAGCTCCCTACGGGCTAAATTCCAATACTCTCCGAAGGTATCGACATGGTTAGATCACAGTCATCTGGCGAAAGAGGGCATCGCGACAAATTGGAAACGACAGTACCGTCTGCGCCATAACTGGTCAAAGGGAGCCTGTCGGGTGTCCGAAGTTGCGTTTCCGCAACCACCCCGTTCACCGCTCCTGGTGGATTTCTGTGCTGGGTATGTGTTCACCGCAGACTCGGACCATGGATTAAGGGCGTGGGATTCCGGGAATCCCAAATCGTGTCTGGCAACCGTCCCGTTTGATGGCCCTGGGCCACAATCAGCGAACGCTCCTACTGCGTTGGCCGCAAGTCGCTGTCCACAGCGGGACCTGGTGTATGTAGCGGTGGGGTTTGAAAGCGGTCGCTTCAGCATTTATCATCTTGATACCACCGCATCTCAACTGAAGGCTCATTCATCTCATGGGGACAGTGCAGGCGCTGCTATTACAGCCATCGCATTGTCATTCCCGTACGTCTTGATGGTCTCAAACCACAAAGATCTGTCTTTATACAGGGTTCCTGCAAATGATGCTGCCTCTGATACGTCGGAACCACCACAGAAAGCTCACCGACTTGCGTCTCTCACTGGCGAAAGCATTCTGACGCCAATGTCCCTGTCTATTCGGGTTACGGGTGGGGAGATCATCTCTTCCGTCGTGTTCAGCTTTTTTCATATTGGCTGTGGCTGGTCGCTTGGGATCCAAGAAGTACACTTCAATCAACGTGGCGAGCAGATAGCCTCGCGACTCACCACAACGGTGGATTCCCAGTACGGTCTGATGTCCGCGTCCCCTTCCACCGAGTCAGCAGCCGAAAGTCCGAACAGCCATCGACAAAATTCTACGTCAATCGAACCGTCGATATCACATCACGAACCGCCTACCTCCGTTTCTTACTCACATCCTTATCTTTTGAGCTCCCACCGGGACAATACTTTGACTGTGTATCTCGTTGTTTCGACGGCCGATGGCCTCTATGTCAAAGGGGGTCAGCGACTCTGGGGCCACACGTCGTCCGTTTCGACAGTCCAAGTCAGCGATCGGGGAAAGGCTGTATCAGTCAGCTCACATGGTGGGGAGATCCGGATCTGGGAACTTGAGACTTTGATCTCCTTGTTCGGCACTGCAAAAGCCTTCCGGGAAGAGAGGAGCATCCAGGTTAGCCCTGAGAAAGAGAAACAGGGCCCGCGAGAAGGCCTTACCCTGCTCTCCGTTGCTCCGCATAGTGAGACCGGGGAGAGCCGCGGCCCGGCGGAAGGGTCTTGTCAAGAATGTCAAAAGCGCGGCTGCATTGGGTTTGACGACGAACGAGTGCTTTTGGTTCGCGAGAACCAGTTGGGCACGCGATTTCTTGAGTTATATGACTTTACTTGACGTCCGGGCGCAACATTGGACATATGATGACTGTATGACGGCAAATGGTTTGGTTTTAATTTTGACGCTTTGATGCGATATGCATTTGAGACACTATATAGACATGCATACTTTCCTACTACCTATCTCGGTATAACTCTAGGTCTTATGGTGATTACGTAGGAAATGACTAGCAAGGGGATACCGGACGCCCAAGGTACCTGTCTCTAGTCGGGGACCTTGGAGAAGATGTGCCTGGATATAAAAGCATGGAGCTTCCACTTTCTGGGATTGAGGACTTTTTCTTACGTCTTGTCTATGAATGCTCTCTGGTCACCTTTTTTCGTGATGCGTCCTGTGATGCCTCGGTATGAGGCTGGTGGTGCGAATACGATGCACAATCCGCCACCGAGCCTCAGACAACGTCAAGAGGCCATCAAGACAAGAGAAGAGACCAACACGAATAAGTCGAAAATACCAACTACCTATTTGTGATGGATCTCTCAAGTGGAATTCCTAGGAATCCCTTCCAAGATGGTTGGGTTGTGGAAGTACCTGAACTTCCGGGGTGTGAGTAGCCTCATACATCCATCCCCAGACCTGACACAGTCCAGCCCACCTGCAGGAAACCCGTCAGAACGATCGTGTTTCAGAAGGATTCCAGCCTCTTTCAGTTCCTCAGTGTTTTCTGGCCCGTTTCCCCCGCACAGACTGACTTTTGGGCTTGGAAGAATAAAATACGTGGTACGGAGGGTAATCAGGGAAAATAAATTACCTACCGTTCTTCACGACTAAAATAATAATAAAATTTCTGATTGTGTCTCTCTCCCCCCACCTCCAGTCAGAATTCCTTTCTTCAGTTACTTACTTCCTTCTATTCTATCTTCTCTCCATCCTCTCATCTCCCTCAACCACTTTCTCTTCTCCTCATCTCCCTTCTCTCTTCTCCCGATTCAAAATGAGTTTCCAAGCTGGAGGCCGTGGCTGCTTCAACTGTGAGTTTTCCCTCGTTCTGGCGATCCAGACGTCGTCCCCAGTCGTTGCAAAATCCTTGTCTTGCCGCATCTGTGCGCTCTACAGCTCGCGCTCAACGGCGTGGTTCGGTGTTTTGAATTGATCGTCTTATTTGCCGCATTATACATTGCTATACTTTGTTTTAAAACGTCCTGCGATTTGTTTCTCTTCCTGCGCAAGCACTTTTACTTCAAATCCAGAATAACGGCTGACTCTTTCTACACAGGTGGCGAAGCCACTCACCAGGTAAATACCACCCCATTGCAACCCTCTCACCCCAATTGTCCGCGTTTTCGACGTGATGTCTTCGGAGAATGCAATCTTACAAGTCTGATTCCAGGCCCGCGACTGTCCCAAGAAGGGCACTCCTACCTGGTATATAACGTCTCTTTCTTCCTATAATTCGTCGTGCTAATTCCCCATTCTAGCTACAACTGCGGTGGTATGCTAAACCCATCTCCCCGTTCAAATTAGGACCAGACCCTAACCTGATTCTTCCCGATCACAGGCCAGGGACATGTTAGTAAGTTTTACCGAAATACCCTGTCACTCGCGGCCCGCGGATTAACCCATCCCCTCAATTAGGCCGTGAATGCACAGTAGCTCCCAAGGAGAAGTCGTGTTACCGCTGCGGCACCACCGGCCACATCTCCCGGGAATGCCCCCAGGCGGCCGGCGAGGGCTACGGCGGCGGTGCCCCCGGTGGCCAGGAATGCTACAAGTGCGGTCGTGTCGGACACATTGCGCGCAACTGCCCCCAGGGCGGTAGCTACGGTGGTGGTTTCGGTGGCGGTTACGGCGGCCGTCAGCAGACTTGCTACTCGTGCGGCGGATTCGGCCACATGGCCCGCGACTGCACCCACGGACAGAAGTGCTACAACTGTAAGCCCCATGAATAGACCCCGGGACATTTTTCCAATTGCTGACCGGCTTCTAGGTGGTGAGGTTGGCCACGTCTCCCGCGACTGCCCTACCGAGGCTAAGGGCGAGCGCGTTTGCTACAACTGCAAGCAACCTGGTCACGTCCAGGCCGCTTGCCCCAACTAGGAGGAACACGCTACGAGTCCTTTGTCTTCTCTATCGCGATAGTGTACACGGGGCCAGGACATGAAGACGATCTTTGGATCGACGCCATGCTAGCACATCAGTGGCGCCTCGATATGCGACCTTCTTCTCGTTTTTAACCTGTGGCCAAAATCACGACCTGGCTTACGACCCTGGTCTCTCAAATCGACTTCCCCGCCCCTTCCGGTTACTGCGCTCGACCCCCAGGAGGTGTCGAACCCGCGTGGCCCGCTGAGATTCGTAACCCGCAACAACGTGTTTTCCCTCCCCAGTCAATTTTCTGCGTGTGGGACGCGACGAGCGGTTGCGAGATATGAAAAAAATATGACAGGTGGTCTGAGTTATGGGTGGACAAATGTGATGGTTTCTTTCATGTGGTCCAAGGACCTTAAACCAAAATCTGCGCGAGTTTTATTTGTCAAATTTTGAGAACAATTCATGATCATATCATCCCTTCAGTATATTTCTGCCGGCTTCATGCAAGGCGGTGCGTCTAGGCCTTGTGACTGCCCATGTTCGCTCACAATGCGTTGCCAGACAGAAACATCTCCTATTATCGATGTGGTTGGGCCGATGTAAGGAGGTCCCATCCTTTACCGCATGTAACAGAGATAGAGCAGGGTAATCCTGAGACAACGCTGCATCTATTTACAAGTATTCGAGATACAAGAGTGCCTCACGAACTGCAGCTGCACATCATGGCTCTCTTAAACCGAGGAACATCTCCACAGAACCGCTCCTCTTCCTCCTTGTTCAACCCCCACTCTTCCTCGAATGGGTTCAGGGCCATTTGCATCACGCGCCCGAGAACCGCTCGGTCTCCCTTGCGCTCAACGCGCTCGATCACTTCATCTAGAATCCAGCCACGCGGGATGAACTGTTGGGACACAGCATTAGCTCGACGCTGTCATTTCCAAATCGAGTAAAGACATCGGGGCGTGTATAGAAACAACGCGACTACTCACGTTCGGGTTGACTCCCTTCATGGCCTTCTGTCTTTCTTCGTCGTTATTCTGTCCCCAATCCTCGAGGACGCGCACCCTCCAGCTCTCCAGCCATTTGGCAATGCGCTCTCGCGCAGAATCCTCGGTGTAGCCAATCCCCCCGAAGCCCTCGGCGTGGAAGAATCTCGGCGCCACCTCCTTGCGTTTGTCCTCAGTGTCGAGTTCACTGAGGGGTACATTCGAGAGACGGCGGAAGAAATGATTGAAGTCCAGTTCCAGCGCCTCCAGGGTATCGAGCAGCTCTGAGTACAGCTCCTGGAAATCGGATTCCTTTTGCGTCTTCAGCCCCAGCCGTCTGTTCATCAGGCGTTTGTATTCGTTCAGGAAAACTGTCCGGAATTCGTTTCCGGTCCGGTCAATGATGTCCTCCGCAAGTTTGATAACGGCCGGGGCAGCTTCTTCTGTCAGGCCTTCCTTGACGAAGGTCTCCTCGTCGACCTTTGCACCTGCGCCGATCAGCTCGCCAAGGGACTCTCCGAGTCGGACCAGATTCCACCAGATGATGGTCGGTTGGTTCTTGTACGAATACCTCAGCATGTGGTCATCGTGGTTCGGTGTATACTGCGGGTCGAAGTTGTCCATGAAAGCGAACGGTCCGTAGTCGAGCGACAGGCCGTAAATCGACGTGTTGTCGGTGTTGAGCACGCCATTCATAAACCCGTACGCCTGCCACGCAGCCACGGTTTTGGCGTTTCGTCGCGCAATCTCCCGGTACAGTCGAGCAAACCGATTCTCCTCCACGTCTTCGTGCTTCTGTATGTGGTCCCAAGCGAGGCCCCTGTCAGGATTATCCACGGCCTCCGGCTGCAGCTGGTCCTTTGCCAGCGTCACCGCGGACGGCAGCGCCTCCCATCCGCCGAGGACGTCTTCCGCGACGAATGTGGCCAGTTTTCGGATCAGGTCGCGGTCGCCGCGTGCGCGAAGGATGTCGAAGGTGCCGATTCTGATCCAGGTCTCAGCAAATCGGGCCACGATCGCGCCGGGCTCAATGCGTTCTCGCAGGACTTTTGACTTGGGGAGCAGCGTGAGCGAGAGGGCGCGCGTGGTAGGCACACCGAGGGCAGAGAGCGCTAATGTCGGGATTAGCATCGATCGTTCTTTCATATGGGACTACTGTAGATAGCGATACCTTCTGATACGATGTATTCGCGGATACTGGACCGGAGGACGGCCTTGCCGTCTGCGAAGCGGGAATAGGGCGTTCGTCCAGCGCCTTTCAGCTGTAGCTCGTAGCGACGCTTCGTCTCCGGGTTCGTGCTTTCGAACAAACTGATGGCGCGCTGGCGGGTGTCAGCTCAACTCGTGTCTTTCATCACAGCGGCGCAACTAACTCCATCGCCCAGCTGGCCGGCCCATGTGCCGCTGTGAGATGTTAGTACCCTGTCCTGTTTAATCTTTTGGCGTGACATACAATTGCCAACCTGTTGTAGATTAATACCTGTCCATTGGTCTTGGGTGATCTGGCTGGCGCAAACTAACCTCCATAGCATTGCGCCCACGGGTATATACCGCCCCTCTCCTCATCCCAGAACATCTTGTTCCCTGCAACCAACTCCTTGAATTCGGGCGTCTCTTCCTCGCCAGGCTTCAGACCAAGATCCTCCATTGCCTTCGGACTAACCCCCAACAGCTCGGGCTCTTCCGCTGGCTCAGGACGGACAAACGTGTACAAGGCGCCCTTCACCATGCGCGGGCCGAGGGTTTCCCGCGGCGCCCGGTGCGAGTCTTCGGGCGTCTCGAAGGCGGGGTCCGCGGGGAGCTTCGATGTGAAGACGTTGGATTTGGGGAGGTCGCCCAGCGAGACCCCGTGGGCGGGGCTGGAGACGTGCGAGGCCATTTGGCTCAGCCGGGTATGTAGGGTCCGTGATTGGTATAGTGTGCGGCGAAAAGACATATACGGGTGGTTAAGGCGGGAGAGCCGGGAGGCGACCAACAGCATTAAGTATGGGGAGATTGATGATGAGAAAGAGTGGAGGAGGGAAGGTTAGGAGAATTGGTGTTCATCGAATAGTTGACGGCTATCGGAAGATTTGTTAGGGTGTAGTTCGGCTGCTCGGAAACCGGATGATGTCACTGGAGACGGAGATTAGGTGCTCTCCGTCCACCACGCCCGCTTGATACTCTGTCTACAGTAGTATGATGAATGATATATCACGGAGGGGTTGATGGTGTCGAGTTTCCAAAGAAAGGCAGATATATTGTTTCTCTAAATGACTTGGAGTTCATGTCCGGTACATGATATATCTGAAGACAAGTAACCCATGAGCAATTACATTCTATCTATATGTACTTCTATGTACTTATACGATTTGGAGCCAACCACCACAATCAACAGACCCTCTATACCTACTCTGCATAGGTGACTATGTACTTTTGTGTCTATCTCTCCGATAATCCCCCACTCGGTGGAATACGCCGCCGGGTCATTAATAATTCTCAGGCCGGTATAAGTACCATGGACATCGCACGGAAGCTGCGGGGACTTTCCTTGGCTTCGATCCTACACCCCTCACCGTTTCTACAGAGAATTAACAACAATCAGCATGGCGAGTCCTGTCCAAGCTATCCCCAGCGTGAAGCTGAATGATGGTGTTTCCATCCCGTTGGTATGTCTACCATTGTACTTCTAACGACATCCCCCCTCTACGCGTCTGTTGGGTAGCGCAAAGCTAATGCAGGACAGCTGTCATACGGCACAGGAACCGCCTGGTTCAAACAGGGTGGAGACAATGACATTGATCGCTCTCTGGTCGATTCCATCAAGACCGCGATCAAGCTGGGCTATCACCACCTCGATGGCGCCGAAGTCTACAACACCGAACGGGAGCTTGGTCTTGCCATTAAAGAGAGTGGCATCGAGCGGGAAAAGCTGTTTGTGACCACCAAGGTCATCGTCAACATTGCAGATATCCCGAAGGCCATCGATGCCAGCTTGGAGAAGCTCCAGTTGGACTATGTTGACTTGTACGCTCCCGATTCTCGTCCTGAGTTATCACCCAAAGCTAACCAATGCCCATAGGTACTTAATCCACGCCCCCTTCTTCGCGAAGTCCGAGAGTGAGCTCCAGCAGGCGTGGGCTGCGATGGAAAAGGTCAAGGCATCCGGCAAAGCGCGGTCCATTGGCGTGTCCAACTTCCTGCAGAACCACATCGAAACCCTCTTGAAGACCGCCCAAGTGCCTCCGTCCATCAACCAGATCGAGTTCCACCCCTATCTGCAGCACGGAAATCTGGTTCCCTTCCACCAACAGAAGGGCATCGCCACCGCCAGCTATGGGCCACTTACTCCCATTACCCGCGCCAAGGGCGGTCCTCTGGACGGCCTCTTGTCGAAGCTAGCCCAGAAGTATGGGGTCACCGAGGCCGAGATCCTGCTGCGGTGGACCATGGACCGCGGCTGTGTTGCCATTTCGACCAGCAGTAAAGAAGAACGGCTGAGCAGCTACCTGCGGGCTTTGAGCTTTAAACTGACGCCCGGCGAGGTGGAGGAGATCTCGGCCACAGGCGAACAGAAGCATTTCCGAGCCTTCTGGCAGGACAAGTTCGGGCCGGATGACCGTTCCTAGGATCTCATTATGTAGCGGAGCATCTGTAACTAGACCATAAAGGACCCCGAACAAGGGATCTACGCCTTCGGAGTATTTACACGGATGGCATAAAGGACGTTTGCCCTTTCAGCAGGGAAATCATGTAACGTACGGTACGGTAACGGTGGTACCGGCCGACCTCATCGATAATTCCAGACCAACCATCGTCGGAGGAGCTGCTCTCGCTCTTCCCCCTCCCGTCCTACACCTCCCGATTTACTCTCCTCTCCTCCCTCCAACTCAATCTCTTCTCCTCCATCCCAAGCTCTCCGTTCAGTCCTGTTTGCTTGGGAGTCACTTGCAGATATCTGCCCCGTGACTGAAAAGGCCCTCCTCCAATCGGGCCGGTCGTCGTCGGCATTGGCATTGCGCGGCATCTGCTGGCCGGGCGGTTTCTTTCTCATTGCCAGACCCTGGACTTCTTTCTTATCGCCCGGTTTCTTTGAGGTCACTTCTGGTTCTTCTATAAATATATTGCTCTCTCCCGCCGCCACGGTGGCCATCTCCCCCAAGACTAGTCTGCCTCGGCTCTTGCGACCGTTGTTGTCGTCCTTGCGCCTCCGCGGTACTTGTTTAGTCGCGCGACATCCGACGATATAGAACTGGCGCTTGCTGGATCATATCGTGCTGACCATATGTCTCCGGCAAGGTCGACCTAAGTAATGCCCACGGCCCTCCAGGGAATGCGCGCACTCGCTTTCGAACCCTCTCCCTGTGATGCTCCAACACACCCGACGCCCCAGTCTCAGCTACGGAAACCACATGAAGTCCGCTACCTTCACCACCCAGAGAAATCAGAGGAGAAGAAGGAAATAATCCAGTGTCAACACTGGTGAATCTTGGGACAGTACCCGCCAATTATCCGCTCACCGAGGGGCCCCAATTGTGTGTTGTAGTCGTGCCATCTTCGGACTGCAATGTCGGTGAACCGGCCCTCTCGCCCTGCGGATCATGATTCAAGTGCCTCCAACTATCCTAGCGAACCACCTCTTCCATTTGGACAGGACCCCATTGACCACCGACTGAAACGCCTGCGAGACGAAGTCCTTCCGATCTACCCTTTCCTCCTCACTGTTCCCTCCGATGTGCCGTTCCGCCTCGGAAACCGCTTTGTCAACAACTGGGCCGTGAGTGATGACGGGCCATTTACACCAGAAGAACACCAACTGCAGTATATGACATTTTTAGCCCACGACGAGGGAGACTCTTTGCTCGTCGCCGTTGGTGATTGGTCAGACGGGAACGGCAGCGTCATGCCTGACCAACGCTCTGCGCCTCAGAGTGCCGCCAGCACTCCATCAAGTGGCTCTCTCAAGAAGAAGATTAGCCTCAACGATTATAAAAATAAAAGAAAAAGCGGCACCTCAGCTTCCCCCGCCGGTCAGGAGGTTGCGGGCCAGGGCTCTTCGACTAACTCTGGATTCGACGATAACCAGCCCGCTTCCAAGGCCAACCTTACAAAAGAGCCCTCCTCGAAACCGCGAGGGAATTCTACATCACAGCATTCATCAGACCGCCTAGAGCGCAAACGCCCTCCGCAACAAGACCGTGGACCATTTACATTGCATGAAAAGGAGCAGCCTTCAAAAAAACCGAGATTATCGGCTGAGCCCCCGACAGAGTCTGATAGACGTGAACGCTCGAAACCCCATAAGCTTCCCGCCTTGTTATCGCCTACACTTCCTCCGACCTCGCGGAGCCCCAGATTACCCCGTCTCTTGTCCCCCACATTACCTCCTGATCTGGAGAGGGAGCTCGCCAAGTTGGACGAGGAGTCACATATTACGGAGCCGGCCCAAAGGAACAAACAAAATGCAGATGCGACAAAGCTCAAAACTCAGAAGCCCAGATCTTCTGACAAAGGCCCTTCCCAGTTGGACCCAGGGACCAGTCGCCCAAACCTACCAGTACCTGGCAAACGGCCAAGTTCCGCCAACCATAAGCCATCTGCTACGTTAGACGCCTCATATTCAGATTCTTGCGAAACAGTGAAGACCGACCCAGTACTCCAGAAAACGGAGAAGTCCGGTCGCCTGATTGTGAGGTTGAAGTATGGAAGGTCAAACAGGAAACGTGTGGAGGCGCTTCTCAAATTTTCCGGTAAAATGAAAACTGCGTCGAAATCACCGGTCAACGACTTGGCGGATCCTGGCAACTCCCATTCATCGAAGGACGAGCGGAGTACCGGGAAGGTCCATTCATCCAGACCTCTGGGCGCAGATGGGAGAGTGAAGAACAGCATTGAACCCAACAAAGAGCGTTCAACAAATTCAAAAACCGCAAGTTCAGACAAGCCAGGGACGCCCGGGCTTTCCATCACACCACACCCTCAGGAAAAATCGAAGCCGAGCTCAACGGTTCCGTCGAAAGGCCGTCGAGAATCCAATCATCGGGGCGAGACCGTGGCTGAAGCACCTGTCAAGCCGAACTCAAGACATTCGTCCGGCGATTCAACCACTGCTGCTCGGCAGTCGCCTCTCCCGCCCAACAATCAACCGTCCGCGCGTAGCGGTGAACGTCGCGCATGGAAAGACGAATATCAAAAGTATGGAAACCTTGGGCGGGAGTTAAAGCATGCTGCAGAGCGACATACAGCCAGAGATAACGTTTCTACCGCGGATGAGAAGCTCGCAGCCGCTACAGCAATTGAAGCCATTCTTTGCTTCATTCTGGCGTTTGCGGCAGATGATAAGTCCAAGGAAGTGGCCCGTCAGACTGGCGATTCGTCTTCTTGGCTTTCGATCCTTGCATACTGGCGCGTGGTGAAGAAGAACAGCGCTCCTTTTCCGCGGCTGTATAGCCTGTGTCTGATTCTGGGCGCAGTGTCCTACGAGACTATTCATACGCTCGATTTAGAACGTCTCGCTGTGATTCCTCTTCCGGGCGAACAGACCTCGCCCCCCACGCCAGGGAGTGATGGGAACTCTGCGTCGAGCGAGAGCAGGAGGAACCGAAAAGACCTGGCTGATCTGAAGAAAAGACTGCCCGAATGCTACAAAGAGTCGCAGAGATTGTGGCTCGAAGGTTCGCGTGGTCTCAACGAGGATGTCCTAGAGCGCGAGTTCCCCCGAACCTGGTCCCGCCGGTCGAAGAATTTCTCTGACCAAGGAAAGCAACCACTGAAAGCCGGGGATTACTCGGGTGACTATTTCTTGCCGCTCGGGAGGACAACCTCCCCCGTGGAAACCGTCCGTTTCGGATATACCATGCTGAAAGAGTGGTGCGCAAACGAAGGTGTGGACTGGAGAGGTCGTCTGAGCTTATAGGGAGGTTTCGGTTCTATTTTGATGCGTGCATCCTGCACCTGCTTCGGTGCATTGAACGGCGGATTAGTGTTTCAACCCATGCTTGCGAATTTGCGTTGGCGTCTGGATTTGTGTACGTTGGGCGTACTGGGGTCTTTTTCTTTTCGTCTTCTTTGGCCTGTTGATTTATGATACCACGGCTCTTGATGCTGCTCCCTTCATAGATGTATATCCGCTTAATTCATATGTATCTATACGGATGGACTGTTTGTTATTTCGATACCTCAATGAGAGCGTCTACGCCTTTCCATTAAGCTCAGATACATATCTTAGTGTGTGGTAGATGCTGTACTAGATTGCATGCTGTGGCTTAACTTGTAAACCAATGGATTGCAAACTACCTGAGCTCTAGCGCTAATACCAAACCTTAGAGCCATCATATGCGACTGGCCACCACAATGAAAACGACAATACTCATATCCGAATCAACGCTGGAACGCCACAAGACCATGATGGGAAAGAATATCAGACTTCTAGAATGGAAAACAGCCAAACACCTGCGTCGTCCATCCACAGCAAAACCAAGTTAAAGATACGTGCGTGACCGAGTTCAAACTTCCACTAAGGCATATCATCATCATAACGTGCGTATCGCGGCTCCTCTCCAAACAACCACCCGGCTTCTCGGCAGTACCGCGCTTCGCGGCCACTGGTGCCTACCTCGCTACTCCAGCAGATGATGGAAGCGTCCACGATGTCGGCGATCACGCCCTCCACGGCCCCGAGGACACTCCAGCCGATGGTCCCTGCAATGAGACCGACCACGTAGGCGTACACGCTGCCGCGGATCGTCCCGCTGCTAGTAGATACACCTAGATTTCGAGCGGTGGTCACCCAGCCTCCAAATCCAAGGGCCAACGACATCATGAGGCGGGCAGCGTGCAGAATGAGCTTCGACAGCCGGTATGGAAGAAGCGGTGGGGAGTTATCGCGGGATGAGGAAAATGAACGTGGATGCAGGGAAGATGTGGCAATGGGAGTTGATAAGTTGGTCATCCGGGTGAGACCGCGCGCGGAGACAGAAAGTGGCTGGGAGTGGATGGCAGCATATGTGAGCGCGAGAGGGTCCGTGAGTGCCGTGATGGGCGTGGGCACAAGCGAATATGCAAACAGACCCAAGATCGAGGAAAGGCGGCTTGGAAGAAGGATCAGCGGAAGCCGTACGAGCAGAGCAACCAGCCGGGACAGGCAGATTGTGCCAAAGAGCGTTGTCAGAGAATGACTAACCGCTGCCTGGACAATTTGCCTGGAGGTAGGAGCAGGGGTTGCAAGCCGGTGGAAGTACCACTGGCTGACGGTCGCCGCAGACACCGCCCGTTGAATGCCGGCAACGACCCCAAGGGACCATACATAGACGAGGATGAAGTATATCCCAAGCCACCAGCTGCTCAAATTGATGATGAAGTGTTTGGACCCGGCCAGATGCCCGCCCAGAAACACCCGAGTGAACATGAGCATCCACACCCACGTCCATGTAACCGTGAGGGCGAGCACACCCAGTCCGAGCGCAAGTAGCTCGGCATTCGCAGCGAGGATCCGGCACGCGAATTCGAGAATAGCGACCGCTCTACCGATGGCGTGACGACCACGAAGCACATTGTATACCCATGCGGTAGCCATAATGAACGGGATGATGGAGCCGGCTCTCATCACTTTGTCCTGCACGCTTGATCCGTGCCAGGATCCCTTGAAGCTGGAAACAAAAGGATAGAGCGCAAACGAGTACAGGATGATTGGAACAGCGATGACCATGAAGTAAACCAGATGACGGACGTATGAACGTAGAAGGGCCAGCCACAGCAGCGACACAAATACCGAAACGAGAGTATAAACGCCCAGCAAGTAATAGGATCGATGGATGGTGGTATATATTGTGTCCCCCAGTTTGGACCTGTCCTTTGGTGGCGACGAAGTATGCAGGTAGACAAGGAATGCGGTAGCGAAAAGGCAGGCTAAAGATATCAAGAAGAGCTGGCCCCAGAAAGCATCGTATGCTGGAGAATCCAATCTTGCCGCGGCATTCGATGTCTGATATGACTCGGCAGCACTCGATGGCCGGGGATTCTCATCTATCGCGACATCCTTGTCTCTTGCAGGCGACGTGAGGAGTGACTCTGCCCCGAAATTTCCCCTCCGAGACTGAGGCAGCTCCCGGAATCGCTGGATAGAAGGAGGGTTCTCGTCCCCAAAATCGGGAGGGTCATCCCTATCCGCATCCAGTTCGGACCTCAAGGTATCTTCAAGTCGCACATCCACTAGATTATCCCTGGTCCGGGGTCTGCTCTCTTCAGCAGCAAACTCGCGGTCATCCTCAGCTAGCCCGTCCATGGGTTCAGCTGCCACATTTCGGCCTCTGTAACCGGACTCGTCTGCACGCCACGAGCTCTTAATCCCCTTTCCTTTCCCCGGAGCGTCGTCTGAAAGTAGTCTTTGATCGCTGTAGCCTAGAGAGCTGTCATCGTCGTCAAGCTCCGAGGATTCTTTGAGCTGGCTACCCCCAAAGTGCCTCCGTGATCGTTGTAGCGCATAGAAGTCGGCGATCTCGCGCTCATGCTCAGCTTCGTCGTCTTCCTCACGAAATTCATCTGTGGCGCTGTAAAAGAGAGGAGCCGGTTGGTGTCGGGAACTGAAAGGGAAGTGGGAGATCTGCGAGGCACCCTGTTGGTACGGATCCGCGTGTGCTCTCTGGAGAAATGAACGAGAGTTGAACCGGGAGGCCCCCGTCTGTTGTGTGCGGCGGCCATAGGACTTTCTTTGAGGCTGATCCGGTTGAGGGACTATTCGGGATTGTGACTGGGCAAGAAAGCGAGAGGCATCTGGGATAGCACACGATCAGTGAGACCACCGTGGCGGATAGAAACGTCATAGCAGGGTGATGGAGCTCCCTTACATTCTGAAAACATCTCTACCGGAGTGTCGGTCGGTCGTCAGGCGGTAGGGTGATGGAAGTCTCCGGCGATTTATCGAACGGCGTCGGGAAAGCGTAGCGGTGTGTTTGAAGACCACAGTAACATAGCAGGAAGATGGGATGGGCTATGACGGCGTAACAATACGCATATACATCGACATGGAGGCCCTGTCTCTCCGAAGAGCTGGACTGTCTCTATGGATGGGGAGTGGGTGTGTGGGAGAAGATGGGCATGACGGATGCGATAAGTAGGATGGGGGCGTGAGGGTGCAAGCGTCATACGGAACGGTCATGGACGATCGATAGATGACTCAGCCGCTGATACCACCGTTCGGGTCCCCACCATAGCTAGCTTGGTTAGACAACCAACCTGTTCGGGGCATAACTAAACCATCAACAGTCCATCCATCAGCTTATCTCCGTCCTCCTTTATCCGCCGCAGTTTTCCGCCTTGGAGCCTACCCTCCCAACGAAAGATACCACCCTCCACATCTACATGCTTGCACACAGACTGTCACAGCCGTCATAGTTCCCGATCCCCGCTGCGCACGTACATATATACCTCTTCCGTCTGCGCTCTCTACTCCCCGGTGGCGACCTGTTCGCAGATTCGAATTCTCCGTATCCATGTCACAGCCATGGGACTATATCGCTAAGCTCGTCTGCATTGGTGATTCCGGGACTGGCAAGTCCAGTGTACGCCCAAGCCTTGTCTTCTCATGATCAATGCCCACGTGGACTGACACTCGCTCCGATACAGTTGACTATCCGGCTCTGCGAGGGACGCTTTTCTGCCACCCATGATGTGACCATCGGCGTCGAATTCGGGTCGCGCATCGTTCCTGTCGGCCCACCTGCGTCGAGAAGCCTTGGATTAGAACCCCATCGCAACGGTCCCGCGGCCTCTCTTACGAACCCCCCATCATCCGCGGCGTCAGACACGCAGGAAGATACAGTCGTTTCCGGGCTCCCGCCTCCGCCGCGGAAAGCAGATGGGCACAAAGAAGTTCAGAAAAAGATGAAGCTGTCGCTCTGGGACACCGCCGGGCAAGAAACGTATAAATCTATCACCCGGTCTTATTTTCGGGGAGCTTCCGGGGCCCTGCTTGTTTTCGATATTACTCGACCTTCTACGTTCACCTCGTGTACACAATGGCTGCAGGATCTACGACAGATTGCGGAAGATGGAATTGTTGTCATCTTAGTCGGCAACAAGAGTGATCTTGCGGGTGACGACTCGAGCACAAATCAGAGGCGTGTCACCAGAGAAGAGGCCGAGGAGTGGTGTCGCATGAATAATATCGTGCGATACGTCGAAACCAGCGCCAAGTCCGGCGATGGCGTTGAGCGCGCATTCCTGGAGGTCGCTGAGCGGATATACCAAAACATCGAGGCAGGCAAATATGATCTGAATGACCGCCGGAGTGGCGTCAAAGGGTTTGGTGCCACGGGAGGCTCAAATACAGGGATGCCGAAAACTGTCACCCTGGGCCTGAATGATGCGATGCGTCGTGGCGGAAACGGATGGAGTGGATCGTGTTGTTAAGAAATCTGAATATGTAGAAGCTGTACGTTATAGCCTTGATGGCATGCCCGATCATTTCCTTTCTCAAAGGCAGGTGACCTTGGAAGAGGAAAAACAGCCTGAGGACCATCTTTGATAGCTAGTATCTCTATATAATCCAATTTAATATTATCGCAGACAAACAAACTGGACATTAGTCTGGCTTGTGGAGTATCTGACTGCTTTCGCTGCTGGTCAGACGCAAAGAGTACAGGCGAGAGTAAGGAAAAGGATTTTCGATCATAAGACAGGGTGGAAGTCAAGATTGAGAGAAAAGAGGGAGAATTGGCCAGGGGGTGAAGTGGGATCGCTCTTAGTTGGCAATCCGCCAGCCACTCAACCAACCCAGATGAGCCCACTGCTGGCTAGAACCTTCGATACCGAACACGATGACCCTAAAGTATGTGAACAGCCCAATGATAACGGCATAGAGAACGATGTGTATCGCCCAATAGACCTTATTGTGAGCATTCCGGGTAAGCCAGTCCGTACAAAATCCAAACGTCAGGATGGCGTAATAAAGAGCCGGGTAGTAATGATGGACGTATGTCACGCGTGCCATAACAACGAAGGGGATGTAATGGAGCACCCATCCAATGGCAGGGTATATCCCAGAATAATGGATGTGGTCGATTTCACCCTGCGTCAGGTCATTGTATCCACGCTGCCACCGCACGAGATACCAGAGGACCAATAGCCCGAAGACCCCAAGACTAGCAGTACTGCCCCAGTAGACAAAGGGATTTCCAAGGAGGTAGTACTTGATGGTGTTATCATCCCAAGAACACATGCGAAGACCGACATTGAGGATCGGCCATTGCCAGAACTTGGAGGCCAGATCGTCCTGCTTATCCGGGTCGGGGACAAGAGCATTGTTGGACGTCATCATAGCAACATTGAGGTGAATAAAGTCCTTGAAGAACGGAGACTTGTAAGATCCAGGGTCACCGGGTGGGACTACATACAACGGGTCAGCGGGTGTCTCGATGGTGGAGGGAGCAAGCACTTACGTCGCTCATTGAAGTGGGACTCAATATTCCAGTGAGTGTAAACATCCCGGGGCTTGTTTTCCTTCACGCATGTCGTCTCTATTTGTTTGAAGCCCCATTGAGGCAAGTTAACATTGCCCGCTCGAAGATAGCAGCCCAGAACAGGGTGTCGCAATCTAAAAGCCGTCGTGAGGGTCCGAACCCTGCTCCTATCCCTCGAGGCAGCGTCATCCACAACCTCGATTTCCCAGTGGTCTTTCTCATCCCCGATGGTGATATTTCCGTAACCGGAGACTTCATAGTGCGACTTCGTGACAGGAGCAGATATGGCGTGAGAGTGCAGGTTACGTCCGGTCTGTCCGTGAATAAGGCGGATGACATCGCGGTCACCGGGGAACTTCAGCGGAGCATTGGCATCGTAGTCGGGCTCATTGCGGTTCGGGTAGATGAACCAATCGTTGTTCGCATCCTTGTGGTGATAGCAAGTAACTTGCTGTTGTTGGGAGCCTTCCGGGTATGTCTGGACATGAGAATGAAGAAGTCCACCACCATAGCCCCTGTTCTTAATCGTGACGCGGGAGCCAAAGGCTACCTCCAAAGGACTATCCTTGCCGACCTCCGTGCCTTTCAAGTTAGCTTGGAAAAGCGAGCTCATCTGCGCATCTCCCGGTCCACTGTTCTCGAGGATCCAGAAATGCACATAGAAGGAGAACATATAGACCAGGGCAGGCACAATAATCAATCCGATCACGCGAGCAACGAGGTGTTTCCCAAGAGTGACCTAGTAAGAAATATTAGCAGGCTGTAGGCGTATGTAGGTTCCTGGGTTCACGGACATCCGAGATTCTGCGATCACCAAACTTATTCCAGAGGTCTTCGGCAGTGTAAAGTCCAACCAGAGCAGTGCAGAAGAGACCGACCCACTTCACACTGCAGACACAGCCGATGCTGATTCCAGTCAAGAAAAGCCAAGTGAACCATTCAGGCGTGAAGCTGGCGTGCTGCAGGCGGTGGAACTTTGCCCAACAGAAGGTCGTGGTGAAGGTGAAGCAAAGAAGCATCGAGTCAAGCAAAATGAATCGGGAGATAGTGGCATACGAGTTCTCGAACAAGACCATCAAGCTGACGAGCCAGACGGTAGCTCTCCGGAAACCAAGTTCGCGAGCGGTGTAGTACGCCAGTGGCACACAGACGACTCCGAATGCAGCATTAAAGACGCGCATAAAAGTATAGTTGAGGTCCTCGGGGTATGTTTCGCCGGACTTGAACTCGAAAGACCCATTGTAACCAGCCAAAAGACCGGACAATCCAACGAGCATCTTCCCAAGCGGTGGGTGTACATCGAAGTAAAATTCGCGTTTCAGATAATGCGAGCCAAACTTTCCGAAACTAAGCCAAATTGATTAGTACATACCGTTTTGTAGAAGTATATGTATCTTACTGTGCTTCGTCCCACGTCACGATATTAGAGCGGCCAATGCGGTACATTCGCGTGAAGATAGCCAGAGCCGTTAGGATGACGGGCACGATTAGAGACTCCCAGCGATCCAACACAGAGAGATACGAAGAGTTCTGCAAGGGAAAGCCATAAATTAGCAGGATATTCCCCCGTGTACCCCCAAACTCGACGATCTCCATACCTTGGCCTTCCGTTCCTTTTCGAGAGGCTCGTACAGGCCTTTGCCTGGGCTTTCCGCGTGGGCGACATTTCGGCGGCGTAAGTCGGAGGCGAAATCGGCGCCAGTAGTAGACGCAGAATTTATCGTCGCCATGTTGCAACGATGTCGATGTCGATATCGACGTTCGGGATTGGTCAGGGATTGGACGGATCAGGGGTGTCGGAGGGAGTCGATTCCTCGATTGCCGAGAAGTCTTCGAGATAAATCGCAATACAGGAAAGAAATTATCGAGAAGTAGAAGAGAAAGGTTCAAAATTAGCGACGGAATGGAGTCATATCTGATGATCGACTGTGGAGGAGCTCCGTGAGCGTTGTGCAACAAGTGAGGGGAAGAACCACGATCGATTCTATGCCACAATCAAAAGGGAGGCCAAAACCCGATAAAAGAAGAATATGATACTGTCAAGCAAAAAGGTCGAAGGGAAATAAACGAGAAGAAAAGAAAACAAAGGAATGGTGAGAAGGAGTAAAGGTGCAGAGGAGATGGTGGTGAGGTGGTGAAGCAAACGGAGAGTTGGCCTGGAGATAACGCGGAAAACCCGGGCGCGTCAAGCTGCCACTCCGCAAGGACCACCTTCCGGGAACAGACTAATGACCACAAATTTCCCAGACAGGCATTCCTGAGCCATTGAAATATAAATAGCAAAAAAGCATGTATATTTAGAAAGACGAAATTAAACCGGCATTTAATATACTCCGTAGGTGGTCCCCATAGGGGCTCTGGGTCCATTTCGACGCCTCTTTCGGGTTACAGATGTTGTTATCCATGTGAAAAATGTCCATGAACCCGTACGATGATCTCTAGACATCCAGACACACTTCGTGCAATACATACAGCCAATTTAGCAGTCGTGATAGGCTTCGTTTCTCTATTCAAAAGCCGGTAGTTCGCTTCTGCGTGGTAGGGCGGAGAAAACATCAGAGTCAAAAGCCGTCTCATCCCAGTATGTATGTACATAACCTTCTTCGGAGGCCGGGATATCAGGATCTATAGAGAGGGGGAAAGCTTCTATCGCCACTTTCTCGAACCAGACGTCTTATCTGGATATTGTGGCATCTGCCACATGCACTCCGGCATCCTCCAGTCCTACCCATGTTCCGAATACCACATGATACCTTCCTACTTCACTTTGTCAATAGTAAACGAAGCAGTCCACATGGCCCACATCGCCATACCCTCTCAAAGAAGTCCCATGTAACCGAAGGTATCCCGCACTTTCTATGTAAACACTGAAACAAAAGGTGGAAGCCAAGAGAGAATGAAAGTGATCAAGGGAATAAGAGTCGAAAAATGGTAGTAAAGAAAGAAACAAGGTGTACTACACAACAAGTTCAAAAGATATGGACACACGGTAAAGACAGATGAAAGGGGGAAGGGGTCTAGGAACACCAAACCGAAAATGCAACCAGTCAAAAGCAGTCTCAGGAGGAGAGACGAGAGTGTATGTAACGTCATCGACGAGCCACTCACTTCTAACTTTCCTCATCCTGTCCGAGTCGGCTATACTGACTGCCTTGTGCTCGTTGTCCCGAGCCCTTGTGACGGCTAACCATATTTGAGATCCAGCCGCCAAAGCCCTCGGAGCGGTGACTACTGACTTCCTGGGAGCCACGGGCATTTTTGCCGTTGCCGTCAGTAGCAATATGCGGGGGATCAATGTCCAACCCCGGAATAGCATTGTCCGCCCCGAGCGGTCCGTACTGCCGTCTGATGTCAAGTGAAGGCACCGGCGAACCAGCACTCATGAGAGAGCCACGTTCCCCTTGGGTAGCTGGAGTCGGCATGGCAGTTGTCGCATCTCCAAAAAGGACATTCATATCTTCCAGACGCACTCCGCTGGTCTCAGGATACAAGAAGTACACTTGGCAATATCGGTCAGCAGATAGACATCAAGTAGTCGGCTAGAGCAAGCCAAGGGTCACTCACCCAGCACAAAACTGCATGCACAGAAGAACGCGTGCACTAAGTAAAGCCGCCATTTAATAACAGCTTGCAAAACTGGCGTCACCTCCCCAACAAGCCAGTTGAAGGCCCAGTTGGTGGCTGTACTGAGACTGGCGCCCTTTGCGCGAATGCTCAAGGGCAGGATTTCCGGAGGGTAGAGCCACGGGATAGGACCCCACGACGCACCAAAGGCCGCATTGTAGACCATGACGAAGATGACCGTTAGGGTGGGAGTTGCTGCAACATCAATGTAGATGAAATACGATATCAACGAGAGAGACACGATCATGGCTACTGCTCCGGACAACAGAATTGGCCGTCTTCCCCAGCGATCCACAAGATACCAAGGTGGAACTGTAGACGCAAGGTAGGAGATTCCGTTGATGCCGGTCATAAGGATAGCATCTCGACCTGCCCAGCCTGCTGATTCAAAGACCAGAGGTGCGTAGTAGGAGATGACGTTGATACCGTTCAGCTGAGCCAAAGCTTGCGCAGACATAGCGATCAAGACCCGCTTGTGATATCGCTTAAACATGTCACTGTAAGACCTTTCACCTTCCTGTCGCTGAAGGAGGACGTTCATCTTGATCTCTCTATATTCTTGTCGGGCCTTGTCATTGTGCAAGTCACCTTTTCCGTAGAGATTAGCAATAACCACCATGCCTTCCTCGTCATGGTCATTGTCCAGTAACCATCTAGGTCTCCGGGTCAGCACCCCATCATACCGGACCATCCCGAAGAAAGTCAAATCAGGGACTTGATTGAAACATACCTGGGTGATTCACATATTATGAGGCTGCCAAAGCCAAGAAAAGCTCCCATGATACATTGGCAGAGTAGGGGCAGGCGCCACGACCAATCGTTCTCAATGAAACTACAGAAATAATCGACCCACACACTCGCAGCATATCCGGAAATGTTTCCGGTGAATTCAATGCACGCGAGTTTCCCACGGTTGTGAGGAGGCTTGTGTGGATGCAAGTCAGTAGATGATAATTTGCTGCGTCGAAAGAGGACATACCGAAATTTCGGACTGATAGACCGGTACGATTGTTGAGAGTGCGCCGACTCCCAAACCAGCAATGATACGGCCAACCATCATCATGGGCAACCCCGTGGCGAAAGTCTGGAAAGCTCCACCGATGAAGAAGACTATGGAGCCGTATAAAATAGTCCTGCGGCGACCTATCAAGTCACCGATTCGGCCAACGAGCAACGAGGCAATGAACGCCCCAACTTCGAGAATGGCCACCACGGTACCAATCTCCGCTCGGGATGGCTGATCAAAATAGTCCTTAAAATACCCGCCTCTATCCTTCTGTTAGTTGACGATTTATGGTCTAAGGGGGACGAAACCCACGTGATAATGCCCGACATAACACCCTGATCATAACCAAAAAGAAAAACGCCTAATGATACAAAGACACTGGTGAAGTAGCTATTTGGTGTCAGTAGGGAGCTCTGATGCAAGTCCTATCAGGGAACGGGAAGAGATCTCTTACAGCAATGGCTTCCCAACCAGGCCATGTGTTTGAGCGGCCTGCCGGTTGTTGGGCGACATGATGACGGCGAGGAGACGCTCCACTCGTGAAATACGTCGTGGTGGTGGACGAGGGATCTCTATGGAGATTTTCTCGAATTCAGCCTCGTCCGCGGTGGACGGATCCTGGTAGTGTACACGCTTTACTCCGGCCCTCGACCTCGATCGACCGGAGGCCTCACGATCGAAGGATTTTCGCAGTCGAATCTGGAGGGGATCTTCTGCATTAGCAAGCTGTTCGGCGAGATCACCGGTGTCGGACCAGATCGAGAAGTCGGACTCGACGGAGCGGGTGGAGAGAGAACGTCGGCTGCCTTTCTCACTAGCTGACTCCAGGGTTCGAACGGCGTGTGCAGAAGAAGGTCTGGAGTGGGACGACAGTGACCGCAAGGGGATCGTGGAGGGCGAGGTATGCGGCGAGGACGTTGATAAAGGAATGTTGGCGGTGATGGCGGGCTGCAGGAGACAGCCCTTGTATGTGCGTGTGCGTGTGTGACTCGATACCGTAGGATGGGAAAAGGCGGGGAGGCAGTTCTGGAATTCCCGTGATCCCCCGCAGGTATTTTGAATTTGGGACTAAGTTTGGCGCATGAAAGGGGGTTCGACTATAAAGCCAGACGGCAGTCCCGACTGGAAGGGGAGTGAGTGGGTGTGAGTTGGAGTCGCTGGGGGAAGTCGGTGCAGCAGCAACAGAGCGGAGACCCGCAAGCGCAGAGGACCAACGGTCTACGAGGACAAACGGGGGGAGCGCCGCCAGAACTGCTCACGAGACGAAAAGGAGATCAACGACGTAAGATGACGGCAGTCGAGGCTATTCAGCCGAGGGGGATCGGTTGGTCAGGTGGAAAGGCTAAAGAATGAAGCCAATTACCGGCGCGTTGGGCAAGAGAATCAGTAGGGGAAATGGGGGGGAAAGTAGTGTGAAAAAGGACGAGGTCGGTTGGCAGATGATGGATTGACTATGTACAGACGAATTGATCATCAGGGTGTGGCTTGACGATGTTACTGGACACAGGAGAGGAGGATTGGGGGAAGTGGGAGGGGGCAGCTAATAGGGAGTCTGGGGAGGCGGTCCGCTGGTTGCAACCGGCCCGTACTGAAATTAGTACGGAACGGTACGGAGTATGTATCATTGCATCTTCAGCGATTTGTACATTCTTTCTTTCCCTTTCCGGATAGCTTTATACTACCTAGGTAGATGCACTCTACATACAAGTAAACTACCAATAAATAGGCTCTATAGTATCTACCAAAAAGCTCTACATTGTTACTCGAATAACTGTGCCCTCCCTAGGTAAGTAGGGAGTACCATAAGGCTGGATGCTGTATTACCCGTACCGCTTCCGAAATTGAACCGATCGCCCTATCCTATGACATAATGCCGTCTGTGGGCGCAGATGATTCCCCCAAGAACAACCAAGAACAAACAGGCGATGTGTCATCTGTTCGAGACGCCAAGGCCTCCAGGACGAACGGAGTCTGGGGTACCTTGGCTGTTATGTAAAGGCTGTCCCGCCTGAGGATCTACATACGGAGTAGATATGCTCTGTCTCTATACATACATAACAGCTTATGACTGCTTTACCGGCTCCAAGGCTGAATCCGGACATAATGCTCAATGGTTCTCTACCACCTATGTAGATAGTCTTACCAGAACACCAACTCATCAAGTGTGTAACGAGCACGGTTCTCAACTACAGCTCACGTACCTCACTCAATAACTAGTTAGAACATCGCGTGTTATCTAATAATGTCTCACTCCAGTCTGGGCGGAAGAGAAGGGCCACGGCTAGCCCAGGGGAGGATGGGCCTGGCCACGTACACACTTATTCATTCCTATCTTTATACCTGGTACAAATAGAACGAGTATTATACCTTCCTATTGCCTCGACCCGATATTCAGCATAGTATGTAAGCTTTGGAGGCCTTTGCCTCTCTTCATAAATGGAAGTGGCTGTACTTATCCTTCTACATAGCCTAGGAGTACTATGTAGTAGTAGCACTACTAGAGCAGGGCCCAGCATAAGCGAGTGGAGAAACCCGGGCGTTAAGTACTCCGTAGATCAGGTGGTCGATCCACTTGCCCATGAGGGCGATAAAATCATGAACTGCTGATAAAGTGAAAATTATCCCTGAAATTCATTGCAATGCCATTATGTACAGTGAGTCTAATCGATACATATGCAACCCTCAACATGCGCCAACCGTCTATTCTATGTCCGTAAGCAGTATCATGCCACCCAGCCTCTTCCAATCCCCATACGCAGGTTGATCACAGAGATGCAGCCTGACATAGTTTCTCGATCAATTCAGAGCGTGCGTGTGGTGCATTGGGAGATGACACTAGGGCAGAAGAATATCATATCCGTCTTTCTGAATGTACACAGCGTCTGCCAAGTTAGCGTATTTACGACGCACCACTTCAAATATGACCAGGCCTGCGCTGGTGCTCGGGACCTGACGGATGGCACTGCGGAAAAACCCGCGAAATAGCCACTGACGCCAGCCTCCTGCGCGTGCAGCTCTCCTCTCGCATCGTTTGTATGTTTCCTGATAGGCAAGATAGTAGAGACGTAGCATTTGCTTTCTCGACGGGTGCAGACTCGCCTGATGATCAAGATATTCCAATCGCGCGACGTGAAGGTTTTGGATCATGCTCAAGGGGTGCTGTATGGCCTGCTGAGCAACAGACGCCGTAATCCCTGCAAGCATCAAGAAAATCGGCTCTAGCGTGTAGTGTGGCTTGATCAATGGTACTCCACGGTCACTCGATTGACTGAGTATCATCTTGTCAAGGTGGCGCGAGTGGAGGTCTCCATAGTAACCAGTGATAAAAGAGTAATATGCCTGCGACTTGATATACTCGAAGAAAGAGAAGAAGACGCCGTACCCAAATGCGTCACGGAGGAAGGACAAGCTCCAACCGGCAAAGATGCCGCGAAGACCGATCTGGCGAAGCTTATGGGACCCGTAATGCCACATGCTTCGGTACTGCCCCTCGAGCAAATCGTTTGTTCGAAGGCGCACTTGTAGGGCATCTAATGGAGCCGCCACTATGGATTGCAATGTGCCAGCAGCAAATCCAGCCGAAAATGTATATAAAGGACTAGGAGGAGGGTAGATACGTTTAACGCCGCGGGAGACTGGCTCATGCAACGCCCCAAGGACCTGCAGGTAAGACGTATATAATACAGCACCAACCCTGCCCGAACAAACATTAGGGGTCGGGTTCGCATATATTTGATCATAAGCCATATAAGCAAGACTCACCCAGCATTTGCTATCAGCGGGGGCATGACTTGATTCGGAATGAAGCGCCAGCCATATGTGCGAACGGCATGAACAAGCAATCCCGGTGTCGTTGTGTGAAATGACCATCCACTTTGAGCGCTATGAGGGTTCACAGCCCTTGCAAAGGCCTAGTATATAACAGATGAACAACCATGATCAGCAGAGAGGTCATCGATGTGCGGTGAACAGGCGAGGGACAAGATGTCGGCATCAGAGTAAGAGACAGGGACTGGTTTTATACCATATAACTATGGATTACGTGTTAACATGGATGTCAAATCAAGGCATTTAGACCGCAGATCAACATACTCAACTCTAGTTCGGAAGAACGCTTTGACGGGCGCTCTGAAATAAAAGGCGACAAGTTGCGCACTGAGAGCGCGCACTCCGGCCGCCGAGGCTCCGGTGGCCGCATTGTTTCGAGGGTTTTTGCGCGAGACGCCGTCGGGCTCAAACACAACATCCACTTGATCTAAGCTCGTTGGGCCGCCGGGAGCGGAAAAGTTCTTCGATGTCATCGTTGAAAGTCGCTCGGCATGAGAGCTATCGGGTATCAACGGGAGGACGGAGGGAAGGTCGGGGGTGTAAACATTGTTAAAGGCGCCCTCAGGCACCACGCTGAGGTTAACGAGGGGAATACAAGCCAGTATATGTCGGTATTCAGTAGTCAGTAGAAAAGAAAGACAAGAGGTTCGCTTGATGAAGGCCTGCAAGAATGAAAATAATCTATGCTTGTCGAAGCCATTCCCAGGCGGACGGCAGGTCAAAGCAAACAAGTCAAACACCGGGCGGTGACCACGGTCTTTCCCTTCAAACGCGCTTTCGCGCGAGGACGTGCCTGCCGCAGCTACGGACTAGCTCGTACAATTAATCCCATTTCGATCAACCCGAGTAGCTCGCAAAGGTATTTTCACCCTTCATACTCCTCACCGCGCTCTCTCTTACTTCTCACCTAGAATCCCTACATCGACCCTGTTTCTCCCTTGACAGTACCTGAGCTCGATCTGAATACCTCTCCGGCCAGAGTCTTCTGAAGACTTGTTCCCTCCTCGCCATCTACACCGGAAGGTCGCAAGTCAACGAGAACCTGACGTTGGCTTGACAGCCGGTCGCACGATGTCCGAAGAGATCGTTATCGATAAAAATGCTTTCTTCAATCGATTGTCGAGCTTCTACTCGGCATGGAAAGCAGACAAGCGATCCAGCCATGGCTTGTTCGGCGGTGTTGGATCCATCGTGATTCTGATGGGAAAGACCGATGAGGCCAACAGCTTCCAGAAGAACAATGCGATGCATGTATGTGATGCATTCCATTCACTCTTCCGTCATGCTCACTGACTCGATCGTGCGTTTAGTTCTGGCTTCTCGGTTATGAATTCCCAGCCACGCTTATGGTGTTCACCACCGAGACGATGTACGTCGTGACAACGGCAAAGAAAGGTGATTGACGGCGCCTCTCCATATATGGGTTTCTTCCCTGTGGCTCTATTCTGACTTTATGCAGCCAAACACCTTGAGCCCCTTAAGGGTGGAAAAATTCCTGTCGAAATCCTGGTTACTACGAAAGATCAGGACGAGAAAACGAAAATCTTTGAAAAGTGTCTGGAGATCATCAAAAGCTCCGGTGTAAGTGATCGCGATTCTGGGTTGAAGACTTGGCTTCTAATCATTCAACTGTAATAGAACAAAGTCGGCGTCCTCCCAAAAGACACAACCACCGGTCCATTCGCAGAGGACTGGAAACGCGCCTTTGCAAACATTTCGAAGGATATCGAAGAGGTCGACATCGCACCTGCTCTTTCATCGGCCGCTTTTTCTGTGAAGGACACGGATGAGCTGGTGAGTACTTTCCATCGCCAAGAGTAACTCAGAGTGGCAAGTTGACCAAAAAAGGTGTCAATTCGGAATGCATCGAGAGCATGCAGCGGCTTGATGTCGGAATACTTCGTCGACGAGATGTCTCGCCTTCTGGACGAAGAAAAGCAGATGACCCATAAAGCTCTTTCGATGCGAATCGACGCGAAGATCGACGACGAGAAGTTTTTCAAAAAGCTAGCGAAGCTACCAGCTGAATTTGACCCCCGCCAGATTGACTGGGCATATGGGCCGGTTATTCAGAGTGGCGGAAAGTACGATCTCAAACTCACAGCTGTGCCCGATAGCAACAACCTCCAGCCTGGAATCATCATCGCCGGTTTCGGAATCCGGTACAAAACGTACAGTTCGATCATTGCGCGTACTTACCTAGTCGATCCTACCAAGTCTCAGGAAGCGAACTATGCCTTCCTTTTGAATCTGCATGAAACGGTTATCAAGGATGTTCGCGATGGCACAGTAGCCAAGGACCTGTACAACAAGGCGATCGGTCTGGTCAAATCCAAGAAGCCTGATCTGGAGCCGTACTTCGTCAAAAGCGTTGGCGCCGGCATCGGCATTGAACTGCGAGATTCAAACATGGTACTCAACAACAAGAACAACCGTGTGCTGAAGAGTGGCATGACGCTTTCAATCACGGTTGGGTTGGCTGGTGTCGGAGACCCCGATTCGAAGGACAAGAAGAACGCTGTCTACTCTATGGTCATCACAGACACGGTCCGTGTTGGGGAAAATGGCCCGCATGTGTTCACTAAAGATGCTGGGATCGACATGGACTCAGTATCTTTCTACTTTGGCGATGAAGAGGAGCCCCAGAAACCTGCCAAGGAAAAGAAGGAAGTGAAATCCAGCGCCATTGCCAGCAGAAATGTTACGCGGACAAAGCTTCGAGCTGAGCGACCTACCCAAGTGAACGAAGGTGCTGAAGCACGTCGTCGGGAGCACCAGAAAGAACTGGCCGCAAAGAAAACCAAAGAAGGGCTCGACCGGTTTGCCGGGACTACCGGTGACGAAAACGGAGTCACTCAAAAGAAATTCAAGCGCTTTGAGTCCTACAAGCGAGATAACCAGCTCCCAGCTAAGGTCAAGGACTTGACTATCTACGTTGATCACAAAACATCGACCGTGATTGTTCCAATTATGGGTCGACCCGTGCCTTTCCATATCAACACGATCAAAAACGCCAGTAAGAGTGATGAAGGAGAGTACGCTTACCTGCGGATCAACTTTCTTTCCCCGGGACAGGGTGTTGGGCGGAAGGACGACCAACCTTTCGAAGACTTGTCTGCCCATTTCCTGCGGAACTTGACCCTGCGGTCTAAGGACAACAACCGACTTGCGCAGGTTGCGCAGGACATCACTGAACTTCGGAAGAATGCTCTCAGGCGTGAACAGGAGAAGAAGGAGATGGAAGATGTGGTCGAGCAAGATAAGCTTGTCGAAATCCGAAGTACGTACCATCAGCTTTTCCCTCTCTTTTGTATATGAGCTAACCGTGCAAAAGACCGGCGCCCTGTCAAACTTCCTGATGTCTACCTCCGCCCTCCCTTGGATGGGAAACGAGTGCCTGGTGAAGTTGAGATCCATCAAAATGGTCTCCGGTATATGTCTCCTTTCCGGAACGAACATGTTGATGTTCTTTTCAGCAACGTCAAGCATCTTTTCTTCCAACCCTGTGCTCATGAATTGATCGTTCTCATTCATGTGCACCTGAAGACACCGATCATGATTGGAAAGAGGAAGACCAGAGACGTTCAGTTCTACCGAGAGGCGACTGAGATGCAGTTTGACGAAACTGGCAACCGCCGACGGAAGCACCGCTACGGAGATGAAGAGGAGTTCGAGGCGGAGCAAGAAGAAAGACGCCGGAGAGCCGCATTGGACCGCGAATTCAAGGCCTTTGCTGAGAAAATCGCTGACGCCGGGAAAGACGAGGGTGTGGATGTTGATATTCCATTCCGAGAGATTGGGTTTACTGGTGTTCCCAACCGCTCGAATGTATTGATTCAGCCCACCACAGACGCTCTGGTTCAACTGACTGAACCTCCTTTCCTTGTGATCACATTGAACGAGATCGAAATTGCTCATCTCGAAAGAGTCCAGGTAAGGCGTAATAAAACTGCAGCTTCCTCCCACCATTGACTAATGATTATAGTTTGGTCTGAAAAACTTCGATCTAGTCTTTGTCTTGAAGGACTTCCACCGGCCTCCTGTGCACATTAACACGATTCCTGTCGAAGCTCTGGAGGGTGTGAAGGACTGGCTCGACTCGGTTGACATTGCATTTACTGAAGGTCCCTTGAACCTCAACTGGACGACCATCATGAAGACCGTGGTGAGTGATCCGTATGGCTTCTTTGCCGACGGAGGTTGGTCTTTCCTTGCTGCGGAATCCGATTCCGAAGATGGTGATGAAGAGGAAGAGGAGTCTGCGTTCGAGCTGTCTGAATCCGAACTGGCTGCGGCAGACGAGAGCTCAGAAGACGACAGTGAATTCGATGACGATGCGAGCGCTGAGGCAAGTGAGGATTTCAGTGCCGATGAGGAGAGTGGCGAGGATTGGGACGAACTTGAAAAGAAAGCCAAAAAGAAGGACCGTGAAGGCGGCCTGGATGATGAGGATCGCGGTAAGAAACGGAAGCGGTGATCTGGTCTGCACAGTGCGGTCTAATCAAGTGGCTCCCTTGTATTGTTTACTTCTTAACATATGCAAGTTCTCTATGAAAGTTCTGCTGCCTACCCGAGTTTGTTTCTATTGTCGTTGATCCCTTAGGTTAATTTATGTACACCAATCTTACTTGCGATGACCATGAGTGTCTCAGATTTGTTTATACATTTCTACCAAGGTTAAGACATAAGATGATATAACAATTCGCGGGCTATGCCTATCCCCATGCATGGTAAGTCGGCGACTTAAGCCGACGAGCTAAGGCCGAGGCACACTTTCCTGGGACTCATGCTATAGATAAGGGCATACAACAAGACTAAAAGAGGCCGTATCGATGAAACACTATATACAGATAACGAATTAAACCTCGTCGAGAGCCAAGTACCAACCAAGCCGAATCGCAGACCGCGCCCAACGTATGATGAAATGCAAAGCTATTTCCCTTCTCTCAACGTAGACCACATATATCGCATCCGTTCCAACTGCCCCGGAGTAAAGGACTCATAACAATCGTCCGACGAATAATCCATGTAATTATGTATGGCGTCCTTCCCAGGCAAATCCGGACATGAATCCTTCCTCCGGGGACACCCTACAGTAGATGTAGACTGCTGGGGCGTATCGTCGATATAATCGCCATCATTGTCAGCGGAGCACGACTCCCCCTCAAACACATGCAACAGCCCATTCCAATGCCCAACCTCATGGATCGCAGTGCCACCCTTGTTATAATGCGGTATCGGGCCGCCCGGCATCGTATGCCCGAGTATGTTGCACCCGTCCTTGACATAGTCCGCACGCGGGCTGCTGGCGTTGATGCTCGGATCAGGCAGCGTGCAGAAACCCAGCACTCGCTCTGTGCCGGCGGCGCCGGACATGGCGCGCGCCGCGGCCCCTGAGGCGGATGCCTGCAGATCTGTGTGGAAGTACACGTTGAGCGTGTTGTAGGTGCCTTTGCGCAGGGCGGTTTTCATGGCGATCTCGTCGGCGTTGCGGGCCCAGGCGTCGTTGATTTGGCGGGTTACGCCTTTCAGGCGGTAGGAGATTTGGGCGTTTTTGTAGGCGTTCTGGAGAAAGGATAGCTTTGCAGTGTTAGCTTCTGGGGATGCTGATGGGATGAACAAGACGCTCGTAGGATCGTGTGTGCGTGGCTTTTGTGTGGGAGAGGGCTTACCTGGTCGTTGATCATTGCATCTGATATTAAATCAGCGTTCTCCTCTGTGCTCAGTATGTGGAACCATGTGTCTATCTCGATCTGTGCCACGACCTTCCGGCTTTCGTAGCCTTCGGCGGATTCATACTCGGACGGAGGCGATGCCAATTTCTGATATACCGCTCTCAACGACTCGCTTGGAGCGGCAGTGCCACATAATCCGCGAGGGGACAGGAGAGAAGGCGCGCAGTAAGCCGGGATACTGCCCAGGACGAAGAGCAAGACGATCTTGGAGGCCGAAAGACTGTGCATATTGTCGACCGCGATGAAGTCTCCTGGATCCCCACTACGCGACGGATGGCAGACTAATATACGCCGTGACAAGACTGGGGAAAACGTTGCTCGCGGCTACATGGAATGCAAGAGACAAAGCCCAATGTTTAAACCCTGATAGACGGGGGAATGTGGGAGAGGGCGCAGTTATGCGGCATTAAGGGATGACAAGAATCACCCGCAGCAACATGACTGGAATGTCAATCTTGTTAGAAGGAGGCTATGGTCACGCAGGAGAGTTTACGCAGTAAACCCACGCGCTTCCAAATAATAAACAAGCAAAGCAGATAGACTTCATTCAAACCACGCAAGAACTCCACAGACAACGCCCCGAGAATTATTCACAAGTAAACAGTAGCTGAAGATCAGCCGGCAATCATCAAACCGGTAGATCGCAAGACGTAAGGATCAGTGGGAGGTATAATACAGTAAAACAACCGGACACAGCGAGCTTTAAGGCGCATGTGACCCAAATCGATCATCCCTTCCGGTTGCAACAGCCGTACTCTCTTGCTCACTGTTCCAAGTCAAATAGGTGTGGTCTCCGAGTTTCCTGCGAATTGTGAGTTCGGTTGTACTCAACCTAAAATGTACCAGGAGTGGCTTACCTGGGTCTGATCAAGTGCGCGAGCGTGAAAAGGGCCCCGAGAAGGACACAGATACCGCCGACGACAACGTACGCAATACCCATGAATGGGTTCTGACCACCGACAACGGTGCGCGTAGACAGAAGAATCGATTTTGTTCCGCTATATTCAGTAACAGGAAAGCCTACGGAATGGTCAGCTGAGTGAAGATGTGCATAAGCGCGGCGTCACTTACGATCAACGATGTCCAGCCGATAGATACCTGCTGACATCTTCACCGTATCATTCCTACGGGACAGCTTGCTGAACGTCGGCAATGCGGCGGTTCTCATCCAGACCATGAACTCTTCGTCTTCGTTCAGATTAGGGATCCCATCGGCGTACCCATTGGGGTAGCGTTCGCGCCAGTTCGGGGGAGGGACCACCTGATCCGGGGTGTATTGCGTCTTCTTGATGAGCTGCTTGTCACTGTCCCATGCAATGTTTTTGTTAGACATGACGTAGGGTTCGGCACTGTCTCCGTCTCCGTTTAACCATTCGGGGCTGTTGATGGTGTCGTTGAACAAGGAATTCGCGATCAGGCCGCATGGATAGTACGCTTTGCCGGACGGATCAAGCCTGAGCGGATCGCAGGAGCTACTTCCAATGGTGTTGTTATCCAGTGGCTTTCCTTTCAGCTGGTCGACATCCAAGGACTTCACATATCGCCGGTGGTTCTGATAGAAATTTGTGAGGCGGTAGTACATGTAAACTGGCGGGCCCATGTCCTCGGGGATTTTGAACGTAAGCCGACAGATAGTACTGTTATTGGAAGTGAGGCGCTGCCATGTTGGTGTATAATCTGAATCGGAGGACTTGAACGACATGCTGACTTGGTCTGCGATTCCCACTGCGGGGGACGGTGATAGGGGGGCCTTGTCTCTGCATTCGGAGTAATCGATGAGAATTTCTTGCACCTTTGCGCGTGTCGTGAGTATTCGGTATCCGAGGGAGCCGGTTGGTATCACATACCGATGCACTTGCCCACAATAACAGGCCGCCTATGGGCGCGAAAATGACTCCGACAATGAAAAAGAGTGGTAGGACACTCTTTGGTGTTAAAATGGGCCTGCGAGTGTTAGTCGACGGGATGGGTCTCTTTGTAATTGCGGGTTAGAGAAGACGCACTGCCAGGCTTTCAGGCGCTGTTGCCGGAAGGCCGTATCTGAATCGAAGTCAGCATCGCGAAGGCAAATAGAGCAAGCGACTGGCGCAAGAGGACGGGTACTCACTCGCAGGTCGTCGACTCCGTGGCTTTTTGTCGACATCAACGTCTCCTCGATGCTCCTGTTCGCCCAACGACTCCGTACGGGCTACCTCCGTCTGAGACATGATCTCCACGAATGGTCACCCCTAGGGATCTAAATCAGTGTATACGAGCAATGCGACGTGCGATCATGTATAGAGAAAGGCGTGATCGATGGTCCAGATTGTAAGCCGAGAGAGGAGAAGATGATTGTTAGTGAGGTGGCGCGGATATGATGGGCCGGGGAGGTTGCGTATGTAAGTTGGCCGGTTCCGCACAACCCACCGACCGAGACAGCGGAATGCAAATGGCTGCAAACCACGGCGCCACAACCCTCTAGCCTCCTCTATTCTTGGAAAAATTTCCTCGACCCACGCATACAGAGTACCGTGCCCATATCCACAGCCCTTGGGCCATGGTATGATGCCTTTTGGTGCTCTATTCACAAGATGATATGTTCTCATCTGATGGAGCATAACTCGATCTTAATTTTCTGCAACTGGTATTCCATTCAGTCTATTCGAACATACGGCAATGGCTCCAGAAGATGGCAATAGCTGACATTGCTTGTGCAACTGCAGGACATGATCAAGAGCAAATGTTATGCGTCGAGAAACAGCCAAAAGCCAATCGAGATGAGATTTCTTCCATTCTAAGGGGGGATTCATCCTAACGATATCCTCGATCCCGATCAATTCAATACAAAAAGCCAACAAAACAAAGCAACCAAGCGGGGTATGGGTATGAGCAGAATCAGGAAGCACAATGGCAAACTCTCTGGCATATCTCTGGCCATATTGTCGCAAACAGGGGAGATGAAAAGACATGAAGACGAACAGGAAGCTATCGCACCAACATCAAGCGTTACCTGAGAACCAATGAGAACACCAAACCGCAGAGCCAGGGGTAAAGAACGCCAGTCACATGAGGAAGGGGAGAGATACGAAAAGGCCACTGCATTGAACACAGTCCAGCTATGTGCAGCGACGGCCAAAGCAAGATATAGCAGCTCATGCCGATCCGATCAAGCGGAAGCATTCAAGAAACTGCGTTGATATATAATCAACAAAACCGAGAAGCACCTGGTCAACTTGTGGTCGCTCCTCACTTCAAATACTGTTGGAAATGTTCGGGTCGGAACCAACCCACTCGATCATATGCAGTCCACAACTTGCTTGCTTTATTGACGTCGATCTTGCAGGCTTGCTGTGCGTCAGTCTTCCGGAACTCCTTGTTCACGTTCAGAGCCTTGACACGGGCTTCGAAGATGCGACGTTTGCTGCATAGATATGTCGCGCAGGACAGTCTCAGCGTGGCGGCGAGACTGAGCTCGGCTGGACTCAGCAAATCTCGATCCGGATCATTGCTCAGATCTAACATTTGCCCTTTCCAGTCCGCCTTCAGAGCCTTGGCATTGTTTCCCAGAGTCTCCAGGGGAGGGCAATAGTCCTTGATCGAATTGAAGTCTGTGTCATCACGGTTTGTACCTATGGCACGAGGTGGCTTATTACTCGGTTGGGGAGGTGAGTCAAACGAATCAAGATTTCTCTGTCTGGGCGTAGATCTCGGTGTACGCTTGGCTCTGGGAGTCCGCTGCGGACGCGGCTGCGTTCCAGACGCCCTCTTGGCCGGGGCGGGCGCAAGTGTTTTCAGCTTGGTCTCCAAGTCATGAGGACGACAACGATTCATCATGGACATTTGGCGCTCAAGCGTTTCTCGCTCCTCCCTCGCCCACGCTGCGGGATTGCGATTATACTGGGTCGAGACAATCGGCACACATGACAGAGCTAACAGGTATTCCTCCCGTGTCGGTTTATTTATCTTATTTTCAAACCTTGCCATATGAGTATCGATGTGTTTCTCGACCAGCGCTTCTGCCGTGGGCGGAAACATCGGCCCAAACAACGGTTGCTCGGTGGCGACATCGTTAACGGACTCATGGCGGGGGAAGAGAACGGGATCTCTCGAGGTGCCAATTGCATCTCTCTCCAAGTGCTCTGAGGCACTCGGCTTTCGTTTCTTCGTCCCCGTGTACGGAGTTACAGGGGGCGACGGCAAATCCATCTCAGACTGTGTTCGCTTCCGATCGACGGAAATGGGGGGGAGTGCGTTCATATCATGGCCAAAAGACGAATTCTGTTTCGTGCCGTGTGGCGAAAACTCCGGGTTAAAACTCTCGAAGGGTTTGGATTCTGGAGGGGACATCAGAGTGGAAACGGAGGGCAGACGATTCATCTTGCCCTCGCTCCTGGAGTGAAACATTGAGGCGGGCGCGAATGATGCCATTGCGGCAAGCGGCTGATGCCGAACGTGAGGATCAGCGTACGGTGTCTTCGGTCGGAGGGTATGCGAATTGGGGGGGGTGTTTTGAGAGTGAAGGGCAGAAGATCTGCAAGAATGGCAGAAGATATACCTGAAGGAGCTGGAAGGCGACAGATGACAAGAGGCAACAGGTGACAGTGTTTATGGAAGTGAATGGAATTGGGCGTTGACACTGCTGGCACAATCCACGTGAAGATGATTTGTCAGGGCCGCGCCTTTGTCTAGGTATGGTGGCAATACTAGGCAGATACCTATGACATCGGTCTCGGCTTTAAGGCTCCCAATGCCCGAGACGGAAGGGATGAGTCAATCAATCAATCAGTCAATCCACGGATAGTCAGTGTCAGCCTGCGACGGGGTCAGAGGGCGCAGCAGAAGTCTATTCTGAACGAGGACCGTAGGTAGCGAGGAGCGGTTGGGGAGCAATGGGGGTTGGGTTGGTGGTCTAATAAAAGAATCGGCCGGTCTGATCACCAGCCCCTGGACCGCTGCATAAAAGGAGGAGAGATTGAATTATGAGTCAGTGCGCCAATAGTCAGGCTGAGCGATTTGAACTACAGTGACATTGATTGTTCACAAGACTGCGGGGTTTGGCGCGTGGCAGTAGCAGGGCCCCCAATAATGATTGATCTTCGGCCCTGGCGCCAATTGCGATCTGATACGGAGGTATGCAGGCCGATAGGAGGATCTCAAGGTTAATCCGACCGGTCAAATGTGGATTGGGGAGAAATTGGTTGTTTTTCCTTGGAGAGATAAAAACCGGAAGACAGTTGAAAGCCTCTGAATTGTTCTCTCAGGTTGAGGAAAGATATACTCCGGAGGAAGGGGGGCGAATGACCATTTCTGGTACCTGTGTCTACGAACAACCACAACACCACATGACGACAGAGCGGGGATACACCCACTGAGGGGGCGCCTGGGTGTGGCAGTGTACCCACCAATCATGGTTGTCGCCGCCACTCGTTAGGCTGAGATGACGGATAAGAGTCAGATCATCTGTATCATCTGTGCCTTGCGGTCCACCCCCACCCCCCTCCTTCATGACCGCCTGATAAACATCTTGGGTATTCGCCCATTGTTCATCTACAATGGCACAATAATCAGGGAATCTTCTCCGTTATCATCTGTCCAAGCCGCTCTAGATAAATACCTCATCATTCTTGGTTGATCGGCTGCCCCGCCGGGCAAGAGTCACCCTCAGGCGCTCAGACCTACCTAGGTAAGAATCCTCCCCAATCCGTGCTAATGCCAGTCATCCCTTTGAGTCAATGCTGACCCTTCCAGACAGATGATTCAGACAAGTTGATTTGCTGTTTCTGACGGATGACGTCGTCAGCGTATGTCTAGCCATGCAACAGGCGGCAGAGGGAACAGACAGATCTAGACAATCCAGATTGACATGGGCTTAATTCATCGGTGGACCATGGTTCTTGATGATTGTTCTTGATACAATGATTATTGAGGAACCATTCATTCCTTATCACTGTTTTCCCCAGTCTCAAGCCACATACACGTGACATTGATGTCACTTTCCAACGGTATGACCAACAATTCCGATCATGCTTCGCGTTCAAGCTGCCTAGGTAGCTCCTAAACTTTGAATTGGAATGACAATGCATGTTGACCTCCATGATGATCGTTGGCCAGGCGCAGTCGGACTTAGGTAGGCATCTTCTGACTGTCTGTGTCATATGACCGTCAAACCCTTAGGACCTGAGCGTTTGATAGTTATCCTCGGGTTGCTGACAAAATGTTTGGTAGGTCACCAGCAGTTTACCTTGGAATTTATAATTTTCCCCCCATTTTTTCGGTCGTCACAAAAAGAAAAACTCCCTTTGTCACAACAGTATTATGATAGTAACAGACTGTATAAACAGGTAAAACAAGGCGTACTCTAAGGTTAGAAGATCTCCAGATACACTTGCTAAGTTGGGGACACATAATGTGATGTTGCTACATAAGTCAATAGCAATTATATAACTTCCCAGGCCTATCTCAGCATAGAAGATATTGTTCCATCCACCATTGTGATCATCAATCATAAAAACGGGATAAGATCAGGTGCATTGCATGTGACCTACGGTACTTGAGCCTTGAAACATATTCAATAGGCTAGGTATTCTGCTATTCCTTATTCAGCAGCTCTGATTAATTGACAATTTGTGTCGTATTTCTAAAAATAAGACGTAAATAATGTAGATTCCAAAACTTGACTGACATCTACCTAGTAGTTGTTAGCAGATAACTCAGCCAATGGAGGTCATGTTAGCGTTGCATCTACAGTCGAAGGCCATACGCAGACAGGTTGGCGTTGAGAGCCATCTGCCATAAAGTAGAAGCGTCTTTCTGCGTGGAAAACCATCATGCATACCTGGTGCCATCGTATCGTAACAGGGGTTAATGGTATTGTATACCTAGACTCGCTCGGAGCATCCCGTCCATCCTCAGGAATAACAACTCACTGCTTTGCAAAAATGCACATCTCTTTCGCTCCATTCGAATGCCTACCCTATATACAGAAAACAGGAGAGCACCCTGGCTGGTGACAGCTCCTTGTAGTTGTGTTAAGTATACAAAGAACCTCGTTTTCAAATATATAGAGCGTACTCTGACATTATTATTAGGTGGCTTAGCCTCTCATACGTGAAAGTTGACCAAATGCATTAGCGAGGGTCTAAATCAATCAATCAATCAAATCAAGAACCTGGTATCTAAACACAACCAACACCATGATTTCCCCTTACGGGAAGGGGGGAAAGAAGAAAGAGCAAGCAGTTACATCGAGATCAAGACATACTATCAAACTTGCGTATCATCTAGGTGCATCAACGATAACATAGGTTGGTAACCTTCGCGACGGCGGTGGCACGGTAGTAGACAAGACCATTGTCGTCCTGGTGTGGTGGCGGCGCGGACGTGTCTGGTGGGGGGAAAGGGTAAGGGAGTGGTCGATGCAAGGCTCCAAGGGTCCATCAATGTCCACGCTGGAGGAGGTGCGAGACGGAGATGGTGGTATAATCTGATGTTGTTGAAGTGAGAGATCTGTGAACTTGATGGAGCTGCGTAGCCACTTATGTGGCTGCTGCCCTAAAAGAAGCTTGTCCTATGAGAGCTGTATTCTCAAGTGACTACCTAACCATCAAGTCTGTAGAGCATCGTCCATACTCTACTTGTACAGTGGCCTTGGCCTTTTTATGGCCGGATTATAATTGAAATTCGTGGGTATATTGTACTATAACACCGGCGTTAGCCTCGGCCCAAGCACGTGTAGTACCTAATGCAGTAGGAGCGTGGTAGTCTCACACCTCTTTTCTCGGATTTTGAAGTCGTTTTAAGACGCCAAATCAGAACATAGGAAGGCAGAGCTCGTGTTAGCTCCGTCATAGACGCAAGACTCTAGCACCAAGGTCAGGTGCGAGCTCATCATTAGAAGCCTAATCAATCTAATACAGTCACCAGTTTCTGCTAACAATTCTAACTTCCGTAGATTAACCGGGCTTCTAAAAGAGTATTCTTTATATACTACGGTTCTATCAAGAAACAGATAAGAAGCTAAAGCCTTTTTTTTAGACTACTAGACTTTTCCGGAAAGTTTCCTCAATCTCTTTCTTTGCTATATACATAGACCCTCTATTTTTTCCTCACTTCCTATTTCTAGGGCTATTTAACACGGCTATACACAACACTAAGGAATATTAGCAAGAGAAGAGACGGAGCTGTCCCTAGCATTTACTGGCATAGAAGACCCCACGGCAATATAAGAACGTGGTAAGATATTTGCTTATACTTAAGAAAAAAGCAGATGTCCCAGTAGCCCCAAAAACGGACACCAACCTACTCTTAAGTAGAACACCAAGAAAGTATCAGGGATCCAGAAACTATATCACATCAGTACTAAAACCCCAGAAACTAACCATAAGAGATTATATTAAGATAGATCGTATTTATGTTATATACTCCACCGGAATCCAATAAACTTAGATACTAGTATAATATGGAAGAGCTCGCCCAGCAAGAGCCACTTATAGAAGAATTAGGCTGCTTTATCAGATTATATTAAAGCAGGCTACCACTCGTCCTATCTTCCGGCAGGATATATTCGGTAAATAGAATAGTTCCCTCAGGACTGTAGTTATACAATATTAAGTAAAAAAGTAGTGCAAACAAAACTAATTATCTTACCTCAAAAGGGTCTACAGGGCTTATTCTAATATCCTAAAAACCCAAAGTAACCCCATATCCCAAATAAAATAATACTAAAACATCTCCTGCTGATTCAGACTTTTCTCCAGTAATTATACATCTGTCTTACTTCCTTACTCACTTTTTATATTTACAGGCCTATAGTACTCTTAAAAACATATTCAGTTAGCTCTAAGTCACACTGAACTTCTATATAATTATTATTAGAATATTCTTTAAATATATATAATAAACTATTAAATATCTCTAAAGTCATCTAAAAAAACTTTAATAGCTTTAATAGCTAATAATAGTAGTTTATCTACTATAAACTACCTTTTATCTATATAAATAAAAATCTAGCCCTACTATTAAAGCTCTGACTATATTCTAAAATTATATCTTTCTCTTTTTTAAAAAAATATATAGCTAGCAGTATTAGTATAAAATCTAATTAACAGTAAAATTAGTAGTAAATAATCTAAGACTGCAGGAAATAGCTTATATAGCTGTAGTAGAGGTCTAAGACTTTACCGCTTGTTAGAGGCGGTAGCTAATGTACTAGAAGGTAGAATAGATAGAAGAGTTAATAATATAAAAGATAGAAGCTATAGAAAAACTATCTAATAGCTAGATACATAATTATTTGCTAGTTTCTAAAAAGAATAATTAGTAGTAAGATATTAATATAGTCTAAAGTTATATAAAATAGCTATAATAGTTTACTAATCTTTTTATAGAATAGGGATACTAATACTATCCCTCTTTTATCTAATAACTAT